GAAACAAGTTGCTGCTTCATTTTGGGTCGGCGAGATGGAGAATGAGTTTAGGGAATTGGTGCAACAGGACTCTTTTGGTTTGCTTAAAGAAGATGGGGACTCTTCTAGGTTCTAGAACAAATAGACAAAATTAGGGCGAGAAGTTTGTACGAGCATACATCAGACAATTGTTCTGATACTTGCAAAGAGCGCGGTAAGTTAGATGCAATTGTATTTTAAAATTAGTTTTTAAGCTATAAATATATTGTATTGGAAAATAGCTGTGATTCTCATCAGGCTAAGATATTTTCGTAATCAAACTTATAGGATGTGGAAGGCTATGGGTTGCCGATGGAATATGGAAATTAATGTTTCTTCATTGCATGATGCGTAGAAAGGTACTTATCTTAGTTTGATATAACATTACTCCTTTGCTTTTCGTAATTTAATAATATTATATGAAATTGTTTTCAGAATTTTGTAAAAGGTATTCCATTGCTGAACTATCCCAGTGTATGCACTGAGTCGCCTCAGCATGGAAAGGCATTCTGTGAACAGCATGTGCAATATTTGGAAAAAAACTTCCCTAATGTACCCACTAGTGTGTGTGGATTTTTAAGATATTGTGGTGTGAAGCCAAGTAACATAAGTATGTACTCCAAAATTGTTATGACTATAAAAATGCTTGAGAATAAAGTCCGATTTTTCATGATCAATTCGAGATATATTAACAGAGCTTTTACACTTAATCACAACTGTTCTTGCTTTAGTATATAGTATTTTCCAGGAAATTGGTACCCCTTTCTCTAAATTTATCTCTGTGCTCAATGATATGTGTATTACAGAGCTGACAGAAAATTACTACAAATAATTACTCTATTTTATAGGTGAAGAATTGATTGACGACACAGGTCTGCTTTCTAACAATGACGTGTCAAAAATGGACGAAACACTGGGAAAGCTTGATAAAGATGGCGACACTTTCCCCATATGAAATAGTGTTGTGGAGTCATTATATGAGGTACCCAGCATTATATGGGTCAAGGCAATCTTGGAATCGGAAAGAACAGCAACTCATTGGCCTAAAGTAAACCTGCCTTTATGTTCCTTAACATTAGGTGAAATGGTGGAATCTCTAATGTCCATGTTGCATCATAATGGTATCGCTGCTGTATTCACAATTGGTAAGCTCATTACAATATGCTCAATATTTTGGCAAGTGACGCCCGTTTATTACAAAATTGCTGACGTTTTTTCATGTAAAATACATTTGTCACGTTTATATTGAACCCATTTTAGCATGAAAAGAATATTAGTAATTTGTAGACCTGTTGCTTATTTAAGTTTTGAGGTAGTTAAATAGTGAATTTTATATGTAGCTACAATATTTTCTTGAATGAAACAATATGAAGAGCAGGCGAAAATAGATCACTGATTTAATTAGTTTTTTTTTCAAAATAGCTGGAATGTTATTAGGCTTTCATTATGAAATGATTGCGGATATCCTGGGATTTTGTCCCCTGCCCATTGTATGTGGAACAAACAGACTTGGAAAGACAAAATCTTCAAAAGCTGCACCAAGTCTTGTAGGAAATGGATCAAACTTCTTTTTAGCAGTAAGGGAAAGATTCATCCCCAGGCTATGCAGCAGATCAACTTTGCCTCCCGTGCTCGACGACGTTAAGAGCCCTACAGTTATTGGAAATGTTGCGGTCTCTTTCTACAACAGTGGCAAAGACGGGACATGTGTTTTTGAAGCAGCTCCTCAAACGATTCCGATGTTCACAGTCAATTGGGACACTTTAGAGGGATTGAACAATGACCCCAGGTAGATTTTTCCGTATTTATGGAATAGGTTTGCTTTTTATTGCCCTAATGTAATTTTTTCACGTGCTGTAGAGTACTTGGAAGGCTTGTCCTAATTCCCTTTTAAGAAGGAGCAAGAAGTCCTCTCGGAATTGAGAATCAACAGAACGCAGAATTCCAAAACAATGCAATAATGGAAGGAGGCTGTAGTGCTTTTGGGACCATGGTGGCAATTAGCAGATCTGTCGAATACGTCTGCATAACGAGAACTAATGAGCTCTGTCAACAATTTACCATTGATGCGCCGAACATTGACGACCGCTGTTTAAGAAATCATGCACTTTTGGTAACATTTGCTGAGAAGGTATCTGCCTTATTAACCACATAACATGAAAAAATTGAGCAATAGCCAAAGACCACTTGCACAATTATAACATAGGTAATACGGCTGGCAAGTATTGATGATCTCTATCCAAGCAATGCCATCGCTTTTTTCAAACAAACAATCCTGCGAGTGTGGATGAAACGATTCCAGACCAACAAAGGGCAAGTGTCTCATGCAATGCTTCAATAATGAAGTCAATAGAGCACAAAATATCTTGCAAAAACGTATGTAATAAATTCATAGCCCATAGACCAAATTCATAAAGTAATTGTGACATTTCTCATTTCTGGTTAGTCACTTGCGTAAATCCAAAAGTGACATACTCAAGTGGAGTAAGACTTAATGGAGTAGCAGTGGCACTGAAATGGTTTTTTGCCTTGCTAAAAGATCACGGAGTTCTGTTTCTGAATGAAGAAAGGGTGAGACACGAAATTAAGTCTCTCGACATTGGGGTGGTAAATGGGCGAAGCCAATATTTCAATGCAAATGCAAATGGTGAAACGATCAGCAGAGGCTTGCTAAAAGATCACGGAGTTCTGTTTCTGAATGAAGAAAGAGTGAGACAAGAAACTAAGTCACTCGTTATTGGGGTGGTCAATGGACGAAGCCAGTATTTCAATGCAAATGCAAATGGTGAAAAGATCGGCAGACGCACAGATGGAGTAGAAACTGCTTCCAAAAACTGCGTAATTATAAAACAATCTGCATTTGGAAGTGAGAATTGGATTGTTTTTTCGGAAGGTTAGCATTGTGATGCATTGTGATGTAGTGTGATGTAGTGTGATACATTTTGATGTAGTGTGATGCATTGTGATGTAGTGTGACGTAGTGTGATACTTTGTGATGTAGTGTGATGTAGTGTGATACATTGTGATGTAGTGTGATGCATTGTGATGTAGTGTGATGTAGTGTGATACATTGTGATGCATTGTGATACATTGTGATGTAGTGTGATGTAGTGTGATACATTGTGATGTAGTGTGATGCATTGTGATGTAGTGTGATGTAGTGTGATACATGTGATGCATTGTGATACATTGTGATAGTGTGATGTGTGATGATACATTGTGATGTAGTGTGATGCATTGTGATGTGATGCAGTGTGATGTAATGTGATGCAGTGTGCAGTGTGATGTAGTGTGGATGGTGTGCAGTGTGATGTACATGTGATGTGTGATACATTGTGATACATTGTGATGTAGTGTGATACATTGTGATGTAGTGTGATGTAGTGTGATACATTGTGATGTAGTGTGGTGTAGTGTGATGCATTGTGATGTATTGTGATGCATTGTGATGCATTGTGATGTAGTGTGATGCATTGTGATGCATTGTGATGTAGTGTGATGCATTGTGATGTAGTGTGATACATTGTGATACATTGTGATGTAGTGTGATGCATTGTGTAATTAAGTGTAGGGCAGTATCATTCTGTGTGATGTATAGTCATGGAGTGTAATGCATTGTGATTGATGTAGTCGTGTCCTGTAGTGTCAGTGTCTGGGATTTATTAATATGTACTATGATGCACGGTTCTGTAATTTAATGGAGTGCGCATCTAGATAACGAACGATGACGAACGCTGTAGTGTGACGTTACGTAATGCATCACAAACTTTTATACTGTTTAGCCAAAAAATATATCGTGCATGGTATAGTAGAGTTACAGGTATGATGACGATTGATTGTATAATTTGAAAGAAAATTTCACTCAGACAATTTCTCTATTCTTTTGTAGCCGAAAGAGACATTATAGAGAACTATTTTAATTATGGATATAAATATAATATCATAATTAGCCTACTAAAGAATGAGCATGGTATTGAAATGGATTTACTGACTCTAAAGCACAGACTTAAATCTTACAATGTAACCAGAAGGCAAACAGTTCCGGAGGACCTTGTGCGCGAAATTATTTGGAATGAGATGCAAGGTCCTGGATGCTTGGCTGGTTATCGGAAGATGTGGCACATACTTAAACTAAAGCGTCACATACATGTACCACGAAAACTGGTGGAATGTATTTTAAAGGAACTAGATCCAGAGGCATGTGCTTTGAGAAAGCAAAAAAACTAAAAAGGCGTAACTATTTATCATATGGACCTAATCAGTGCTGGCACATTGATGGTAAGTAACAATTTTATCATTTCGGTTTTCATTAACTTTCTATCTGTTATCATCATTGCGTTCATTGTTATCTACTTTTTATTTCCACATGTAGGATATGATAAGCTGAAGCCATTTGGATTCCCTGTGCATGGTGCAATAGATGGTTTCAGCAGGAAAGTTCTTTGGTTAGAAGTTACGCGGTCAAATGATTTGCCAGAGAGTGTGGCTAAATTTTATTTTGAGGCAGTAAGAAAGAATAAAGCATGTCCTTTGCAGACTTGTAGTGACTGTGGAACAGAGAATGGGATCATTGCAGCAGCTCAATGCTACTTTCGATCACTTGACAATGCACCATTTTGTGGTAGTCAAGCTCATGCATTTGGTACATCTCCATCAAACCAAAGAATTGAGAATTGGTGGTCACATTTTAGAAAAACATGTTCAAGTTGGTGGGTTCAATTTTTCAAAGATCTTTGTGAGGAAAAGCAGTTAAATTTAAATGATGATTTCACTAAAGAATGTTTGTGGTTTTGTTTTAATTGTGTCTTGCAAAATTCATTTAATGATTGTCAGGTTTATTGGAATAGTCACTATATTCGGCAATCTCACCATGAAACTGTTGCTGGAGTTCCAAATGTTTTATATGCAATGCCCGAGGAGTATGGGGCTTTTGATTGCCAAGTGAGAGTTACTGAAGAGAAATTGCAAATAGCTGAGAGCAATGCTTGCCATAATGAATTGTTGTATGATAATACTTTTCAAGATTATTTCCATTACTTGGTTGAGTTGCAAAGATTACAATATCCTGAAAACTATCAGGAAGCATCAGAATTATTTTCACTGCTAATGCAAAATGTTTGTGTTATCTAACAAAAATTTTAAGTTGTCTTAACATTAAAAACATTTTAAGAGAGAAATGTCCTTGAAATATATAATTGATACTGTATTCTTTAAATGAAGCCAAAACCAAAACTTTCTGCAAGTGTAGCATCCATTAAATCTTCAAATTGCTTTGAATCATCAATATGAACTGGGAGTGTTAAGCTTGTAGCACAGGTAGAGGCTGTTGGTCTGCATCTACAACCAGTTTGCATCCATGCTTGAATTTCACAGTGATGGTTTTTTCCATGCCAAGTGGGGTCACTGTTTCAACTCCAGTTATAAATTTGTACAATGCAGACAAAGAATTTGTAGCTCCTTGAGAAACAATACAAAAAGTAAAATGAAGCAAATCATTGGATAAGTGAATCAATTAACTCCTTTAAAATTATTCAGGAAAATTTTCCAGACTTAAAGAACTATTGGAACAATAAGAGCATCTCAAGATTGCAAAATATATAAATGCCTTGATTACGTTACTGAAAAATTACATTTTATATCCACTACTTGCAACCAACTTCAGCAGCTTTAGCAATCGATATTCTCCCTGGTATGTTCCCTGGTCCATGCAATGCTCATTAATCACTATGTATACCTGTTTTAGCTTCAAGAGCTTGAATAAAATCACAAAAAAACTTGTGAATATTGATTTCTAATAACTTTTGGTTGCTCCCTTCAGGACTGCATTCTATCAAAATGTGATCTAGAATATGATCAGCTGTCACTGAAAACTTTTGTGCTCCATCAATGGTAAATAATGGTTCCATAACATTTCTGTATTTGCACAACTCAGTCAAAACCCCATGTAGCTCAAGACCAGATATTGATTGGTCAATAATGGCTAGAGTTGTTGACACATCACGTATCACAAGAGACCTGAAATATGAAATATTAAAATATAAAATAATTTCCTTCGGAGCTATTGCAGCATTTCCAAAGCCATCTTTACATTATGGAATTTACCTAATTATCTTGTAGCTTGTTTCTCTTGACTCCTTAGATGGAATACCACAATAACCAATAACTTGCAAAATATTCATCGTCAAGTCTTCTTCCAGAAATGCAACCAAATCATCATCGTTTGCACAAGACTTGATCTGTAAAATTTCTTATTCAGAAATATTCACTTTAATACACAAACAGAGGTGCAGGTTATAAGCAATTTTCAAAGATTACCTTTGTGTGCATGTACGCTTGATATTCCATGCACTATGTAATTGTACACTTGTGAAGACAACAAACAGGGAGCTGGTCCTCCTTGAACAATTGACGCAGCAATAATTTCTCCTGAAACTTTGAATTCTTCATAGGCCAAGGCTTATACATTCACTACTGGAAATCCTGTTTCGTTGAACAGCTTCCTCTGTGTATAGTTGAGGCATTCTGTACAAAAAAATGTTATTACAGTACTCCAATAAATTAATTTTCTAACATTGCAAGTGTTGTACCTATTTATTCAATATCTTTAGACATTAAAACACTAGTATACTATTTCAAAAATGTTACTGTTATTTACTTAACATTTAGTTAATCTTACCTGTAAAAAATTCACGTCTTGGGCCACTGTATCTATGGCTGGTTCTCCCGCAAATGACACTTTCAGAATACCTTCTGACTTAAAATACTTCTTCAGTCGTGCATCCATATAGTCTTTAAATGCATAATGCCTTCGAATAGTTATTCCGTTGACTAATGTCATCTTTAAATTGCTCTTTAAATTTTCAACAACTTGTTGCACAGTTTCCAACTTATCAGTCACACTTTTAGCTTTTTCACTCAACAAGTTTCCCTCCACAATCTGAATTTCACAGTCTTGGTCATCAGATTCACATTCACCAACAGTATCTATATATGTCTCAGCACAAAGATCGGCATGAACTTCAATTTCATTGCGAGGAAAATGCATCAAACATGTTGGACACTGGTGAGTTGTGACCAAGTATTTTTCAATGCTGCCTGACGTCTATTGCAATGACAATTTAGGTTGAGATGAACATGGGATGTTTGGTGCTGTCAAAGACGTTGTTGACTCCGAAGTAGTTGCATGTTTTGGTGATGGTAACTCTTGAATTCCTAAGTTGCTATTGTCAACATTACAATTAAATGGAACAAACAGAAGCTCTTCGTCTGAATGATTGTCTTCATTGTAACAGGAACAATGTTCAAAATCATCTTCCGGACATAACCAGAAGTAAATTTTACAATAGGGTTTTAGTAGGTCTCGTTTGTATTCTCCAAGGGTGAAAGATGTGTAACTACCTGGTAAATCTTTAACAAGAGTCATATCTTGATAGAGAATGACATAAGTATCATCTCTGTCAAATTGTTTAAAATGCCTTGCATGCTTCTCAACTGCCTTTTCGAGCAATACCTTGGCATTGTCGTCTTCATTAAACAATACAGGAATAGTTCTTCCTTTGATTTTTTCAATCTACCATCTTCAACACTTTCTCTCACCACACCAACTTGCACTTTCACTTCTTGTGCTAACCTAGCTTTTTTATTTGCTGTTGAAATGCTCCTCTTTTTTGTTTTAAAAATTGAGGATTTAGAGCATCTATCTTGTTCTTTTTGTTTTCGAAATTCATGAAAGATCATAGGACGTAAGTCACGAGGCATACTGTCATTACAAATGACGGAAGTTGAGCCACTTGCTGGAGGGCTTTGATTGTCAGATGTGCCAGAGTTGTTATAAGACTGGATAATGTTATTACACTGCACAAGGGAATCTAAAGTTAATAAAAGAGTTAATTTTACACGAATTCATTTCTTATTCTTTAATCTTTTTTATAAAGTTGAAAAATTCTTTATTCCAAAGTCTATTCATTTTAATTTAAAGAGACTGAGATATCAATTAATAGTTTTATAAAATATTTTCAATTAATTTACAAAATAAGCATTTTGAATTAAATATTATCTTGAATTACCTTTTTTTGCAAACCGCATGGCCACAATTATGACAAAAACTTCCGCCTTGTAATATTTTAGTACCACAATTTTGGCAATACATATACAAAATACATATAAAATTCCTTTGCTACAAAAGAATAGAGAAATTGTCTGAGTGATATTTTCTTTCAAATTATACAATCAATCGTCATCATACCTGTAAGTCTACAGCCGCAATAAGGACAGAAGTTGCATGGCATAAAAAGGTTTACATTGCACAATCGACAAGCCGCCATGTTTGATCAAATGACGTCAAACTTCATGTATCACAGAATATAAAGTATACGGAACATAAAGTATACGGAACATGCAACAATTTTCTACGGAACATGTAACATTTTTCTACGGAACGACTACTTTTGTAAGGCAAACTGTCTTTTTATTATTGAATCAATTAATTTACAAAATGAAAGCACGATTTTCTATAGAATGAACGTGTCACTCATGGGCCACCGTAAGAAGGGCCACTTAGCGAAAAATGCGGTCCTAAATTTTAGCAAGATAAACTTGCTACACTAAAAAAAGGTAGCAATCATTGAGTAATATCATTGCGTTCTATAATAACTGGAGCGGCTAACTTTACTGGGGCGAGGACGCCAAAAAAATGGCGGCCAACGGATGTATTTCCGCTGAAATGATCGCTTTGCAGAAAAATAATATTCTCGACCTCCCCCTGGTGTCTATAGCATTGAGTTCTATAATAACTGGAGCGGCTATCTTAAGCGCGGCTTTAGATATCGCATGTTGTAAAAAACATGGCGGATTTCGTCCGTTGCCGCTGAGATTTACCGAAATTGACCGCTTTTCCGAAAATTTCCCAATTTCCCACTCCCTCCTGAGGAAAGAGTGAGGAAAATGTATGTGTATTTGGGATTCGGCAAGCAATTTTTTGATGAAAATGAAGGTAAAAACCTTAAATTCATAACAGCGAGTCAACTGTGGTTGTCAGTTATCTGCTCCTACAAGGATGCATTTATAACTATCGACGAAAGAGCTATATGTCGGCTACACATGTATGAATGCAGATGTGCGTCGTTTTCTTACCAGCGTCAAACTTGTTTGATCGATTAAACTCTTTAGTCAATACAAAAAAGTATATCTTAGTTCATCTCCACGGTTCACGAGAGAGAAGTCAGCTTATTTGTTATCATTGCTATTTTGCTTCTTTTCATGCAATGGGCAATGGCTTTTTTCGCCACAATTGTAGGATTTTTACTTGTTTCTTTAAAAAAGTACATATTAAATCTCTGGATATTTACGGATTTTCTGTAATTGAGTTAAATATGAAATTTCAAAAAGACTCAAGTCTGCATAGGTTTGGTAAATGAAAACAAGCAATATTGTATAGAAATTACTTTAAGTAACCTTTTTGTGATGTTCTGAAGTGCAAGTGCATCAAATACTTGTAAAGTTGTAGCACATTTTGATTTTGTTGTATTGATAGCACACTTTGTTTTGTTTTTCCTATATTTGCAATAAAAGTGCACTATAATTTGAATGATTAACACAGTTTTCACCTCAATAATAAATTTCATAAGCAGTTGGTAGTGCATTTTGTTCTCTGAGTATCCACATCTGGTGTTTTGTTCATACAAGAATGATGAAGTGCAAGTAGATATGTCATAGTAAGGCAATAAAACCAAATGAATTACATACCTATAGTGTACTTTTATGCTAGAAGCTTAAAAGCTTTTTAGAAATTAGAAAGTTATTGTATTATATTACCTCTATATCATCAATCTCATGATAAGAAATAAGAAGCAAAAAAATTGTAGAAAAGCTTTGAAAAGTGAAAAACTTTCTTTTAAAAAGCAGCAATAATGCATATGATAAATCTCCATTCTGTACTCTAATAGGTAAATAAGCTCAAAGTTTTCTTAAAGAAATATAAGAAATATATAAGAAATATACAGTACAGTAACTTTAAAGGTTTCATCACTGAATCTTTAATGCTTCAGTATAGTGCATTAGATATTAGTAACATTCAAACAACACTCAACTAAAATATTTTGATAAAGATATGACATGATTTAAACATTAAGTTACATAAAACCCAATGGCTTATACAGTTTGAAGCTTCACATCTGCATTGAGTCATCATCAATCTCAGTACAAATGTTTACATAGACACAAACTTTATGGCCTTCTATTTTACATGTTTGTGAATTGACATTTCATTAAGCATCAAAACACACACAACCTTCTTGCCATCTTTCTTTGGACCATGAACTTTAACTTCAAAGCATTCAAGGCATCCTTAGTGAATCCATTGTCTCCATCCATAGAATTTGACCATGATTAAATTAAATAACTCTGGATAGGGCAGACAATAAATCAATTATCTTTACAGCATTATCATTTTTTAAGACTCTGCCTGGTCAATAACATCTTCCAGTCATCTTTACTCCTTGATCTTCCCTGCATGTTGTCAGCAAATAGAACATAACAAGCTCTGCTCCAAATCATGGGTACCGTTGGGGCTGATCATTTCTTTTTGATACTTACTCACAGAGCAAAATGTGTGCAGGGTCTTTTTTGCTTTAGGGAAACTATTTTGCAAATAGGTAAATTTACGATTTCATGCATTAACAAATGACAGAAAAGTATGCAGAATTTTATAGACAAAAACAGGAAAACATCAGTATGTTTTGCGTTCAAGTCAATCTTAAAAAATACGATCTTTAATATGTATTTTATGGCTTTTCAAGTGCATGTATAATTGCTTTTCAATCGTTGGCGGACTAACAAAACAAACAACTACCTCACCTGTGAGAAGCGATATGTTCCTTTTTGTGGAAACTACGACATCCAACAATTGAACGATTGAAGTGTTGGCATTATAAAAGAAATGCCAAAAAAGATATCGTCACAGAATATGGAACTAACGATATCCATATTCTGTGATATCGTGTTTGTTTTTGAAAAACTCTTTTTATTTACTATAGACACCAGGGGGAGGTCGAGAATATTATTTTTCTGCAAAGCGATCATTTCAGCGGAAATACGTCCGTTGGCCGCCATTTTTTTGGCATCCTCGCCCCAGTAAAGTTAGCCCCTCCAGTTATTATAGAACTCAATGGTCTATAGTAAATTATAAAGAATTTTTCAAAAACAAACACGATATCACAGAATATGGATATCGTTAGTTCCATATTCTGTGACGATATCTTTTTTGGCATTTCTTTTATAATGCCAACACTTCAATCGTTCAATTGTTGGATGTCGTAGTAGTTTCCACAAAAAGGAACATATCGCTTCTCACAGGTGAGATAGTTGCTTGTTTTGTTAGTCCGTCAACGATTGAAAAGCAATTATACATGCACTTGAAAAGCCATAAGAATACATATTAAAGATCGTATTCTTTAAGACTGACTTGAACGCCAAATATACTGATGTTTTCCTGTTTTTGTTTATAAAATTCTGCATACTTTTCTGTCATTAGTTAATGCATGAAATCGTAAATTTACCCATCTATTTGCAAAATAGTTTCCCTAAAGCAAAAAAGACCCTGTACACATTTTGCTCTGTGAGTAAGTATCAAAAAGAAATGATCAGCCCCAACAGTACCCATGATTTGGAGCAGAGCTTGTTATGTTTTATTTGCTGACAACATGCAGGGAAGACCAAGGAGTAAAGATGACTGGAAGATGTTATTGACCAGGCAGAGTCTTAAAAAAATGATAATGCTGTAAAGATAATTGATTTATTGTCTGCCCTATCCAGAGTTATTTAATTTGATCATGGTCAAATTCTATGGATGGAGACAATGGATTCACTAAGGATGCCTTGAATGCTTTGAAGTTAAAGTTCATGAACCAAAGAAAGATGGCAAAAAGGTTGTGTGTGCTTTGATGCTTAATGAATTGTCAATTCACAAACATATAAAATGGGAAGGCCATAAAGTTTGTGTCTATGTAAACATTTGTACTGAGACGATGATGAGTCGATGCAGATGTGAAGCTTCAAACTGTATAAGCCATTGGGTTTTATATAACTTAATGTTTAAATCATGTCATATCTTTATCAAAATATTTTAGTTGAGTGTTGTTTAAATGTTACTAATATCTAATGCACTATACTGAAGCATTAAAGATTCAGTGATGAAATTTTTAAAGTTACTGTACTGTATATTTCTTCATTATTACAGTTTTTGCTTCAAGAAATAGTTTGAGCTTATTTACCTATTAGAGTACAGAATGGAGATTTATCATATGCATTATTGCTGCTTTTTTTAAAGAAAAGTTTTTTCACTTTTCAAAGCTTTTCTACAAATTTTTTGCTTCTTATTTCTTTTCATGAGATTGATGATATATGGTTAATATAATCCAATAACTTTATAATTTCTAAAAAGCTTTTAAGCTTCTAGCACAAAAGTATACTATAGGTATTTAATTCATTTGATTATATTGCCTTACTATGACATATCTACTTGCACTTCATCATTCTTGTATGAACAAAACACCAGATGTGGATACTCAGAGAACAAAATGCACTACCAACTGCTTATGAAATTTATTATTGAGGTGAAAACTGTGTTAATCGTTCAAATTGTGTACTTATATTGCAAGTATAGGAAAAACAAAACAAAGTGAAAAAGAAGGGTAGAAGTATTAAAACTACAAATGAATTCTAAACACCACTGGAAGCATAAGTGTTTTGATGATTATTTGCATTTTGCCCAATTCATATATCAATACAACAAAATCAAAATGTGCTCCAACTTTATAAGTATTTGATGCAGTTGCACTTCAGTTTGTGCACTCTCCAGATTTTGGATATATTTTAGACAATAAAAATATCTACAATATGGCAAACTTTAAAAAAATTCTACCGTGTAGTTTTTTATTTATTAGGCTTTGTTAACAACCGGAATTCTCAACTTAATAATTCAAGATTATACTACGCGCATTTGAGTCCAACTTTGTCGATGTTTTTCTATCATTTATATTTTTGTGCACTTTCCAAATTTTGGATATATTTTAGACAATATAAAATTCTATAATATACTTGAGTTTGAAAAAATTGTACCGTGTAGTTTTTTAGCTATAGAGCTGTTTGTCGAATGTGGTGCCAACTTCACAGTTTATACCAGACTACATTCTCAAGGAATATTAATCCTTTTATATTTTTGTGCACTCTCCAGATTTTCGATTTGTTATATACAATAAGAATATCTACAATATGGCCAAGTTTAAAAAAATTCTACCGTGTAGTTTTTTATTTACAGGCCTTTGTTTAGCAATGACTTGAAATTCTCAACTTAATTATATAAGATCATATTACGCGTATTCGTGTCACCTATGTAACTGTGTCGATGATTTTCTATAACTTGTTTTTTTGTGCACTCTCCAGATTTTGGATATGTTATATACAATAAGAATATCTACAATATGGCCAAGTTTTAAAAAATTCTACCGTGTAGTTTTTTATTTATAGGCCTTTGTTTGCAAAGTTACCTGGATATAGGAAGTTAATTATATTAGATTATATTACGCGTATTCGTGTCATCCGACTTTGTAGATGATTTTCTACAACTTATTTTTTTGTGCACTCTCCAGATTTTGGATATGTTATAGACAAAAAGAATATCTACAAAGTGCAACTGTGGAACTAAGACAGGACCTGTTATTTTCACACATCGTCGAGACTGTAACACGATTAGCAAAGTGCAACTGTGGAACTAAGACAGGGCCTGTTATTTTCACACATCGTCAAGACTGTAACACGATTAGCAAAGTGCAACTGTGGAACAAAGACAAGGCCTTTTATTTTCACACATCGTCAAGACTGTAACACGATTAGCAAAGTGCAACTGTGGAACCAAGACAGGGCCTTTTATTTTCACACATCGTCAAGACTGTAACAAGATTAGCAAAGTGCAACTGTGGAACTAAGACAAGGCCTTTTATTTTCGCACATCGTCAAGACTGTAATAAGATTAGCAAAGTGCAACTGTGGAACTAAGACAGGGCCTGTTATTTTCACACATCGTCAAGACTGTAACACGATTAGCAAAGTGCAACTGTGGAACTAAGACAAGGCCTTTTATTTTCACACATTGTCAAGACTGTAATAAGATTAGCAAAGCGCAACTGTGGAACTAAGACAGGGCCTTTTATTTTCACACATCGTCAAGACTGTAACAAGATTAGCAAAGTGCAACTGTGGAACTAAGACAGGGCCTGTTATTTTCACACATCGTCAAGACTGTAACACGATTAGCAAAGCGCAACTGTGGAACTAAGACAGGGCCTGTTATTTTCACACATCGTCAAGACTGTAACATGATTAGCAAAGTGCAACTGTGGAACTAAGTCAGGGCCTGTTATTTTCACACATCGTCAAGACTGTAACACGATTAGCAAAGCGCAACTGTGGAACCAAGACAGGGCCTTTTATTTTCACACATCGTCAAGACTGTAACACGATTAGCAAAGCGCAACTGTGGAACTAAGACAGGGCCTGTTATTTTCACACATCGTCAAGACTGTAACACGATTAGCAAAGCGCAACTGTGGAACCAAGACAGGGCCTTTTATTTTCACACATCGTCGAGACTGTAACACGATTAGCAAAGTAGATTTTAGTTTTAAAAGTTGTATTTTAGCCACCCTAACAAGATCATTGACAGTAAGAAAAAAGCAGTGAAGACATAGACATTGTACCGTTGCACAAATCATTATGTTTCGTTCATTTTGTTTATGTAAAACCGGACCGTTGTCGACTAAACACCATTCTTGAATAACCACCGCATATCCAATTTTGTGAGCTTGAATAACTCATGGCATCATGGCGCTTAATCAATCATTTACGGTAAACTGCCGAGCGAAAGTGATAAAGCGTTTTTTCATTTACTTTAGATAAAAAGTATTTCTTGCAATTACTTCAGTCACAGCAAGGTACAATATCATTGGTAATTTCTTAATTATTTACCATGCAAAGTGCGTACAGCCATGTTAAGTGACGTGCTTTCTCTAAAAATAATGATTCTCTTTTGCTAAGAAGATGAAAACTCTTAAAATTTAAAACATATTTCAAACTCTATGGCTGTGAGCAAATTCACGGCTAATTATGTGCGCAATTATAGATAAACATTTAAAAATAGCTTAAACATCTAAGCGATAGTCAGCTGACTCGTGTCCAGATCTTTCGGTCGGTACTTGCTAAAAATCATTTGGACCTGGGTCTGAATGCTTCGTGGTTCAGGTTTTTTCATTCGGACCAAGTCCTCTACGTCGAGCAACACGGCTATGCCAACTTTTCTATATAAATAAAAATTTACCATACATAACTTTATACATGTTCGGGAAAGGCTTAGTATGAATGTAGATAACGAAGCAAATTGTTTAATCAGAATGTTCTTTCAAAAATTACGGCAGTGAGAGCATTTTCGGCGGGCTGCGATTCCCAGCAAACATTTTTCTCAAAATGCAAACACAAGAAAAACACAAAGAGAAGCATCTAACGCAAACAAACTAAGCCAGGCCGCAAGCTTGGTCGTGCTATGTAAATTTCAGATCATTCACAACCATCCAGCTCTTGGGAATCAATTATTTTTACCATGAGCGAACACCGAAATGTTAACATAGCTATGTAAATTTCAGATCACTCACAACTATCTAGCTCTTTGGAATCAATTATTTTTACCACGAGCGAACACCGAAATGTTAACATAGCACGACCTAACTTAACTGCAATGTTAAATAATGACATCGCTTTTCTGAAAGAGTCATTACAAATGTATACACACACACTTAACCAGTCGTATGAAAAGATCAGACAACATACTCCGCAGCTTGAAAGGCTGTTGTGAAGTTTCGTCCTCTGTCACCCGGTTTCAAAGAATTGAAATCAAAGAGACTTGGATTGAATTTATGTATGAGAGCGGCCATTGCTAAACCATCCGCAAAACTTGCGCTGAAGTTAGTGATGTTGACACCCTGCAAATCAAAACACCATACATTTGATCCGTGCCATGAATTAAATACAATAAACGCTAGCCTCAAACAACAATAAATTGTTTTTCGACAAGGGTGTGCCAAAAGTTACATGTAACTTTTCAAACATAGTTACATATAACTTTGATATATGGTTATATGTATAACTTTGACGCACAGTCAGCTACATGTATCTTTTGGCACATATAGTTACAAATAAGTATTGACAACTTGACATATAATTTCAATATGACCTTTCACGCATATTTACATACAACTTTTCACACATAATTATAAATAACTTTTCACAAATAGAGATGCAGTGACCCACAACACAAGTAGTGGCGCAATCGGTAAAAAAGACAAACAAACATGTACAAAATATCAATAAATGGAGAGATGACTAATTTAGGAATATTGAAGAATAGGGTCAGCATTGAAGAATGTGTATCAACCAAGATGCACTGCGCGCTTTTGTTTATGTTTACATCGTTATTTTTTTGAGCCTGCGGCACACTGAATTTAATTTCGTCACTGCGTCGTCTAATGTATCTGAAAGCTTAGCAAATAAATTGATTAACAACTCTATTTTACAGAAATTATTATTTTTTTCTCTAAGTTGCTTAGACTACAACAACAAAATCCGCCATTTTCCCAATACACAAAATGGCCGTCACGCTGTGACAACCATTGAACTAAAATACATGGAACGCTACCTGAAGCAAATAATTGAAGCCAAATCTTACACCAGACACGCGTGTGTAGTGTTTTGAGATTCTCTCGCGGAGTGATAATTTATTGACTACACACGGGTGTCTGAGGTAAAATCTCGCGTGTCTGGGTTGAAATCACGGCTTCAAAAATTATTAAGGTTTTGTATTACAGGTAGCGTTCCATGTATTTTAGTTCACAACAAGTGTATTTTCGTGACAACAAGATTAACGCGCAATGCATCTAGGTTGTTACACATTCTTTAACCCATTTCCTTAAAAAAATACCTCATATTCTTCGGTTTGCTCTTTACACCATTGTAAAACAAGCTGGGAGACAGACATTTGCCGTTTTAGCTGGGGTTTTTTCTTTGGAGGACTGTTGAAATTGGAAAATGATATTAGTTCAATTCGAAGCACAGGTCATAATGTTCGCATAAGGATTGTATGCTTCGGTTGTTAAAACTATTGTCAAGTTAAAGTATTTTTAAAGTTTTTCAAAGTATGCATCCCCCTACCTTCTTCGAGGCACTTTCTCCACGCATGGCGCATTTTGCGTGTTATTCTCTTTGTTTTGTTCAGTTTTTCCAGCAGGAATGACTGTGGCGGGTTTCACTGGCTGCTTCGTTTCTACAATCTTCTCTTTTTGTGCGGCTTGTTGAAAGAATGCCATTCTCTCGGCTGGACTGCCAGAGACATTTGGTTTGATACTTTTCCCCTGCAATACAATCCATCATCAAATATCGACGTAGGGAAACAAATTATCCAGGGGGGGAAAGAATACTTACCCCTTCAGTAGCATTTTCAACTTTCGGATGCATTCTTGTCCGCGAAAGTCTTCGCTGAAAGCGAGCATCTCTTGCCGAAGCTCCGTCGGTTTCGGTTGCACCACAAATAGGCGAACTCACTTTTTCCGCTTTACTGACTTGTAACTTAGCGATTGATCTACGTCGAGAACGCAATGCATTACGGTTAGGATGGTGTATCTCCGCGTCACCTTTTTTCTCAGTTTCGATTGGCCGAATCATAACAGATGTCTGGAATGTCTTTACAGGGGGTCGATTCTCAACTCGATTATTGTTCGAATCTAAATTTTCGAACCTCTTTTTGAAGGCATTCACTCCTCTAACAGGTGACGACGTTCTTGCCGCTTTTTCCCTTTGCATTACATTACTGAGTTTATTCACGAGAAAATTCGTGGACGGAGGAGGTTTGGCTACACTACGTCGCCGACTGCGCAACTCTAGTATATTGCTTCCACTGTCAACTTTTTCCAATGGTTTAGTAAAGTTCGTAAATCGCACTTCCTTGTCTTTAGCCCAGCTAGTTGCCGGAGGAATATTGTTATTTTTACAGTCTTTCATCAGTTCTTGTTCATTTTGTTCGCGTTTTTCTTTCAAAGTGTGCAGTAGAGCCCTGAGTTGTCTTCGCTCGGACAAATCGCGAGTCGATTCCAGCTAAGTAGGAGGAAAAACATGTATTCTAAAAAGCTGATATGGTTATCGCGGTTGGTAATGGTAAAAACAAAGCAAAGATGTTTTGACAAAAGTACATAAGCGACAAAATAAGACCTTTCTCGCGGTTTATTTTAATAACAACATGTGGCTTGAGAAGGATTAAAATTGGGGCAGGATGTGGTTCAATAATCGTATGTTTTAATACGTTTCCTGATAATCTATTTTTTGCTAAACACAAACACAATTGACGTTAATCTTGTGCTGTTTTCAAATTCATCAAAATAGCCCCAGACATCGATAAACCGTAAAATCGATCACACAGCAATTGTATTACAAACGGATAAGCTTTTTCATCTTAAAGCAAGCCAATTTAAACTGATGACTGAGTCGACAGAAAACATCGTGTGAGGTACAACTCCTACGGGAACTAAAAATGCTTTACAGCCGGTAATCTTTTCTCAGCCAGGCATATTGTGTAAAATCTTCAGAATCAAGAAAAATCGTGAAAAAAAATCATTTTTACTTTCGTTGCTTAACTATTTTACTGTCGAGTTTTTACCGTGAGATATTTCACAAATATAATATCGATGATTATGAGAGAACCGTCTAGACAAATCCTTCGCCATTTGCCGACCACATAAAAGGAGATCCGACTTCATGCCAACGTTCATTCCGAAATCGAAAAAAAAAGCGAATGCTGCTGGTGTTCGCTGAGAAAGAAATGTGGTGATTTTACAATCATGCAGTAAGAATAAGCTCTCGTGATTTCAAACAACCGCATTTTGTCCCATAAAAATCCCCTAAATTTCGAAAAAAAGAACAAAATTCGTAATTGATGTCGTGCATCAAAATCTTACAATTTTGAAGTGGTGACATCCGAACAAAGTGTGATGATTCCTTTTGTTGCAATAAAACGTGATTGTTACATGAAAAATATTCGTATCATTTCGTAAAACTCGACTATGTGAAGACACAGGATTCAAGCGTACATCGAAGGACCACGATTCGGAAAGAAGGCATGAACAAGGAAGATATCTGAGGAATTAGTTCGCAAACAAACTTGTCAATCGCAAAGTCGACGGGTTACCCAACACGTAGAAAAATAGCCGTCATATCAAATAATCTCAACCCAAATATTTTTGATGACTCGCATATACATGCAAGGTGTCAACTGCAACAAACTAAAGTTATTGAAAATATTTGTACACGCAAGAACGCTGTATTTAAGAGTGTTCGTTTTCTTTACTGCAGACTGCACTGCCATAAATCAGAACAGACAATGGCTTTGTATGTCTGGTTTCGCACGCTTTCCAAATGCCAATGTGACTGTTGGCCTTTTTTCTAAGAGTTTCTCTTTGTTAAAGTGAATTATTGTACCCCCTGAAGAGCAAAAGTAAAGCGGATATTACCAAACAGCGAACAAAAATGGCGTCATGAGTCGACTGGAATGATTGAAAAACCTGTTGCACGCACTCATCACCACATTCTGATCATACAGCAGTCGTATTTGCAAACTGTTTGCCACAACAAACGTATTCACACCTATTCAACTCATTTATCGTAGATGTAAGAAATAACAAGCAAACCCCGACAATTTAACGAGGAGACATATGCCCCTTGCGTGATACAAAAATGCGAATGTGGGACGCTGGACAAAACAGCGTCCCACAAAACAGACGGTTTGCAGACAACACAACGTTTTAAATCCCCACGGTTACCAAGAACTTTGGAAAAGCGTCATTTTTTTCGACGATTCGGTTTATGTCGTTTTCTCCGGTCTTATTACGAACGCCGGTTGTTCAGGAAGCAAATTGTCGCAAAACGATTGTAATCATTATTACCGACAAATTTGAATAGTTAAAGAAAAGCGTCGCAGCTTTGTAGCGAAGCAACACAATCATCGAGTAAGCTCTTCTAATTTTCTTGCCTAGTAATGTTGTATATGCCTAAACTGTTTAATATTGATCAATAAAGTTGCAGTGACTCAAATTTGCAAGGACATATCGATGATTAAATGAGGTGTTTAACATAATTACCCTCATTTTTACACGACTTAATGTACAACTCTTGCTGCACGTTATCAAATTCGTTGCAAAACAGAGAATATGCAAACGATTGGCGTTCCTTACAATTACATCGAATCAGTTTGTTCATGTACACATACAGCAAGAAAACAAACACAACCAACTTCGTTCCATTAAAAGTAATCTTTAGGCAAACACGTAACGTCAGAATCTTCCTAATGGCTCGTTAGCTATTGTTGCAAGTTTAGCAAACAAATTACAACGGTGACGCAAACGGACATGAGAATGGATACTGAAACGCAGTTAGCTAAACCGCATAATTCCATCTAACCTGTGACATCTTCATAAACGCCGATGTACGAACGGTCACTGTCATGAAAGGGGTGCAGCAGTAGCATTTACACGAATAAAGCCTTTCCTTGACCAAGCACGAATATCGATGATTTACAAAACTTTACAAATCATTTCATACCTCGAGGTTTTAATAATCAAAGATTATTGCAGTTTATCTGTAACCTAAGACCGAAGTAGCGCGAGTGATCTGTCTTATTGTTATAAACAAACTTCAAAACGTATCAACATTTGAAGTGGATCTTTTATATCAAACCAAACTGTGTATGATTTCTCAATCGGCTATATACATTGGCGAGTGTTTGTGCTGGTCTTCAAAAAAGGGCAATTGATAGCAATCAGATTTGCTATGAAGTCAACAGGGCAATAAAATGCTTGTCTTTGACAGCGAATACCAACAATACCACAGCTGTTCGTTGTTTGCAGCGCTTTGCGAATACATTCAAACGCATTTCTTGCGTTTAACAATCAACACGAATTTAAAATTGAATAAAAACAACGACTTTACCTTTCGCCTCAGTGTCGCTTCTTCAGCTTTAAGGTCGGCCAATTCGTTCGAGCCCATCCTCTTCGCCGTAACTATGTTTTGAACGCGAAAAAACAAACGCAGAAATGTCAGTCCCAGAGAAAAATCTTTGAAAGGCTTGGCGGATGCGACCGTGCACCTCAAGACGATACGACGACTCAAGCACAATTACGGGAACAATGCTTTGCTTTATGATGTACTTCACGCAAGATAAGATGCTTTTAAATGCTCGCTGGTTAATTATTATGTAAATTATGTCATCAGATTCGTGTGACATGAAGGACGAGGACCAGTAGGACGAGTGCCATAAAACGTTGCTTCATTACCTTACGAATATCTAATGTTCATAAAACCAATAATATGGTCTTTAATGTAATAAACATAAGCGCTGGCATACATAAAACTACTTTTTTTGTGTGTCGAATGTATTGCATTCCCCAATCGTTATCAGTCTTTAAGACGTCATCTCATAAGGTCAAAGGCTCATACGTCACACTGATCATGGCATGCGACTCAGACTAGTACAGCAATTAGTTAATGATGTAAACAGTAAATGGTATATTTTATTTTCAAATGCAAGATGTTAGTCTGCCAGACGACAAAATATCAGCTCCATCATGTGCGTTCGCACGATGCAAACAATAATTCGTCCAAAAACATTCGCAAACATGTTCATTGATGACGTCTATCGGAACATATATAATTACGTCATCATGAATAGACGTTGTGGGCGATTATTGTGTTGAAATAATGGTTGAAGTACGCCGCGACTTGGAGGGAATTTAATAAAATAGCACAGGAAACTCATACATGGCGATCTAGTTGGAAAAAAAACACGATGTTTATTTTCAAGGACTTAATGGTGGTTGGTGTGTGCATTTGCTATACAAACATTTCGTTGAAATCTTATCTCATACACGAAAATTAAACGACTTATTTTCTTTAACTTTATTTTGTTTGTTTAGGAAGATGAGCGTCGAAGTCTTCATCGTCAAAGAATTCGTCGAACAGGAAGAGCAAGGGGGGAGAAGGAGGGATATTCTAAAGAAAAATCCACGAGGTAACAACGTGCCAATGAATTTTCAAGGCATTCTACGAAAAGCTTTCCCTTCCAAGACAAATACAATCCTTATCGCATTTTAAACCTCTCCAGTTACTATGCGTAACACGACGTCCACGATTAAATTAGCTCACCTGCGCGGACGTTGTTTATTTGACAAAAAAAAAATAATAAAAGAATTTGATGAAAATTCCTATCTCTTCCCTCGCGCATGTCAATCAATGCCGTTCAAACATCGAAAAGCCATCTGCGTAATAAGCATTAATCAATCACAGCCATTCTATAAAACTTTGCACGTTTTATTATGCAACAGCTTTCGGGGTTTGATGTAGATTAAATCCGCCGCCAGTAAAACGCGGACCGTCTATACGTTGAGGTACAAACGAGGGCATCTTCGCTTGCTGTATTGTTCTTTCTTGTTCACTATATGGGACACATAGGATAACAATGGATCACACTTTAGGGAAACGTAGGACAACAATGGATCATACTTAAGGGAAACATAGGACAACAATAGATCATACTTTTGAGACACATAGGATAACAATGCATCGCACTTTACGGACACATTGGACAACAACATATTTTGGGGACATATAAGAAAACAATGGATCACACTTTGGGACACATAGGACAACAATGGATCATACATTAGTGGCAAATAGCACAAGAATGGATTACGCTTTGGGATAGATTTTATCAAACTAGAGAAATTTTACAAGATGTCTACCCCCACCTTCAGGAAAATAAAAACGTATTTGTGGTGGGGAAACTAACCGAGCTTGTTGTTCTTTCCTCTTCTGCATGTAATACTTCTTTTTCACTTCCTGTAATTCTTTCGACAGCCTTTCAAGTTCATATTGATACTCCTTCACTTGTACCTCATACATATTAAGTTCTGACGCCATGCTTTTTAACTGCTTCGTTTTATCTTTTAATGTGTGTTGATAAAGTTGTACTTGCTCCGCGACCTCGGGTCCTGGCTGGCGTGCAAGGATCTGTTTGAGTTCCATGTAAAGTTTTTCCTTCTCCTGAATAAGAAGTTCGTTCTCGACCACCTTAAGATAAACAGCAAATGAAACAAGAAGAGAAGAACGCCGAACTCTGAATATGTATTTAACACGTCTACTACCTCTTCAGTCTTCTGGATCAGTCTTCTTTGTAACGTTTGAATTTTCTGAATCATTTCATAAGTGCTTGGATCACTTCCCTGCAAATGTTCGAAAACATTAAAGTAGAAACTGAAAGTGTTATTAAATAGAACAAAGAGACCTCTAACTTCCTCCAACGATGGATGTTCATGGGATTCTCTAACTCCTCTTCAAGAGCTTTACAGCGCGTTCTTTCACGAAGTAATTCACGTTGAGTGTGATACACCTCACGTCTAAAACACAGATCATTATTGGTTGTGAGGTTAGTTCAAGGTCTAAAACACAGGTTCTCATTGATTGTGATGTTAGTTCAATGTCTAAAACACAGATTCTCGTTGGCTGTAAGGCTAGTTCAATGTCTAAAACACAAATCACCATTGGCTGTAAGGTTAGTTCAATGACTAAAACACAAATCACCATTGGCTGTAAGGTTAGTTCAATGACTAAAACACAAATCACCATTGGCTGTAAGGTTAGTTCAATGTCTAAAACACAAATCACAATGGCTGTAAGGTTAGTTCAATGACTAAAACACAAATCACATTGGTTGTAAGGTTAGTTCAATGACAAAAACATAAAATCACATTGGCTGTAAGGTTAGTTCAATGACTAAAACACAAATCACATTGGTTGTAAGGTTAGTTCAATGACAAAAACACAAATCACATTGGCTGTAAGGTTAGTTCAATGACTAAAACACAAATCACCATTGGCTGTAAGGTTAGTTCAACGCCTAAAACACAAATCACATTGGCTGTAAGGTTAGTTCAATGACTAAAACACTAATCACATTGCCTGTAAGGTTAGTTCAATGTCTAAAACACAAATCACATTGGCTGTAAGGTTAGTTCAATGACTAAAACACAAATCACATTGGCTGTAAGGTTAGTTCAACGCCTAAAACACAAATCACCATTGGCTGTAAGGTTAGTTCAATGTCTAAAACACAAATCACCATTGGCTGTAAGGTTAGTTCAATGACTAAAACACAAATCACATTGGCTGTAAGGTTAGTTCAATGACTAAAACACTAATCACATTGGCTGTAAGGTTAGTTCAAAGTCTAAAACACAAATCACATTGGCTGTAAGGTTAGTTCAATGACTAAAACACAAATCACATTGGCTGTAAGGTTAGTTAACGCCTAAAAAACAAATCACATTGGCTGTAAGGTTAGTTCAATGACTAAAACACTAATCACATTGGCTGTAAAGTTAGTTCAATGTCTAAAACACAAATCACATTGGCTGTAAGGTTAGTTCAATGACTAAAACACAAATCACATTGGCTGTAAGGTTAGTTCAATGTCTAAAACACAAATCACATTGGCTTTAAGGTTAGTTCAATGTCTAAAACACATATCACATTGGCTGTAAGGTAGTTCGACGCTTAAAACACATATCATTGTTTGTCGTGAGGACAGTTTCAGTATTTAAATCAGTCCTAGTCACTCCTGCCATGTTGTACCAAAGTTGTATGTTCACAAGAAATTCACCTGAGATCTTCAATATTAGCAACATTTTTTGTCAATATTCCCTTCTCGCGTCTCAGTTTCTTTATTTCTAACTTCAATAGTCTGATATCTTCTAATCTCTGTCTGTACTGAATCTCGCCTGCAACAAACAAAATTTAGAAAAGAAAGCTATGCGATCGCGATGCATTTCGAATACCTTTGTTCAAAGTCGATTGCTGGATCTTGATCTTCTCGTAAAGAAGCGCTAATTCATCGTTGCGACGAACGAGTTGAGTTCCAAGAATATCTCTTTCGCTAATCACCTAGAACATTGGAGAATGGTGATGAATTTTTTAATCAAATATGATTTAATTCAGGGATGGATTCGCGATGGTTATGTGGTTTGGATTAGATTTCGGTGACTAGTAAGATTTCAAAGTTTTCCCATAAATTCTGTTAGCATTTTATTATGATTGAGAGATTTTCGGAAGAGTGCCGCATTGAATACTAATCACAAATCCACATCCAATCCCTCCACTGAATCCATGCCCGATTTGATTTTTGCAACATAAGCACGTGGCCAAAACCTGATCAAGTTCTTTTTTCTGTCTCATTCGTTCTTGATCCGCTTCCGATATGATCTTCAATAATTTTCTTTCTTCCGATTCCTGTTGTTCGATGTACGCCTTGGACTCCGCAGCCTCTTGCTTCATTCTCTGTAGCTCGGCCTTTAACGTGTCCTTTTCCTTCTCGACGCGTTGATGTTCCAAATGTTCCTTGACGAGCGCCGACTCCTTCGCGCTGATCTCTTCTTTCAATTGATCGATTTGATGATTCATTATCTTCAATTTTCGCTTCATTTCGGTGATTTCATCTTGCGACTCGATCAGGTTTTTACTGTACAAGTTTCTGTCGCTGCGCACGGCTTCGTAAAGATTCTGGAAATGAGAACATCTCGAATATGAGAAACGCTTCGACAACGTCTTTTCTGATGCACAAATAAAAAAGCTCCACTGATGGCGGAAATATCGACTGCCGTGTGCGATTCACGCCAAAATCAAGGGATTTAAACATAATTCTATATGTCATATTACCTGTTGTTGTTTAAGTTTAGTTTCTGCTTCTGCAATTTTTTTCTTATAGTCAAAGATCTGCATTTCTCTAACTTTCACATCCTCCATATGCTGTAGAACTTTCTGCGTCAATTCTCCAGCTTCGTTGATGTATCGGTCACGTTCCTTTTCAAGTTGGAAAATTATCTTTCGCTGTTTCTGAGCTTCATCTTTGTAGTTCTGTTAAAAGAATGTTCGTTTTCGTCAACTTGTGTATTTTTACCAACACCCAGTCTACTAAAAACACATCATCATCTTTACCGACACCCAGTCTACTAAAAACACATCATCATCTTTACTATCACCCAGTCTACTAAAACACATCATCATCTTTACCAACACCCAGTCTACTAAAAACACATCATCATCTTTACTATCACCCAGTCTACTAAAAACATATCATCATCTTTACCAACACCCAGTCTACTAAAAACACATCATCATCTTTACCAACACCCAGTCTACTAAAACACATCAGCATCTTTACCAACACTCAGTCTACTGAAAACACATCATCATCTTTACCAACACCCAGTCTACTAAAAACACATCAGCATCTTTACCAACACCCAGTCTACTAAAACATATCATCATCTTTACCAACACCCAGTCTACTAAAAACACATAATCATTTTACTATCACCCAGTCTACTAAAAACACATCAGCATCTTTACTGTAAAAAAGATAAAACACATAATCATTTTACTATCACCCAGTCTACTAAAAACACATCATCATCTTTACCAACACCCAGTCTACTAAAAACACATCAGCATCTTTACCAACACCCAGTCTACTAAAAACACACCAGCATCTTTACTAACACCCAGTCTACTAAAAACACATCAGCAACTTTACTATCACCCAGTCTACTAAAAACACATCATCATCTTTACTATCATCCAGTCTACCAGAAACACATTATCATCTTTACTATCACCCAGTCTACTAAAAACACAACATCATCTTTACCAACACCCAGTCCACTAAAAACACATCATCATCTTTACTACCATCCGCATCAACATCTGAAATCACAAGTACTTATCGAGAACTCCTTCTCGTTAAAGAAAACCCCTGTACAATATAAGAAGAAAAAAACGAGCCAGAAACATTTCATCACTTTTACTTTGACACACAAAACTTATCATCTTGACCATTACCAAGTTCACGAAACATGTCATCATTCTACTATAACTATAACCCAGTCCACCACACAGAGTCCATTATTCTGCTATAACTATAACCCAGTCCATCACACAGAGTCCATCATTCTACTATCACTATAACCCAGTCCACCACACAGAGTCTATCATTCTACTATCACTATGACCCAGTCCACCACACAGCGTCCATCATTCTACTATCACTATAACCCAGTCCATTATACAGAATCCATAAGAAATGCGTCTTTATGTAAACTATCCTCCAGTTCATCAAAATTACGTCAACCGAACATACTTGGATTTCCTGCTCAAGATTTTTTCTCGTTTGTTCATTTAATCGGACTAACCCAAGTTGTTTTTGAGTGGCACTTGCAGCTTTTAAAAGATTCTAAAATAAAAAAACAGGCTCAACCGTCAACACACTCAAGATCATTTAATTAGCGTTAAATCATGTGAAGTCACCTTGTTCAAGATATCTCGTTCCCTCACGAGATCGTCGATGACTTTTTTATCAACTTCGGCCTGTTTCTTGCTTGCCTCGAGCTCTAAGGATGAAAAAAACGTTCACAAATCACAGAATGACGCGATGAGTAGCGACGGCAGGATTTTACCTAGGGGAGAGAGGGAGAGGAGGAGGAGGGGGAGGGACACAAAACAAACACTCCGAAAATGTCACTAACATATGTTACGCACTGTTTGATGTCAATGACATTTTCTAGTAACATATGCTGTATGAAGACCTTGGTATTGAAAATAATCGGGGGAGGGGGGTGAGTGGGAGGGAGGCAGTCACCATCACCCTTACCGGCGCCACCGGATGCTACACCAACTATCATATTTTAAAACCTGGCGACAACAACCAAACCTTTTTCCAGTCCACTAATTTGACTTTTCAAAATTTCCTTCTGCTGTTCAACCTCCATTTTCTGATCTTCGGTATTTCGTAATTTTCTTTGAATCGTTTCCCTCAATTTCGTAAGTCGTAACGTTTCGTGTTTCATCGCGTTGATTTCGTCTTCCTTCGCTTTCAACTCCAACATTTTTTGCCCGTTTTCGGCAGCCAACTGATCGCAGCTCAGCAACTGACTCTCGAAGTCTTGTTGAACTTTCGTAAGCCGCGTATTCAGGAGATCATTGTCCTTCGTGGCTTTCTCGTTCAAGATCTGCACGATTTTCAAGGGAGAGAATTCATTGAATAGTCACTATAGCTTAGTATTAAGATACTCGTACGATATCCATTTTTATACAAAAAGCCGGGTAATCTAAATGCCGGATACAAAATACTGAGTGATCCAATTTTTGCAACGGCCTTTAGGAATGTTAACGTGGACGATCGAAAAAAGGAATGCAACAAACGACTGCTGAAAAGAGGAGAACTCAACACGATTTGATAGTATACAACATACATAAAGATTCTGTAGGACCTGTTCATATTTGGTAAGACCTATTCTGTTCTACATGCTCTCAACTAAGGGCGTGGGAAGATCGATAATTTGAAGGGGGGGAGGGGGGATATTCGTGTATGCATGATATGCTGTATTAGATTTCTTTGAAATCTACGGCTTCTACGCCCGTATTTTTAAAGCTCGCTCATTCGCACCGAGTGAATAAGACACTAAGTCAATGACAAAGGTATTTCAAATAATGCAACCGGTGGAATGAAACTACTTTCTTCGAATGAAGCGGGGAAACCAAACTCATTGTGTGTGAGCGAGCTTTAAAGAATTCGGGCGCTATTATTTTCTGGGGATTACGACATCCATATATGTGAATCATAGATCGTCTTACTTTCATTCTCATTGAATTAGTCTCTTAGAATTTACGTCGAACCCAGGCTAAAAATTATTTTTCAATCCAAGTCAGCAATTCTCAGCCCGGGCTGGCCTGAAAACAAAGCCCAAGACAAGCCAACCCGGGCTCACATGAAGAAATGAGCTAAATTGAACGCTCTAACACCTTGCTAACCCGGGTCGACCCGGGTCCTGAGAAGGGTGCTCCAGTTGGTCAATTGACCCGGCTATCGTGTAAGCGTTAATATGAATTTATTAGTGGACGGGTTGACCCGAGTTGACCCAGGTAGACCCGGGCTGGCTGTCAACCCAGGGTCGTGAAAAAATTGTGTTAGCGTTAAACGTGCATAGATGTACATTGTCTAGGTTTGTAGAGTCCCACCGAGAACGACCGTTGGTGTCGATGTAATTGAGATGGAACGATACTCCGAGGTTCAGACCATTTAATTTATTTCGACTCGCTATTACATTACCCTCTGCTCCTTGAGTTGTTGTTCCAATCTTGAGATATCATCCATAGCCTTGTACAGCAGATTCTGTTTTGTTTTCAGTTCCCCACTCTTGTTCTCCAAGTCGGTTCTCGCCGCTTTGAGTTCTCGCTCCATTTTCTCTTTCTTGCGACTCTCGCGTTGGGCTTCGTTGTTTTTTACTTGAATGTCCTCTTTCAACTTCAATGAAACATGTCGTTCATTGAGTATATAATGAGCAGGAGTGGGAGGACTCGGGTTTAGAGACTGGGAGGGGAGGGAGGGTTAGGTGTGCGGAGACTTAATTTGCATGATCAAAAAGCGCGGTATTTAATCTGCGCAGTCAACTAAATCTAATTGGGCAATTTTCTGAAATTGAGCCTGCATGGAAGCATTTTAATACAGCTTGCATCAGTTGTATGATGTGTTATACAATGTTAGTACGTCTAACTCATTTTGAATTGGGATTTTTGGATGTAGTATTTCATGTATTTTTCATTATTTTGTCATATCAATGCTCACCAAAGTGTGGCAATTGTCAAAAAAGGCCTTAGTAGAAATAGGCCTTAGTTAATTTTTTGGGTCAACCACGTGACGTAGCACATTTTGTGGGTCACCCACGTGACGTAGCACATTTTTTGGGTCAGCCACGTGACGTAGCACATTTTTTTGGGTCACCCACGTGACGTAGCACATTTTTGGGTCACCCACGTGACGCTGCCTTCGTATCTTTGAGAAGATCAGTTGCAAACTTTAAACGCATGTTTTCAGATGGGGTCACCCTTAGACACAATAAATATCCAACACTTTAGGAGGTCTTTCATATTGTGTATGATTGGAGCGAGAAATAACTGCGGAATGAAAACTTAAATGTCCAACGAATTACAGGAGAATCAACAAAACTTTTTTATAAGATTTTTTAAGAAGTTTTTCAAGTAATAATGTCTCTGAAAAACTCTCTGCCAAACAGAGATTAAATTTCTTCATTGCTTAATTGCACAAGCAGCAAAGTATTGTCTGAAAAATCCAAACTTTAAATTTCAAAGAGGGGAGAGGGGGGGGGTTGAGCCACCCCTCAAACTCTCCAGGTTTACACCTCCGAAAAATGAAATTCTACATTATGAGAGGAAGACAGTGTTTATATGTGTACCCACCTCAGCAATTTTCATTTCAGCTTCACCTTGGTCTCGCTCAGCATGTTTTTGTTTTTCCAGCAAGAGCGAGAGCTCGTCACGAAGCTAAAGAAAAATTTCCAGGTTAGTCCGCATTATTTCTTAAGAAAATATGAACATAAATACAAGAACAAAATATGAACATAAATAAAGTTTTTACTTTTGTAATTTCTTGTAATTTTTCATCTCTTTCTTTTGTGAGATCATCCTTGATTTTCAACAATTCATTTATACTAAACAGAACAAAATGATCAATTACATTGTGTAATATCCAGCATATTATATAATGTCCATTACTACCTATGATCCTGACCCATTGACAACCCAGCACCTTGTTCAACAAGTTTACTTAGATTTGATATTTCAAGCTTCAAAGACTGAATTGTTTCCCGAGCTCGTTGCTCTTTATCGTGAGCTGCATCAACCATCTTCCATGCTTTTTCGATTTCCTAAAAAGCAATTATTTATTTTGAAATTTCAGCAGGAAAAACCGTGTGTCCCTTTCATCTCTTACCTTCTTCAGAGATGTAATGGTATTTTGGTCTTCCTGTGAAAGTTTCAAAGCTGTTTGCACTTTGGCAGCGTTTGCAACAATCTCGCCATTCAGCTCGCGGCATTTTTGCATGAGTCGCTTTTCGCTTTCGTGGGATTTCTTCAAGGCACGATGAAGCTTCTCGTATTCAACACGAAACTTGTCCAGACTTTTATCAGCCATAAGCTCTCCCAATACCTACAACAAGATAAATGAAGTCTCGCATCGTCACAAAATTATCTTTCAAACCATTTCTGCCACTTCGATGAACTTATTCAATAACCTCCTGAAAATCGCGCTCCAAAACTTCAAAGGCATTTTCTTCAAATGCTGGCTTCTCTGTAGATTTCTATAAACAAGCGAAGAATAACGTTTTTACCAATTACGATTTCTACATCAGTGACTATAAACTCCAGCGAAAAGAAATATTTGCAGATTTACGTGGCCTTAATAAAGAACGTAATACAATAAAGCTCACCTCCGTCATTTTAAAAGAAAACTTGCGATTATTTTCGTATAAATATAAAAATTTTATTCGTATTGCGTTCAACCATCATTATAAAAATAAACGTTGCCTTGACAACAAAAGGGCCTTACTTACGATACTCCCATTCGCGGGTAGACTTGGGGTGGACCACAGATCTAATAATACACTAGATAGTGCAACTGACATAAAAGTTGAAGCCGGGCAAATTTACTTCCGGAGCCCCAAAGTTGTGAGAATCAATATGGCGTTGTATTAGAAAATATGTGGTCCAAGTTAATATCTCGCAATTATTAGCAAATCGCGGAGGTTGCATCAACTTTTTTGCACTATTTATGAAATAAATCATTGTGACTATAGTTTGTAAGAAAAAAATTGCAGAATACGCCAATACATCGCCGTAAAATTGATTTCAAGTGTAGCTCGATTTGAAAGCATCAGCAGCGACTAAGGCTTAAGTACTGGAATTTACACATCTAAATATCGTATCACAGCACAATCTGCGATAGTGTGGCTTAGTTCGTGTGGCAAACACAGCGATATCATACTCGATCTATGGATGTATTGTAATAGAACAGGCATATTACAAAAATCAGTCTGAAATTGACACATGTTACAAGCACAAATTAAATATTTTGCTCAGAATAAATAATTTAGGTTTGATATTTTCAATAACAAGAATGTGTAGAAAGTTTTATATGCATATACATGCCTGAATGGTAAAAAAGACAATAAAAATGTTGAAAACAGTAGCATAACATCACCATAACAGTACATTAAGCACTGTGGGCAGTGGCCATATAACCCACTGGTTTAGACTATGTCAATACATTGTTTATATATATGTGTAAAACACAGTCAAGACTACAAGTCTGGTGACTCTTCTTGCTTTAACAAGTAAATATTTTCCCCGTGTTGGACAGAGTGTATTGTATCAACCTGTGGTATCAACAGTTTCACAAGTGACCTGCTATTTTATACTTCACAAAAAAATTTGGTGTAGCAGAGGTAGACTCATAATATAAAACAAATTCCGAAGAAGCAAGACAGACTCTATGACATAGACAAGCAAGACAAGCAAGACATAGACAAGACATAGACAAGCAAGACATAGACTCTTTGAGGTAGACTCTTCACATTCTTTCTGTAAATAATTTCTGAACGTATTAATTACTCACATCTTGACATAGCTATATTCGTTTGCCGACCAGAAACACCAGAAAAATGCATTTCTGGTACAATAATCCAGTGCAATATTTAATTATGTACAGTGAACAATATACTTTATATAAATCGTGAAAAATCTTTCAAACTGTTATCTCCAACTCGTTTTACTTAACAATAAATATCGGAAGATAATTCTACGACGTTCGATTGAACATTTTGTGGCAGATTGTGCTGTGATACGATATTTAGATGTGCAAATTCCAGTATCTTAAGCCTTCGTCGCTCCTGATGCTTTCAAATCGAGCTACACTTGAAATCAATTTTACGGCGATGTATTGGCGTATTCTGCTATCTTTTTCTTGAAAAACTATGGTCACATTGATTTTTTTCATTAATAGAGTAAACCAGTTTATGAAACAGTCGTGACTTGCAAGTAATTGCAAGATATCAGCATTGACCAGATATTTTCTAATACAACGCCATATTGATTCTCACTACTTTGGGGCTCCGGAAGTAAATTTGCCCGGCTTCAACCACCACTTATGAAATGTAAGCCGTTGCACTATCTAGTGTATTATTAGATCTGTGGGGTGGACATGCACTGGCATCAATGAAACATAATAGGATACATACGATTATGTAGTTATGTTTTCAGTTGTTGATACAAGGTTTTCATAAAAGTAATATGATACATAAATTACAACAATAGAAAGAAAATAAGATAAATTAATGGGGAGCGTCCGAGCGTATTATAAACTAAATATTGTATTGAATTTAAAAACTTGAGGTCAGGGTTAGTTTAGTTAATGTGGAGTGCTTCTTTGATTTTAAGGGTGAATGAGGTGTCGGCAGTGTCGATGATTTTGAAGCAAGAGGGTGAATAGTTGGTTTTACATGAGTGAGATTTAAGAAAGTGTCGGTAGATATGAGAGTTTTTGTCTGTTGTGGTATGTTCCTTGATTCTGGTGGATAAATGGCGCGAAGTTTCGCCAATGTATCGGGAATATTCCCGAAATTACAGGTTTTTTCATAGGCGGCCCAAAAATCACTAAAATAGTTTAAGCAAACGATAAATTGCGGCGCACGGTCTGTTACGATGGAATGGGAGAGAGTTCTCATTTGCCTAAACTATTAAAGTGATTTTTTGGGCCGTCTGTAGCTTTTTATTTTTCCCATGTTAGTTGAACTAACTGTTGAGCCTTCTTTCACAATAAACGAAAATGCCACGGGAGTCATACACAATTTTTCACTTCTTCCGCATTCCTTCTTTCTCTTGCTCTAAACATATGGCATGGAGCACTTTCTTCGCATTGGTTGCGAGCTTAATATATTGGAAGTCAAAAATTGGAAGTGATTATCATTTTAGGGATTTTTGTTTTTTTGCAGTTTTAATTTTCAAGCAAATGCGTAAAAATTCGAGTTCCATTACATCTTCCCGTACAAATTTCCTCATTTTTTAAATAAGTGTGTGATTTGTGAATTGCAGAAAAATGATCTTAACGGTCACCAATCAACCTTCAATGTACCTACAAATAACTATTGCGTTTTTGGTCGACGTCCCAACCGTTGTTAACCAGAATTATCGTAGGTATATAGCGTGATTTGTGAACTGCCGAAAATTAATTCAAACTGTCGCCACACAAACTTCGATGTACCCCAATGATGTACCCACAAATTGCCATAGCGTTTGTGGTCGACATGCAATCACTGACCACAAAAATCACCATCCCGCGTAACTGGGTTCATTGGTCAACAGTCTGTTTCTGTCGTTCGCAATCATTCGTTTCCACAGTAAGCACAATCTACAACGTGGAAGCAATGCTTTAGCAAAGAAGCCGACGGAAAATTTTCATGTAAATCATTCACCTCCTTTCTCTGGCTCGCTTTACGAAGTACAAAGAGGTTGCAATTCCTACTATGGCACCTGCCGTGATGAGAATGATTAAAAACACGCCAGGATAACAAGACTAAACAAAATACACCAAAAAATGTCAAAATGGATCAACATGGATCGGTACAGATCGTATTCTCGATGAAATTATCAAAATCGAATCATTTAAGAAATAAAAGATGTTTGCACAGTCTTATGCAAACCGAGGAGACTTTTGGGAGAACTCAAGTTGTGATCAGTGCAAGCCTAAAGGCTAATTTATACTTCATGCGACAAGTGTCGCGCGCCATGTCGCATGAGGAATATGACGTCATATCACCAAAACGGAAGTAACATTTGACGTAATTTCACCGTATTGTCGCACACGTGCGCCTCGCAAAAAGTTGTAACGTCGCAGACATTTTGTCGGATTGTCGCGCAAGATAATTGGCTATCTAATAACACGTGGTTAGTCATTTGTGTTTGTCTCTACGGTGGCTCACAAGGGCCACCACACAAAATAAAAATATTAATACACACACAAAATACATTATACACACACAAAATAAAAATACACACACAAAATACATTATACACACACAAAATACATTATACACACACAAAATAAAAATACACACGCAAAATACATTATACACACACAAAATAAAAATACACACGCAAAATAAAAATACACACACAAAATAAAAATACACACAAAATATGATTGCGGGCGCTTGCAGTGTCGGATGGTCTGACTATCGTATTATCAGTTTGTAATCAGATATGTGTAATTCACTAATTGTGATTTTAACATGTGGTCGACTTGTCGTCGTATTTAACTGTTTCAACTGCGAAACATTTGAAATTACATTTGGAAAGGAATCGAAAGCAAGCTCTTGCATAATCCTGGCATAATTATGTTTTGTGCCAACTGTGGTGCACAATCACTTGACGAAGCTTCTTTTTGTCACAAATGCGGTGTGCGTTTGGGAAGATTAACTTCTTTGCCAAAATGTTCTGAAGCATCAATGACGAGTAGCGTCTCTTCAAGCAGTTGCCCTTCGAGCTCTGCTAGTCCGTTAACTTCAACTTCAAGTACCCCAAAGCTGTTTATAACTGGTACAGGACAGGCTAGACCAATAATGTCCTTTCAAAGGACAACACATTAACCTTAATTTTAACCAGAATACGGGGAGCAATATCGTAAGCAACTTTGAAATAATTGATCACAGTGAAATCAGTGAATTTTGTTATGTACTCTGGAAGTTGGAACCATTAGAACTTTGAAAACAAAAACGATCAATTACGAGCAATTCCGAGTAAGCCGACACTGCAAGCGCCCGCAATCATATTTTGTGTGTGTATTTTTATTTTGTGTGTGTATTTTTATTTTGCGTGTGTATTTTTATTTTGTGTGTGTATAATGTATTTTGCGTGTGTATTTTTATTTTGTGTGTGTATTAATATTTTTATTTTGTGTGGTGGCCCTTGTGAGCCACCGTAGTCTCAGCATATGTTCATCACAAATATGGAAAAATATTAAATCATGGATGGATTCGAAGGAAGATTAGCGGAAGAAGTTAGGAAATACCCTCATATATAAGACTCGTCTAGAAGGGATTATAAAGACCTACAAAATACTACGAATTCATGGAAGGAAATCGCCGAAAAGCTCGAAACAAATGATGCTGTTTGCAGACAAAAATGGAAGAAAATACGGGACCGATTTACGAAAGCCAAAAAGCGTTTGAAATCGAAGAGTGGTAATCCTGGCGGAAAAATTATACCTGCTATTGTCATTAGCCTGTCGTGGTTGTCTAGCATTTTAGCAGAAATGAATTCATTTGATTCACAAAGAATATTAACAGTGCTGCCAATGCATTACTTGATGTAAATGTCAACATAATTTTTAATTTGTATGCAGATTTCGCGCGGTTGTCGCATGGGTTGTCGCGTTTACTATAAATGCTTTATTTGATTGTCGGATGGCGCGTGCCCATAGATTGCACAAGCCAGAGTGTCGCGCGACACATGTCGTATGAAGTATAAATTGGCCTTAAGACCGAAGGCCAAGTTCGGTCACGAAGAACACCTTTTATTTCTTTTCTAAAATAACACTAAAGGAAAACAGACAATTAAAAACAAAAGTTTCAATTTTTCCTTTAACATGTATTCATAATCGAATTGCAAATTCTCTTTCATTGATTTCATTGATCGAGCTAAAATCCGTTTCACATAGGCTAATGCAGCCTCAGCTGCATACCAATCAGCGCACAGGTTCCATTACTGTGATTTTATAATTCAAATTGATAATTGTACCACAGAGCGTTGAACGAGAAAAGCAACGATGACCATTTATGTCATAAAATAAAAACTTGCCTACCTTATCATTTCTTTCGTATAATGCAGGACAAGGATTACCGGGTTGTACACTACCAGCAGGACATGGTTCGTCATAAGAACACGGCACTGGCTCCTGGTTAGCGTACTGTAAATGCCAATGGAGAGCAAGCCATCACTTCAAAGACTTCATAAAGTAAATGGTTTGAGCCCGCGAGAGTATCGTTACATGTTTGTACATGTAGGCAGTGATGTAGCCAGCCGCAAGTTTGGTCGTGCTTTGTAAATATTTAGGTGTAGAGGCAGTGGCGTAGCCAGCCCGCAAGTTTGGTCGTGCTTTGTAAATATTTAGGTGTAGAGGCAGTGGCGTAGCCAGCCCGCAAGTTTGGTCGTGCTTTGTAAATATTTAGATGTAGAGGCAGTGGCGTAGCCAGCCCGCAAGTTTGGTCGTGTCTTGTAAATACTTAGGTGTAGAGGCAGTGATGTAGCCAACCCGCAAGCTTGTTCATGCTATGTAAATATTTAGGTGTAGGGGCAGTGATGTAGCCAGCCCGCAAGCTTGTTCATGCTATGTAAATATTTAGGTGTAGAGGCAGTGATGTAGCCAGCCCGCAAGTTTGTTCATGCTATGCAAATATTTAGGTGTAGAGGCAGTGATGTAGCCAGCCCGCAAGTTTGGTCGTGCTATGTAAATATTTAGGTGTAGAGTCAGTGATGTAGCCAGCCCGCAAGTTTGTTCATGCTATGTAAATATTTAGGTGTAGAGGCAGTGGCGTAGCCAGCCCGCAAGTTTGGTCGTGATATGTAAATATTTAGGTGTAGCTCACCGTGAAACAGCCATTTCGCAAGTTTGGTGCTATGTAAATATTTAGGTGTAGAGTCAGTGATGTAGCCAGCCCGCAAGTTTGGTCGTGCTATGTAAATATTTAGGTGTAGAGGCAGTGATGTAGCCACTCCGCAAGTCTGGTCGAGCTTTGTACATATTTAGGTGTTCGCTCACCGTAAAAACAACACATTTCTAAAGAAATGAATAATGCTAATGATCTGAAATTTACAAAGCACGAGCAAAACTTGAGGGGCCGGCTGCGCTACTGGATGTAGATCGTCTGGGTCGGTAAAGTCCCGAGAAGGACTGTTAATGTTGGTGGTGACCGATGTTTTCACAAACTTAGCGGTAGTCATCTTCAGAGTAAGTGACGAGTTAATTTCAGTAAATATGGCCAAACCTGACGTTTACTACACATTGGACTCTGCAGATGACTACCTCTAAAGTTCTCGAAACGTCAGACAACATCAACACAAACGGTCATTCTCAGGTTGACTCTGAAGATGACTACCGCTAAGGTTGTCTAAACGTCAGTCAACATCTACACAAACAGTCCTTCTCAGGTTGACTCTGAAGATGACTACCGCTAAGGTTGTCTAAACGTCAGTCAACATCTACATAAACAGTCCTTCTCAGGTTGACTCTGAAGATGACTACCGCTAAGGTTGTCTAAACGTCAGTCAACATCTACACAAACAGTCCTTCTCAGGTTGACTCTGAAGATGACTACCGCTAAGGTTGTCTAAACGTCAGTCAACATCTACACAAACAGTCCTTCTCAGGTTGACTCTGAAGATGACTACCGCTAAGGTTGTCTAAACGTCAGTCAACATCTACACAAACAGTCCTTCTCAGGTTGACTCTGAAGATGACTACCGCTAAGGTTGTCTAAACGTCAGTCAACATCTACACAAACAGTCCTTCTCAGGTTGACTCTGAAGATGACTACCGCTAAGGTTGTCTAAACGTCAGTCAACATCTACACAAACAGTCCTTCTCAGGTTGACTCTGAAGATGACTACCGCTAAGGTTGTCTAAACGTCAGTCAGCATCTACACAAACAGTCCTTCTCAGGTTGACTCTGAAGATGACTACCGCTAAGGTTGTCTAAACGTCAGTCAACATCTACACAAACAGTCCTTCTCAGGTTGACTCTGAAGATGACTACCGCTAAGGTTGTCTAAACGTCAGTCAACATCTACACAAACAGTACTTCTCAGGTTGACTCATAAGACGATTACAGCTAAGGTTGTCAAAAAAGTCAGCCAATATCAACACAAACGGTCCTTCTAAAGACTCTACTAACCTGGACGATCTACATCTCTACAAACATAAGGAGTTCGGTCACAAATCTTAGTGGAGAGGGGAGGGGGTGTTCTTACTAATAGAAATAGTAGAAAGAATAACAGTTTCAAGTTTTCGGGAGCAGCGATGTACTACTATGTTTTAGTTTGAAACAGGCGTCATGCAATTTACAAAATTTACAGTCCCAATCATTGTGACCATTTATGCACCTTTTTTACCAGATTTGGTCGGATGAGCTTAAACACTCCCTTCTGTTCTGAACTTTGTAACCATATGAAGCAGGAGGGGAGTCAAAGCTTATCAGACCAAATGTATGTTTGGCCACGTTGATCCCGATGCACTTTTTACCAGGTAAACTCAAACCTAACCTACCCCTACTAAACTCCCATTGAAGATATAGAGAGCTACACACCGTAACTGTTACAGTTTAATGCACGAAGCTTAACTTACGGGACAGTAAAATCCTCGAGGACATTCGTAACATTCCGACATTCCCCGATATACTTGATAGTAACCACTGCGACACGGCAGGCACGACACTTTTCCATCCGGTTTGTAAAAACCTAAATTAGCAATGGCAGTAACAGAAAATGGAACTCACATTGTTTTAACTTAAGTTGCTGTATTTTAAAACACGTGTTTGTGGATGTATATCGTCGATGCGAGATCGAGGTGTACATTCGTGTAGATCAAATTACCAAGAACAATCTTCGGTACTCTACAACGCGAACAATCTACATTTACAAACATTTTACTGTATCTTACCGGAATAACATAGTTCGCAAACTTTACAACCAGATTTCGCGCGAGTGTCAGAGCCGGGAGGACATAGTAAGCACTCCGTGCAACCATTCGATCTAAACAAAATAAGTTTTACTAAAATAGGTTTTCCACAAACAACGGCCGTTTGTATGGGAAAACGCTTTGTTGAGTTGTCTTTCGTTACGTACGCGCAAAAGTTGCCAACTTGACACGATTTACAAGACAATTGTCCCTCACCATCCTGGAAGTAACCGGCGGGACACGATCTGCATTCACTCGCATTAAAAGCAGGATTGAAATGCCCTAAGAGAAATCAAAATCCTGTCTTGACCTCGAGGCGAAGAGAAGCCTTATACATAAGTTAAAGTGCAAACATCAGGGTCAGAGAAATGAGGGCCTGTTCTTCTTTAGGGCGTGCTCATATGAGCCGGGCTTGCTCGTTTTGGCGGGCCAATTTATTATTTGATTCACATGAGGCGGGCCGACAAATACAAAGTCCATAAAGATTAAACTGTCCATCCATCCAATATATTGCAAATGTCCTCAAAGTCAATTTTACTATCTAAGGGCCAGTTCATGTGAGCCGGGCCAGCCCATCTCTCATATGAATCGAAATTTGAAATTATATGCATATACTAAAAGCGGCGAGATCTCGCTACTGTCAGGCTAGCCCGATAAAGCGGGCCAACCCGGCTCATATGAACAGGCCCTTAGAAAGTGAAATTGATTTTGAGAACATTTGCAATATATTGGACGGGTGAACAGTTTAACCCTAACGGACTTTTCGGGGCCTAGAAGTTGATGACACAGTGCCGAAAGCCACCTTCAAGCTGCAGAAGTGAAAGATGCTACTACCTTTAGGACACTTTGGGCAGTGGGACGATGCCCGTACATTGGCATAGGTACCGGGAGAACAAGCTTCACAAATTGTACTTTTCTTCTCACTGTAAATGATGTTAGTTGAAAGTTCATTTCATGAAGACAGAAAGACACGGCAACAATTAAGGTGTACCTTGAAAAATAACCAGGTTCACAGGCCAAACATTCGACGGATCCTTCGGCGGGTTGGTAATAACCTTTCGGAAATAATCGAAAAATCTTTCAGACTCCTAATTCGTTCAACACAAATATCGGACAACAGTATGCGATCTAAGCAACCTGAACTACACGGAGTGCATTGGGACATGGCGGAATTGTTGGCAGACGTGCCCGGCGAACACTTCCGACAACTTGTACTCCTATTTACACTACAATTTAATACGGGAACAAAATTAGCGGTTACAAAGTTTGAGAGCTTTGCGAAAACACGAACAAGTTACGTACCTAGATTTAGATCCGGGACCACATGGCAAACAGGTGTTCGAAGCTCTTGCAGGTTGATAATAACCTAAATATACAGTTGTTGGAGCAGTTGGAGCATGGTTACGAGACTCGTTCATACCAGACTTACGAATAATTATTTTTATCGCGCGAATGCCGAATTCACTAATTGTTTTATTAAACATACGTAAATGCAGAAGCCTTTACACTGTTTGACACGGAAGCCATATTATTAAAAGCTTTACGTGCTTTGACATAAAATAATCTGGAAAATATCACAACTGAGAGTGTAGCTCTTTTCGTATATTTTACACCTCTAGTCTCTATAATTCGAGTGAAATTCGTTTGTGAAACGCTTGCAAATCACCAGGAAGATTTCGCCACTTTCGTGTTTTCACTTGTCACGTTAAAAATCACGTCATCTCAGACAGTTTGAAAAATTACGTCATCAACAGATTGTTCTCAATGCTTCGCGGGTGGCAAGACATTGAGAATCATCAGTCTCGGCGGATCACATTCGAGATTGTACCAACATTGCATACAATAATATCGTGACAGTATTATGATTACCTGGTTCGCAATCAATACAAGTCACCGCTCCTTCTTTACCAGACGCAGTTCCCGGAGAACACTCGTCGCACTTTGTACTTTTTTTAAGACTGATCAAAGAAATTCGAGAAAATTTTAGTTTATTTTAAACAGTGATGGATTTAGGGCGGGGGGGGGGTGCGCACCCCCTAGCCTCGGCTAGAAGGGTTGCAAAACGGGTGCAAGTTTCCATACGAAATATAGCTAAAACAACTGTCAAACTACACATTTTCCAGGGTCTCAAGTTAAACCAACAAAAAGTCTAACATGTGAATGACATAACGACACCCACAAAGGATCCACCGAAATCTAATCCAAACTTGACTTAACAGCAAGACATCTTACAAAAACTAAAGCCCCCCTCCCACCTTTACAAAGTCATCCTGGATCCATCACGGATCTCATATACATGTCACACTTTTGATAATACATTTTAGAGATGTTTACCTTGAGAAGTGTCCTATGGGGCAGGATAAGCAGACTCGAGCCCCATCTCTGGATTGGTACGTCCCTAAAAAATTTGTAACGACGTCATCAAGGACGATCGGTAAAAACGAACGGAGACGACATTGGTAACCACCTGGTTTACAACTTGTGCAAGATGGCGAGCCTTTGTTCGAAGCGCACGTTCCCGGAGAACACTTGGAACACTTTACATTTTTGCTACCGCTAGTCACATGCATATTGAATAGTTAGAAAAAGCAAGCTGAATATCGAATCGTTAAATGCAATTAAAACCGTGCACCTTGAGAAATGACCAGCGGGACACTCGAAGCACGACTTGCTACCATTGAATGGTTGGTACGAGCCTATCGAAGAAAACAAATTTCGTCATTCATGATCACCAAATGCTTAAAAGTTAAAGTTGAAAACGATGTTTCACACCCGCCAAACAGTCGTTGCATAAAGCAGAGCCAGTTCCATTGGTATATGTCCCGGGCGAACACAACTGACATTGTTTACTTTTAAGCGCTCTGAAACAAACGGCAAATTAAGGAAAATTCATCATATACTCCAGTTTGAATCAAATTCCACAAAGACGACAAAAAATACCCAGAAAACTGTCCGGCAGGGCAAGGAGAGCACGAGGAAGAACCGCTGTGGGGTTGGTAAAAACCTAGAGGAAATAAAGAATATTCACACTTTAAAAAAATATTCACAATACACCACGAAAGCAAAAAATCTACCTTTCGGACATGAGGTACATGATGCTGAGTGAGAGACATTGCTGTATGTACCGGGATGACAAGGGGTACATCGGACACTGTGTGTTTGACTGAAAATAAAAAATTTGCTTATACTATCAATACTCTGGTACATGTAAAACTTTTTAAAATGAAATAACATCGCACCTTGAGTAGTTGCCCGGTTGACAACTTAAACAGACATTTCCTTTTTCCTTTGGTTGATATTCGCCAGGTTGACAACTTAAACAAGTTTTTCCTTGCTCCTTCGGTTGATATTCCCCCGGTTGACAGCTCAAGCAAGTCGTTTTCCCTTCATTCGGTTGATACTGCCCTGGTTGACAGCTTAAACAAGTTTTTCCTCCTTGCTTTGGTTGATATTCACCTGGTTGACATGTTAGACAGGCTTTCCCACCTTCATGTGGTTGATATTCACCTGACGGACACTTTAAACAAACTTTTCCTCCCTTATTCGGTTGATATTCTCCCGGTTGACAGCTTAAACAAGTTTTCCCTTTATTGCTTGGTTGATACTCCCCTGGTCGACAGCTTAAGCATGTTTTCCCTGCTTGCTTTGGTTGATATTCACCTGGTTGACAGCTTAAACATGTTTTCCCTGCTTGCTTAGGCTGATATTCACCTGGTTGACAGCTTAAACATGTTGTCCCATTTTTTTTGGGTTGATATTCCCCTTGTTTACAGCTTAAACATGTTGTCTCACCTTTGTTGGGTTGGTATTCCCCTGGTTGACAGCTCAAACAGGTTTTCCCTCCTTTGTTGGGTTGGTATTTGCCTGGTTGACAGCTTGAACAGGTTTTCCCTCCTTTGTTAGATTGATATTTTCCAGGTGGACAGTTTAAACAAGCTTTCCCTCCTTCCTTTGGTTGATATTCACCTGGTTGACAGTATAAACAGGTTGTCCCTCGTCCCCTAGGTTGATATTGACCTGGTTGACAGTCTAAACAGGTTGTCCCTCGTTTTTAGGTTGATATTGACCTGGTTGACAGTTTAAACAGGTTGCCCCTCCTTCCTTTGGTTGATAGCTACCTGGTTGGCAACCTAAGCAGGTTGTTCCTCCTTCTTTAGGTTGATATTGACCTGGTTGACAGTCTAAACAGGTTGTCCCTCCTTCCTTTGGTTGATATTGACCTGGTTTACAATTTAAACAAGTTGTTTCCCTTTCCTTAGGTTGATAACTACCTGGTTGACAGGTTAAGCAGTTTGCCCCTCCTTCTTTAGGTTGATATTGACCGGGTTGACAGTTTAGACAAGTTGTCCCTGCTTCTTTAGGTTGGTGTGTACCAGGTTGACAACTCAAACAGATTTTTCCGCTTTTGCTTGGTTGATATTTGCCTGGTTGACAGCTTAAGCAACTACTTCCTTCTTCTTTAGGTTGATATTTGCCAGGTGGACACTTCAAACAAGCTTTCCCTCCTTCCTTGGGTTGATATTCACCTGGTTGACATTTCAAGCATGTTTTTCCAGCTTCTTTAGATTGATATTGACCTGGTTGACAAGCTGTGCAGTTGATACCACCTTCTTTAGGTTGATAGTGACCTGCCTGACAGTTTAAACAGGTTTTCCCTCCTTCTTTAGGTTGATATTGACCCGGTTGACAATTTAAGCAGGTTTTCCCCATCTTTAGGTTGATATTGACCTGGTTGACAATTTAAACAGGTTTTCCCCTTCTTTAGGTTGATATCGACCTGGTTGACAGTTCAAACAGGTTTTCCCTCCTTCTTTAGATTGATATTGACCTGGTTGACAGTTCAAACAGGTTTTTCCAGCTTCTTTAGGTTGATATTTACCTGGTTGACAAGCAGTGCAGTTGATACCTCCTTCTTTAGATTGATATTCACCTGGTTGACAATTTAAACAGGTTTTCCCTCCCATTTTAGGCTGATATTGGCCTGGTTGACAAACTGTGCAGTTAATACCTCCTTCTTTAGGTTGATATTGACCTGGTTGACATTTTAAACAGGTTTTCCTTCCCATTTTAGGCTGATATTGGCCTGGTTGACAGCCTGTGCAGTTAATACCTCCTTCTTTAGGTTGATATTGACCTGGTTGACATTTTAAACAGGTTTTCCCTCCTTCTTTAGGCTGATACTGGCCTGGTGGACAAGCTGTGCAATTAATACCTCCAGAATTCCTATCAAAAGAAAGCTTGCAATTACCATATGGATGCTAATTGATACTAGTTGATAGGAAAACATTACCCATTGATGTAACCAGGTGAGCATGGCAGACAAGATGATTGCCCTGCCTTATCTTGATAGCTTCCTGCTGGACATTTGGTACAGTTTCCAAAACCAACACAAAAGCCAGTTTTGTTACACGACTGGCATGACGGCAACGCTAAAAAATATTGCATCACAAAGACACTTTAGTTGGTGGTGACGTCGTTATTTTCGAGTAGATATCTATCTCAAATGCTATGCTAACATCTATAACAGTTGATCCGTCTATATTAGTTAGTGCAAAGTCCATAACAACGTTTTGCCGTATAATACATTATACATACTGACATACATTCGTTTGCGAAGGTTCCTTTAGGACATTCTTCACATTCTAGTTTCACGCCTTCATTGTGACAGGCGAAGACTACAGGAAGCAAAGCACAACAAAATAAATTCGATAGACCGGCAACTGGCTTAAATTCAACTTCTTTTCGCGACCTATTGTTTTGATAGCATGGCGAAGTAAATGCTTACCAAAACATAACAGCAGTAGATACAGTCGATGAGACATAAAAACATCCGCTTTTCACCCTTTCACGCTTCAATTCTTACATAAATGTGCTACATTAACACTTTCTTGCTCGTGCCATAAGGATATTTCTATTGCGAAAGTTCCACCAGAAAAAAAGAAAGCGCACATGACTTTGTTATGAACTTGAAATAATAACAACGTATTAGACAATTGACATCATTGACCTCTCCCCCGTTGAAGACTAAATTCGAACACCCCCCTGACTTCCTTGACAACAGTGGCACAATAGAGGCCAAAATCATCAAATTGCTCACTTTCAATGACAAAAAGGGGTTCACAAGATTGTTCTGACATTTAAATCTACGTGTGTTAACTCGTACGTTGTGTGCTAGTAGTTATGGCCAAGGCAAAAGTCATTGCAAAGATTCAGAAACATGTCAGGGCGATGGAGGTTGCAAAGCATGTAGACGACGATTCCTTGTTGGCCAGCTGCTCTGGGGATGTGCAATGGTTAGAGAAGTCGGTACGAAATATAGCAGGTGAACGAACTTTTGCTGTGACGAAAAAAGACGGTTTCGGGGCGATACATCTAGCCGCAATGAATGGACATCTTGAGATTTTAAAGATTTTAGTGGAAAAACAACATGCGCCAGTTGACATGGAGAGTGAATGTGGTTGGAGGGCCGTTCATCTTTCTATCAACAAGAAGACCAAATCCAAAGCATTTAAATGTTTAACGTATCTGCTAGAACATGGAGCAGATCCGTCAAAGTATGTCCATAACCGCCTCCGTAATGTACACAAGTCTTGAAATTCTGCAATTTCTGGTTAAAATCTTAAATAAAATTTGCCACTAAATTTCTGTTTTGATACATGATGCTCTCAATAGTTCTTTTTAATATTCTAGGCCAAACCGCAATGGTTTTACTCCCATTCATCAAGCTGCTTACATCGGTCATGTTAACTGCCTTAAAGCTCTTATTAGTGCTGGTGCAGTAATCAACACACAAGATGCAGACGACCTATTACCAGTCGACTACGCTCGCATATGTGGGCACAGAATGTGTGTCAGGATCCTCAATGATCGTCAGTGGCATATTGACAAAGATCTTGAGCTATGCTGTAGGATAAAAGCGAGAGAAGAAGATCGTCAATTGCAAATGGAGATTGAAAACATAAACATTGAAGAGAAAATGAAAAACATTGAGCGATGCAAGTCAGTATTTGAAGAGTGGCTAGGCGGCAAGGGCTTATCAAACACTTTAAAACAATATGAACCGTTTTCTGTAAAAGTCAGAGATCAAAATATAGCAACCACTAGACTCAACAAACGGCAATCTCCAAAATTACCTAAAGCATTTCCTACTGCTAGTGTTGTAATCAACACACCAGCAGAGCCTGAAGCGAAATCTGCATGTCACTACATAGATGAATTTGAAGAAGAGAAGAAACTACATCTTATACCACTAGGTATTTCATCACCAAAACGAAAGCAAAGGGTACAAAATAATGTCAAGGGTACAATGTGAACATCATAGATTGTGTTACCTTGACTTTTGTCAGTCTCATAGTTGCTCTATGTTGTATTTGTCTTATCAAGGACTTGCAACATCAATACCATGAAGGTTGTCACAGTAATATGGCAACTGCTTCAAAGGGCATTTCACATTCCAAAACTGAGGATCTTATACCAAATGCCAAGCCCTCAGATTAAATGCCTCAAATAAAGTTTCAATGCAGTGGCCAGCAAGATGTATGCAAAATATTAAAAACAATATGTAACTAAAAGAATTGTCCATTATATTTGTTTACTAAGTCTAGTGCCATCCATTGTTGTGTAATCATAACTAAAAGCATCTCTTGTTGCTTTTTTTGCTTATCTCTATTTTCATCTAAACCAAAACATCTAAAACTGCCAGCTGGCACAGCTCTTACTAACTCTTTTTTTATAGTTTTCTTGAAAAAAGTTCTTTTTTACACCACCCTAATAAGTCCTACTGATTTACATTAAAAAAAGGAGGAAGACAAGTTCAAATTTTTTGATTGTGCTGTTTGTACTTTAAGCAATGAAAATTCTTCGTGCAACGATAATTGTTATAAAGTAAATGGTTTGAACCCGGGAGTATCGTTACATGTAACGATAATTGTTAGTTACACATAGACTATTTTTCTTATCACAGAGTGCTTTGTGTCTGATTAAATTGACCAATATTAAATGTAATAAACATTCGGGCTTTCAGAATACCTTATATGCACTGCTTGTTCAACCATTACGTTGCAGGGATGGATTAAAGAAGGTTTTTTCGAAAATTTTTTTTCCTTTATTCTTTAATTCAATTAAAGACAATTAAAGAAAACTTTTCGAGAAAACCATTAAAACTTTAACAAAATTTCAAACAAATTGTCAAAAAGGAAATATTTATTCCTGAGCTAAATATTCAATAGTGCTAAAATGCAAATATGAATTATAAATTTTTTACTTTGTTGTGCCAACATCTTGAGACTTTAACAAGTCACCAGGCTCTGTATTCTCATCAAGACAACCTCATATTACATAGTGAATGCACAAGTGAACCACGGAGAAAATACGCTATTATTTAATATTTTAATGTGACATTGGATAAACACTATTTCAGACGTAAGAGCATAAATAAGGAACATTAAAGACAATTTTTAGTTTTGATTCAAATCTTCTTTAATCATTAAAGAAGATTAAAGAAAAAATGATCAAAGAATAAATGCCATCCCTGTTACGTTGAGAGATGCATCTTGTAGACTTGTATGGCATGCTTTCGGTTGGCAGAAACGCTCGATGGAAATAATAATTTGATCATTTGATTCGTTATTTCTTTACAATACAAAATAAAACAAATTCCGAACTTCATAAGTCTGATGATGTCTTTGGAATAAAGACGAAATATTACACCATCTTTTGTTTCAAACTCTTGTAATATCTTGAATATCAAGAAAACGAGATGTCCCTCTTCGGAATTTGTTTTATTTTGTATTATTTGAAATTGTCTGCTTGTCCTGGTTATTTCTTTACACACAACCTTAATTTTACGTTTACTCCTTCCCTCCGATTGTTGTGGAAAAGTAAAGACAACTGTGGCGTTATATTTCAGCCGTCAGCGTCTGTTTATAGACTATAACTTGGGCCCTTGAGAAACAAAAAACGAAAATTATTACCATTTGCGTTCAACTGGTAACTGTCCCGAATTTTTCGCGTTTGTTTACGATTCAAACGTCACGTTTGTCAGACGAAACGCAAATTAGAAACGTAACGTTTGCTCAAGAATGTATAACGTTTGCTCAGGAATTATTAACGTTTGATCAGGAATGTTTAACGTTTGAGGAGCATTTTGAACAGGTTTTGGTCATGTGATAATATGCTTATACAATTTTACAATGATAAAATGCTATAGCAACTGAAAATTACATCTGTATACCTTAGGCGATTTGCAAAGTTTGATAATTGATATAATACAAGAAAGAGCTGCTACAAACTTAGTAATCCGCGATTTAAACAAACGTACCGTTTATCAGTTGAAACCCGACGTTTCGTCTGACAAACGTGACGTTTGAAACGTAAACAAACGCGAAAAACTCGGGACAGTTACCAGTTGAACGCAAATGGTAATAGATTCTTCGAGTTTCGTTAAACACCAAAAAACGAAAAACAAACTTTGCATTCGATTCTTGATTTGAATGAAAAACGAAAAACGAATTTTAGATTTGATTTTTGCAATTATCATTAACAAGTTAAGTGCCTCCTTCCTAGCACATTAGGGAAAATCGTAAAATCCTTCGCTCACTTGAACACGAGAGCCTGAATGACGGAAAGAAAAGGGTGTTTCTCGACCCTTCGAGAAAAGGCACGCAATATTTTTGCTGGAATCTCCGAGAAATACTTTTTTGTATCTTTTAAGCTGTCCTCATGAACTTTATCAAATTTAGCGCATTCATAGTAAGTTGGCAAATTTTTTAAAGAAGCATGATAGTAAAAAACAATAGCTTAAGAGTTATTATCACTTCTTTAGTAAACAATAGTTATGATCATTTACAAATCTGGCACGTCATGGCGTTCTTTGTTGAAGTTACATGACCGGAAATGATGTAGAAATTATGTTAATTTTTGTTGTGGGCGAGGTTAGGTTCTGCGTTGTGATTGGCTCTAGAAATGATTGCTTATTCAATAAAAAAGAGATGAGTGCACGAAAGCATTCTTGCCAAGTTACTACATATACACAAAGGTTGTTTTTACGCAGAGAAAGTTAACTATAACATTACGGTTTAAAAAGATGATGGATAAAGCGAAGAAAAACGACAAAGCGTTCGCTGAATACGAATGGATGGAAAATATGGAAGAATTCGATAGACAAATCGAGGCCGAAATTTGGGAAGAAGAATTGATTCGGTGCTGTATCGAACAACTGTTAGATGAAGAAGATGACGCGCTAACAGCAGTTGATATCCTACAACAACAAATGGAGAAAACAACTCTCGGGCGAACCAACGGAGATTCCCAAAGAACCATCAACGGCAATGCCATTATCGACAACTACAGAAACGGATTTGTTGGGTGCCCATCTTTCGTACCTGTAAGTAATTGAGTTGCCTTTCGTCGATAACTCGAGGGTTCTTTATTAAATAGAATCATTTTGTTAAGAGGTTGTGTATCTATATTGATTCTTTGTCACTTCTGGCAAGGTTGCAAGCGGAATATCGTTAGTCGTTGTAATACAGTGGCACTTCGAGACGCTTGACTTAGTCAGGCTGAAAAAAACGGCAATTTCTATTAATAGAGTGCTTTCAATCAAATCAAAAGATTAAACCAGCAATGCTTTTCTCGTGCTTTAAATATTCGATATTTTTCTTGTTTTTTTTATGTTTTTGGTTTACTGCTTCAAACATCAATTTACTCTACTTTAACATTGGAGTAGAGTTTTCATGTACTAAAATCATGCTGAGAATAGTCGACCTGTTTTCAAAGATATGCATTCTTTTTGTATAATATTGCACTTACTGAGCTGACAACCTTTTAGATTTTTGATTATCATACGTGGCATCAGAGAGTTCAGTCACTTTGCTCACGTTTTCATAAATGATTTATTTTTGTCAGGATCCAAAAAAGAGCTCACTAAATCCCAATGCAGCTGTCTTTGTTCCTCGCCAGACATCATCATAGCAACGGACATCAGTGTAGCGAAATGTGCATCTGTATTTGGGTGTTAGATTGGAAATTTTAGATAAGTGTACATAAAAGAAGTTTAAAAAGTTTGTCACACTTTTTGTAAAGATATATTTTAAATTAAATTGATAACAATTATTCTGGTTTTGAAACTTGTTCGGATGTGATTGTTTTTGTTTTTGTTTTACGTTGTTTCGTATAAACACAAAAAAGTGGTAACATTTCAGGCATGCAGCACATGTAGTAAACAGCAATTCTAAATATGTTTCTGGCAAAGTTTTGACATTCTCAATATGTTAGAAGTGAGCTAATTATTTAAAGGAAATATTAAGTCACGTAGATGCGAAGGATTGTATAAGTTTCCTAAATCATTTCTTCTATTGTAAGAATTTTTGATAATCTGGAATGTCTTCAAATGTGCATGTTTATGCAGGATTTCCCTTTCGACTTACTGTGCAAGACTACTACCACATTACAAATTTTTTTGCAGATGAACGTAAATAAGTCAAGTAGCACGTGACCATATTTGACCAATGACATTTAATGTCCGTCCTTATCAGTGAACTCTACAACAACTCATTATACACAAACCTAGACTTGTTTGAAGCCACGTAGAAGCTGATTTGCTGCTTCGCGTGTATCTCGCGTGGACTGTTTTATTTGCGTGACGGATTGTTTTGCAAAAACTGCCAACTTGGAAATATAATGCTAGCCTAAATGCTTTATTTTTTTCAAAACCGTTTGCAAAATTTGGTTATTAATGTGTTAAGATGCATTGTGGACGTTCCAAGACATGTTTTGTATACGTAATGCTGTATTATATAAAACATAAAAGGGAGAACTTGCTTCGAAATATGAATTTCTCATTTGTCGTCGAAAGACCAAAAATTTAAGATAAAACTGATAACAGGTAGTATGTATCTTTGAATGCTGTGCAAAATACAAACAATCCACTTAATATAACATGTTTCATAACAATTTTATTGCTTTCAAAGTTAGACTTGCTTTGTAAGAATTTCACATGCTCTTTTTGTAATGTGTGAAAGAGTTGTTGTAGAGTTCATTGGTCCTTATCGCCTTTCACCCTTTGGCACCTTTTCCGCGCCATGTTTAAAAGGAGTTCTTCTTGACACAGTCATTGTATGTGTACTGTAAAATATTGTATTATATCCTGAATTAAAAGTATTGATAGCATCACAGCGAGTTCAACCTCTCTAATAACAATTATTTATTTTAACGTCATTGGGAAAAGTCGTTCACGAATCACGAATTCAACCAAATCTTCTATAACACAAGGTAGGATAGTTTGATGGACATTAACAGTTTACGGCTGCCAAAGAGTATGTTAGTAAAACACAAGACAAGAGACACTCCGTATAAAGTAAACTGTCTATTGTCTTGTGTTTTATTAACAGTTTATTTGGGGTCAAAAATTATTAATACAAAATATGGGCTTGAACTCGATGAAAGGAATATTACTGTTGTGTACGTAGTTCAGTTAGATTAAAGAGATATTGCTAAAATATACTAGTTACTAAATTCAATGTCCAATTAGTGCAATGTCATTCTAATCGTTTTCGTGTTCATACGATGTGAAATAAGTAGAATATTTTTTCAAGACTTTCCATGTATGATTTGCAGGATTTCTGCAGTAGATATGTCATGTGGAAGAAAAGTTTGTAAAAAAAATTGTAATGTAAAGCTGTTTAGATGAAAAGATAGTTATGGGTTAACAGCTGCGTTTTACCAAGAATTGCCCTTGGAAGAAATTAAATGGAAATAATTAAGTGCAAATATTTTGTGAATTTGACATCTGTTATGCATGGAATCATCTTGATGTCAAATCACCAAATCTTATTTTACACTTGAAATTCACCGTGCCTCGAAAAAACCTTATAAATGGTTGAATAGAACAGATTTCAAGCATATTTGTCTTGCCAAGTTATGTTTCATGATTTCATTAGGATCATTTCTTCCTCAATCAAGTTCAAGAAAACGACAGAGAAAGAGGTAAAGACAAGATTTCAAATCAAAGTTAGCTGGTAAAATATTAGAGGATTGGATAGGATTATGAGGATTAGTACTTGAGTTAAATATGGAGAAGAGTAGGGTTTATGGGTATTTAGAATATGGCTATGACAGCAACCACAGAAGATTGATAATTGGAGGGAGGGGCTAGTATTCATATAAGCCATATTACGTTCCTATGAAACTCATCGTTTTCTATGGATTGCAATATGCATCTATGAATATGAACCTACCCCCCTCCCAATTATCGATCTTCTGTGGTCCCTGTTTGAGGCATAAAAGTTTGTTTAGTAATAAAAAATATAGCTTTAGCTTGTTGGAATGTCAACTAAAGTTATGAGTTAGTATTTTAAGGAAAATGGATGCTAAGATAATGAACAACATTGTGAGGCTAAGAAGTTGAGAGAAGTTATCTATAGCTAGGAAAATGGTTGTCAAATGCACTATCTTGTGATAAAAGTGCACTTAGAAAAGCATGTGCCTGACAATTTTTTTAATATACAATTGGGTACAAAATGTTTTCTTAAAATAGGAGGCGCTTTAGCAGGATTAGGCTGTTTTTCCTATCAATTGCATGTACTTTTTTCAGGGTTTAGATTAAGTATTCTGATTTGAATGGCAAATTTTTTGATAGTGCCAGCCTTAGTATTGGTGATGACTTTAGAGCTGGTGTTAGCTTTAGTGTTAGTGTGAGCTTTAGTGTTAGTGTCAGCCTTAGTGTTAGTGTCAGCCTTAGTATTGATGTATGCTTTAGAGCTGGTGTTAGCTTTAGTTATAGGGTCAGCCTTAGTGTTAGTGACAGCCTTAGTGATAGTGTTAGCCTTAGTATTAGTGTCAGCCTTAGTGATAGTGCTAGCCTTAGTATTAGTGTCAGCCTTAGTGATAGTGCTAGCCTTAGTATTGGTGTAGGCTTTAGAGCTGGTGTTAGCTTTAGTGATAGTGATAGTGTCAGCCTTAGTGATACTGCTAGCCTTAGTATTGGTGTAGGCTTTAGAGCTGGTGTTAGCTTTGTGATAGTGATAGTGTCAGCCTTAGTGTTAGTGTCAGCCTTAGTGATAGTGCTAGCCTTAGTATTGGTGTAGGCTTTAGAGCTGGTGTTAGCTTTGTGATAGTGATAGTGTCAGCCTTAGTGTTAGTGTCAGCCTTAGTATTGGTCTATGCTTTAGAGCTGGTGTTAGCTTTAGTGATAGTGTCAGCCTTAGTGTTAGTGACAGCCTTAGTGATAGTGTTAGCCTTAGTAGTGTCAGCATAGTGCTAGCCTTAGTATTGGTGTTGACTTTATAGCTGGTGTTAGCCTTAGTATTAGTGTCAGCCCAGCCTTAGTGTTAGTGTCAGCCTTAGTGATAGTGCTAGCCTTAGTATTGGTGTTGACTTTAGAGCTGGTGTTAGCCTTAGTATTAGTGTCAGCCTTAGAATTGGTGCCAGCCTTAGTGATAGTGTCAGCCTTAGTGATAGTGCTAGCCTTAGTATTAGTGTCAGCCTTAGTGATAGTGCTAGCCTTAGTATTGATGTAGGCTTTATAGCTGGTGTTAGCCTTAGTGTTAGTGTGAGCTTTAGTGTTAGTGTCAGCCTTAGTATTAGTGCCAGCCTTAGTGTTAGTGTCAGCCTTAGTGATAGTGCTAGCCTTAGTATTGGTGTAGGCTTTAGAGCTGGTGTTAGCTTTGTGATAGTGATAGTGTCAGCCTTAGTGTTAGTGTCAGCCTTAGTATTGGTCTATGCTTTAGAGCTGGTGTTAGCTTTAGTGATAGTGTCAGCCTTAGTGTTAGTGACAGCCTTAGTGATAGTGTTAGCCTTAGTATTAGTGTCAGCGTTAGTGATAGTGCTAGCCTTAGTATTGGTGTTGACTTTATAGCTGGTGTTAGCCTTAGTATTAGTGTCAGCCTAAGAATTAGTGCCAGCCTTAGTGTTAGTGTCAGCCTTAGTGATAGTGCTAGCCTTAGTATTGGTGTTGACTTTAGAGCTGGTGTTAGCCTTAGTATTAGTGTCAGCCTTAGAATTAGTGCCTGCCTTAGTGATAGTGTCAGCCTTAGTGATAGTGCTAGCCTTAGTATTGGTGTTGACTTTAGAGCTGGTGTTAGCCTTAGTATTAGTGTCAGCCTTAGAATTGGTGCCAGCCTTAGTGATAGTGTCAGCCTTAGTGATAGTGCTAGCCTTAGTATTAGTGTCAGCCTTAGTGATAGTGCTAGCCTTAGTATTGATGTAGGCTTTATAGCTGGTGTTAGCCTTAGTGTTAGTGTGAGCTTTAGTGTTAGTGTCAGCCTTAGTATTAGTGCCAGCCTTACCGTTAGTGTCAGCCTTAGTGATAGTGTTAGCCTTAGTATTGGTGTAGGCTTTAGAGCTGGTGTTAGCTTTAGTGATAGTGATAGTGTCAGCCTTAGTGTTAGTGTCAGCTTAAGTGTTAGTGCTAGCCTTAGTATTGGTGTAGGCTTTAGAGCTGGTGTTAGCTTTGTGATAGTGATAGTGTCAGCCTTAGTGTTAGTGTCAGCCTTAGTATTGGTGTAGGCTTTATAGCTGGTGTTAGCCTTAGTGTTAGTGTGAGCTTTAGTGTTAGTGTCAGCCTTAGTATTAGTGCCAGCCTTAGTGTTAGTGTCAGCCTTAGTGATAGTGCTAGCCTTAGTATTGGTGTAGGCTTTAGAGCTGGTGTTAGCTTTGTGATAGTGATAGTGTCAGCCTTAGTGTTAGTGTCAGCCTTAGTATTGGTCTATGCTTTAGAGCTGGTGTTAGCTTTAGTGATAGTGTCAGCCTTAGTGTTAGTGACAGCCTTAGTGATAGTGTTAGCCTTAGTATTAGTGTCAGCGTTAGTGATAGTGCTAGCCTTAGTATTGGTGTTGACTTTATAGCTGGTGTTAGCCTTAGTATTAGTGTCAGCCTAAGAATTAGTGCCAGCCTTAGTGTTAGTGTCAGCCTTAGTGATAGTGCTAGCCTTAGTATTGGTGTTGACTTTAGAGCTGGTGTTAGCCTTAGTATTAGTGTCAGCCTTAGAATTAGTGCCTGCCTTAGTGATAGTGTCAGCCTTAGTGATAGTGCTAGCCTTAGTATTGGTGTTGACTTTAGAGCTGGTGTTAGCCTTAGTATTAGTGTCAGCCTTAGAATTGGTGCCAGCCTTAGTGATAGTGTCAGCCTTAGTGATAGTGCTAGCCTTAGTATTAGTGTCAGCCTTAGTGATAGTGCTAGCCTTAGTATTGATGTAGGCTTTATAGCTGGTGTTAGCCTTAGTGTTAGTGTGAGCTTTAGTGTTAGTGTCAGCCTTAGTATTAGTGCCAGCCTTACCGTTAGTGTCAGCCTTAGTGATAGTGTTAGCCTTAGTATTGGTGTAGGCTTTAGAGCTGGTGTTAGCTTTAGTGATAGTGATAGTGTCAGCCTTAGTGTTAGTGTCAGCTTAAGTGTTAGTGCTAGCCTTAGTATTGGTGTAGGCTTTAGAGCTGGTGTTAGCCTTAGTGTTAGTGTCAGCTTTAGCGTTAGTGTCAGCCTCAGTTGTCACCTCTCCTTGCCAGTCCTCTATATTTACCTGTTGTCACCTCTTCCATCCTGGCTTATTCTCATCTGGTCTTTCCTGCCCTCTCCTATTCTTACGTGTCTGTTTTTGCACATCCTTTCTTGGCTTATCCACTCTTTCTCTGTCTTCTCCTGTTCTTTCCGTTTCTCTTAGGTACTTGCCCAATGTAACATGTTGCCATTTTTGAGCAAATAACATTTGATGATACTACCCAGTTTTTATCGCAATTTTTATGTGAAATTTTATATTATAGACAGTTATCATTTGTCAAATTAATAAGAATTAAAGCATTGCAGTAAGTTCAACTAATCTAATACACGACTATTTATGTTGAAGCTATGGGGAAAAGTTGTTCATGAACTCAGCAAGCCCGTTGTCGAAGATAAAGGATAAAATAGCCTCTAGCAAAAGGTAAAATGCGTCCATGAAATACAATTTATCTCTTTACTGTACTGTTCAGAAGTAAGTTTACCGAAAACGCGTTCTGAACTCGTTCCAAAACGTGTTCCAATTGCGTTCGGCTTAAGATGGAACACGTATAAAAACGCGTTGTCTGCCGCATCCGATCATTGATCGGTAATCATCATTTATACTCGCTATACAAGTGTTCAATTTCGGAAATTTTCGATGTCATACCGAGTTTATTTGAACAATTGGGCACGCGTTCAGAACGTGTCCCCTATTTTTTTTGGAACGTGTTTGGGACGCGTTTCGTTTGCGTTGAAACGCAAATGGAACGCGAACGCAGTGTTAAGTTACTTCTGAGCGGTACTGTAAGTCGACCGAAATTGTTTATTTAATGAGGTATCAAGCTTTTGTAACAATATAATTTTTGTCAAATGATTTTAGAATCTATACTCCATCATTCCCGTTAAAGAAGAATATGCTGAAGCTTGAAGTCAAGACAAGAGTGGATACACTGGTACACAAAGGGATAGTTGTATTTTTTGCCACTGACAATAAGGTCATGGGGCAAAGGGTTGAGTTATGGGACTTAGGAGTTAAGATAGCATGGTTGGATATAGGTTTCTTTGTAATAATGGAATACTTATTAGGCCTAGGATATGAGTAAAATATGGTTAGTAGTAAATTTGTTGAGTGGAATGGATGCATTGGAATGTGGCGTGTTTTGTTCGAAATAGAATGAATAGAATTATGGTGCACGTATAAAAATACACCATGCTTTCAGTTTGAATTAGTTTGACTCAATCTTAATTCTACAATTTTTGTGATTTAGTCTTTTGTATTGTAGTATTTTAGTGTAAGTGTTTGTTTTGTTGCTCTTATGTACTCTTGCATTTTGTGATGGTGTTAGTCTTACGTACTGTTGCTTTTTGTGATGGTTTTAGTTTTACGTACTCCTGCTTTTTGTGATGGTGTTAGTCTTATGTACTCTTGCATTTTGTGATGGTGTTAGTCTTACGTACTGTTGCTTTTTGTGATGGTGTTAGTTTTACGTACTCCTGCTTTTTGTGATGGTGTTAGTCTTATGTACTCTTGTTTTTTGTGATGGTGTTAGTCTTGTGTACTCTTGTTTTTTGTGATAGTGTTAGTATTACGTACTCTTGCTTTTTGTGATGGTGTTAGTCTTATGTACTCTTGCTTTTTGTGATGGTGTTAGTCTTACGTACTCTTGTTTTTTGTGATGGTGTTAGTCTTATGTACTCTTGTTTTTTGTGATAGTGTTAGTATTACCTACTCTTGCTTTTTGTGATGGTGTTAGTCTTACGTACTCTTGTTTTTGTGATGGTGTTAGTCTTATGTACTCTTGTTTTTTGTGATAGTGTTAGTATTACCTACTTGCTTTTGTGATGGTGTTAGTCTTATGTACTCTTGCTTTTTGTGATGGTGTTAGTCTTATGTACTCTTGCTTTTTGTTATGGTGTTAGTATTACGTACTCTTGCTTTTTGTGATGGTGTTAGTCTTATGTACTCTTGCTTTTTGTGATGGTGTTAGTCTTATGTACTCTTGCTTTTTGTTATGGTGTTAGTATTACGTACTCTTGCTTTTTGTGATGGTGTTAGTCTTATGTACTCTTGCTTTTTGTGATGGTGTTAGTTTTACGTACTCTTGCTTTTTGTTATGGTTTTAGTATTACGTACTCTTGCTGTTTGTGATGGTGTTAGTCTTATGTACTCTTGCTTTTGTGATGGTGTTAGTCTTATGTACTCTTGCTTTTTGTGATGGTGTTAGTTTTACGTACTCTTGCTTTTTGTGATGATGTTAGTCTTATGAACTCTTGCATTTTGTGATGGTGTTAGTCTTATGTACTCTTGCTTTTTGTGATGGTGTTAGTCTTATGTACTCTTGCTTTTTGTGATGGTGTTAGTCTTATGTACTCTTGCTTTTTGTGATGGTGTTAGTCTTATGTACTCTTGCTTTTTGTGATGGTGTTACTCTTACGTACTCCATCAATAAAATTGCAGCTGAAGAAAATTTATAATTTGTCTTTCCTACTTTAAAGAATTTCGTCCACTACTCAATCAACAACACGAAAAAGAAATTCAAAGGTAGAAATGCCAACGTAAAAGAGGCTGCCAAGAAACAAAGATATCAGACTTTATATTGTATGAGTGAAGAAGAATTTTTTAGAACTGCGAAAGAATTGTTGAAGTTAAAAAATTTGGTTGGAGTGAAGGTTTTTTTACATCGTAAAATTTGTTCAAATGCTATGTTCAGGGGGTACAAAAAGTATCATCATTTTTTTTACTCAAGAATGCTAAAATGCGAAAAATGTCAAAGGACGAAAAAGATGCGATGAAGAATAATGAGAAGAAGGAACAAAGAAGGTTTTTTTCTTTGTGTATTTTGATATTATGTAACTTTTTCAATCGAAGGCAAAATTTGTTCCTGACAGGCAATCTTATGGCTTTGACGAAACTAAAGTAATGGATGCGACACGGCCCCCTAAAAAGAACGCTTATACAGCAAAAATTTCGAGTTCTTCCAATTTGTCAGTTGATGGAATTCTGCATTTGTTTGAACTATCAGGCAACGATCATGTCCATTCGTAAATTTGAACAGAAACAGCAGCAGCAAGTACAATGGCAAGGATAAAAGGGCGAAACCACGTTGAAGTTTATGTATAGAGAGAATTACTTGGTCACTGGAAGAGAGTCTCAACGTGGATTGAACGTAAATTATTAACTATCAAAGCGGAATTACTACGAGTTAACGAGGTCTACCAGACAAACCAAATGTCAATGGATATACCGGACGAAATCTAAGCATTTGATAAGCATACAGTTTGTATAGAAGCTATGGAATTGAGTGATAGCGTAACGCAATAAACAAGAGCGCCGTGAAGACTATGCAGCTTGGTTTCTTACAACATCCGATTTCCTCAACACAATATTTAGAGATAATATGGCTGCGTTGTCAAATATGCTGTGATATGTTATAAGTGTCATAAACCATTGAAATGTAGGATATGACTCGTGAAATCGACATTCCTAAAGAATACACCTCAAAAACAACGGAACGATAGGAAAATTCATTTCCTATGTATATTATATAAAAGTTAAAAGAAGACAAGTTATCGGCTGCTTTAAAGCCTCCACCAATGTCAAGCCAGAAATATGTCATCCTCATATTTAACTACGACAAGTGCCATTGGATTAATAAAGCTAATATCGACAGCAGCCGCTAAAAGAAGTCTGCATTGCTGGCCGTAAGAAAACGTGCTGCTTTTGAAAGACTTACTTGTCTCTATCTTTTTCAAAAGAATTTCGAACTATAACTAAATGTAACTATAGATGTTTTGCTAATGTAATACCAAACTAACATTAATATAAATGTATTTATTTGTACTACTCTTTCACTCTTTATATCAACACTCGTTGTAATCATATAATGTATTACATCTTTTTCTATTATTACACCTACTTCCATTATTTCAAAAAAAGTGCTCTCTATTTAAAATTTTATAACTGCAAAGCACTCTTTTTATAATTTTCGAACGATAATTACAAAATAGACTAATCAAGTCTGAGTTTCCTTTAAATGTATTTTAAAAATATTTTTGAATAAGTAAACATTTTAAAATTCTTTATTACTGTTTGGTTGATAGACGAAGTCGATAACGAGTTTTTATTGTGCATAAGCCTGTCAGAACTTTAATGAACCAAAAAAAGCATAAGAAATAGATCGACTCTGAGGATGAACACTACTAAAATCTGTACGGAGTGAAGTTGGTATCAAGGTTCTTTCCATACACCCTTACTTTATTTAAATATGCGCAGTTCGATGTAGTAGAAAAAGAGACAGTGAAGATTATTAGAACAAACTTTTTCCAGTATATGGTGCTCTTTTCCTTTTTACTTAATTCGTACAGCCATTTCACACAATTGTAACGACAACATTGACAAAAATCTTTCGATTTTCTAATTTCACCTCAACTTTTCTGTTCCAGAAGTCGGCAAAAAAAGTAATTAAAAGAGTTGTTTAATAAAGAATCAAGAAAAAGGACGACTCTAATATATTATCTACACATCAATTTAATCAAACGAAGAAGCTCTATTAACTCTAAATTACTATTCATAAAGATCAAGTAATGATCATTTCCTTCATATCAGAGGCTTGCTATTTTACTTACATTTAGAAAAACTGGATAATATTTGTTGACTTCACTCTATGGTAAAATCATCCTTGTCGTCGCATTTATTCTCTTCTAGATCTACAAGTAAAGCTCCCGATGTATAAAAACACACTGAAAATGATTCTGTCGTTGACTTCATTGTGATTATATTTGACTAAACTTTTTGGATTGTCGTTCATGTCTCATAAAATAACCACTTTTTTATCTATCGTTTCCTATGTTCTATGAAACGACGACTTTTCCAAATGTCGTTTCCCATTAAATGACAATTTTTTCAAATGCCTGCTTCAAAGAACAAAAGCCAAAAAGTAGACACAAAGGTAGACACAAACGTAGAAATAATCGTAGACATAAAGGTAGAGATAAAGGTAGACACAAAGGTAGACAAAAAGGTAGACACAAAAGTAGACATAAAGGTAGACATAAAGATAGACATAAAAGTAGACACAAAGGTAGACATAAAGGTAGACATAAAGGTAGACACAAAGGTAGACACAAAGGTAGACACAAAGGTAGACATAAAGGTAGACAAAAGGTAGACATAAAGGTAGACATAAAGGTAGACAAAGGTAGACATAAAGGTTAAAGGAGACAAAAGGTAGACACAAAGGTAGACATAAAGGTAGACAAAGGTAGACATCAAGGACATAAAGGTAGACATCAAGGTAGACATAAAGGTAGACATCAAGGTAGACATAAAGGTAGACATCAAGGTAGACATAAAGGTAAACATAAAGGTAGACATCAAGGTAGACATAAAGGTAGACATAAAGGTAGACATAAAGGTAGACATCAAGGTAGACATAAAGGTAAACATAAAGGTAGACATCAAGGTAGACATAAAGGTAGACATAAAAGTAGACATAAAGGTAGACATAAAGGTAGACATAAAGGTGGACAAAAAGGTAGACATCAAGGTAAACATAAAGGTAGAAATAGAACTGTCAAGGAAAACTTCCCTTACCTATATGTCTGTGCAACACATTCAAGAATTGCAAAAGACACTACAACCCTTTTGTTGGGGATAAACTTCAGAGCATGATAACGAGAACCTAACAGTTTATCCCCGCTATCCCTCCTTGTCCCATACTGATATTCTTAGCTCCCTGACGCCCGACCTGAACACACTTCCCCCTTTGTTCGACAATATTTGCATTTCAAGATATTGAGCTTATAATTTGTCTGTCTATGATAATTTTCAGCTGCGCGCATTCTGCAATGTCATGCTGAGTTTGAAATTAACCCGATACTTCCAAAACTCTCAAGAAAATTTGTGTTAATCGAAAAAGAACGCCGAGCATTACAAAAGGAAAAAGATGTGTGGTCGTGAAGGGCGGTTTCTTAACATCGTATTTGTCACATTAAACACATTTATCGTATTTTTCGTCGACCGTACTCGACAAATAAGATGAAAATTTATTTTTGCACTGTAAGACAAATTGTTGGAACAGACGAAGAGAGAAAAACCACCGACGACTTAGGAAGTCGAGTATCACATAGAGGACAAATAATAACAGATCAATTTATGAGATTGGAATGTTTATTCGGAAAATCCATCATGATAGGAGGTAAGTGAATGTCTCGCTGTTGAAGGAAGAGGAATGTTCAAAGTTCCTTTGAGTTAGGGACCGTCCCTACTACGTTCATCAAGAGGGTAGTGGGAGTATTTATTTATATATTCCATTGTGCTCGACTGATTTCTTCTGAAAGCGAATTTTCTGCTTCCTTAAGAAAATTTCTTTCAGAAAGTAATTCAGCATTACTGAACATATGAATGTAAACACACATTCGGTAAAACAGGTGGAGGTACAAATTTTTCCTTGTGCACGACACTGGTGCATGATCATTAAGAAAGTACCACGATGCATGCTCAATAAACAAGCGAGTTTTATACGCCAGATCAAAGACGACAACATTGCACGCGAGAATCTTGTTCTTTTAATAACATTGTGAAACAATGAACCGCAACAGATCATATTTATTCGAATTAACAGAAAAAAAATTGCAAAAATTGATTTTCTCCTCTCGCGAGTGGGCAATGAACATTGGAATATCGAAGGTGTAGAATATTGAAATCAAAAATTTTTAAACTAAAATAAAAAATAGTCATGATATCTGCTGCGATGCCTTTTAAAAACGAGCACATTGACCCTTGTCTCCTAGCAGTTCTTCTCGGTGGCTTATGTAAATCACGTACCGACAAAAAAGATATCGCAGCATGGTTTGATTAAAAATTGTATAATTCCACAACATTCTTTGCAATAAGCATGCACATCTACGGCAACACAAAAGATGTTGTCTAATTTATTTATATTAAAATGCTAGTACACTATACGAATGAAAAAAGATGCAATTCAATCATACACGCAATGTAAATTTAATAAACGTTTCGCAAAAAACGGGAGAAATGCAATGAATGCAAAACAGACAAAACTTTCCAAGCATTTTCTCGCCTGACCTGAGACCACAGATATATTAAGCAAAGATGAAAACAATGAAATTGTCCAAATTGCACAAACTGTTATCGGCGGATAAATTCCCTTTCTTTAAAAAAAGCAGCAGTTTAATCAATAGTCAACCCGCGAGAGAATCTCGAAACACTAAACACGCGTGTCTGGGTGTAAGATTTGGCTTCGATAAATTATTAAGCTTTTCTATTAGAGGTAGCGTTCCATGTATATTAGTTCAATTTGATGGCCCCACGTGCGCTACTTATAGATGTATATACGTCAGCAATCTATTTTTAATATGTCTATGCCCGAGACCGTATAAAATACAGTGTACGTGGTGGTATTGGCCAAAGAGTAAACATTTTTAGGAGTTTTTACGTTTAATGTTTTAGTGAATGATGCAAAGGAAGAAAGTGACAATCTTATGTTTGATAGCAATCCTATCCACCATCTTATGTGGACAATTTTTCAATCATTTCGTGATACAGCGAGACGTATGCATCCATTGTGATAATGGACCAGAGAAAGGAATTTTATACGAAAATACATCCCCCGCAAGCGAAAAGAAAAGATCCGAAAATAGTTTAGAAGAAATATTGATGATTTTAGGAAACATGAACGAATTGGAAAAAATATCGTTCGGTGACGAGTACGAACAGCTGGTCGAGATCTTAAACAGAATCAAGGAGAGGCAAAATTACAAAAATTTATTCCCAGCAAACATGACAGACAAACACGGTGCAGAAACAGCAGAAATTCAGGAAATTTGTCCGGAGAGATTTCTCGGCAAATCGCTCCTCTACGGTTATCCTTTTTTCCGTAAAGGTTTCGCCACCTTAAATTGTTCCCAATTCATTTCTCTGCACAAACTAGTTACATTAGTCTTTGATGACTTACACTCATCTTACATGAATTCCACCACGCACGAGCATGTCCTCAGGGGGGTACATCAATACTTTCCCAGCCTCAAAGTGATATTTATCACAAGAAACAAACCACGAGGGATCGATAAAATCAAAAGTCATGTCCAAGTGATGAATGTCGAAAAGGACTGGAAACTAGGCAAGATCTGGACAAAGGCATTGGCCCGCGTGACAACAAAGTATGTCTTGATTGGTAGAAACCTCGCGAAATTTGATGACGACGTAAATCTTAAGAGACTAATAAGGATCTTAAGTCATAATCCGGATGTAGCTATCACTTCCGGTGCCTATAGACAACGCAATGGTTACTGGGATAGCGGTTGTGAGCAGTTACGATTACGGAACTTCACTCTAACATTGCAAGGCGGGTACTTCATGTCGTCCTGGGATTGTGTCGTCTGTGATTACACTTCGGGTCCGTGGATGGCGAGAAAAAAAGATGTAAGACTGGATAAGAAGTAAGTGTTACATAACTTTGGGTATCTTTAAACTGAGAAAGCGTAGCAGTAAGAAACGTTCGTTGTTGTCGTTCGAATAGCATAATCAATGCTTATTTCAACTCAAGCTTTACCTCACAATTAGAAATTGGGAAGAGGAACAAAACGAAACACTGCTTGAAGCCTTTAAAAAGCGTATTTGCCGAGGTAAATGATAACAAATAATCTTGCTAGTTTCTAAAATCTCACTTATCCCTGTTTTACACGACGGGTGACGTAATTTCCTCTTGTCTTAAGTATAAACATCAGCGGAGTCTTAGTTTTCAATGAAGCGGACGTTGCATTTGATGAGAAATCTACCGAAATGCATTGCGTCATTAGATTTATTTTAATGTTCGTTTTCAACAGTTCTCTTTAGAACTACCTACGTAATAGTTTTCATTTAAGATGGCAAATACGCTATTCGAAACATTGTTTGAATTCATGCTGAAAGAATCATTTTGAGGAAAGAACAACACGCTATTTTCAGGCTTCATTTCGGCGTATTCCGCGATATGTTTATGCGTTTGAAAGAAGAGAAGAAAATTGTGGTGAGTTGCCCGGATGTCATGTTCAACGTAGAAACTTTGAAGCAAGACCAAGATGCTTGGTATTTGGACTTTGTCAAAAAACACGATATCAAAAAGATAGTTGAAAGCTCCGGACTTGTGAGATGGTAAGACTAACTTTCTTTACCATCCATTCTTGGAAATTTCTTTCTTTGTGTGTGTTTCTGGTTCAAGCATCGTTCTATCAGTCAGCTCTCTTGTTCACCGAGGTTTGGCTGCAAGCGCGGAGTTGCGCACAGACAAGGATCGTCGTGTTCAAGACAACGTGGTATGGCCGTTCCACCATGTGACCTAGAGAACCTCGCCGATGCCATCAAAACGGTTATGAACGAATGCGAAAAGGCGGGATTATTTTGCGAGCTACAGGAAGGAACATTGCTGGGTAGGTTGATTGATAGCTTTCCGAAATTCTAAATTTCCTTAGATCGTAATTAGCAGCGTCTTAATGTTCAGGTGCTGTCAAACTAAACAAACTTTTACCGTGGGAAAGAGATGCAGATATCACCTTCCAAACAGCCAACTACACCGCTCTCAAAGCTCTTGCACCGACTTTCCAAGCCGCTGGCTTCAGTGTTACTCCATACGACGGCTCAATCTGGTGTTGCGTTGACGGCCGGAAGGCTGGTGGAAAGATTGTCATGGACGTTGATCGCTGGAAAATAGAGTTATATGGTCAACATCTTATGGAGTCGGAAATACTCGTCAGCCGCGGAGAAAAGCCGACAAAGGTATGATGATGATAAGATTATGAAGGAGAGCTTTCCGTTACGCAAGCATTTCATTCCCAACCTTTGCGCACATCTAGGTGAATTTCGCCGGGGAAATGATCACGGTGATGAAAAACCCGGGACTTTTTGCCCGGAATCGCTACGGCAGTATGCTGTATCGTCATCAGGAGCATTGGATTGATTTGGGTGCAAAATCAGGATGGCATTTCTATAATCCAAACAAGTTCGAAGAATGTGAGAAACAAGGACATTCAGGGTGTTTGAAGCAGTATAACACAGATGGTAATTTGCAGTTTGATATCAACACATGCCCCTGTGTATCCCCGCTTATACATGAATGACCAAACAATAGTGGTTAGAGGATGCTAATCTTAAATAATTATACAAAACATATTGTATGTAAACAGCTAAAAAACTATAGAGGATATCGCCAATCTGTTATCTGAATGGTGAAATGATTAAATATTATCATTAGTTGTTTGATCTTGGCTGTATTCAGAATACTTGCTGTTCTCGCGGTCAGCGGATGTCATCGCGTTGTTACTGGCTCTACGCCTAGCGAACTCTTGGTTAAGGTGGGTTTTATTCATTATTCTAACACGAAGTCCCGATGGAAGAATGGAGGAGAAGGCAGAACGAAATTTTCTTTGACATAGACCGTAAATAATGGGATCTAGAGAACTTTTCAAGAAGTTCAGCAGCTTGACAGAGATCGTTGCAGCCACAGGTAACTGTAGTGTGAAACCATTTTGCAACTGCAGTAACTTCAACGTAATATATGGAACATGACAGCAGAGAAACGCTGCAACAACGAAGGTTATATTACGGGCCGCTCGGGCCTCACGCTGTCGACCGATATCCTTCCGAATAGCCACAAGTTCTTGGATTCCAATTGCTCCAAGCTGAACGACCGCTGGTCCAATGCGTCCAGAATGACGTTTCGCAACATGAAATATTTTATAATATGCCGCAAGCATGATGACCAGCGGAATCACAAAGTTAAAGAAATACAACGAATAAATATAGAGATGCTTCGGTGCATGATGGGAAGACGGAGTGAACGTACAACACAAAAAACTGTCGTTGAATTGATACCAGCCTTGGGGGACTGGGACGAGAGCAAAAATTATAGCTTGAATCCAGACGTAAAACACGGCATACAGCGACTTTTGCATCGTCATTTTCGCACGATATTTCAGCGGTTTCATAACGGCGTAAAAACGATCAATTGAAATTAGAACCAATGCGTGTATGGCACAAATGCCGAGCAAATGATTAAGAAAACCGTTGAGTTGACAAAAGAACGACTCAGCTAACCACGAACGATTAATCAAGACGCCAAAAAAACCGGGCATCAAGAGAAGAGCAATTAAGAAATCACAAACGGCTAGATTGACAACGAAGATGCTGGAACACTGCTGTCGTAGCAATGTATTACGATAAACGGTGTACATTACGAGAAAATTACCAAGCAAAGCCGTCACGAACATCAATCCGACTATTATTCCCATAAAAATTGCTTCCATCAATCCACATTGCCGTTTGACTTTTCCTTGATAATTTCGAAAAGTGTACAACAACTAAACTCGTCGTGATAGCTAACGCAGGCAACTGCAAATCAATAAAGAGTATATGTGTCGTAATTTGCTTTTATAAGCATCAATTTAAATGATCCTATCTTCTATTATTTAATTGAACTATGTGATTGGACAATTTAGAGGAGTGGACAGCTGTTTCGGTGCGCAAATTGTCCATCGCATACGTAGACAGTCGAAACGTGAAAAAATGCTAAGAGAAATTTCACATTCAAAAGCAAAAAATTCGCCTTACCGGGACCGTGAACGATAATACAAACCGCGCGAGTTGTTAATGGGTGAGTATGCAGGTGACTTTGAAAGACAAGCAAGCAGTTTCTAAGTTTGCACACATTGATACACGGACATACCGTAGATCTCTTAATGTTTTATTCAGGCGTCGGGCAATTTTCTCTCGCATCACAATAGATGATGGCAGACGTCATTGTAACCGATTTTAATGCACCTTCCCACATGAAACAAAACATCTGAAAATGGTTAACCAATAGTAAACATGCCGACCGTGGTTCCCACATCTGAGAAACCGAACTCTTAACTGTAAATTATTTTTTTGGTTTCGGTTTCAACAAGATAACGCTCATCGAAGTTCTAATTTGAGGCAAAATCGTAGACGCACGGAGGATAATTGACGCATTTGCAGAATTTTGGTTCAAGTTGTCGAGAAAAACTAAAATTGCAATTTTTCGTACTGATTAAATTTCCTTGAAACTCGTTGACGTCTCGGTCAAAATCATTTAAATTAAAGTACTCACAGTTCGCCCTCTGTCATTTGGTTAATCTCCATCAGAATAATCGACTTTCGTCTAAAAGAAAGATTTCCTCAACGAACGACAATGAAGTGCACGAGACAATGACTCGAAAAACGAAGAAAACCGGTGAAAGCAATTAGCAACATAAATATACCTGAAAGACAACGCGCTAAAAGTCTCGCGATGAATATGTAATTTTCGAATAATGAATCGTACGTATTGGACTGTAGCGTAAATAAACGCCTCAAAAAAACTGGTCAAGTGACATTTTAACACCTTATCAATGTCTTTAGGAAAGCTTTTACACCGCATTATGGAGCAAAAGCGTCCTAACGTCGTACAATTAGCAAAGATACATAAAAATATATTCAAAGCGGTTGTTTACACAGTAAATGTGAAACATAAGCCCGTAGAAAAAACATTCTTGCAAAAAACTTACAAAAAAACATTCGTAGAAAAAACATTCTCGCAAAAAAACGTAAAAGTAATCGAAGCACAGTTTATCATAAAATAAAGATATATTTCATTTTCGTGAGCATACTCAGTGTATATATTGATTTGAATATCGCCAGCAGTGTTCTATTCAAAGGAATCTTTGCAAACACATACATCAAACTGATCAAGGTACTGAAAAAAACAAGTCATTTACGAACACCTTGCATGGTAACGACGATATTTCTTGAACTTGCATGATCTCTATGTTCGCATAACCAAACTCCCTGCCACGTTCCAAGATTTAATCTACCGTCGGTGATGGGAATTGTCAAACTGGCGCCCATTAGGCTTGTCTTGACATGAGCTGTTAAATTGGAGGAGTTATTAAATCGTCAAAACCACACTGACGACGAAAATGAAAAAAGAATGTAGTTACTCCCAAAATGCTTCTAAATGAGGCTGAAAATGTTGTTTCTACAATACCCAGACATACAGCTTTCTTTAGTGTGTGGAAATGTTGTTTCTACAATACCCAGACATACAGGTTTCTTTAGTGTGTGGAAATGTTGTTTCTACAATACCCAGACATACAGCTTTCTTTAGTGTGTGGAAATGTTGTTTCACAATACCCAGACACACAGGTTTCTTAGTGTGTGGAAATGTTGTTTCTACAATACCCAGACATACAGGTTTCTTTAGTGTGTGGAAATGTTGTTTCTACAATACCCAGACATACAGGTTTCTTAGTGTGTGGAAATGTTGTTTCACAATACCCAGACACACAGGTTTCTTAGTGTGTAGAAATGTTGTTTCTACAATACCCAGACATACAGCTTTCTTTAGTGTGTGGAAATGTTGTGTCACAATACCCAGACATACAGGTTTCTTAGTGTGTGGAAATGTTGTTTCTACAATACCCAGACATACAGCTTTCTTTAGTGTGTGGAAATGTTGTTTCACAATACCCAGACATACAGGTTTCTTAGTGTGTGGAAATGTTGTTTCACAATACCCAGACATACAGCTTTCTTTAGTGTGTGGAAATGTTGTTTCTACAATACCCAGACATACAGGTTTCTTAGTGTGTGGAAATGTTGTTTCTACAATACCCAGACATACAGGTTTCTTTAGTGTGTGGAAATGTTGTTTCTACAATACCCAGACATACAGGTTTCTTAGTGTGTGGAAATGTTGTTTCACAATACCCAGACATACAGGTTTTTTAGTGTGTGGAAATGTTGTTTCTACAATACCCAGACATACAGGTTTCTTTAGTGTGTGGAAATGTTGTTTCTACAATACCTGACATATGGTCAGATGACATATGGTCAGACACTTTATGAAATATAGGGATATCCCGGGACATTTCTATAGGTATAATTTGATCTTTGGTAATTTAATTTAAGGATTCCTACTCATGATCTTACACACACACAAGAAAATTTAATGCGTCTGCTGGTATGAGCACAGTACAGAAGTCGACCAAATAGTCATTATTTAATTTATCACAGTTATGTATGTAGATGGGATTTGAGGGATTTGGTGCAAGATTTTATATCTCTCAAAATTATGGAGGGGGACTTGAGCCATTCCCTAACCCCCCCCCCCAGTGTCTGCCACTGCACTAGTTATTGGAAATGTTGTTTCTACAATACTTGACAAACGGTCAGGTCCCTTTAGTGTATGGAACAGGGTTGGATCAATACTTATTTGACAGAAGTGGTGCATTGTTATCCTTGCTAAAGTTGCAAGGACCTCGTGCTATTGTGCATTTTTAGACTTACGGATTAGTGAACCTGTGTTATTAGCTTTTTGAAAAGTTTTTGTATGTTTTGCTGTCAATGAATTCACATTTAGTAATTCATTTCATATTTAATGTTTCAATAAAAACATGCATGGTAATACCTCAATTGCAAATGGTGGTAGTATAAAATATGCCATTACCTTTGAAATAAGAAGTTCTACTTTCATTTAGTCTTACAATTTCCCTGCACCCCCAGAAAATCCCCCCCTGGAATGGAAATGTTGTTTCTACAATATCAGGCATATGCTCCGGTCCCCTAGTGTATGAAACCCTTATTTCAACAATACCTGGCATATCATCCGGTCCCTCTAGTGTGTGTTTATACGGTGCTGTTTCAGGTGCCAGTTTATTCAACATCATTTCCATATCCCGTCTCACTGTTGGATCCCAACATTCATTTAAACTCAAACTTGCTGAAGTATGTTGCAAGCACAAATTTGCCAAACCAATCTTGTAATTCTTCAGTTGCTGCAGTTTCTTTATTTCGTCTGTAATGTTGTGAACGCCTCTCGGTCGCGCTTTTAACGATATCGTTGTTTGATACCAAATGTTTTCGTTCGACATATTAACATTGAATCTCTGTATAACATATTAAGACTGCTCCAAAAGGTCTATTTCTGATATAATTGAAAAGCAGTCAACACAACATAAAAATACTACCTTAATGAACCTAAACTATGATCAACCAATCCTTCAAAACAAAAAAAGACACCACATAGCAAAGAAGGATAATTACTTTTTGCCAAAAATTAAAAACTTCTTCCCTGAGTTCACTCCGAATCACACTTAATAACACAATACTTCATGTAAGACAAACGAAATCTTTTTCGCATTTTAAGCACCCTTGATCAACCATCAAAAAATAAAGGGTTTCATCTTCCCGCCCCTTGCTTAATTTTAAACGTCGAACAAATTACTCTTAAATACTCCCACCCTCTCAAAAACAAAGCATCGCTACGTTCTACGTCAATGCTTTACGAAATTGGATGAAAATATCAATCTAGTTTGTAAAATGTAATAGCAGGATTTCGCGTTATAATCAGTTTGTTTCTCAACTTGCAGATCATAATTATGGTTAATATGTTACCTTTGTACACAAAAATCCTCGAATTCTATGTTGTGTTCAATAAAAAATATGTCCTGGGTGTCCGTTGTTGCGACAGAAGAAACAATGAAGATGTTTTTTGTGGGGGCACAGAAACTCGTAATAGCAACAGTAATTTTAATATATTTCACAGTCATTTCAGTCGGGAAAGTGTCCTTAATAGCGATGAGTTCGTAAAAGAAGAGTTGAATGTACATTAAATTGTGTGTTGATAATGGATACTACAACTAGAATAGTTTTTTGATTTATTTTATTTTCACATCAATATGATGATTCATCCACCAACTTTAATAATATGTTACCCGTTCAATTGTTTCTGACACATGCGCAATAACGCATCGAAATCGTCGTCTTCGGCCATGCTGTCGTAGACGTCACCATACGTTTCGTGGAGTTCTTCCAGATGACTTGTCGTAGAATCTGAAATGAAGTCATGAAAAACGATGAGAATGTAAACGGTTAGAAAATGTAAGTATGTCATTTCACATTATAAAATAAACACAATGAAACGGCTGTACTGATTGGTCTAGAGCTGTACAAAAATCTGAGCTAAACCAATCAAATCAACCATAGGAATCAGTCAGTCAAAGAGAATTTACTGATTGGTCTAGAGCTGTATTTGCATTAGCCTGTACAAAAATCTGAGATAAACCAATCAAATCAACCATAGCAATCAGTCAGTCGAAGAGAATTTGCAAATCGATCATGAATACATTTTCGAGGAAAAATTAAAACGTTTACTTTAAATTTATCTGTTTCGCATTATTGTTATTTTATAAAAGAAATGAAAGATGTTTTTCGTGTGCAGGTGCAACCCTTGACCTTCGGTCTCAGGTTTGCACTGATCTGCTCTCAAGTTCTCCCAAAGTCTCCTCGGTTTGCAAAACACAGTAAACACAGTGCAAACACAGTAAACATCTTTTATTTCTTAACTAAATGTTACTCTGAATATAATGTATTTAACTTGTGCCTTTTTTGAACGTCACCTCCCTGTTTTAGGGTGATGTCATTGTAAATTTTGGTTTTCATCAAAGCAGGCGCGACACGGTATGAGAAGTTTGCCTAAACGCATCGTGCCATTTAATCTTGTAGCTATCTTTATTTTGGTTATCAACAATTTTTTAAAGAACTAAGACAAGAACGCCATTCGGCGCAAAATATTGAAGACGTTAACCGCGAGTCCACAAACAAGTCTTTGTTTTACTTTAAACTTTACCAAATGATTTCCCCGTACTTGGATGGCCTCATTTAAACTCGATACTTTGATGGCCTCATTTATACACGGACATCGACCAATCAAAGTACGCGTTATATACACGACATTTTAGAAAAGAAATTACCGAAATCGACGTAACTGCCACCACAAAATTGACGTCTGCCTCCGAAGCACAAATCAAACTTTGGTTCGTCAGGAGATGAATTACCATCTAAAAGAAGCAAAATACTTTACACAAAACAAAAACAAAAAAAAAACATAAAGAAAGCAAAGATCACAGGTTACATACGCTCAACACAGTCTCGAGCATCAGCAGGATGGGAAAACGTTACGAAACCATAATTATCACGGCTGTAAAAAGTAAATAACACAAAAATCATGTTTGTTCCATGTAAATAACACAAAAGTCATGTTTGTTCCATGTAAATAACACAAAAATCATGTTTGTTCCATGTAAATAACACAAAAGTCATGTTTGTTCCATGTAAATAACACAAAAATCATGTTTGTTCCATGTAAATAACACAAAAATCATATTTGTTCCATGTAAATAACACAAAAATTATGTTTGTTCCATGTAAATAACACAAAAATCATGTTTGTTCCATGTAAATAACACAAAAATCACGTTTGTTCCATGTAAATAACACAAAAGTCATGTTTGTTCCATGTAAATAACACAAAAATCATGTTTGTTCCATGTAAATAACACAAAAGTCATGTTTGTTCCATGTAAATAACACAAAAATCATGTTTGTTCCATGTAAATAACACAAAACATCAAAGATCCTAATCGCACTAACTTTCCAACGCGCAAATGAACGGAGATTTTCTCTATCGGTCCAAATTTCTTAAATCGCTCCCAGAGTTCGTCACGAGTCGTGCCATACGGCAATCCTCCCACGTATATTTCCCTACGCTCTTCCTGCAAAAAAAACTTCGATATAAAACCAGGGGACTGGAAATAGTGAGCTGCTGCGTTTGAAGTGCCGCTTATGACGCAAAGTTTCTTAAATAGAGGATCTTAAAGTGGCCCCTTACCAGCAAAGTCTCTACGATGAAAGCTCGGCGAGATGAAAACTGAGCATGCTCAGTATCGAATCAGTTTCAATCATTATCATCTGCGGGAGTACACTACTGATATATATAAAGACTGGATAACGCAACCTAAATTCTGGTGCCTTGAAAATTTTGAAGCCAACTTTTGACAGCGGCGGCCATATTGGACTATCCACTTCTGGTATATATTTTATAATGAATTTTTATCATATTTTGTATTCTTGATGTTTTCTCTTTCAGAAATCATGCCGAATATTTTATTATGATATTTAAGCAACGTGAAAAGATTTCTATATGAAATTTAGCAAACATGAGATTTTGTTTAAAACCTTTCTATTACAGTCATGTCATCATAATAATTCTTTTTTGTCCCAAGAGTAAAACATATGATCCAAAATAAATGCGAGAGTAGCAGTTTGTTATATGAAACCTAAATAAAAACTGAAAAAGTGGACAGTCCAATATGGCCGCCACCCGGCTTCAAGTCAAGCACTAAGCTGTGTTATCCAGTTTTATACATATCAGTGGAGTATACATCCTATGGAGATGATTCTCATTTGCAATATCAAAACTTAGTGAAATGTCTAACGTATGGGAGAAAAATTTTGTGAATTAGCTCAAATCGTTTTCCTGTCATGGCAGTTTAAAGTTGCTTTTCAACGGACCTTGTCCGTAGTGGCATGAAGCCTGGGTCGAGCCAATTCTGACGTCACCCATGGTAGTTGCTATGCTTATCTTGTATTGGGATATCTCTTGCGTGACGTCACAAAAATAAGTCGTTCCATGCTTTTCGAACGACAGACAAGGTCCATTAAAAAAGGAGCATTTTCTGCGAACTTCCAACACCCATAAAAATGGAATGATTTGCCAAACTTAAAAACTATTTTCACAGACATGTTTGAAGTCACACCTAAACTTATTATCGCAGGTAAAAATTTCAGCTGAAAGGAGCACTTTAAACAAAAGCAATTGTGATCAACGTTTAATGGAGCATTCTTCCAAAAATCTCACACTCTTAATAAAAGGTTACAGAATTTAACAAAACAGCGAGACACGTTAAGACAACAAGTTACCAGCGAAATTTAATCCAAACTAGGGCGCCCACCCCCCCCAAAAAAGACCTCGTTGTACATCCATCCCTGGACAAAATCATTAACTAAACCGAGAAGAAAACATCACAAGCAGGGGGAGAAACAAACCTTTGCTATGTCCACAATGTTCGACCTTCCTAACTTGAAATCAACTTTTCTTTCATATTCAATATCCCGGATGTATTTCGACGACGACGACGACCCTCCTTGACCCCTCTTCCTACGTGCATTCGACCTGTCCACGTATCTCTCACGTGATCGTCCGCGATCATCACAACTTCCACGTGACTCTCTCCTGACTTCGTAATTTCTTTCGTTATTTCTGACTTTATCTCGCCTTTCGAATGTATCTCTCAACGAGCGATGTTTTTTTGAGTAAATTTCATCTTCGGAGCTTCGGGCATCGCTCGATGTCGACCGTGTGTGTCTTAGTTCATTTCTTTCCTTGTCTTTAGAGCGATATTTTCTCTCTTTACTCATTCGTTTCCTCTTTTTCAATTGACTCTTGTCGATATTATTGCTCGAACCATTTTTTATGTGAACGTCATTATTATTCGTTTCTCCGGAACTAGTTCTTGTTGAGTCTTTGTTGCTGTTCTGTTGCCCACCTTTTTCGATAGCTTGTGTGTTCACCTTATTGTTCAAGCGTTCATTCCCATCGTGTGTATATCTGGTGATGAAAATTTTTTCATTTTAATATGCTTATTGTGGTATATTACAGTGGTGGGAACAATTTTACTTAGGTGGGGTGGGTGGGGAGTGGCAATCGCGTTCAACTAAAATGCGCCCAATAAATTTAACACTTTAAAAACTACGACCAAAGGCCAGAGACGGTCACAGCAGGTGTGAATAATAATAGTGGGCTCGCGGGCATGCCCCCCCCGGAAAATTTTTAAATAAAGAAGCATGACACTGGTATATTAAATATAAGAATCAAACAAAGCAAAGACTTACCCTGGTGATGGTGCAGGAGTTAGAAGGCCAGCTGAATTACTTATTGCTGTCAATAAAAAAAAAATAACTTCATAATGAAGCCAAAAAGAAACATAAAACTTTTAGACATTCCTGTTTTTAGAATCAATTAAAAGAGCCACAAGAATCAGAGGAGGACACAAGTGTCTGAGGGGGGCAGGGGTGGTCCCCTAATACTTTTCAAATAAACACATTGATTTATATTTTAGTCATTTAGACTTGAGTTATTTGAATATATTATATGCCCAATATCTGTTCAAAATTATAAATTATCATGTGACTTGTTTTGCCATTTTCCTCACATCTCCCCCCCTTGCAAATGTCCACCACCGGTAAGAAGGCAGATTTGCAGAAAGGGTTATCACTAAACAAGGAGGGGGTACTATTGTGAAAAGTGTAGGGAAAAAATCATAAAATCAAACCTTCTTCAAACTTATCCAAAAGATCACCTAAATCGCTTGCTTCTATCCCTACAAACCAAGAAAAAGGAATTGAGCCCCTTCTCTTAGACAAATACACAGACTTTTGTTTTTATTGAACGTGTCCTTCATTATACTACAGTAAACTCTGAGTTTTGTGATCATCTCCCGTATCATGCACATTTGGTTGTTAAAGACGGTTTGTAAACGACATAATGAACTTGAATTTTTTTACCCTATCCATGTTATATATACATACTTCATGTTATATGTACATACTCCATGTTATATGTACACACTTCAACTTGAATACAAAAGTACAGATTATTTAGTCATGCAAATTACAACAAATGAACAGTACTACATAAGCATCAACAGTTTCAGGCAAGTTAATTTTTGTTAACAATTCAGCATAAAAACAATTTTATGTTTGGGGGCATAAAAATATGGTCGGTGGTTACATTACGCAGGTGGTCACTCATTAATAAACATTTTAAAGAAGATCTTATTCATGCTGCAAAAGCAGCCATTGACAGCTTGTGGTTGCAAAACAAAGGGATCACAAAACACAGGATTCACAAACATGACAAAGCACAACTAAACAAACAAACAAACAAACAAACAAACAAACAAACAAGGATGAATATAATACTAAAGTCTATGAATGAGAAAAAATATGAACTAAGGTTTGGTTACTAAAACAACGCTTGTTAACTACACTTAATCACATGTTTTTATACCTGAACCAATTCTTTCTTCTGCATTTCCAATCTAAAGAAACGAATTTTAAAATGATAAAGTACACCATAGACAATAGTTTCCACGTACAAACTCAAACATCTCTATTCAAAACAATGAAATACAACAATCTTTGTGGAAAGAGCGAACACCTTTGTAATTTTTCACATCATTACTACGGGGTGACAGAGAGTATAATAGCAGATAAATTATTTGAATATGATAGCCATGTATCACATTCAATAGAGTGCAATTCGATGAAAAGGGTTTTACACAATAATTTTCGTAAAATTTCAGCATTTTCGTCGACTTCCGGAAAACTACCAACACACGTGTCATAGTAAAATGCCATTTTATATATCGAAAAAACATCATCTATTATGGAAAGGTGAGCGAAATTCGCGTTACATTCTCACTAATTACATTCCTCTTCAAAGGATGAGTTCATTTACCTCGCTGCCATCAACGTAAGAATATTTATCTTGTGTTGTGTTGTCATTGTTAAGGTGAGCACATGGTTCCACGATGGCAATCTTTTCCATATTCGCAAGGTGGTCAACTTCATCGATGGAACTTCTGACATAATCGTGATCAATCAATATTCGCTTAACGTGCTCCACGCTTGTCGTACCCATATTTCTAATGTTCGTTTGTAAATAGTGATCAATACAACGCAATGTCTAAACTCGAGACACCACACGACAAATCGCCATCTTTGAATGATGACATGCGTATAATGACGTTGCAGGCGTGACGTCACAACTGGGCATTGTCGATATGATACTGACTCGACTAATGACAATTTAAATCTCGCCTTACAAAATATTCTTTACAAATGCTACGCACATTAAAGCAAATGAATGATTTTATTTAAGAATAGAATTTTAATGGCTGGTAAAGTATGGCTAAATATTATCGCATTCCGTTGTAAACAACAGAATCGAGACCCAAATAATCATCTTAATTCGAAGCGTCGATGGAGTACGCTTTCTTGAGCTCCATCGTTTCGGTATGAACAATTCGACTGATCTTTTGCAAGGCCCCATACTCGTTGTCTAAGCACTCAAATTTGAGGATAAGATCTTCAACCCTTGTTTGCATATCTTTGTAGAAGCTGGCAGGAATGCCGACGACAAACCTCGATGAGTAGGACTTTATCGATTTCGTTGAAGGCTATGGGAAAGAACAAGGGCAATTTAGTAGAGTGTGGGTCGGTTCGCCTAGCGCAAAAATGAATAGCCAAATCAAATTACCGCACTGTCAGCCTGTTTCTTTTGTGTCATATCATCAAGTGGTTGCGCATTGTCTTTCTTTGTCTCGTCACGATTGGGAGTCTCATCATCCCTAATCATGCTTATAAATTCTCTGAAGTCCTTTTCTTCGTCGATAACTGGATCTTCTTTAGTCGGAGTGGACGTCGGTCTGAAACCCGTTTGATTGCTCTCCTCTGAGTTCTGCATATTATTCATGACCGTCGAAATAAGATCATCCAACCCTTTCTCGTCCTCGTGAACAGTGCTTGTCATCATTTCTTCCTCAACCTATCCAATAAAACACAGATCAATCCTCCTAAAGTACACTATGATAGTGTTAAAGTAAAGTAAATGATTTGAACCCGGGAGTATCGTTACATGTTTGTAAATGTAGATCGTCCAGGTTGGTATTGTCCAGGTTGGTAGTTTTGACTCTGAAGATGATTACCGCTAAGGTTGTCAAAATGCCAGTCAACAACAACAAAAACAGTCCTTCTCAGGACTATACCAACCTGGACGATCTACATTGACAAACATGGATAGTGTTGAACTATTGTAGACGTACCGTAGGCCCAGCGTACTCTCTTTTTTCAAGAACGTCATCCGAAAGAGTTTGGTCCATCTGAACATCATCTTTGCCAACTGGACGTTGGGCTTTCTTCTGTTCTTCGGGGGGAATCGTTTCTCCAGCGTCGCCGAGCAATTCTTCAAAAGCGTCTCCAATACTGCTTTCCTCTAAGCGGGCAAAATCTTTCTTCAGCTGCGGTTCAACAGTTGCTTCAACCTTGTTGTTGTCGAACGTAGGCAAGTTACTCACGCGAGTTTTCTTCGTCTTGAATATTTTAAAACTCATTTTCCTGGAACAAGAAAGCTTCACTCGGTAAATCGCTCAAAAGACCATCAAGCGCCTGGCATGAGCCTTTTATACCAATCAATTTATAACAATGATTTGCAATCAACGGTTTAAAGACAACCGGAAAAGTCATTTCCGATTCGCTATTCCTTCAAAAACACCCCCAAATCATACTTCTAAACGACAAACAGCGAGACGTTCTTCATTTTCCGAATTTGAACATAAGACAGAACGCAATAAGGAAAATATCTCCATTCCCAAAACACCATCGACAGCCATTAAAAAATTTGCTAAAAAGCTTTGATTTAAATCTCGATGAACTCGACAAATGTTGTAGAGAGTATGTTATATTTCTCATACCAACTAACCAAGCAGCCATAAACCTCACTTACCTTGTGTTCAAATTATTTTGAACAGATGACAGCGATGTGATTTTTAACGCGATGCAAACGTACGACGACGTCAACAAAGAAATCCAAGCGAAGATTTACAGCAACTTACAAAAGCTAGCGAAGCATATCACGGTTGTGAAACGCAAACAGTATATTCATTAATAGATAATTAGTACATATTCATAAATGTTGATTAGAAATTCAAACAGAAGACAGTTCACTAATGTTACTACGATATTCGAACGAATCCAAGGCGAAATGGTTTTTTAAAGGGCTCAAGAGTATTGTATATAAGACAGGGATGGATTTAGGAGGGTAGGGAGGGTACAGGTCCGGGATCGCACCCCTCCAAGCTTTGGCCACAGGAGGTACGGCAACAAGTAACCACTGAAATTTATTCCAAACCAGAACACCCCCCTCGTATAAAACCATCGCGAATCCATCCCTGATTTCTGAACACTTTTCTAAAATATTGAAAGACCTCCCTCCCGTACATAATACGTTATTGGTTTAAGAAAGAGTTCGGTCGTAGTCGAGACTTCTCAGCTTCTTAATCGTGGTTTCCCAAAGTTTTTTCTTTTCCTTGTCAACTTTTCGGAGGTTCAACAGCCCCTTCTTCTTTTCAGACTCGGTGCTCAATCTGATCAAGTGAATAAAGGCACAAGCCATCGACACAAGATGTTTGAATAGAAGTTCAAAAAATATTTGTATATGAACGTAAGTCGCGAGAAATGAAAACTTACTTTTCCAACAATTGTGCAGCGACAATAGGATGGACTCTCAAATATTTACTGTGTTCTTTTCCATAATCTGCTATGTAAGTTGACCAGTCTTCGGACAAGAGTAGGTCAACCAACTAACATGTAAAGGCAATTTTAGTGTTCTCGATTGAAATGAAACAAAACAAACATGTTTATTTTCCAGTGGCATAGCCCGCCCGCCCATTAAGTCTAGCAATGCGGAATTTTTCCCAAATCTCGCTCACTGAAAAACAATATATTTCCTAAAGCGTGCATGAACATCCCCGCCGGAGAACGAATGAGCAGCACTTTAACAGATGTTGTCTTTATAAACTGTTGTGTACACTTAATGATATTTCTATACTTTCAATTTTAAGGGGCCAATAGTACTCATTATCTTGTCCTTTGCAAGCCCGCCTCCGTACATTTCTAAAGAAATGAACGAGGATAATGGTCTGGGAAGTTTACAGAGCAGGACCGAAACCTATAGGCTGGCTACGTCACTGTTATTTTCGCAAAAACCACATGTCGTCCTAACCTGCCTGAGTTCTGTAAACGTCAGTTGCAATGTACCATCGTTGAATCCTTCCACAGGATTAGAATTGGCAAATTCTGCAATCAAAAGTTAATCGCAGGTTGGCTACAATGTCAGTAACTTCGCCAGCCTGCGTGCAGGCTCCACGGGGGAGAGACTGCCGATTCGCCGTCTCTACATTCTCTCGCCCTAATTTTCTCTCCCCCATAGAGACTGCACGCAGGCTATAACTTCGCATGTGAAATTGAAGAACTCTTGACGCGCACCTTCACACTGTCTTAAATCTTGGTTAAAATCTTTAAGACCGTTCATGTTCATCTCGCGTATCTAAAAAAATACATAATGTTGCACGAATATCCAGGAAATGTAAGTCTGCGTACTTATGAGAAGTATGAAACAGTACGGAGAAGAACCCGAAGTAGTGTCAGCTTACGACAGGTTTCCGTAAGCTGAGGGTCGACTGTAATTGCCTTATCACGTGTAATTACCAATGATTTAGAACCCAATCCTCTAGATGTCTTACTGCCGAGTCATGGTGAGGCAAGGACGCCATCTTGAAAGATGGCGAAAAGCAAAACTCAAAATGAAAAATAAGCTAAAAGAAGGTTTAAAAAACCCAATGCATCAAACATTTTAAAAATTACACCCGTACTATCAACTTTGCAACTGTATATCAACTAAGAAAAAGCAGAGATTAGTCTTAAATATCGTCAGTTTTGCAACCTTTCAAGATGGCGGCTTGCCTCACTCGTTGCTATAAAATTTTGGAGTCAGATACCTAGTAGATTGGGTTCTAGGTCTTTAGTAATAACCCGTATGTTTCCTCCAATGATTTGAATTTCAGTTTGATACTCATTGCTTTATTCAAAGATCTACCAGATTGTCGTTAATCACCACACCAGACACAATTTCATACATGAAAAATGAAAATAAAAACGCAAAGCGCACACTTACGCTTTCATCAACAAGGAATTCTCTGAGACGATTTGAAAGATGCTTACATGACGACATACACGCGGTCTGCGCGACATTTCCCTGGGAACAAATGACATAAAAGTAAAGGCTGATTTCCATTCAGTGCAAATTGTCGTGCGATCGACTTTTTGAGATCAAATTTCTTTTTCCAATTGTAAGCTCTCGACCAGAACAGTTTCACACTGGTGCACGCGATTTAAAAGAAAGTGGTCGCAAAAAGTAGATTGCGCGACAACTTGCACTTAATGGAAATCGGGCTTAAGAGTTGGACATGAAACCGCTAAGGTTCAGGTGTGTACAGGTCAGCTGTACAACTTACGGGAAGGTTGGTGAAAGTTAGAAACGTAACTCGAAGATACGTGAGTAGGTCAACAAGATATTCACTCGGTTGATTTTTACTACGAGACGATGACCAATTGTAAGAGGCTGAAACAAAAGCATAAAGGAATAAATGACGTTTTCATCCATATGCTAAGATCGCAGATAGATGAATGCAGGGATGGATCCACGATGATTGTGTAGAGGTTTATGACGGGATGGGGATGGGGGTGGGGTGCGCGCGCTCTAGTCCAGAATAGTTTTTGTTGCCGTACAATGTTAAAATATTTTGGTTAAAATCTGTAACCTTTTTATTACAATAGGGAGGATTTTAGGAAGTGTGCTGCATCAAGAACTAATCCCAATTTCTTTTGCTCAACTGTTAGGAGCATTGGTATTTTGTTGGGAAAGTGCCACCCCCACCCCCCGGCACTACTTTCCTAAATTCATTCCCGTAATGCAAGGGCATTTCCACACTAGAAGACAGCTAAGATGTCGTTAATGCTAAAAAAAATTTTGAAGATCTTTTCTCGTGAAATGGCTTCGATGAGCAATCTCAGTTGCATGTGCTTCACGTGTTTTACACTCGATGACCATAATATAAATTAAAGCGTCAACCTTTAGCTGAGGTCGTGTTACAATAAAATTTAAGGACGTCCTAAGGATTGAGGTCGAGATAAGGTTTTGAGGTTATATTTGCGATTGATGGAGCACACTTCTAAAAATCTCTCTCAGTCAACGTGTACGAGTAACAGAACTTACAAAAACAAGGCACGGCAACACCCTCAAAGTCCCCACCAAAATTTACTTCTAACGAGAGCACCCCTCCCCTCTCCCCCAAAAATCATCCAGGATCCACCCCCTGGCGTAAAAACGGTCAATGATTAAGATGTTACCAAGATCAAGAAATTCGTCCATCTTTTGATTCAACTTCTCATACACACGCTGCTCAGCTTCGGCACGAACATTCTGCGTTGTAAAAAACAACGGGGATGCGACAGAAAAATACATAAAAGTACAAGCAAGGGCCATTTGTACCAATGTGTACCTTAAATGCCCCCAGACCGTAAACCTTAGCCACGTTCTCGTAGTCATTAGACGTCCTAACATGAAATAAACACATCATTTTAATTTGTAGAAAGCCTGGTACACACTAGTCCTAATAGAGCTAAGAATCGACAGTAATATGTGCGTCAAGTGCTTTCAGTATCCCAATTGCTACAATTCATTGTTTATACAAGCCTAAATATGTCGCATATCGGGGAATACATGATGGAAATAGAAATCGTTGCTAGGTGATGAGAGATGACGTTTTAAATGACATTTGCTTGATGGTTCAAACTTCGCTCGTTAATAATGTGATTTTTAGGTAAATTGTGATTCGGGTTGTTTGGCGTTGACGTAACTTAAAGACTCTTACAAAAATTGCAATTACAACAAACGTTACCCGGTCATTTCTCTGACAAAAGCTTCAAGACTTTCGCTGGCCGACTCCAAGTGTAAAGTATTGATCGAAGTTTGAACAGTCTGAATAAAGAAGAGTTTGCATTTGATATTTTGGGCACTCTATGTTGGCTAAAGTGCCAATGAAACAAAAATTTTGCTATTTCAACAAACGTTTCATTGAACAGAACTTTCAAAATGAGAACAGACTTCGTAAAACAGACGACGAATAACTCTTTTCATATTCAAAATATTGACGTTTTTGTCATGTCATATTTATACAAGTAATCACATCACAACGCATGATAAACATTTAAATTTTTAAATGCATACGCTAATATGTTACTTCAACCAAAAGTTGCCTGGAAACTAAAGAATTCAGAGTTCCATTCACAGTGAAGTATCAATGCTATATGAAATCATGTCTGTTCATTTCAACCAAAAGTTGCCTGGAAACTAAAGGATAATTAAAACTTTGCAGTGACTCATTATGCCATAAGACGTAATAACTTAAGCAAATCGTTCGCAACTAACACTTGAATATGTTGAGAACAAAAAGAGATGTACATTAACCGTTTTAGAAATCATGTCGTCATTTCAAAAGTTCTTTCCCATGGAAACATAATTTAAAATGTAAAATCTTCGTTTCGCATGCGCTTTAACCCTTTCTGTGGCAGTGTGGCTGATCTGCAACAACCACCAAACGAAATGGCAAATAACGTTTTGAAAAAACTCGTCCCTCTAATGAGTGTAAGACCAACAAACCTGAGCAAGGGTTAATTTCTTTTTCCGTATCACGTTGTTGAGACAAGCTAAATCATAGAGGTAATAGCAGCAAAACAAATGTCAAGAACATACGGGAGATTATTCAAAGTGATCATGTGCGAACAGTAACCTGCCAATGTCTTCGTAATGAGGAAATTTGTTGAACGTCTCAAATTATCACCAATGTCCATTTGACTAAACAGAAATTTGACAAAATAAATGTACAGGAGGTGATAGGGGTTGCAGATGGTTGCTTGGTAACAAACAGTGCTGCTAATCTCCAAACGAATGAAGAATAAGCACAGGATAAAACATACTGCGATAAACAAAGTCCACTTGACACCCTTACCAAAGATATGAGTTACTTATATGAAAAACAATAACTTGAGTTTGCAAGAGGACCTTGTTTATCGGAGTATGTTTCATGCTATTTTTCTTGAAATTGTCTGCTTGGAAAAAATTTTATTGACATGCGTATACCACGCAATTGAAGAAAGGCAAGTGTAATTTATATTTAATGGAGGACAGTCCCCCCAAATATCTTCCACTAATGATTTAAAAGTTACAGAATTTGACACATTAAGTCTGACGTGGTAAGCGATACGCGTAAATTAGCCACCAAAATCTAATCCAAACTTTAGCACCCACCCACCCCCCTCCCCCCAACGAATTCATACTGGGTCCATCTCTGACAAGCAACAATAGATACTGAATACTTTTCTTGATAAGGAGAGATATGAAGGTATTTTGGATTTGCCTAACGTTACTATAGAACTAGTGTTGAACGACCTACACGCTACTATGGAAGTAGTGTTGAACGACCTACACGCTACTATAGAAGTAGTGTTGAACGACCTACACGCTACTATAGAAGTAGTGTTGAACGACCTACACGCTACTATAGAAGTAGGGTTGAACGACCTACACGCTACTATGGAAGCAGTGTTGAACGACCTACACGCTACTATAGAAGTAGGGTTGAACGACCTACACGCTACTATGGAAGCAGTGTTGAACGACCTACACGCTACTATAGAAGTAGTGTTGAACGACCTACACGCTACTATAGAAGTAGTGTTGAACGACCTACACGCTACTATAGAAGTAGTGTTGAACGACCTACACGCTACTATAGAAGTAGTGTTGAACGACCTACACGCTACTATAGAAGTAGTGTTGAACGACCTACACGCTACTATAGAAGTAGTGTTGAACGACCTGCACGCTACTATAGAAATAGTGTTGAACGACCTACACGCTACTATAGAAGTAGTGTTGAACGACCTACACGCTACTATAGAAGTAGTGTTGAACGACCTACACGCTACTATAGAAGTAGTGTTGAACGACCTACACGCTACTATAGAAGTAGTGTTGAACGACCTACACGCTACTATAGAAGTAGTGCTGAACGACCTACACGCTACTATAGAAGTAGTGTTGAACGACCTACACGCTACTATAGAAGCAGTGTTGAACGACATACACGCTACTATAGAAGTAGTGTTGAACGACCTACACGCTACTATGGAAGTAGGGTTGAACGACCTACACGCTACTATGGAAGTAGGGTTGAACGACCTACACGCTACTATGGAAGTAGGGTTGAACGACCTACACGCTACTATGGAAGTAGTGTTGAACGACCTACACGCTACTATAGAAGTAGGGTTGAACGACCTACACGCTACTATAGAAGTAGTGTTGAACGACCTACACGCTACTATAGAAGTAGTGTTGAACGACCTACACGCTACTATAGAAGTAGGGTTGAACGACCTACACGTTACTATAGAAGTAGGGTTGAACGACCTACACGCTACTATGGAAGTAGTGTTGAACGACCTACACGCTACTATGGAAGTAGTGTTGAACGACCTACACGCTACTATGGAAGTAGGGTTGAACGACCTACACGCTACTATGGAAGTAGGGTTGAACGACCTACACAAACATTACAAACCTAAAATTCAAATTTTCATAAAATTTCAACGATGCCTTGATGAATTCTTTTATCTAAAACAAAAGAGACAAAATAAAGTAAATGGTTTGAACCCGGGAGTATCGTTACATGTATGTGGATGTAGATCGTCCAGGTTAGTAAAGTCCTGAAAATGACTGTTGTTGTTGATGTTGACTGACGTTTCGACAACTTTAGCGGTAGTCATCTTCAGAGTCAACCTGAGAAGGACCGTTTGTGTTGATGTTGTTTGACGTCTGGACAACCTTAGCGGTAGTCATCTTCAGACTCCGAAGATGACTACTGTTGAGGTTGTCGAAAAGTCGGTCATCAACAGTCGGACATCAACAGTCCTTCTCAGGACTCTACTAACCTGGACGATCTACATCTACAAACATGAGAGAAATCTGAGATAAAATTTCTGCTAGTGCTGTCATACACGCAATTCAAAAGCTTTACCTGCGCATAGACCTTTATCACACATTCCGAGAAGTCGATTCTTTTTGGGAAAGTTTCCTAAGGGATGGTTACGCTTGTAAAATCAATTCACCACAATGAAAAATACTTGTGAAGTAACAACAAAAAATACGTGCTCTGATTACTCTATAGCTGAGTTTGCATTGGCCTGTGCAAGCTCAATTCAATTATATCAACGCGTGTGCTGATTGGTCTATAGCTGAGTTTGTTTTAGTCTGTGCAAGCTCAATTCAATTATATCAACGCGTGTGCTGATTGGTCTATAGCTGAGTTTGCTTTAGTCTGTGCAAGCTCAATCAATTAAATCAACGCGTGTGCTGATTGGTCTATAGCTGAGTTTGCTTTAGTCTGTGCAAGCTCAATCAATTAAATCAACGCGTGCGCTGATTGGTCTATAGCTGAGTTTGCATTGGCCTATGAAAATCAAAACATTTGTTTCAGATTTATCTGTTTCGCATTATTGTTATTTTATAAAAGAAATAAAAGATGTTTACTGTGTTTGCACAGGCTTATGCAAACCTCGGAGAGAAAACCTGCTCTCGAGTTCTCACAAAGGTCTCCTGGGTTCGCATAAGGCCCGTGCAAACACTGGGTAAACATCTTTTATTTTTTTTACTAAAATATTATCACACCAGTTTAAGCTGTTCGTTGTAGCGTGGGAAATCTCCAAATATCTCCAAATATTCTTGTTTGGTTTGGCAAACAATTGGATTGTAGTTGTCCTCTTCAAAAATTCCACTAAACACACAAAAATCACACATCACGGACGGTGGACATTCCACATTTTTCATCCGTCACGAGTTTTTCCGTTACATTTTACTCACTCAAATATGCCTTTCCAGTGTTTCATCAAAACTGTGTGGTATTGTTGTCTAAGTGAAAATAGAAAGTCGTTTGTTGCCTTCATTCAACAAATCTTCGGAAGTTTCTCTACTCACCCCATGCCAAATAGAACATCGTTTATGTGAGAGACAGACAGTCCATAGGCCTGGGAACGAGAAAAAAATCCAGTCAAAGATATAGTGGAACGTATGGTGAATATAACGGAAGGTAATGAGAAAAAAACCCCAGTCAAAGATATAGTGGAACGTATGGTGAATATAACGGAAGGTAATGAGAAAAAACCCCAGTCAAAGATATAGTGGAACGTATGGTGAATATAACGGCAGGTAATGAGAAAAAAAAATCCAGTCAAAGATATAGTGGAACGTATGGTGAATATAACGGCAGGTAATGTTGATTGATTCTCACAGATAGTGTATTGCAAAACCATCCGATCAATTCCTTCACTTTGATCAAAAGGTTTGTTTCTTCAATGTGGCCCTAAAAACGAAAACTTCTGCTTTTATATTCTAATTTATCCATTGATAACCTGCTCAACAAATCAATTCAAAAAAGGGAAAAAATCGGACCGACTGTTAAAGCTTACACACTGACTCTTTAAACTTAAAGACTGATTCTTTAAACTTAAAGACTAATTCTTTAAACTTAAAGACTGATTCTTTAAACTTAAAGACTGATCCTTTAAACTTAAAGACTGATTCTTTAAACTTAAAGACTGATTCTTTAAACTTAAAGACTGATTCTTTAAACTTAAAGACTGATCCTTTAAACTTAAAGACTGATTCTTTAAACTTAAAGACTGATTCTTTAAACTTAAAGACTGATTCTTTAAACTTAAAGACTGATCCTTTAAACTTAAAGACTGATCCTTTAAACTTAAAGACTGATTCTTTAAACTTAAAGACTGATTCTTTAAACTTAAAAACCGATTCTTTGAACATGCAGTAAACATAAAAGTAAACAATTCACAGACTAACTCTTTACGCTTACAGACTGACTCTTTAAACTTACAGACTGATTCTTTAAAACAACGGCAATGTTTGCAACAGCCTTGTCCCACATCTCATCAATAGTGCTTCTGTTAAGATAAAAAACTTATTCTTTGATGCAATTTAAAATTTTTTTATGCATGAAACAGATTTCACAACTGAATGTGTTTTGAGATAAAACTGGAGACTTCATTATATAAAAAATACATTCGTACCGCGTTCATATAGTAACCCAACTTACAACCGACTGAAACTGAGAACTATGAGACTTCCCAGCTGCGTCTTGTTGACTAGTACTTAAACATCGTTTCAAAGAACACACGTAGCTAGTTTCATGCAATGTCAAAGAATGAAGTCATTAGTTGAGAACAAACAAAGCTGCTCTGTGTTAACAATCACACATTCCAATAGCGCCGTTTGGAAGATTTCCGTCTTCATTCATCGGCGAAAAAAAGCTTCTTGTTTGTTCATTTGTTGTCTTGTAGGTCCCACACGGCTATTTATACTGTTAAATATTGGACAGCTCGCTATAATTTAGCCCATTACCTGGTGACCAAACCTTGTGTTGTGTGTAATATTGTGTCTTCGACGACAAAAAATCTTTAAAGTAAAAAAAAAAGAAGAAAGAATACGTCAAACGACAAGATCTTGTGAAATTCACAAGCGAAATAGATCTTACCCAACGATTTCATGGAAATACAAGCGATATGACTCGAGAGATTTTCCCTGAAAACATTCGTAATTTAATGAAAACTGTCAAATAAGGAAAACAAAAATAGACGTTAAGTCAATCTTTGAAAAAAGGAAATTTTACAAGACCAAGACTAGAAAATGTTCTGGAATTTTTTCGAAAATATCTGTTCTTTTTTCAACTAGCAGGAGTTTTTTCTCCCCCGAAAATATAGAGTAAATTTAGAAGGTGTTTTAGGGATTTACAGGCAACCACTAACTGCGATAATCAAACGCTTGCTTCCAATAGTTAATAATGAAAGGAAGTTCGTTTGAAAAATATTTACTCACACGAAGTTTTAAGTAAGTTTGGTAGAAACTTTCGAACTTATAAATTTTTTGCCGAGAATTCAAATACTCCATCCAGGCCCTAAGAAAAACCGATCAAAAGAAAAGCATGCAAAGTGTTTGTCAAGTGCCTACGTTATACGAAAGATTTTGAATTATAGGAATTTTATAGCGAGCCACATTACACGATTGGTCATATTAAAGAATCTTGAACGCGATTCCCTCGACATCAAAAGTTGCCATAGTAAGTTAAAAATAGAAACTTCAGGGAAACATGAATATTTACAAGAGCAATAATTTTGCTTTTTAACACAACTTAGAGTGCAATTTTGAGGACACAAATAGCAATGATGCAGGAGAAACATGAGCATGTAAGGCGGAAAATGTAATCAACGACAACAGATTTCTTTTTACTCTTTACTAGATAACCATGAAAAAAGGCAAGTTTGAGAGCTAGTATGCACAGGGAGAGGTGTTTGCCCCATAAAACTGGGGGGGAGGTAGAAAGAAGGGGGTGGTGGTGAAAGTCACTCGGGACGTGCCGAAACAAATTAACTTATATAGCTATCGATTTAAAATTGTCATGAAAATAGGGGGGTGCAATTCTACCGTTGTCCCCCCCTGGCTACGATTCTGATACTGCACACACTACCCAATGAACAACAACACATACGGTTGTTGAACTGCTGCCGGTTGCTTCGACAACAAGTCTTGCTTGCTTCCGTCTCTGCTTCCGATAGTAATCAATGTAGGTATCTCGCAGACCCTAAATGACGTCACAACTCGATGTTAGAAATTAAAAAGTAACTCTTCGAGTGCAGTAAACAACAGCAAAAAGCAACTCTTCGACTGCAGTAAACAACCGCAAAAAGAATGACATCTCAGGATACTTGATGAGAGCGAAATACTTACTAAAACAGTGTAAATATGTAGACCTCTGTAGACAGGAGAAAAGTCGACCAATTCATGAGCGCTTGAGCAAGATTCCTATAAAATTCTTAGGTTACAATCCTTTTAAATTTTGGAAAAAAATTTTTGTTATCATACTTCGTCTTTTTCGAAAGGATTTTCACCGACTCCACGCAAAACGGACAAGTTGTGTCTTTTCTGAGCCTTAATCATGAAAAAATACAAATCAACATATTGATCACAGGATCCTCCATAAATCCACATGTTAAACATGCGATCCTCCATGGATCCACATATTAAACATAAGATCCTCCATGGATCCACATAATAACCATGTGATCCTCAACTGAAAAACACAGATCAAATCACCTGCTTCATTGCAATTGCTCCTAATTTCTTCGAATGCTCCCTAATACCAGCAAGAAAATCCTAAAACAATATTTCAATGAGCATTAACAAAGTGATGTCATATTATAATTATATAAATTCTCACGTTCTCTCACCCTCAAGTCGGACATGGCTGCATCCTTAATGTTCTCCCGAAAAATTGGAATACGTGAACTCATTATTGTAGCAAAACGAAAACTAAAAAAGGAAAATGTCGGTGTCTACAGATTGCATACTAATATATGTAGTATATAATCCATTTGAGTACCTGCTTATCCTGGGAAGATATGTATGTTCCAGTTGTTCAAGACTTTTCAATGCAGGATAATATCTATAAATGATCAAATGAAGAATATAATTTAAGAAATAAAAGATGTTTACAGTGTTTGCATGGGCTTATGTAAACCAAGGAGATCTTTGGAAGAACTCGAGAGCAGATCAGCAAGCCCAACACTGAAGGTTGACAAACGTCTCTGAGGTTTACATAAGCCAGTGCAAATACAAAAAACATCTTTTATTTCTTTTATAAAACAACAATGCGAAACAGAGAAATTTCCAACAAACAACATTATAATTTTTCCTCTAAAATGCATTCATGAATAAATTGAAAATTCTCTTTGTAATCAAATTGATTGATTTGATTGATTGAGCTCAGATTGGTTTTCACTGGTTAATGCAAACACAGCTATAGACCAATCCCCACATGCATTGTATTGTTTTTATTTTATAAAGAAGTTTGCTTAATCTTTGTTGACACAAATTTTAGTCAAAATTTTTACAACTCTTACCTTTTACGATCTAATTGCTCTTGTAACTTAGCATACATTTCCAACACTAAAAAAGAAAGAAAAGTTAGAACATGGTTCCGTAATATTTTAAAACATATGAAGTAAAATAATTAATGCGAAGTAAAACAATTCATGAGAAGTTAAAATAATTAATGGCAGTAAAATGCTTAATATGATGTGAACTATATAAATAAAAATACTTACAAGATGAGGGAGAGGGAGGGGAGAGAGGGGGGAAGGGGGAGGAAGGGGGAAGGATGCAGCCATCCTAGCCTTGGTTAGAGCAGCTGCAGGAAGCTTGTCAAATTTTTTTAGGAAGCAATCAAGCTGATTGTGATTGATGGAGCAGACTTCAAACAATACTCTCAATCATTGTAATTGTAAAATTTACCAAAGCAGGGCACAGCAACACCAACATAGAAACCACCAAAACATAACTCAAATTAAATCACCTCACGGTGTAAAATTATCCTGGATCCATCCCTCGTATAAAAACAGTGATGCGAAATATAATAGTGATGTAAAAAAGTCCATACCTGGCAAACACAATGTAATCTTCTCTATTGTAGATGCAATGTTTCTTTGCATGTAGCGACATTCAATTAAGTTGGCCACTTGTCTTGCAAGCTAAAAACATTAAAAATTTACTCAACACTATGCCAAGAAGACTCTGCAAATGTCAAATCTTCAAACCTCATTTCCGGAATCTTTAAATGATCCATTTAAAACTGTCACATATTCCTGTAGAAGATGAAATATCATTCATTATCCATCATTATCCAAAGTATCACATCAAAAGTAACATATAATACCTTCAACTTGTAGGTATCTCCTTTCACATTGAGGAGTTCGTTAATAGATTCAATGAATCCTTGGTAATGAAAATTACACATCTTTTCAATTTCCTTATCATGCTGTTTGATACTTTCTTCGAGTTTTTTCATAAACACTTCGTGACCTTCGCTTTTATACACAGTTCTGAAACATAATTAATTCTTGCCTTGAGAAATTAGGACAAAAATGGGGTCAAGGCCTGCTCAGACATTTGCAAACTTCTTTACACACCAATTATAAAACATAGCAGAGTGTTTCCTTAAATAAATAATTTATGACATTAGGCTCAATGACAGTGTGAAACCTGTTATTTTCTAGCATGATAAAACAAGTCTTAGAAGTTTAATAGTAATCTCTAATCCATATAGTTTTGTTTCTAGCTTTTGATAAACAGAAGTATGGAATGAATGAAGCTTTAGATCTCTTGGTTACAGAATTGTTCACTTTAAAAATATATAATATACGAACTAGTGATCTTTCTTTCATGGGACTTCTTGGTCAAGGAATTGTTCACTTTAAAAATTAAAAATATGTAATATACGAACTAGTGATCTTTTTTTCATTAAAGCATAAGACACTCTCACTCTCAGCACATCGAGAAGCGCGAGGATCTATAATATGCTATATATACAACACAACATTTCTTTTATTCTGAAACTTTTTTATGCCGTTATATTTTGGTTATGCTGATTACAAAAAAAGAAAAATTATTTTCCCAACAGTGGCATGCAACGTTTGTCATTGAGTTACACAGGCACAACACCAGAAATGACTTTATTTGACGGGTGAGATTTATTGAAAGAAAATTAACAGAATGAACACATTACATATACTTTTAAAACAAACCTGGTTCATCCCAAGTAGCAAGTTTAAAAATTTTGTTTCACTCAAATAAATCAAAATTACACCAAGAACCTTCACGCCACACTTACTTCCACTTATCAGAGTTAATTTAAAGTGGCCTTACTTCAATGTTGGTCCCACAGGACCATCGCTGCTTTCAATTTCCCCAAGAAGTGTATCGTATTGTGATGGACCACTCTGTACTTCAACCTCCATAACACTCACTCAATATTTCCCTTTAATTTTTGGATAAATTTGTGTTTTCAAAGAACATTTCTCTATTCACTGACAACAGAGAATATCTTTAGTATGGAATACAGGAGCCTGCAGTCAGTATAACAGCGTAATTTGTCATGTACTTTATGTCAATCATTTCTATCACGTTTTAAGTAACACAACCAATCAACTGCTTCACGCAATTCTTCAATTCATAAGTTAAAACTAATCTTGAACTTTTCTTGTACATCAGAAAAGAGCAACGCTTCTCCAGCTCATACTTCAAATTCCACTTCTGTAATCGATCAGATTTCTTTTTACCTCTTCTTCTTGCGTCTTTTCTACACAAAAATATTTCAAACTCAGTTTCAAATTACCGAAAAAGTTCTGAGAGGAGAATGAAAGCAAAAAAATATCGATTTCAACTTCGGCTACCTTATTGTCGTTGGGTTTTTGATTGTGCGAAGCCTTAAATGTTCGTAACGGATCCACTTTTTGTTTCTAAACATGTAAAACGTACGTGTGAGATGTAAAAAATCCTAAAATTAAGGCGGATTCTCCTTACATGAAATATTTTCATAGTAATTTTCTCACATTTAAGATAACGGAAATCCGCCATAAGTCATCATTACCCAGGCGCGTCGCGAGGTTGTTCAAACTGGGGAGGGGGTGGGGGTGGGGGACGATGCATCTGCCAAAGGTGTGACACTTAAATTGGGGCTTGAAGGAGTGCTCCCTTAAAAAATGTTTGATTGTATGCTCTCTAAGACGCTGTTTTTTTCAGGCAGGCTTTATAATAATCTAAAATCCACACGTGTTCAAAAAGGAAGGTTTTAGTCACATGTGTCAACAAATGTATTCAAGGCAATCTTACAGGAAAACGTTGGGACACGCCCCCCCCCCAGTTCCTTCCCTGGCGACGCCACTGAAAGAGTTTTCACAGAGCGTACATTGAAGTGACCCCCTCTCCCACAAAAAATTTGTTAGATAATCTATTAATTCCAATGGGCAAATTCTAGTCAGCACTCTTTCATTTTAGATACTACAAGCCTCCGTTAAATAGATACCTTTGTGACTACAACTTGGTCTCCGCTTATGAGAAGTTCTAAGAGGTAATATTTTATAGACATAGTACCGAAAGTAGCGTCCGCTTACGGCAGGTGTCCGCAAGTAGCTAGTGGTTCCACCGTTGAACTAAAATACATTGAACGCTACCTGTAATAGAAAAGCCTAGTAAGTTTTTGAAGCCAAATTTTACACCCAGACACGCGTGTGCAGTTCAAATCAATTTCCACTCCGCGAGAGAGTCTGGAAACACTAAGCACGCGTGTCTTGGTGTAAAGATTTGGCTTCAATTATTTGCTTCAGAAGCGTTGCCATGTATTTTAGTTCAATGGGTTTCACTGTATTAGATAATATATTACATGAAATGGCTTTGAAAGCTCCGTAGGAGGATAGGATATGACTTTTGCGGTTTGATCATCGTTTTACCTTAAAATTAGAGGAACGCCGATTTTTATGAAACGTCACGAAACTTCTTTTTCGTCTTTCAGATGATTTGTTTAGAGAAGGTTTCATGGTCTCCGGGACTAAACAATGAACAAAAATAACATCCGAGACGTCATTTTCATAGACATATTTTGATGTGAATTGAAAGTAATGGAAAATTTCAAGACATTTTGGACTTTATTACCAAGATAATCGGGAATGTGTCTCAGATGCGGCTGAATTTTCGTTGGATGAAGGACTTTATCGTGACGTAATAGTTGAAGATCACGTGGATTGTCCTCGAAAAACGCCTATTAAACCACGAAATTGAAGATGTAGAGCAGTGGACAATTATCAGTGAAGACGTCTGTTGCAGTAGTGAAGGCAGCCGTTTTTTACTCCAGCAATGGAAACATTTTTATGTTTAATTCATGGGAGACAATCGATCAAACTTTCCAAAGATTAACTTTGTACGTCACCTTTAATTTCTCAGAATTTAAAATTTCCGTTTTTATTTCCTTTAATCTCGCTTCTCGAACTATCACAGAAGAAAAAACATCTTAAGACACAAAAAAATCCACGGAAAATACAAGTACATGACCCTACTTGATGCTTTCGTTACCGCTCGCAGAGCATCCTGGGAACGGTAACGGAATCCCTCGATCTCGTCCATTTTGAATTTAAACGGCGTAAAGAGCTTCTCGTCGGCGGAAGAAACTATTTGAAAGAAAATTACAACATAACTCATGCACTTTTATCAACTGAATGACATCATTTGTGATTATAGGTTTTTCTCGTTACCAGAGTTCGGAGATAATCGTTCTTCAACGGCAGTGATCACTTTCTCGTCGGATGACGTCACAAGCGAAAGAGCATTACCAGTATTGAAGCCTCGAGCAGTTCTAACGTGGAAAGAGAACACATCAACAAAAAGCGAGTGGACGAGACCTTCAAACTTGCTCGAGTGTAAACCCACCTGCCAACTCTGTGAATGTAGTTTTCGACAGTTTTGGGAAAATCGAAGTTCACGACATTTTCAACGTCTGCAAACGTTAAATCACGGCATTGTAATAAGGAAATATACAAAAATGACAGAGATCAATTAGATGATTCACCTTGAAAATCGATTCCCCGTGAAACGCCAAATTCTTTATCCTTAGGTTGCCCTGTGGCACTTCTACATGACGCTGGTGTAACGTTAAAGAAAAAACTGTGCTTTCATTGTTGATCATAATGTCAAATGATAAAGACTGAAGAGTGGTAAAAATATAGTTAAAGCATGATAGAGAGTGGTAAGTATGGTAGAAAGGGGCAAAGAGTGGTAGAGAGTGGTTAAAATAGTAAATAGTGATAAAGAATGGTAGAGAAAGTGGTGAAAATGGTAAATAATGGTAAAAAATAGTAAAGAGTAGATATGAAATGAATAAGATGGAGTGGTAAAAATGGTGAAAGGAAAATATAAAATGAATGGAGGAATGGAAGAGGAAATGGTAAATATGGAGATGGAGAGGAAATGGAAGGAGGAAATGGAATGGAAGAGTGGAAATGGAAATATGGAAGGAATGGTGGAGGAAGGAAGATGGTAAAAGAATGGAATTAGGAATGGGATATAGGAATTGCTTGGTTAAAGATGGGATACATAGGAATTGCTTGATTAAAGATGGGATACATTTGGAACGTTCCGCACTTTCATCTGCTGCAATTATGTAATCATATATTCCTTTATTGAATTCCTCGACAATATGGCACCTGAAAAGAGAATGTAAAATTTTCCTGGTCTTAAAAACCATCATGGCGTTTATAATACGTACGCAAAATTTCGGTTAGAACTCGCACCTCGCCCCCCCCCCTCTCTTGAGAAGGCAACTTACCTTGAATTGTGAGGCAGTTCCGAATTCAACACACAAGATTTAATTGAAAATTGTTCAAGAAATAGTTTCAATCTAAGATATAAAGATAACAAAACTTTTCCAAAAATATCCTTACAAGATCATTCATATAGTTCATTAATACTGAATAGCACCTCCTACAACTCACACTTCGCTAACTTCAAGACCGTGTGGAAATGTGAACAAAACTTTGGTAATTTGCAAATGTGTAAATTTATCTGTAGCATCGATCAAGACCGCGTGGAAATGTGAACAAAACTTTGGTAATTTGTAAATGTGTAAATTTATCTGTAGCATCGATCAAGACCGCGTGAAAATGTGAACAAAACATTGGTAATTTGTAAATGTGTAAATTTACCTGTAGCATCGATCAAGACCGCGTGGAAATGTGAACAAAACTTTGGTAATTTGTAAATGTGTAAATTTACCTGTAGCATCGATCGAGACCGCGCGGAAATGTGAACAAAACTTTGGTAATTTGTAAATGTGTAAATTTATCTGTAGCATCGATCAAGACCGCGTGAAAATGTGAACAAAACTTTGGTAATTTGTAAATGTGTAAATTTATCTGTAGCATCGATCAAGACCGCGTGAAAATGTGAACAAAACATTGGTAATTTGTAAATGTGTAAATTTATCTGTAGCATCGATCAAGACCGCGTGGAAATGTGAACAAAACTTTGGTAATTTGTAAATGTGTAAATTTATCTGTAACATCGATCAAGACCGCGTGGAAATGTGAACAAAACTTTGGTAATTTGTAAATGTGTAAATTTATCTGTAGCATCGATCAAGACCGCGTGAAAATGTGAACAAAATGTGTAATCTGTAAATCAAGAATGTGAACAAAATTTAATGTGTAAATTTATCTGTAGCATCGATCAAGACCGCGTGGAAATGTGAACAAAACTTTGGTAATTTGTAAATGTGTAAATTTATCTGTAGCATCGATCAAGACCGCGTGGAAATGTGAACAAAACTTTGGTAATTTGTAAATGTGTAAATTTATCTGTAGCATCGATCAAGACCGCTTGAAAATGTGAACAAAACTTTGGTAATTTGTAAATGTGTAAATTTATCTGTAGCATCGATCAAGACCGCGTGGAAATGTGAACAAAACTTTGGTAATTTGTAAATGTGTAAATTTATCTGTAGCATCGATCAAGACCGCGTGGAAATGTGAACAAAACTTTGGTAATTTGTAAATGTGTAAATTTATCTGTAGCATCAATCAAGACCGCGTGAAAATGTGAACAAAACTTTGGTAATTTGCAAATGTGTAAATTTATCTGTAGCATCGATCAAGACCGCGTGGAAATGTGAACAAAACATTGGTAATTTGTAAATGTGTAAATTTATCTGTAGCATCGATCAAGACCGCGCGGAAATGTGAACAAAACTTTGTTAATTTGTAAATGTGTGAATTTATCTGTAGCATCGATCAAGACCGCGCGGAAATGTGAACAAAACTTTGGTAATTTGCAAATGTGTAAATTTACCTGTAGCATCGATCGATTCCGTTGACAAATATCAAAGTCTTTCCCAAAACGAGCCTGCGTAATGTTGAATATGGTGAAAACAAGTGGAAAATAATTTCCTCAGTACGACAATATAAACGTACTTCAATTTCAAAAGAGCGTAAATGAGTAAAAATTTGTCGTCTGTTTCACATCTACGAGGTAAAAAATCGTCATTCGTGAGAAAAAAAAATCAGAAAATGAATTATCACGAAACTCGTTACTTGATTAAGTATTGGTTTAAGCCGCCATTTTGGGAAGCATCAGTACTGTCCAACTTTACAATGACCTTAAAAAAACACGCTTTGTTTAGTTTCCATTGGTTGTCAAAAAATACGTGTAAAAAATCACCACACTTCACAATTAACATACTGGGTTGTGCAACACCAATTTCTTCAGCTCGCTCACTTCCTACAAAACATGAGGATTTGATATAAGGATTCAATAGGATTCGATGGGATTTCATAAAGAATCGACATAGTTCAGCGGGAACAACACGGTATCTAACTCAATGCTTTTCATTTCACCTCCGACAAAGTTGCGGACATCAAGCATGCCTGATAAATCTTTGGAAGATAACTATTAATTAGAAAAAAAATCTCAATTGAGAACGACAAATAATTTTTCCATAATTTCGTGAGAGCACAATAGTCATAAAACATTTAAAATAGACGACAAATTTCTTCAAAGCAAACATGTTTCGGCATACTTTATGCCCTCTTCAGTGATTCACTTCGCACTGAAGATGGCATAAAGTATACCGAAACATGTTTGCTTTAAAGAAATTTGAAGAATGTTATATGCAGTGCGATGTTTGAAATTAAATGAAGATATGATCTTCGCACTTTGCTGGACAATTTAAGCAATTATCTCATGAACCTGAAAAATTCAGGTGACTCAATCCCATTGAGTCACCTGAATTTTTCAGGTTCATGAGACAATTGCTTAAATTGTCCAGCAAAGTGCGAAGATCATATCTTCATTTAATTAAAGAAATTTGTCGTCTATTTTAAATGTTTTATGATAAATAATTTGTTCGTCTAAACTAAAATTGGACTTTCTTCACATCCAACTTAATCTATTATCGTATATTCCGGGTGCTAAATAGTTTCCTTTTTAAAATTTATGAATCAACCAAACATTACGACTGCACGCAAAGGAACTATTTGAGAATAACGCTATAAGAGGGCGCATGAGCCCAAGTATACGTGTCCTAAGATTAGATGAAAACGGTGGACCAAAGCCTGAATCATACCTGAATAAAGTATTTCGCTTTTGGCGGGAAATTTTAAAAAATATATTTCCCAAATTTAATGCGAAAATCTTTCCGTAGGTACTAAAAAATGCGTTCGCGTGTCAGTTTTTACCATACAGAAAAAAATTACATCACAATCTGACTTAGGTTTTGATACACTCGTCTTCTAAAGCTACTCTGTATTTTCAGAAACTTCCTGCAATTGATTTTGTTGTTGCAGTTCTCGTGAGAAACATAAAACGACGGAATTTCAGCAAAAATTATGTCAACCTCGTCAATGTCTTGATCTCTTTTTCGTAGCCATAGGAAAACAATAAATCCGCCTCGTCGAAAACAAGCATGTTCAATGATTCTTTCAGATTGAGATTCTATATTCAAACAAAGACGCATATCAGAGAAAATAAACACTTTCCAACAACAACAACGTCTTCCAATTCGAAGAACCAAGACGGAATGACAATCTTAATGTAAGACGTCCAACAGCGAGGCTCAACATAACGGCGAAAATATCATCGGTCAAGATGACCTCGGTCAACTCCGGTATAGCTCGGTGAAAGACGATCACGAGCTAATACACCGAAAACGTGAAAAAGTACATTTTTTCCCAAAACTATCGATTCTCATGTTTGACGTTCTTTGCCAACACACATATAAATTTTGGTGCATGAGGATGGATGAAGCAAACCTAAGCAGAACATATTCTTAAAACGACGAAGCCTTCGATCCAAGCTCACTCGGCTTGGCACATACTCACAAGAGCAAATACTTTTTTTTGTATTGAAGTTGACGTTCAGCATTTCAAAAGAACATTAAAAAGAAAATCGATTTATAGTAGCAGTGGACGACCTGTGGGAAAGTGACTGTTCAAAATGACCGACGAGGACATAAACTGGCCTCGATAGGCATTTTTGGTACATAGGTCAATGTCCGCTATCCGGTCGTGATTTTGAGCCCCGCAATAATAGCTACATTCAAGTATCCTATTTCAAACGAGAGAAAGATAAAGAATAGGAACTAACTAGTGCCTGAAGATGGCCGAGGATACGGCTTGGAGTGCCGACCAGCACGTCAGGTTTTTCTAACAATAAAGGTCTACACAAGAAAAATGATAAAAATACTTAAAAAAGACGAAGGATGCAAAAAAAAATTAACATGACGTACCTCATAACATCCAAACTGTTTTGTGCGACATCAACAACACGAACGTCACGAGAACAATAAGACGTAAGATCTTTTATATTCTTGCTGGCTTGTTGAGACAGTTCCTTTGTCGGTACGAGTATCAACGCCTTTACACCCAACACGTTTCCATCCTCCTGATGGAGTATTGGTAATGAGTAATTCAAAATAATTTTAATAAACAATCGGACAGCAAACAAACCTTTTTATCGCGAAGGATTTTTTGAATGATTGAAATGGCATATCTAAAACATAACTTAAGCAGTAAGCGAACCAGTTTTGGGTCAAGAAACATATGTACATCTTTAATATCTTGACTTCAGTGTGCGAATTAACGGTGTGCAATGTGCAATTTGCACATCGTTTTAGCTAAAATGAAAACAATTGCACATCACTTTTTCGAACGATATGCAAAAAACTTCTTTATTGATTACTACCACATAAATTGAAAAAAGATTTCAAGCTTAATCCTTAGTGATCTTTACTTTATAAACGAGTGCCCTGCACGACATTAAAATCCATGTTGACACAATGTCATAAAATTCAAAGACGTTGTCACTTTGAGACTGGGAAGTCTGTCAACAGTCTACATACATAGTGCTTATATGCTTATGACAATAGGGGTGTAATACATTAATGTAAATTTTTGCATTTGCGTTGTTTTGTAAACCTTTATGTACTGTTTTTGGCATCATAGCTATTTTGAGTATTTTCAGTAAAATCAAGAAACATTTTGATTTAAATTTTTAAAAAAAGGCAAAAAAAAATGTAAATAAGCCAAATTTGAAAAATAAACCAAAGGGAATTTTGATTTTAAATAAGCCTAACGTGAGAAAAAGAAGCCAAATTTGGCTCAAAATATTAAGCCACTGGCAATCTTCATCAGCCATACTTTTTGCTTTTACATATTGTTTGTAATATGACATAAATATGATGTTTTTACCGTAAGTAAACAACAAGGATGTTACTGTTAATAATCAGAAGGCCGTAAATCATAAGAATTTGTGAACGTTTAAAAATGTTATTTAGCAATTAGCGCTGTATAATAATTAACGCGATATCGATTTGATTATGCCTCTAAAGAAACACTTTTCCCAAGGAAATTGCACATCATTTTTTCTCAACCAATTCGCACACTGCTTGACTTGCATGCCATTTTTTTGTCATTCACTATACTATGGTAACATTTTTTTCTGATGAAAAAAAACATGTTTTGATACGTGCACAAGTCATTTTGAAAACAAAGTGAATTTTTGTTCCCCGTAGAATTAATGCTTTGACGAATGAAAGTACAACATATGAGACATTCCAGCTGGTACTTTGGCAAAATATTTTTATGAATAAGTTGGGAAATGTGGCTACATTATGGAAAGCTAGTACAGTATAATACAATTATTGCTCTGAGAAACGACTCACTGTCCAAGTCATTTCTCAAGCTACGTAGTAAAATTCAAAATATGAAGCCGTCGTTTTGCCAACAAGCCTGGCATAGACAACAATGTAAAAGAACATTACAATCAAACGCTATTGATATGATTTTAAAAACAGATTTCATGTCAAACTGTGCATTGTTAATTTTCACTCACAGATAGCAATGCAGGCAATGAATACCTAATTGTTTTTGTGAAGATTTCAGTCTCAGTACAAACAGTGGAAATAAAATACTAAATACTTCAAGTACCACATTCAAACTCATATGTTAACATTGTTGATATTTTCATGAATCAACATATTGTAAAATAAAATAACCATGAGAGAGTTGGGGGATAATGCACTATGAGTATGAGAATCTGAAAATGCAATCATATTCATGTTAGAACTTACACCGCAGTTTTCCCAGATCCAGTATTTGCGCGAGCCAAGAGATCCTTGCCTTCCAAAGCCAACGGTATAGCAACTTCCTGGGAAAAGATAACATCGCACAGTAAATGCCGGCAATTGGGACATGACCATGATAAAGAGTGGTTCAATTTACTCACCTGAATGCGTGTTGGTCTGGCCCACTTTAACTTAGCTATTGCCTGTAAACACAAAAAATTTGATAGTAAAAATCGAGGTTTTTAACATTTACAAACTATCTGCACGAAAAAACATTTATACCTTCAGCAAACGATCGTCTAAACCGAACTCGTGAAATTGTTTGACATTGCCTTGCTCAGCCATGTTGGAAAAATAAAAGAAACCCGATAGCCGCTGTCACGTACAACTGACAAGCTCACAAATACATAAAATATAAATTTAATCATACAATAATTTTTTCATCGATAACAATAATATTTTCATTAACTATCTGTAATACGAAAGCAGTTTAATAGCGTTCATTCGCAACGTAACATAATGAAAACAAACAAATCTTTCAGACTAATAACTATTGTGCGTTTTACACGTCACTTTCGACATTTCTTTTGATGCCAACTTTGAAACTTAGGGCCTCCACAGACTGGGTATTTTGTTGTCAACAACTTTTCACAGTCAAAAACTAAATGTAGTCGACTAACAAGAAACACCGTCTAAATAAGTTGTCGGCAACTGAAAATGTAAAACTGTAGTTGTCGACAAAGCAATTTCTCATTTTTGCAAGGGAAACCGCAATAACCAAAAAGTGTTGTTTGTCAACTACATTTAGTTGTCGACTATGAAAAGTTGTAGACAAGAAAATACTTAGTTTATGGAGGCCCTAAGTCAGAAATATTGATTTGAGGGTACTGATTAGCAACGTTAAAGTTATGTGACATTTTCACATTAGTCTTCTGGTTGTTAACATTTCTGTTCAACATGTCAATTTCATGGTCACTGGGCATCAACAGGAAGACTTGACCAATCTATTGTCGTTATTTTCATCTTCTTGAGATACTCATTTGCTTTGGAGAAATGTTTGCAGCCAAAAAAACCACGATAAGCCGAGAGGGGAGATGGATGGGCTGATTTCAAAACACAATGTTTCTTCTGAAATAAAACATTATCATACACACTTAAGAGACTGATTAAGCAATTCAATAAATTATTAAAGATAACATACCTTATCAATGCAAGCACCTTTCTTTTGCGCATAGGAACCCCACAAAAGAAAAACCACATTTCGAAGGTTATTGTTGATCCACTTGATCACAGCATCAGTGAACGTCTCCCATCCCTAAATGGCATTCAGTTATCAACAATTTAAATGTTAATTCAAAAATATTAACCACGAGGGAAAAACACAAATGCATATGGTACAAACACAGACTAAGGATCTTTTGGAATCTTTTGTGCAATTCATATCTTATTGCTGCCAGTCAATTGCCTTTTTTTGACCGATTTGTAAGATGAAAAGGCTAACTATAGCCAGTAATGAGGAATCACACATCTAAGAGGTAAAACCTCCTTATAATAGACATATGGAGAAAATTATTCAGTTTCATTGCTCATTCTTCTATGATTCAATTAAAAATGTTCACAACTAGAGGTGCAACTGTCTACAGGCCAAAAAATTTCACCATCCATTACCTGATCTTTATGTGAGTTGGGATTGTTTGCTCTAACTGTGAGACAAGCATTAAGTAACAGAACACCTGAAACAGATGATTCACACTGCAAGTAAGCCATAAATCAAAAAATTTGTTAAATTCAATTTGAGAATGAGCAATTGTCTTAAAATGAAATGCTTTGGTTAATAAACCTTGCTTGGCCCATCCTGTCAGATTACCATGAGTTGGAATCGTGAATCCTGGTATATCATCTTGAACTTCCTTATATATATTTTTCAAACTACAAGAAATGAAATTATTTGAACATCCTGTTATAGCTACAATAAACAATAATGACACAGGTAAAATACCTTAATAATGCTACACAACACTAACAGGAACACTATAACAAAACCTGCAAGAAGTCAAGTATGATGATCACATGACAAACTCTATAAACATAAACAAAGCACTGAAAATAGTCCAGTGGAAAGGAATCATTATTTGATGTCGATACTTCTTAGAAAATACGTACGTATAATTCATACAAAAATATAATATTCTCACATTAATGATACAAAACTAAAAGCCACAACCAAGTTACGAAGCAAGTTAACTTGCAATTAAATTTGCTCATATTCTGGATTATACAAACAGGATGCCAGCAAAAGAAAAGGATGTTGCAAGAACAACCTTAATTTAAGAGGAATTATCGAGGAATAAATAGGCACAATGTTGGACAAGGACTGTTCTTATGACAGATCACACCTTTTTCAAAGCTGTCGTGATTTCAGCTTTCCATACACTTAATCAGGGCTACATAAAATATCTTATTTTTCGGGACCAAAAAGCCAGTGAAAATATTTTCTGCAAATTATCACTATAGCATTATAAATGAAATAATTTGCATCAATTACTGCTGTTAAATGCAGTAGATGAAGAAATGACTTGCAAGAACTGTAAAGATGACTTTTTCTTACAATCTTCTGAGTTTCTGAGTGTTGACACTGCGGTCAGCCATGCAGTGTACCTGTGCATACCTGAACCTTATTCTTCCTTTGTACTTTCCCTTTCTAGGTCAATCCACTTTTTTCTTTGAGAATTCTAACTTTTTGTGCTTTTATTGAAATTTTTTTTCTGCCGGCTTTAAAAATTTTCTGGGAGCATTGGTCATGCAGTCCGTTATATTATATGGTAGATGCATGAAAATTGTGACTGAGCACCAAAATATTTACATAACACAACCAAACTTCAGGGCTAGGTTTGCAAGTGATTGCAATATTTGTGAAGAACGTGACAACAGAAGGTAATTAGCATAAAACCTCTTAAGAACAGTGGACAACAGAACATTGAATGTCCAGTGTTCTCAAAGGCACAGGTCTTCCACGCAGATGTAATCAAGTAAATATCTCTGGTCGTAAAAGGAGCCATCATAGTTTCTGCCGTTCAAATTCAAATCTGGTATTCTACGCAATGCTTAGCCTGTAAAGTTTATGGTCGACAGATCTTGCGCTAATTATAAAATACCTGTTTCAACCCAGTACTTCTTCTGAGAAAAAGGTTCCGACAATTGTTTATTTTTCCCGATGCTTTCCACATGACACTTGCAAATAATGAACGGACAATAAATCATCAACGACAAAACACTTTGCATTTGAAAAGAAAAGATAAAATGAGACTATTCCTGTGTTCACATAAATGGTCGAATACATATACAATCAAAAATACGAGCCGCACACACTGACGGCAGCAGCTAGTTGCAAAACAATTGGCAATTTGGTGTGCAAAAACTAGAAATCTTCGAAGGAAAGAGCAATAAATTCGTTCGAATAACTATTCAAGTTACGTACAATAACAAACAATTATTTGTTGATGTAATTACATTTTACGGAGCCCATGACAACACTCGTAGCAATTTTCTCCGCCAAATCGATCATTTTTTTCTCCATAGAAATCGACTTCCGGTGAGTCAATTTTCCGTTATCTCCATCTCCAGGTCCAGTCCCGTGTACAAAAGACAGCAACACGAAAATTAAATTAATAAAATCAGTTAACAGTACAGAGTATGTTAATCCGTGGAATAATTGACACAACACGACCATTGAGCTCTATAAGAACTGAGGGGAGGGCCTGGACCCCGTGGTCAAAACATGGCGGTAATGGCGGATTTTGGTGTCAAAACTTCCACTTTGAGAAAAATTTTTACATTCGCTCCTCCCGAATCCGGAACTCTATTACTGTATATCAATGACAAAAAAACAACCACGATACCGTAAGCATAAAATATTGAAAATAATGCTTCAGATTTTGTGAAATAGACACACACATTTAAATGAGGTAAATCAAAATAGCGTATATGTTGTCAAGTAATTAGCTATGTTAGAAATAAATATCAAACGGCATTCTTTACACTGTCAATGTGTCGTTAAGCTTTAATGCATAATCCCATGCAATACTTGTGTTTTGACTATTTTTTAACAGCTTCGTGCAACTGTCTTTCTTGAATAGATGCCTAAATATAGTTAAAATGTCCAAAAGGAGTTAGAAAAGTTAAGCACCTACGACTTAAGTCGACTGGAAATATATTATAAGTAGGTATGTATTTTTTTGAGTTTTTGGTAGGATTGATTCTGGGTGTCTTATAAGGTATTATGATATTCTGATAAATCTACTGAGAACTTATGAAGAATATCTTGAACTAGGAGAGCAAAGAACAAAATTCAAAATTCTATAATCATGTTGCTGGTTCTGTTTTGAGCCAAGATATTAGTAACTGGATTGTCATTGACAACCATGGATCTACTATTGAACAGAACTACATTAATTTCCCATTGAAAATCGATTTTTAAATTAAAGTGCATTGGTTTCTCTGACATAACACTTTTCTTATTGCTGCATGAAGGCAAACCTGTTTAAATAATTATAATGTAGGTGAAGATATTTAGCATGTTGTATAATTTTATACAGACATTATTTATAATATTATGGCCTTGTGTAATGTATGTCAAGAACTTATTAATTCTCAAAATGCTAACCTTCTTGCACTACTTTTCTCTTGTGTCCTTACAAATTACAGTTACCTATACTAATTTTTCTAGGTTCAAACAACTTGACAAATTTTTGAATTTTACATTATGCCTTGGAATTTTTCTTTTGTCTTTTGGTAAAAATATCAGTAAATGACTTAAAATCAAGTTTATCTAAAATAGTATTTTGTACAAAATAACTATACATAATTGGAAAAGTCTCATGTTGAAGGCGATGTGGCTTCTTTGACTAGATTGCTACTCTTATTCTTTTAAATGATATCGTAATTCTTCAAAAGACATAAAAGTTCTTTGTCATCAATTTTGCTTCTTCCACATTCAACTTCATTGCAACCAATGCATCTTATGTGAATTTTAATCACCTGGAATTGAAAACATATGGACTTTGTCAGATGATGCAGTACTGTATTTAATGTTTCATGCATGTCATGATAAGCTTTCTTGAGCAAATATTTCAAGGTAGGAGCAAAATTTGGCACATTATTGAACAAAGTAGTTTTATCTTGATTTTGATGTACTAACCTGTTTACTACACTGTGTAACAAACAATTTATTTACAGAAACACCAGATGGCATTCATAAAACTTTTAGCATAAAGCAAACCATTACACACCATCATCATGATTGTCCATAATCTGTCAAATTGTCCAGGCTAGCTGTTTAATACAGGTATTTTATTGTCGACATGTACCTTCATTAATTAATCTTGCACTGCATTTGATTTCAATACAGCTCTGTCCTTAATATTTGCTTCATATTTTCAGAAAATATCATGAAAAATCCTCCATTTCAACTCAGTTGAAACAAGGAGTTTTAAGATATGCATATCTCGATAAGAACTGGTTGCTTTGCCTCGTCTAGCAAGCGATTAAGTAAAGAACAAATAAGAATGGATAAACATAACTTAAATTATAACTTAGGAGTAAAACATTCACAAAATATATACAATCACACTTCAAGTATTGACTTAAAACAAAACACTGAACACTTTAAATGGTAAACAATCTTACGTTGCTTACCGGTATCATGAAATGTTTCCTTTTCTGGCATTACTTCAGCATCCGTCTACCAAACAAGTTTGATGTTTTAAAGATAAAATTTCTAAAGTTTTGTGTTTGGCATTGATATTTTATATAATCGCTATTGTGGTTGTCAAATCCGGGTGGGCGAAAAATTTCATTTTATGAGCCCGCGTTTCCGCTGACTTTGACAACCAAAATCCGCCATGTTTTTGACCACGCGGCCGCGCGCTGATAATTTATAGTAATTTTGTTGACGTTTCCCCTCCAGGTCTTATAGAGCTCAATGGACACGACCAGTTTCTCCGTAGAAATGGACCTTCTCCGTAGAAATGGCAAATACCGGCTCTAGATGTCAAATATATCAAATTCTAACAATTCAAAATGGCGGCGGAAACCACAAAGTGAAACTTGTATAAAAAGTGAGGCCTTTAAATGGCGCGTTTTGTACGAATGTGGCACGGAATTTGCTAATGAGGCAGCAAAATACTGTCATAACTGCGGAAAGGAATTTTCAGGTAAATTTAATCATAGTATCATAACAGTGATCACTGATCGGTGGTCTGTGAAGGATTTGATCATAAATTATTTCAGTATGTGTATGATTCATCCCCTGTGTGAGCTGTTATATACTTTTGTGATATCGGGGACGTATACCAAACATTTAGAAAAATATTTCAATTAATACATTTCTCGCTTTCAATTTGTAGAATTTCCACAAAATGCCTGTCACCATGAACAAGATTGTATTGAATACTATTTTCATCTGGGATACAAGTATCATGACATCACCAATTTATTAAAACATATCATGGTATTACGATGTGTGTCCGCACATTAAAAGAAAACTACAAAAATATAACGAAGAAAGAAATGTCAATTTTGATGAGCAATATCTCAGGGATATTATAAAACAGAAATGGAAGGAGCTGGACAACTTTCTGGTTACCGTAAAATTTGGCATCTACTTGAATAAATCATCATTTACATGCCCACAAGTGTTGTGGCTAGAGTTGTCCATGAACTAAATCCCAGGCCAGTAATGAAAGAAGGGAAATAAACTTAAAAAGTACTTATCTTATGGCCCTAATCACTGTTGGCATATTGATGGTAAATTTCAGTTTACTTGAATATGTTAAATTTTTTGTTCATGGTGCATACCAGTGGTAGTAGCCTGTTTGTCATAACATATTTTAACATAATACCAACATTTTCAAGGTTCATATATGAAGCTTTAGTGTAGAAATATAGGAGGGAGAGTTTACTCATGTCCTCACCAGCACAACTGATGCATAGATTTTTGTAAATAAATATGAATTCCATACAGGATATGATAAGCTCAAACCCTTTGGCTTCCCTATACATGCAGCAATTGATGGCTTTAGTAGGAAGGTTTGTGGTTGGAGATATGCAAGTCAAACAACTCTCAAAAGAGCCAACAATATTGTATTTGGATTGTGTGATCGAACATGGTGGATGCCTGTTGTTTCGTTCAGATTATGGAACAGAAAATGGTGATATTGCAGCCATTCAATGTTATTTTCATGATGATGAGAATGCTCATAAATATGGAACATCCACTAGAAACCAAAGGATTGAAAACTGGTGGTCACATTTTCGTAAGTCTTGTACCGGTAAGTAGGATCTATAACAACAATATCAGAAATATGTAAGACACAGTAACTTTATAAATTAAAAAAGCTGGCGTGAAAAGTTAGTGATAGTAGTTGTAGGTTAATTGTGATCACATATTTTAACTTTTGCAGATTGGTGGATTAACTTTTTCAAAGATTTACGGGATAGCGGATCAGTGAACTTTGAAAGCACATTACACAGACAGTGCTTATGGTTCTGTTTCCAAGATGTAATTCAAGCATCATTAAACAAAATGGCGTACTGGAATACGCATTATATTAGGTCATCTCGCCATGAAACCACTCCAGGAGTTCCTGATTTATTATTTTATTTGCCAAAAGATTCTGGGGCGTTAACTGTCTTGTTAGGGTCAGTCAGGATAAAATTGATGAAATGAAATTGCGTCACTTGAAGACACCAATGACGAAAGTTCATATCAGGAATACTTTCAGTATGTTATGGATCACGAAGGTGTCAGATATCCAGACAGTCCTAAGGAGGCCTTAGATTTGTTTTGCTATTTAACGGAAAAAGCTGGAACTGAAGATTCCTTTTGTGATGAAATTTAATGTTCATTACATATGCCAAAATGCATTGCTCTTTCGTAACAAGAACTTTAGAGTACTAACATGAAAAATTGATAACATACTTCAAATTGGATTCATTGTTACCTAACGTTTTTTTAACAAAACAATTAAATATGAACTTAACTAATAACTAATAATGCAGTTGTTACCATTAAAAATTATGAATTTTTTTACGGTTAACACTCCCGTTGATTGCTATTCCCCTGTAAATGATAAAATACAATTATCATTATTAAATGAAGCCAAATCCCTTTCCTTCGATAAGTGCAGAGTCAATTGCCTCTTTTAGTTGGTTGTAACTATCTCTATAATGAACAGGCAATGTAATGCTTAGATCACAAGTTGAAGCAGTTGGCCGACACTTGCACCCTTCTGTACATCCATGCTTGAATTTAACCGTTATGGGTTTTGGTAATCCTAATGGTGGAAGTTGCTCGCATCCAGTTATGAATTTGTGCAACATGCACAAGGTGTTAGTGGCATGCGTCCCTAGAAAAAAAACCTTAATCGATTCAAATTTCAAATCTCATATTGAACTTATAAAAATCGTCAGGCAGTGGTACTAAATGCAATCGGGCAAGTATGTCACTCAAGTTATCAATTATAAAACTGATCAATGCATGGAAGTCTAATATTGAGTTAAGAGTTTGAATGAAATGGCAATTTTTTCAAGTTGTGAACAGGAGTAGAATATTACATTACACATCAAGTATGCTGTATTTGCAACACAGCAGATATACCTTGGAAAGCATTGGAATCCTGCAAGAAATCGAGAAAGAATTTGTAAACATCAACTTCTGCCATTTTGCAATTGCTTCCTTCTTCACTAAATTCAGCTGTCATCCCATCTAACAGCTGATTGGCAGAAGGCAAAAAAAAAGAACAGTCCGCAACAAATAGTGCCTTCATTGCTGCCTTTTCTTCTTTCATTGCTTTCATCACATTGAACAAACCTAATCCAATCATAAGCTGGTCCAGCATAGGCAGGAAACGTGAAAAATCATACATTACAATTGCTCTAAAAAATGGCAACAGTGCATTAGAAACTTCACTAATTAATGCTTATTCACAAACACAGAAAATGGCAAGAATTCGTGAGTGTGTCGGGGACCACGTATTATCTTAACTTAAAAGTCAAACATCAAATACAATTTATTAACAGTGTCTGGGATGGTTTAATATGTACTTTATTAAAAATATGAAATTGAAAATTACTTTCATTTAGTTAAAATTCTTAATAAAGATTGTCGCGCTCAAAGGGTAGTAAAACTCTTTGAGATCGTATTTGTCACAATCACTAAGCCATGTTAAAGTCAAACGAAAAGAAGTTGGCCCTTAAAGGGTTAATGACTTACACTATGCAGAATTTGTAAATCATTTCGTTTTTAAAGATTTAATCACAGCGTACCTTAAGATGTTTTTAGCAGATTGCAATGATTCTCTTGATGGCACTCCCCTGTAGTGAATCTGTTGCAAAACATGCAACATGGCGTCTTCTTGCAACACACTTTGTAAATGTTCGTCAGTTGAACAAGTTGTAATCTGTACGCCAATAACAATTAATTTCATAAAACACTTAGAATTCATGACCATCATAAACATTGTGTTTTAACATGAAAGAATGCTTTTCAGTTTTACCTTCTCTATAGCTTCAACAAGCGTAATATCCTTTACTTCTGGAATCCATCCTTCAGTTGTTATACTTGAAATACCTTCAGTCATATACGCATAAACTTTGTCTGAAAAGAAACACGGTGCTGGTCCACCTTGCACAATTGAACTAGCCATCAGTTGACCTGCTACTTTGAACTTGTCACCCCCAAGCGCTGCCATGTCAGGTAAAGGCATCCCATTATTAAACAGTTGTTGTTGAATAATTTGAAGAACCTCTACAAATATAACACAAAAATTTTAGTGAGTAATATATTGACAGCAACGAATATGCAAATTGATTCATTTTATTTGCAGGTCTGGTAAGCAACTGAAACATGTATACCAGAAAAAAATTCACGACGAGGTCCGCCATCATCAATTGCAGGCTCTCCAACAAATGTTACTTTCAGCAATTGCTTGTTATTGAACCATTGTTTCTTTGAAATTTCCAAATAGTCTTTGAAAACTGATTTTCGCCTCACATTAATTCGGATTTTAATAGGGTTCACATGTTCAGCAAGCTCAGCTATCAAATCTTTCATCTTCTTTTTCATTTCGACCGTATTCATATTACTATCATCACATGTTTCAGAAAAATCATCATTTTCGACAGATGTATCAAAAGGATCATCTTTTATTGATCCAATTGTGTCTATCCACTTGTCAGCACAAATGTCTGCATGTGCCTCAATTTCATTAAAAGGAAACATGCAAAAACAAGTAGGACATGATGTTTCTGCAGATGACGGAGGAGATTTTTTGTCATCATCATCACTTATATCAATAAAGCTTTTTACTTTTGTTGCTTCCTTTTTCTCACTATCTTGAGTGACCACCATTTCATTGCAAGTATCAGAAATTTTAGTTAAACTTTCCAGTTGTATTATCTCTGTTTTTTCATTATTTTGAGCATCATAGTCATACTCATCAGAGTCTGAAACTGGAAAATCTTGGACTCTGTCCAAATCTATTGTAGCACACAGAAAAATATATTTTTGAGTAGGGTTTTCCTAACTCCTGTTTGTACTCACTCAATACAAACTCTGCTGCACTGCCAGGTAACTTCTGTACAATAGAATGGTCTGGATAGAGAAGAGTGTAGGAAGTATACTTATTGAACTGTCTAAAATGCTTGAATGTTTATTTATTGCAGCCTTCATTAAGTCAGCTGCATTACATTGAGATGAGACAATTAGGGTAGTGTTCTTCCCTTCAGCCTTTTAACCTTTTCCTTCAGCTTCTACGACACCAACTTGAATTTTAACATCCTCGTTGTTTTGGTTTCTTACACAATAGAATTTTCTTAGACTCACTTGCTTTCTTTTCGATATTGAATGTTAATGTTGACATCGGTCTAGTGGAGTCATTTGGCAACAGCAAACTTGAACTTGAACTGGATGTTAATGTTGGCTCATTAATGCTTGGTGTTGAAGGTAGATTTGCTGATTAGAAAAATTTGAAAAGGAAATATTGGTGCTATGTAATGTAAATGCATCAAAGAGAAATATGTGTATAAATGCATATTAAAATTAATAGCCTTTCGCAAAATTTGCCCTATGAACATGTAAAATGAAAATACATTATAAGTTTTTCAGAATCTTTTACATAACCACAATAATATTTACGCACAATTAATATCCACAATTCATAATTGATGATTCTATTGATTCATAATACAAAAAATTTAAGAAGAAACGTTTTATTACCTGCAGATGTTGGTTTCCCGCAGTTATGACAGTATTTTGCTGCCTCATTAGCAAATTCCGTGCCACATTCTACAAAACGCGCCATTTAAAGGCCTCACTTTTGCTATACAAGTTTCACTTTATGGTTTCCGCCGCCATTTTGAATTGTTAGAATTTGATATATTTGACATCTAGAGCCGGTATTTGCCATTTCTACGGAGAAGGTCTATTTCTACGGAGAAGGTCCATTTCTACGGAGAAGGTCCATTTCTACGGAGAAACTGGTCGTGTCCCTTATGGGCCACGATTTCTACGGAGAAGCTCGATTTCTACGGAGAAGCTCGATTTCTACGGAGAAGCTCGATTTCTACAAGCACGATTTCTACGGAAAGCTCGATTTCTACGGAGAAGCTTGATTTCTACGGAGAAGCACGATTTCTACGGAGAAGCTCGATTTCTACGGAGAAGGTCGATTTCTACGGAGAAGCTCGATTTCTACGGAGAAGGTCGATTTCTACGGAGAAGGTCGATTTCTACGGAGAAACTGGTCGTGTCCCTTATGGGCCACCGTACATTTCTGTAAATAGTATAAGCAGTTCAATTGCAATTTATTGAAGTAAATAATAATACTTTTAATATATTATATAATTATTGATTTATATAGTGCTAAAAAGGCCATTTTTTAAATTTATTTAAAAGAACACACTATCATACTAAAAGTTGCTAGTATAGATAAAAGTACCCAACACGTAAAACGAAATAATGACTATTCATCCTTAAATCATTAGGGAGTAAAATTAAAACTCATTACACCTTCAATTGATAAGCAAAACCTTCCTTCTTTTTTTTTAAGGGTTTTTATCTTTGGAGAAAGAGAGCATCATTGTTTCCACAGGAGTTTTTTTAATAATTCAATAATTTAAAAAAAGACAGGGGGTTGGGGCAAGCCCAAGAAAGACAATTCCTAGATACATTACCAAATTCTAATTTCGACAATATACTGAATATTTTCAAAGCTCTGTTTGCAACAATTCGGAATATAAATAAACACACGACCGCATCAAAGCTTAAAAAATAATATCAGGAAGTATGATCATCTAGTAAATCTTATTATCATCTTACTATACACCATATTTTGGACAATAGTCAATCAGTCAAACATGTACCAAGCTGTATTTTAAACAATTATGAAAATATTTTTCGATTGTTTTAAAGCTTTATCTGTTAATTTTCCCGCATACTCCCAACACGCTAGGTCAATGAAAAACAATAAAACATCCACGGAATTATGCAAGAATGGCAGACGTACACATCCTGTTTAGTCCACATGTTCCATCCCCACGGTACATTCGAAAGTAGCCCTGAAGTGAAAACACAAATATACAACTAAGGAGCTGTTCACATGAGCCCGGTAACCGAGATTCAGCGAGGCGTGAAATAATTTTGGGTCATTGAAAGGAGCAAACTCTTCCAGCTCAAAACTTACAACCTTTTCTTAACCGTCATAAGTCATTGTAGTTGAAATTTTCAAATCAGGCTAAATTATTTGTTTTCATTTTAAAGGTTTTGTGGATTTGCAAAGTCAGAGCATAGAGAAATTGCTCGAATAAGTTTTTTGTTGTGAAGTATTAAAGCTTTTCCATTTGCCAAAATTATTTAACGCTTCGCTGAAACCCGGCTGCCGGGCTCGTGTAATCCGCCCCTTAGTTTGGCGATAAATCATATGTTATCCAGACAGAGGCGTATCGAGCGGATGTGTGTATGTGATATATGGTCGTCGGTTTCTTGAACAAAAAAAGTCGGTAATTTTTAAATCTATATCACCAAGAAAATCATGTCATCATTTCACAAGCGCTCGATGACATTGGCGTTTCACTTTCAAGTGAGACGAGCATGAAGTCTGGGTCGAGCCACATTCTGACGTCATCTAAGATTGTATTGACGAGTCCATTTCGAATGACGACAAAGATTTTTCTGACGACGGACGAAGTCCATCAAAAAGGGCATTTTTCCCGCTTCAAACCGCCACAAACATGGAAGGATTTGACCAAATTAAAAACCTCTTTTACAGATACGCTAGTAATCGAGCCTGGTTTTAAAAACACAAACGAAAACTTTTGCGGTTAGGGGTGCTTCAACAGTTTAATTGAAAAAACACCCCTACCCCCAAATATCCTAGGTGCGCCTTCTGTCAAACATGTAGAAAACAACAAAACAAACGCTTGAGAAACTCACCCTCTCACCATAACGAGCACCCCAACTAGAAAGTTAAAAACATTCATTGTAACAATTAGTGAGAAGTTGCAATGAGATGGCCTACGTCGTAGACCCTAACTGTTCGTAGGGTCTATGCAATATTGAAGAATAGCTTGCCCCGCATACGTCACATCCGTTTGAGCTATCGCATAAATTATACCGCTATATTCAAAATAAATTCACTTTGAATGTTTTTATGCAGTGCGGTGTTTGAAATTAAATGAGATATGATCTTCGCACTTAGCTGGACAATTTAAGCAATCGTCTCAGGACCTGAAAAAATCAGGTGACTCAACGGGATTCGAACCCATGACCTCTGCGGTGCCGGTGCAGTGCTCTGACCAACTGAGCTCTGTAAAATTGAGAGCACTGCACCGGCACCGCAGAGGTCATGGGTTCGAATCCCGTTGAGTCACCTGATTTTTTCAGGTCCTGAGACGATTGCTTAAATTGTCCAGCTAAGTGCGAAGATCATATCTCATTTAATAAATTCACTTTGTAATTTAATTTTCAAAATGGCTAATTCGAAAAGCCTTTGCAAAATGAGTTATGTTACCAATGAACATTACCAATGGTAGTGTATCGTTCGTAAATTTTGCTTGTATTGCGGGTCGTAAAATTCCTTGCACGAAAAATGATATTAATTATAAAAGATGATATCCGAACAGACCTGGAAGCCCGCCGTTCTTCTGGGCTTTTCAACTACGCATAAAAGTATGTGCATGTCATATTTGTGTACGATAAGAAGGAGAGAAAGTTTGAGAAAAAAAAAACTTCACGACATCGACTGTTTGATTAAATTAAATTAAATGCCTCTTTAAACTCACAGTCACATTCCTAGCGTCTGACATTGTAAAAAGCGTCTGAAATTGTAAAAAGTGAATTAATTTAGAATAAAGCAGTATAGTTTAGGCCAGGGGTCTCCAAACTATGGCCCGCGGGCCAGATGCGGCCCGTTGGGCCTCTCAATCCGGCCCGCAGAGACACTTAAGAAAAATAATAATGTTATTAAACAAAATAAACTTTGTGCAGAAAGTTCACGTTATCACGCAAGTCAACTAGCAAGAGTGGCTTTTTTGTCCCAACGTCAATTTTTGTCCAAACTTCAACAAACAAATGACTTGCTGAGGGAAGAATTTAAAGAAAGAGAACCGAAAGAGAACTATCAAAAATTGAGGCATTTTACTGCAGGACTGCTATCTATGTTTGGCACCACATACCTGTGTAAAAATCTTTTTCTTAAATGAAGTATATGAAAAACAGTTATAGAACAAACATGTCAGGGCTCTTCTATGCTTGGAACCTCAAACTTAAAGCTAGACTTTTTTACAATTTTGTCATGAAAAAACCAATTTCACCCCTCACATTGAGAAAACTGAACAGAATAATTGTGATTTTGTTATGATACTACTCTTGGTTGAAATTAAACCTTTAAAGTTTAAATTTTGAGTAAATATTTTCTTAACTAATGAAGCTTGTGTTATGTACTTCATTTTATTAAAATATTCGCTCTTTGATCAGCGGTATACGGTTCGTCGGCCCTCAACATGCTGAATGAAAGTTCATGTGGCCCTCTGGCTGTAAAGTTTGGAGACCCCTGGTTTAGGCGATAGCTCAAGCTGATGTGACGTATGCGGGGGCAATCTTTTCTTCAATGTTTCGTGTTGCACAGACTCAACGAGCGTGCGAGTAGTTAAGGTGTATGATGTAAGGCTAGAAATGAGAAGGCATTAGCAAGAGTTTACCTGTTTTTAATGATCCAAAATGGCATGGGATTTAATCTCCTTCTTTCTACAAAAAACGAACGGCGATTCAGAAATATTTGATGTTATTGTTTTATTAATCAGTAACAGCTGGAATCTTAGCTATCTGATTGGCTGTCGCAGAGGGAGGAATTTTGCCGTTATCTGTCCGCGGACAGGAATCTTGTGGCTAAACACTTAGACTTTGGTTGTTTTGTTTTGTTTTGCGAAGTAAATTGTTTTAATATATTTTAAGTGAACTTTGCGTAATTTCCCAAGTAAAACGAATAAAAACGTTTTGATTGCTGTCTTGGTCGCCATTGTTGAATCCGACTACGCATTTTAAAGACATTGGCAAAAATATTGGAGCCCAACATATAATTTTGACCATAGCCATAAGCAAGTTGGTTTTGTGAAATTTATTCAAATAGTGACGTTTCGTCTTGACTCAAGACACCCTCAGACTAATAAGGAATAATATATGTTGGGCTCTAATATTTATATTGAAAATCCGTTTCCCTTCTGGCAATTCACTGGCAACTTTGGCAAAAAATATATATGTTGTTTATGTTGTTAAAAAATATTTATACGTTTACGTTGGGTCATAAATATTTATAATAGATATCGTAAATAATTATAATATATTTAATTAAAATGTGCATTGCGAGCACTACTAACCAATTCCATAGCCCACGATCAATACACCATGATTTAGCTCATGCGGATTGCAATCCCCTCTCGATGGATGAGCAACGCCTCCACGATAGAACTGTTGAATAAAAACTTATTTTACATGGATATCATCAATGTTAACCATACATGATGGGAAGTAGTTATAAGTTTGACGTTTCATTCGCCTTGGGTTCTGTTGTACGAATATTGGCGAACGAAACTTGTGATAATCGTAAATAAAAGTGTGCAAATCTCTGGTTCTGGCAGCTCAATGCTTAAATCTCTGGTTCTGGCAGCTCAATGCTTAAATATCTGGCTCTGACAGCTCAGTGCTTAAATCTCAGACTTCGGCAGCTAACTGCTCAAATCTCCGACTCTGGCAGCTCATTGCTTAAATATCTGGCTCTGGCAGCTCAATGCTAAATCTCCGAATACGCCAGCTCATTGCTTAAATCTCTGGCTCTGGCAGCTCAATGCTAAATCTCTGACTACGGCAGCTCAATGCTCAAATCTCTGGCAGCTCAATGCTTAAATATCTGGCTCTGGCAGCTTAATGCTAAATCTCTGACTATGGAAGCTGATTGCTCAAGTCTCTGGCTCTGGCAGCTCAATGCTAAATCTCTGACTAAGGCAGCTCAATGCTCAAATCTCTGGCTCTGGCAGCTCATTGCTTAAATATCTGGTTCTGGCAGCTCGATGCTAAATCTCTGACTACGGCAGCTCAATGCTCAAATCTCTGGCTCTGGCAGCTCAATGCTTAAATATCTGGCTCTGGCAGCTCAATGCTTAAATCTCTGGCTCTGGCAGCTCAATGCTTAAATATCTGGCTCTGGCAGCTCAATGCTAAATCTCTGACTACGGAAGCTCATTGCTCAAATATTTGGCTCTGGCCGCTCAATGCTAAATCTCTGACTACGGAAGCTCATTGCTCAAATCTCTGGCTCTGGCAGCTCAATGCTTAAATATCTGGCTCTGGCAGCTCAATGCTAAATCTCTGACTACGGCAGCTCAATGCTTAAATCTCTGGCTCTGGCAGCTCAATGCTTAAATATCTGGCTCTGGCAGCTCAACGCTAAATCTCTGACTACGGCAGCTCATTGCTCAAATCTCTGGCTCTGGCAGCTCAATGCTAAACCTCTGGCTTCGGCAGCTCAGTACTCAAATCTCTGACTAAGGCAGCTATCTGCTCTAATCTCTGGCTACGGCAGCTCAATGCTCAAATATCCATATACTTTGAAGTATGTTTAATGTACATATTGTACATCTGACGCACCTGCAAGGTTTTCGCGTTAATACCAATAGATATCGTTCCATTTGCAACTAGCCAAGCTGCCATTTCTAAAGAGGAAGATACAAGAACATTGAAACAGACGGGTTTTTAATGGAAATGATATCGAGCGAAAAAAATTACCGTCTTCATTTTGGGATATTCTTAATGAACCGTTTACTATAGCAACAATCTCTTTGTTTTTCATACGACAACGTTTACGGACGCCTTGGTAACGATAATCTGACTCAGAAACCAAACCACCTAAGAAAAAAAATAACTCTTACGAGGAGTTGGGGTTTGGGTCGAGCTCATTATGTAGTTTAGTTGTATACAATCTCACTGCTTGCGTTATTCCTTTTAATTTTTATATAAGTTTTATGTAAGTCAGTGTGACCTTATATGCAAATCTTTACCATATTCGGTCGGATGAGCTTAAACGCCCCCCCCTTTTCTGAACTTTGCAACTATATAAAGACGGTGGGAGAGTCTAAGAGTGCACGGGTTAACCGGCAAGAAACAAAATATCGAAAAGACCCCAATTTTAAGTGTTTATGACACAAAATTCCATAACGGACAAGCTTGATTGTAATGCAAAGAACATATATAATGACTTTATAACCTCGAAGGAGAATTGACTTATTTAACATTTTTCTTAGAGAACATCATAGAAACTAAAGCTATGGCCGACAAAAACTATTATTTATCAATGATAACTATGCAAATTTACCAATGATAATTATGCAATGTTACGTCATAACGATGTCATTTCATAGAGAAGAAAAAAATATTCCTCCGAAAAGAAATAAAATAACACAATTCTATTGAAGAAATTATTAAATCGTTATAAATCGTCTATACCATGCAATCAAAAATAATTATGGTAAAATTTGGCGTCACAAGCACTTAATAATCTATGAATAAAGACATTTCAATTTTTATTTCTTATTGTCTTTCTCCTAGCAAGTATACAGGTATGCGATAAAGCATGTTATCCTACCTAGCTTCATGATTTGTTCACATGCTGTGGATGGTAAACCTCCCTCACATCCATTGTCAACTTTATCGCAATCAAGCAACTCTAAACGTAAATAATTACAGATCATTTAGTATGACGTAATTTCCCAAATAATTACAGATCATTTAGTATGACGTATTTCCCCAATAATTACAGATCATTTAGTATGACGTAATTTCCCAAATAATTACAGATCATTTAGTATGACGTAATTTCCCAAATAATTACAGATCATTTAGTATGACGTAATTTCCCATTATACACAACGTAATACTGCGATCATCTTTTCGCAACTTTCACGGCAAGCATCGACTTTTTAAGGACATCTCCATTTCATGCCGAAATCGCAATGCGCATGCGATCTTTTGTTCAAAATTCGCACCGAGGCGTTCGCAGTTTGTTTGCGAAGAGACGCACTGCGAATATTTTCAATTTACAATGTTTGATATTTTGCGAATGTTCGCATGCGGTCGGTCAGTTTCGACTAATCATTAAATTTTATAAAGTAAAACAAAATGAAACGCGTGCGCTGATTGGTCTAGAGCTGTGTTTGCATTAGCCAGTGCAAAACACATCTGAGCTCGACCAATCAAATCAATCAAAACAATCAGTCAGTCAAAGAGAATTTGCAAATCAATCATGGATACATTTCAGAGGAAAAATTAAAATGTCTGTCTTTTTTGCATTATTGTTATCTTATAAAAGAAATAAAAGATGTTTTTCGTGTTTGCACTGGCTCATACAAACGTCGGAGACGTTTGTGAGAACTCTCGAGCATGTGCAAACCGAGGAGACCTTCGGGAGAACTCGAGAGTAGATCGTTGCATGCCCGAGGCCGAAAGTAGAAGGTTTTCACCGGTTCACGATAGTAACTATATCTTGATATGACCTTGTTCACTGAGAGAAATAAGTTTATTCGTCTTGATCGCCAATAATCCTTCGATGTTCCCAGTTGCCGAGAATGCCCAGCACGATCCACACGAATACTACGAAGAGACAAAAGCAAAGCTATGGCTTGCTTTAACCACACAGACATCATGGTTGCAGAGATACCTGATTTTTAACTTTCGTGACGACACCTGGAAAATGAATTGAGTCAATTCAGTATGTGTACAATACGAATGTGCTGCACGGACTACATGCTACCAACCGTAATCTCGCCAGTCAAAAGATTCTGGAATTTCGATACGAGGAATCTCGGCTTCGTTCATTTCATAAGTTTCTTCACTCCAACCATTCATAGTGTACATGGCAAGAAACTCTTTCTCTAAACGAACGAGAGTAAAATACATGTAAACGTGAGAAATATAGTCGGGGAATTCATGCTCGAACGCACTAAAACATTGTATTCAACTTCATCGTACAGAAACAATTCCGGCGGTTCCTATAGGAAGATTAATGATTGAGAGGTGAGAAGTTCATATTCACATACGCATGCTCAACTTCATCGTAGAGAAACAATTCCGGAGCTTCCTATAGGAAGATTAACGATTGAGAGGTGAGGAGTTCATATTCACATACGCATGCTCAACTTCATCGTAGAGAAACAATTCCGGAGCTTCCTATAGGAAGATTAATGATTGAGAGGTGAGGAGTTCATATTCACATACGCATGCTCAACTTCATCGTACAGAAACAATTCCGGCGCTTCCTATAGGAAGATTAATGATTGAGAGGTGAGGAGTTCATATTCACATACGCATGCTCAACTTCATCGTAGAGAAACAATTCCGGAGCTTCCTATAGGAAGATTAATGATTGAGAGGTGAGGAGTTCATATTCACATACGCATGCTCAACTTCATCGTAGAGAAACAATTCCGGAGCTTCCTATAGGAAGATTAATGATTGAGAGGTGAGGAGTTCATATTCACATACGCATGCTCTACTTCATCGTACAGAAACAATTCCGGAGCTTCCTATAGGAAGATTAATGATTGAGAGGTGAGGAGTTCATATTCACATACGCATGCTCTAATCCGTTGAAAACAATGGACTTCAAAGGAAATTAATACTGCACGTCATGCATGTACAAACTATTCGTATGAATACGAACCCCCCACCCCCTCCTCCCACATGCAATTATCGATCTTCCTACGTCACATGCATGTTACACAGATATTTTATTTTCCATATCCTTAAGATGATAAAGATAATAAATTTAAATTGTCCACCGGAATTTGATCATTTAGTGAAGTTAGTGGTTTACGGGGTACATAGCATAGAACATGGTTCTACCACAGAATAAGAATATACAGAAGAGTCACTCATGTCGGAACCTTTGATGTTTTTGTCCTCGCAGATGTCGTGCCGCGCATGATGGCCTCCATTATTCCAGCCAGATGATTAAGGTTTTTGACTGTTTTCAAACCTTTAAAATGATCCGAAGTCATTTCTTAAGTCAAAATATATTTGAATTCATTAATAAGTATTGACGTCATGTAATTTTAATGGTTGGAAACAAGTGAGAAATCCTAATCATCTGGCTGAGATAATGGACGACATGGGGACACGTTGTACACCTGAGTGACTCTTCTGTATAATCAATGTTCTGTGGTTCCACGATGATCACATTATTTACGAAGAGCTCTACAACCGTGTCTCAAAACAACTTGACGATAAACAGAAATACAGATGACTTGCCGGCCATGTTTAAACTTCGCTTGCAGGAAGATTAATCTCAAGAGAGGTTAGCTATTGTTACTAGTGTTGTCTAAAAGCGCTCGACCACTGTCTACCAGCAAAGCACGTAAAAAAGGCAAATCATCCGTATACCTAATACGCGGGCGGAGGGAGAGTGCGTCAATTTTCACAAAAAAAATTAAAACGCAACCTGTTAAATCACTGAATTGAGTGATGCCGTAGCGAGCAGTTCCCCTTTCAGTGTCTTGCATCAACTGGGCTATTTTGAGATTTTCCTTAAAAATACCGTAACGATATTCAAACTCTACAGAAAAGAGAAAACACAACCATTAAAGTTAAGCCACAGAATAGATATCTTAACAGAAGGTTCACTCTAGTCGGAACCTTTGATGTTCGTGTCCCCCACTTTTCTGGAGCAAATTCTAAGACGACACGCCTTCCAGCAAGATACTTCCGCCAGATCGCAATAGAAAAAATAGATGTTTTTACAAATACATCGTTTTGCACTACAAAAGCTTGAAACCTTATCTCCTTCGCAAGATGATAAGTCTTTGTAAAAATTTCGGCAAACTTTTGCTTTAAACTTGAATTATTAGTAAAATAGCATTCTCGTGCAATACTATTCCATATTGATTTTGTGAAAGTATCTTGCTTGGAAGTCACGCATGCGTAGTGAAAAAATACGCCACGATTTTAGCCGAGTGGGCCTTCTGTTAGATGTTTATTCTGTGGTAAAGGGAGAAATCGAAGGAAACCTAATCGCCCACACTTTTTTAAGAAACCGATTTTTTCTTTACAACATTGTATTCTGTATCACCCTTGTTTCGACAGACTATTCTTGCATGACTGGTAAACAAGCAAGGATGGTGCGTCTTAATAACAGTGGTGGCGAGGTCTGTTCAAAAGTATGAGTGGGGGTAAAACGAGCAGGATAGCCCGAGGACATATAGTTGCTATATGTGAGGAGTCCTGGGAAAATGTTATGATTTCCAGCTTTTTCAAAGATTTTTTCATTATCTACTATGTATCCAAGAACTATTCGTGGATTTTGATTGTTCAATAAACGTTCAAAAAGCTGCACATTAATTAAACACACAACTGACGCCATAAATCCGTTTCGTACGCTGTAATTTGATGCGAAAAAGAGACACAATTAGATCAAATGTTCGACCTATTTTTTCATCTTGATATGGCTTGCCGTGTTTCTCAACGAATTGATGAAACGCTAAACGAATATCCCCTTCTGATTGTGGAATAGCAGGCATCTGAATGGATAAATAATAAAAAAAATACGATGAAAAAGACAAACAGACTACATCAATGACGACGATTGTCAACTTCATACACTTGATTCTCCATCAAGACAAGTGACATGGTCTTCAGTGGAACACTTGTGATTAAGTAACATCAACTGATCGTCATCTGATAAAATCTGCTTGAACACGACTAAACGGCATTCCATCTGAAGAAAATTGAGGAAGGCTGTGAATGCGGAGTAAAAGTTTTATTCATCAACTTACATCCAAGGAGACTTCATATGTTGAGAAAAGTGCATGAATTTCAAATCGCTTTTCTTTGATAGGAAATTTCATAAGTCACAAAGCATGATGCATGCCAAAGTACAATGTACAACGAACACATGATACACATTTAACGACGAAGAATAATTGCATGATTTGGAACTTCATTTTACTAGTTTTTTACCATTTTTTTGTCTACAGGACATTCCTTTAACGTTGCGTTATTGCTCGTTAAATGTTTAGGACATATAGAAGACGTTCCAACAGCGACAGCAACACAGTATTTTATGCCTTTCGCGACCTACAAAGTGAAATGTACCATAATTACGTCAACACACAGAATGAGGCTCTTTGCATGCCACTAAACATTTCAACTTCAATTTAAAATGCCAGCAAAAGATAAAAATACGTAGCTGTAAACAATAACGACAAAGTAAAAACATATCTTTGAATGCCACTAAGCATTTCAACTTGGACTTAAACAGCCAATACGTAGCTGTAAAAACTAATGACAAAGTAAAAACATATCTTTAAATGCCACTAAGCATTTCAACTTGAACTTAAACAGCCAATACGTAGCTGTAAAAACTATTGATAAGGTAATAACGTGACATTACAGATAAGCGAAAGACAGAAATGGTTTTGTAAACCTGTTTGGATGTATCGAGAGTTTCGTACGCCATTAAACGATAGTAATTATTTGACATCGCGTTCAATTTTCCCATTCCAAATCTTATAACCCGTTGAATTTCTTTCTCATCTCCATTTGATTCGTGATGGTCAACGTTTTGGTACGAAAAAGTTACACTAAGCAATAAAATGACAAGAGAAAAAAATTTCATTTTGACCATGCGATGTTCAAGCTTCTGTGACCTAAGGAGGAATGACTATTTTGCTTATACTCGTGATGCAGTGAAGGTCAAACTATATAATTATATAATGGCTATCTAAGTAAAACACGTAACAGGCTTGAAACATGGGAAGGGAATGGGGCGGAAAGGAAAAGAATCGAAGGGAGGGGGGAGGGAAGACAATGACCGAGGAATGCCCGGCCGGGACGGAGTAATGACAAAGTATTTATAAATACATAATCTCATCTAGAATATTTGTTCTACTTTTTAAAAAAAACAATGCATATTTTTATAATATTTGCGTGCTTCATTGAGGAAATATAGGAAAGCTTTCTAAATATATGGATAACAAAGTATCTCAACATTCTTAAGACTAATGCAAACAGAAACTCCGACATTTACGAACATTTTCATGGCTTTTCTTGCATGATGGAAAAAAAATAAACATTAAGCCCATTGTAAAAAATCATCGACTACGATCGTTAAACCTTTTCAAAAGACGTCAGCTGAAATTTATCCTTGAGGTCAACATTCAAATGCCAAAAGCCAAAAGCAAGGAACATGTGTCAATAGAGAAAAATTACAGTCATATACACTGAAAGATTAAAGTTCTATACTATGGAAGATTACAGTCATATACACTGAAAGATCACAGTTATATAGTATGGAAGATTACAGTCATACACACTGAAAGATTAAAGTTATGTACTATGGAAGATTACAGTCATATACACTGAAAGATCACAGTTATATAGTATGGAAGATTACAGTCATACACACTGAAAGATTAAAGTTATATAGGTTTCTGGGTGGAAAAATATTAAAAAAGACAACATAATCACAATGTAGGGAGGTTTCGTTATCTTCATCACACAAGTGTATCGTCCTTGACATTTTTGGCGAAAATAGACTTTGATTCTCCGTCACAAGTGAGATGGTCTTCAGTGGAACACTTGTGATCAAGTAGCCTCAACTGATCTTCACCTGAAAACATCTGCTTCGACACGAGAAAACGACATTCCATCTGAAATCGACAAAGGAAGTGAATACCGATAATGTTACATCAACGAGCACCAAAAGCGACTTCCAATTACGAAATATATGCTAATAATTTGCATGAATCGCGGATCGCTTTGATTTTATAAGAAAATATTTTTCATCAAAAAGGAAGATTTGGAAGTTTTTATTATATTGTACTGTTGTTGTTTTTTTACCTCTTTCGTGTCAACAGGGCATTCCTTTAATGTTGCATGAACATTCGTTGACTGTTTGGAACATTTGCTGGACGAACCAACATCGACAGCGACACAATATTTTATTCCTTTCCCGACCTACAGTGCAAATGCACAATAAATTACGTCAACCTGTTCATACGAGACGGTTCATGGAAGGACCTGTTCATATCAGACGCACCAGCCCACTTAAGCCCGGCTAGGTAGATTTGCCGATATCTCGCCTCATATATTATTTTACAATGTTTTTGAAATTGCGTTCATATGAAGAGCGGGCAAGCCCGGCTTGGCGAATCTCCCAATATGAATGCGAATGCGAATACAAATTGGCGCGGCTTTAGCGGGCTGGCCCGTCTCATATGAACAGGCGTTTATGAAGCACTTCAAATAGAACTATGAAAGATGTACTTTAACTGCAACTGAACATAAAAATACGAAGGTGTTGAAGCTATAGATAGCGTAAACTCGTTAGATTACATAAAAAGCGAATAATATTTCATACCTGTTTCGCTGTAACGAGAGTTGTCAGCGCCATGTAGCGATAGTAGTTGTTCGATATATCGTTCAATTTTCGCATTGCAAAACTTATCACCGTTTGAATTTCCGCATCATCATCATGTTTTTTCGCTTCGTGCGGTCCGCCATGTTCGTAGGTAAAAGTTACACAGAGGGATAAAATGACGATGAAGAAAAGATTCATTTTGACCGAGCAAAATCAGGTTGTCTGGTGGCGGCTCAATTCAAGCTCAAATTTGGCAACACAATACATATTAAGGAGTCATGTTTCATGACGTACTTTGCTTTATACATAATATAAATCCTAACACGGTTTATTTTACATGCACATGAAAAACATGTGACTTGGACGAGATTTGAACTCGCAACTTCGGGACACTAGTCCACCTATTTGAGCTACCAAGCCAACAGGTAGAGCGGCGGACTAGTATCCCGAAGGTGCGAGTTCAAATCTCGTCCAAGTCACATGTTTTTCATGTGCATGTAAGATAAACCGTCTTAGGATTTATATTATGTACAATCTCTCTGATGAAGGCTTTGGAATAAAGTACTTAGCTTTTTTTACTTGATCTCAGTAAGCATCTCCTCCCGCTTTACCGTGATCATGTAAACAGGCCCAGTAATAATTCCGCGTTCAACAAACACGCGAAATTTATCTCTAAACCAAACCCTTCATCTTAAAGTACTATAGTCGACATACAGACACTTCTCATATAGACACGTTGCTTTTGGGTCCTAACTAAGAAACTAACACGTTACCAACTCGCCCATAACCGGACACCTCCTGTTAGCGGACACAATGGCTCTGGTCCCAAGGGTATCTGGACTGTCGCCCGCGTATGGGAGAGTTTGATTCTGGTTTGAGGCTGGATTATTTAAGTATCAATTTCAAGTATTTGTGAGCAACAAAATGAGACCAATGCTACTTTTTCAAGTGTTACCTTCAGTCTCTTACGTTTTTACTTTTCATTATTTATCAATAGCGAAATGAAAATTCCTATATAATATGGACAACCTTATCATTGTGTATATATAAATATGTCACATGATACACACATATGGTAAAAAACAACCAACACCGGACATTTTGGGGAGGGAGGGAGAGGAGGAGGGGCAAGGCACTTCATTTGCTTGAACGTCTTACCCCTCTACCCCCCGAGAACAAAAAAATGGCATTTGCTGGGATGTGTATTATACATACAAACAGAAATCTATTAATTATTCTTCAATTAATATGACAGTTTTATTATATAAGTGTGATTTGCAGTATTTGGCACAAAACTTTTCAGTCTTTCAAACTTGTAGCATTCATCACAGTGGTGACAAGAAGCTTGATGTGTCACCAAAAAATGTTATCATTGATAAAGTCCTTTAAATATTTTTACAAACCCTTTTAAAAACTATTCTTTTTATGGCATAACAAAACACAGTGTGTTGTTAGGAGGGCCCTTAAATGTATAGCATCAAATTGTTTTACATCAAAAGTTTACCAGCACTGAAATGAGGGTCATCGCTTTTTTGCTGTTCATGAATATTCAGTTTCTTGGAATCTGCAAGGCAAGAATGTATTATTAGCAGTGTTAGATGTTCGTATCAACATCTTGGAATGTTTTTAACTCGTGCCCAAATCAATAATTTCATTTAGCTTAAATATAATTACATACCCACAACTTGGACAGAGATAAAACACAGTCTGGCCTTCATCGGCTGACCGAGTCTGTCGTGTCTGATACGTCAATCCTTCATGTCCACATTTTGAGCACTTTTGGTCAATCTTAAGCAAGAAATATGACCAAGCCAATATTTTAATAATCATATACATAATCTGGGATTTTGATTCAATCGATTTTAAGGAAAATAGTCCAACCATAGGTTCTGTGAAATCATCTTCCTCGTCAACAGGTTCGACTTTTGCTTTAGGTTTGTATATGTTGAAAACCTTCTTGGAGTAAATCTCAATACCTTCAAATTCTTCAAGAGAAAAAGGAACAAACATTACATAAATATATATAATGTATACTATTACAGTTGTCACTAAACAAAAGACACCTTTCGTGTCTTTTTGATGTTTGCATGCTTTGCACGTCACCACATCAGCCAATCCAGGTAAAGGAAAGATAGAACCACAGTCCGGACAAAATAAAGGGTCCGAAAAAAATATTTCCTGATTTTCTCGTGAAACGGACGCCATGATGAAAATGCTAGTTAAGGAAATTCGCGTACTCTTTAAGTGAATTCCCTAATATAAGGAAATAGATTACTCATATAGGAAATATTTTGGAAATAATTTTGAAGGAATTCTATGGTATTTTATGGAAATTTGAGAAGACTCGTCGGATTGGGCCGACCGAGCTTTGGATACTTCATGCATGTATAATTTTGACGTTCAGTTTAGTTTAATTAATATTTCATTTGACCTTTTGTAAAATTGTCGAGCAGCTATAATTTCGGGTTTTTTACGCGCTTCCTTCCATCCCACGTTGTTATATGAAGCTGAAGAACGGCAGGAGCAGTGCCAAAAACAGGAATTTTTGTAACAATTAAAAAGAGATCGGTTCAGCCACTGGTTGAGCTGCAAAAGTGAAACGCAAGGTTGAAAGGAATCAATCATGGAGCAAAACTTAGTCAAGGAATTGGAGTCGGCCCTACAGGTTTTGTTGACTTACAATATTAATATTCAAGAATAACGATATGGCAAAATATCAATATTTTCATTTTTGTGTTCTAGGCATGTGTTGTAACATTTCTTTGTCAAGGTAAAACTGATGCAAGTATATCAAACGAAGAAGGTATGTCAGTGATTTATTGACTTTTAACTATATAATTTCACCTGCTTCTCACATGCGTTTTAATTTTAAAACTGTGAATTGCTTTGCAAGGCATAAACAGTTGCGTCGACAAGTTTGTACAATCAGCAAGACAATTAGAAGGATACTTCACCAAATATCAGATGTATACGATGGTCAATCATCCTCCTGATTTGATAAGAGAGGTAAGAAATCTTGACTCTTTCCACCCAGGGCTTTTTCTACTTTTACCAACCACTCCCCCCTTGGTTGAAATTTTGAACAGTAAGGCTTAAAGGATAATTTATTTAAATAACTCATGTCTAAAATGACTAAAAATATGCATTATATTTGAAATACATTGAAGAGGCACCCCCCTCCATGATTTTGTCCTGGTGACCATCCCCATACAACCTTTCCATTCACTGCGAGGCAATAATTTTTCGTTCACCTCAAAATCTACTGCTGGGCTATTTTAATTAACTTGTGCATATTTAAAAGAAACTTTGTATTTCTTCAGGACATCACCAAACTTCGTGAGGAACTTGCTCGAAGGATGCCATCTTGAACACGTTGCAACATAAAGTCATACACTGGGATAACGAACTTAAGAATTTGATAAGCAAACAAACCAGTATGTTGGCTTATGATGAGGATAAAAAGACATGAGTTATGTGACTAATGTGTGACCAATGTCGCATGACTGATGACATCATGACAACCATGCCCCTAGGTTCATGACTGAAGTATACAATAAAATATGATAGCATTAGTGCAATGTGACTGACCATTGCACATTGTAAGTCCATTTTATGTAGGTTGTTGGTCAATATCAGATAAAAGTGGCGTGTTTTCTTCAATTCTGATTTCCTGTGGTTTAATCTCCCTTGCTGAACTTTCAAAAACACCATCTGTGAGGTTTCTAAGAAGGTCAAAGTAAAATCTTTGCCTTAAATCTTTGGTTTAGAAAATGGCTATCAAACATTGAGTTTAAAAAACACAAGTCTTACTTCGTGAGGTAGAGCACGACCAGACCCAGTCCTCCTGCCGCAAGGAACGACGCTCCATTAAAATCAAACTTTAATGATAACGGATAGAGCAGATTGAATATGGCAGATGAACAGACAACAGCCAACACGTCCATGAACCCAATGGCAGCAAATAAAGAACCTAAAATCGAGAAAGGATGACGGAGTTCATGACGTCACAACTTTAAATATGGGGAATCCCCATTCAGTTACCTTGTTCGGCCGAGGAAACTTCTTTCGACATCGTCCCTCGGAAGAACGCCATAACCGCACCTATAAACATTCCTAGCACTGGAACTAAATCAATACAAGAAAGATTGAGATTAACGGTAGCTTGCTCATTTCACGGCCGTTAAACAATCACGTCAGCAGCCATTACGTCATGAGTACACGGGGGGAGGGGGAAGGTTCGCACGTGATCTAACCATTTCAAACTTGTCAGTGACGTTTTTCATAACATCGTTTTTATAAATCGATCTCGGCAAATTTTCCCAAATTTGGGGAAGTACGCTCTAGATTAACAGCAAATTTTTGTTCACCTCCCCCCTGTTTCCCATGGACAATCTATGGGGTCAATTTCAGCGACCAACATATAGAGTATGTTATAGTGCTATCCCCCCACCCATTCTTTTTACCTGGAACCACTAAAGCTGTTTTATCTGCAAACGCGAAGAGCACAAGAGAAGCCGAATACGTTAACAATCCAAAATATATAATGTGTATGATTTTAAAGCATTTGACGAGAATTTTCACACCGAGGACGGCTCCAACACCCAAGCAAAAGTAGCGTTCGGCGCAATACAATCCGATGTCCAGCGGCGACCAACACAGAGGACGATCCAGAAGGAACAAAATGGTCACGGTCGCGACACCGTAGTTGCTCAAAAAAAGAAGAAAGTTTAGTATGATCAAGGCACGCAGATTGCTTTCGTCGTCATTTCGTCGTGTTCGAACAACTTCCCTGACATTCTGGAAATGCTTCCAATCAAAAAATTTCACCGATCCATCGCGATGTTCTTTCGATAGTGTTTCCGGCACGAGAAAGACGGCGTGGATAAATGCAGCTAGAATGCAACCACACACGATCCAATAGGGTGCTTCGTATCCTTGATTGGATTCAATCATCTTGCCACTCATAGCTTGTCCTACGGTCCCACCGATGAACACGAAAAACTCCAAAATTCCTGAACGCAATAAAAAATCAATGTGTTTCTCACAGTTTTAATGACGTATTTAAGGGTGTGACAAAACCATTGTCACACAATTAGGAAAATACCAAAGGGCCACTTTCCTGTTCAACTTGGTGTTGCGTATAAGTAATACACAGTCGCAGAGATGTATTGCCATCGCTAATTGGGGCTCTTATTCATATATGCATGTTATAAATCCGTAGATAACAATGCATTTTAAAAGAACTTAATACAGCATAACATGAATATATCAATAAGAGCCCTCCAAATTAGCGATAGCAATACATCTCTGCACAGTAGTTGTCTATAGGAGTGTTGTATAACTAAGTTTACTAGAAGGAGCTCTTTGGAAGATGGCGAAGCCGGATGTCGTAAGAAAAGGGGTGTCGTACTGGTAATAACGTCATAGATGTTTACAACCGGCGTAACTGAATGACTAAAAGATGAAATTATTTATTACCACCATACGTAAACCACCTCAATGCTTGGAAATAGACTTGCACACACAAAGTCAAATCACGCTACAAATGACCATTTTAAAGACTGCTATCAATAAATTATTGATTTCTAAAGTGGAAAGGGGCTTCAGCCCCAGATCTTGCAGGAAGGGGGGCATTCGCCTCAGGCGCTCCCACACTTCCCCCATCAGACTTGTAAATATCAATCATAGTTGGTGAAAACGGCCTGTGAATAGCTGCCATTATGGTACACACCACATGCGTAATAAGACATGTGGCACATGTCTTATGCCGCACATGTCATGTGCGGCACAAAAAAATCTCAATGTAGTGACTTTTCTGTAGAAACCTTATTCTGGTCCATTAAAAAAATGCGAGAAGACGATCCTTACCCACTCTTGTCGCTCTCGTCGACTCGTCACTTGTGTCCGCAATGTACGCCATTGTTGCCAGAATCATTGCAGAAAAATATCCCGTCATGCCATTGATAAAACCACCGAAAAACAGAACGAAAAGAGGCCAATCATAATACACGACGAGCAAGGTGAGCGACGTTTCAACAAGGGCGCCAAAACAGGGCAAACACATGGCAGGTTTCCGTCCAACTTTATCCGACCACGAGCCAAGCAACAATCCTGTTACTAGCGAAGGAGCGCCAGAGACCGCTGTCAAGCCGAACACGTAAAAAGACGTCTCGGATTGAACCTTCGTCAGCAATACAATAAAACGTTAACATTGTAAGCACGCAATGATGAAATATAATGAAAAATAACATTTTCAAGATTATCTCAATAATTATTGTGCACGTGGGGTTCGGTAGTAGAAACCCACAAAACAAGTCACACAGGAGGGGGAAACCGTCACTTCACTCACTGTCATGGGGGTCCATTATTGGACTTTTGGCACAAGCCGGACACGGTTCACGGAACGAAAGCTTGAAACAGAATGTCACCATTTTTCTAGATATTCCATTTGCTATAAGTTTGCGCCGTAGGGCGAGAACCTTCGTTCCAGGTCATTGTAGTGTTAACCCCATTACTGAAACATACCTCATCACGCACTTCAGAATCGTTAACACATTTTGTCCTCGAATTAAAAGTGTTGTTGTACCCCTTATCTTCGCTCGCTCTGTCGTAGATGTATTGTTGAATGAGAATAGAGTGAAGTATCAAGCCAAATGCATACAGAAATACGGCCGGTTCGGCGCTTCTAAACTTCGAAAGGAATGATTTTCGAGCCATTCAAACGGCATTCACATGGTTATTTGTGAAACCCTGTCTGTATATCGTCGGCCATTATTTCGAAAAATTTGAATTTTTGAATAATTTGTCATGCATCGTGAACTTTGACGAGTTCTACGCAAGGAGAGGTTGTTACACGTTTCTTACACAACTACTAAACTACTACTTACTACACAAGGTATTACACACGGTTTTGGTACATAGTTACGACACTTGATGCTACAACACAGGTGATACTGCAGACAGTCTTACAAGAAAAAAAAATTCAAAACAGAAATTTCATATCAAGAACCGGTTGTAAATCGTGAACTGGTTTAAACGAGTAAACAGCAGCGAGTTACTCTTTCGACAAAAAAAAACTTGTCAAAAAAAGTTTCGAAAGTTGTCAAATTGGGTAAAATACGAAGAGTAGACCTTCTATCAAATACTCTTGTAATTTCGAGGTCGAGATCTTAATTAAAGATGACCTTTAATTATATACGGTATATGAAGATGATACATGCCAAAGTCCCATTTCACAGCATCCTTCCCCTAGCCCTCGCGTCAAAACTTTAGCAGTTACGTCACTGCAATGTCACAGAATAATGATTATATAGAAGAGTCACTCAGGTGTACAACGTGTCCCCATGTCTGCCATTATTCGAGCCAGATGGAATTAGGATTTCTCACTTGTTTCCAACCATTAAAACTACATGACGTCAATACTTAATAATGAATTCAAGTATATTTTGACTTAAGAAATGACTTCGGATCATTTTAAAGGTTTGAAAACAGTCAAAAACCTTAATCATCTGGCTGGAATAATGGCGCCACCATGCACGGCACGACATGCGCAAGGACAAAAACATCAAAGGTTCCGACATGAGTGACTCTTTTGCATATTCTTATTCTGTGGCAAGGTTAAACCCACGGTACACAAATAGATTTCCAGGGAGATCTATGTTTTTCTACTACGCCCTGTAATATCTATGATTGGTAAAATTCTTCCAAAAATATTTGAATGTGTTATGTTTCCCAATACTGATAGTTACCGAGCGATTTATATCGTCAAATTTTATAGTCGCAAGCACCAAATATGAATTATCCTTATCTAAAGATTAACAATCTTGATCCTTAAAATATACCACATCCTTCGCCAATCTCGAAGCCAGTTCAACCAAAGTTCGTGTTGGTCTCCCTAAAAGAGCAAATCTTGTAGCAAAAGGACTCGGATTGGGTTGATTTAAGATTTAGTACCTGACATTCCTTTGCCAAGATAAAGCACCTCGTCAGAATTCCCCATGACGCCCGCAATATCAAGGTGAGCCCAGCAGTTGCTCTTAACAAACTCCTTAATGATTCATAGAGATATGCAGATGCCGTTATTTTATATAATAGGAACATTGAAATAATGTTTGCTTGTTTTCGAAAAGCTTAGCTGACCTTCAAAAATGCTGCAGCCGTGCAGGAGCCTCCAGCACTGTGACAAACGAAAAATATATATAAAAAATAGGTTTGCAGAGAGTACATGAGGATAGCCTGAAATTACAATGAGACGTAAATGACGTGTCTTTGCAATCACTTGCAAGCTTGCATTTGTATGGCATTTTGAGTTTATTTGGTGTAAAGTACTGTCAGTGAAACAGATGAGGGATATTGCATTTCTTCAGTCATATGATTAGAAATATTATTACTAGGCTTGTTTCCCGTTATTCGATGTCTTTTTAAAAGCGGTTAAAAGCACAATATGCAAGTTCTTTGTTTATTTGCACATTCAGTCCGAAAAAAGAGGCCAATAATATGGATAGAAGCCGGTCGGTCGGTGGGCTGTTTTCTACTTTTTTTCTCGGTGTAACATAATGGTTAGCCTACGTACAGGCTACCAAAAAAACTCTCCGATCTCTGTATGAAATACACACATAACATACCGAGGTTTCTTGCCCACGTTGAGCAAGTCGGCAATGTCCGACTGAACCTGCTTCTTGTAAAGTTGAAATAACGGCATTCTCCACACTCGATCACCGCTCGTGTATGCTGCCTGAAATCAAGAATACCTAGATTAAGTAAATTGTTTGAGCCTGGGATATCGCTACATATTTACAGATGTAGATTGTCCAGGTTAGTAGAGTCATGAGAAGGACTGTTCATGTTGATGTTGACTGACGTTTCGACAACCTTAGCGGTAGTCATCTTCGGAGTCAAGAGAGGATTTAAATTCAGGTTCGCCATATTTGTCTTCTTCAGACGTGATCGTACTGTGCGCAGAGGAAATGATAGGGGAGACTGGCGGGAACTTAAACATAAGACTTCCTGAACACGAACTTTGACTTTACTAACCAGAACTCTACAACTACAAACATTCACACCAAGATATCAATTCGGTCAAACGAACGCCTTATAAAGGTGTCGTAAAATGTTCATGAAGATTTTTAAGGGATGAAATTAATACAAACTTTCATAAAATGTTGCCATAGTTGCTCCGAATTTGTGTAAGCACCAGCCGCACCAGCACCCAGCGCAACGTCAATTGCGCCTACAAACAATCACATAATCAGCGGTAACCCACAAGGTTAGCACCAGCGAACTGTTACATCAAGTGGAACGATAAACTGCTATTATTTTGTCCTGCAATTGGTTTAGCCAAACTAAATCTAAAACTACACTACATTCGGCAATACTCATTGGCGTAGCTGGCACGCAAATATGTTTATGCTATATGTACATATGTTTTAGTTCAATCACCGTAAAAATAATAGATCTCTGAAGAAATAAATAATGCTGATGATGAAAAACTATGACTTTTAGCCAATATTTTTGACATTCCATAAACATTCAGTAAGTTGTCCAACACCTTGTGTAAGTAAACCTTGCGTTGAAGAATGCTAGTCCCTTTACGAACGCCTTATAAAGGTGTCGTAAAATGTTATACTAGCATTCTTCAACGCAAGGTTTACTTTCAACATTTGAATTTGAATTTTATAAGGCGTTCGTAAAGGGACTAGCATTCTTCAACGCAAGGTTTACTTTCAACATTTGAATTTTTCTTTACAAAAGGACTGGAGCGACCTACATGGCTGCCATCATACTAGGTTTAATTACACCCCTCTGACTTATCGTTCCAGTTGATATTACAGTTCAGTGGTCAGCACTCAGCAGGAACCAGTGAACTTTACAACAAATACAATGTAGAGTTTATTGGCAGGAATTCACAAGCCATTGAACTAAAATAGATCTGGAACGCTAAAGCAAGGTTTGGTGGGTAGAAATCAAACCAATTTTAAGACATAGTTTACTTCAATGGTTGAATCACAGACTACTAACAAAAACAATGTCCTATCCAGTGATTTATGTGCAAGCGCTTTATGCCATTGATTCGACACTAGTACATGGTCGAAATCTTTTCCCTTGAACAAATTTTTTTGTAATGTCAATTCTTAAGGCAATTTGCTTCAGTTCTCTGCACTGGCGAATGAAAGGCAAAGAGCGATTGCGAAAAAATCAACGGAGATGACCTTCTGTACGCAAAAATTCTGTGGTAGAAGGCCACACTATATTTCATACCTGTCAAGGTTGCAACGTCAATCAAAGTTCGTGGATTAAATGACTGTGAATAAGTGAGAGCATCAGCCAGGATCAATCTTCCTTCGGCGTCTGTGTTATCAATCTAAACAAGCCATAACAGCAATTTGTGAAATGCATGCAAAAGAGAGTTTAAACTTTACCTTTAGGATTCTATTATAGATACTTCAGACATATCGACTCTATTATCGATACTTAAGAATTATCGACTCTTTTATCGATACTTCGGATTGATCGACTCTTTCATCGATACTTCAGACGTATCGACTCTATTATCGATACTTCGGATTAATCGACTCTATTATCGATACTTAAGAATTATCGACTCTTTTATCGATACTTCGGATTGATCGACTCTTTTATCGATAATTCAGACATATCGACTCTATTATCGATACTTCAGACGTATCGACTCTATTATCGATACTTCGGATTGATCGACTCTATTATCGATACTTCAGACGTATCGACTCCATTATCGATACTTCGGCTTTATCGACTCTATTATCAATAATTCAGACTTATCGAGTGTATTATTGATGCTCCAAACAACAAAGTAAAGTATGCCATCTCATACTGACCTCAATAGTTTTACCATTCATGGCAGTGACGACGTCACCAGGTTTATTCGCGCTCCCCGAAGGCATATTCTCGCACAACGGTACAATTGTAATGACATTCAGCGGTAGCTCCAGTCGAGCTATGGCTTCTAATGCTCCGACAACAGCAGCCGCGCCACCCATATCACCTTTCATCAACGACATTCCCATCGCGGGTTTAATTGATATTCCACCACTGAAGATGATGTATGCTATTGTTGGTCCAAATTACTTATAGTTACAGCCAGTGATTTCAATGAACCTACCTATCGAAAGTAATTCCTGCAAAGAAAAATTCAATGCGAAACTCCCTCGCAAAACGCGCGAAATTCGAGCGAATTTCAATGATTTACCTTTCCCGACCAAGACAAGAGGTCTTTCGTCTTCATTGGAAGATCCGAAATATTTCATTTCTAAAAGATAAGGTTTTTCACAAGATCCTTTCGCGACGCTGAGAAATGCACCCATTTTCATTTCTTTGATCCAGCTCTCCTCCCTGAAGATGCGCATCAAAGAACATGTTTTTCAATGAAATTCTTCAAAACAAATGATCAATTGAAGTGACTACAAAATTTCTTATGGTGTGATAAAATATATCTCTCAAAACTGCAGTGCACTTTCTTCTTTTAATATTAAATATTTACACGCTTACTTCTGGAACCATTAAAGATGTCATGATTTGTAAAGTTGAGAGTATATGGTGACGTGCTTTCTGATGTACAGAACTCAATTCTATTTCGTTCATACGCTACACGGGTCTCGAAGTAACAGCGGAAATGTTTCCAGCCAAGATAAACGCTGAACTTCATTTAAACACGGTCAAAGTCGATTGTTTACCGATCACTAAACGTGCACAAAACTTGCCCCAAATAACGAGAGACTGTCTATTTCTGTGTTTGACGTCCAAGCGCTTTATATGCTATCATGCATTGCTTTCCTTACTAAACATGTGCTTTTGGAGAAGATGTGAAAATGTGGCACCGGGTCAAAATAAAGGTGTGAAAATTTGCCCTGTCGATATGCATCTTTGAGCACGATCATAGTCCGCTAACCTGGCGTTTTTTTCAGCCTAGCTACAGATCTCCGAGTACTTCATCTAAAGTTGTTTTTATTGTCATGAAAATGATCACCTTCAAAGCAATTTTGCTGAAGATTAGAGGATGTAGATGTTAGATAGGAATCTATACGTCGTCATTTTTTTATAATTCAAAAGAATGCAAACCCGATAGGAAATAGCGTCTGGACCATTGAGTTCTATTAAATTACCTGGAGGGGAAAAGGGGTCTGGACACGGGTATCAAAAACATGGATGCCACAAGGAAATTTTGGGTGAAAAACTTCCACTTAAAAAGTTATTTTTATCATTCACTCCCCACTGTGGCTGAGCTAAATTGAGTACTAGACAACTGACTGAGTATTGTATGTAAACTTTCCAGGTAATTAGTATACAGGTCAGTGGTCTGGACCCTAGATTATGAAGATAATGAAAAAAAATGTGTGGCACTTTATATAAAGACATGAATGACAGAGCAATTTTACCTGACAGTAATTTTTACCGATTGCAAACGTGAAAACCTATCGATTACTTTCTTCGTGAAGAAATGCGGAGTCAATAAATTACTTGGAGTTTCCATTAAGTCTCTTGCAAAATTTTGTCCTTCGCCACAAACCAAACCTTCTTTCCACTTCTTCTCAACACTCTGGGAAGCTTGATGTACTTTTATGTTCAAATTTCCCTGTTGTTTTTCCACTTCTTTAAGTTTTTCGAAGGCGAACTTCATCAACGACGCTCCCTCGGCCATCGCTGAAAAATACGCTTGCAAAATAAATACCTAAAAAATATACATTGAGATAGTGCTCGACTGTGATTGGTTGATTGCAGTGTACTTTATCTGTAATTGCACAGCAAAAAAGTGTAATCGCACTGTAGAAAAGCTGAATCTCTTTGTTCAAAACATGATAACGCTTTGCTTTGGACATAACTCTGGAAACTTGAAGTCAACGTTGACTGTACCTTTGGGGTCCGAGCAGGGATCGATTTCAATATGCCTGGCATCAACGTCACGCAGAGCTTTAACTCCAGCTAAAAATAAGATTTCCTTTGAAGCAACTATAGAATAACCTGACACTTGCGTATACGAGTTGTCGGGGGGGGGATAACTTGCGTCTCAAGATTAGGGGGGGAAAGCGTTAAGATTAGTACAATTTTCTAAATTATTACTAATAAAATCAATTATTACTAATAATTTCAATTCAAACAAGGTTATCAACTTCGTATATCTAAGTAATAATATTTCCCGACGAGTTGCACAGTTTTACCCGACTAGATACTATCGCCACATCCATACGCTAAAAATGACAGCTAACCGGTAATCCAATCCCTAACACAATCCCTAAACTCTAACCAAAGTCTCCCTTCAGCCACGCTGTTATCATTTATGCAGTCATAAGGCAAATATTTATTTTCTGTTGCACGATGTACGAAATAAGCCACGTCTCATTTTTCCATGCTCTAAGCTTATGGTAGCAGTAGAGGAACATTATAGGGAACTGGGACGATTTGAATGACGTAATCATATAGTTAATCATTAGCAGTGTACAATCACGTGAGTAAGGGGTATTTAGAGACTATATTCGTTAGGGATGGGCAGTAATTTCGAGTATTTATTAGAGTGCACATATCTGCATGCGAAACCGTGATTAATAAAATACATCAAACTTGTGAGTGTGTCGGCCATCAACTTAGCTTCTATAGCGTTCCCAACATGCATCATTCACCTGCAGAAGCCTGTCGTAAATTCTCCTTTGTTTCATTCACGTTTTCCAAATCGTTGGCTTTGAAAAGTTTCTTGCCAAGGCAAACTGCTGCAATCACCGGGTAATCCTGAAGAATTACAAACTTTGGCAATAAATACAAATAAATTCAACAGCAAAACTAAAATACAATATTTCGGATTAAAATCACGTATCAAATGAAAGATATTCAAAAGGAATGGATATCTTAACATGAGGTTGATATCTACGGACTTTCAAGATAAAAAATTTCCTAATGTGCTTCATCGCATGCCAGAACTGTTTCATAGACCCATCGTTTACACTGTAAATTTTTTGAAACGTTTCTAGAACGTTGTTCAATTACAATGCTTACACTTATACAAAATGAAAAGGTTCTGGAAAATTACATTTTCTATTGCCCCAAAAAAAAATTTGCTTGAAGATTACAAAAGTTAGAAGTGTAGGAAAATTTTACAAAACAACGTCTCTCCGTAATAAATTGTGATTGTGTTATTGAAATTACGATAAATAAATCGACCCAGTCACAATTTCTAGAAAACAGGGTTCGAATTCGCACATCGCATTTCGAAAATTACGAGCCAATTTTGTGCTTTAGCGAATCAAGGACGAACAAGTTGCGAATCGAAATTTGAAAAAATACAGCTAAAGCTTACTTTAGACATTCTTTAAATGGAAATTTATTAAAAATATAATTTAGTACAGCTGCCATTTATGCTTTGTTCAGTAACGAATGCTCCATTAAGATATCGATAACCAGACACGTTGTTCTAACTATAGCACGGTACACTTTGGCTGTAGTTGACACTGACACTTTGAATATTTTGATGTGAAGAAGTTAGCATTAACTGCTTTTTCATCCGGATACAGACCGTGGTAAAAATATAAGACGAAAGCTATATAAATTTTTTTCAAACATAGTTTTGCTTATCAATTGATATCAAAATTGTTACGTCCAGTTTATACGGACGATTTTATTGCCGTAACTTTCCACTGCTGTTTTGCAAATTTCAAACATTAGGCATGTGTATGAGCAACGTTATAGCCAGAAAGCAAATTTCAAACATTAGGCATGTGTATGAGATACGTTATAGCCAGAAAGCAAATTTCAAACATTAGGCATGTGTATGAGCAACGTTATAGCCAGAAAGCAAATTTCAAACATTAGGCATGTGTATGAGATACGTTATAGCCAGAAAGCAAATTTCAAACATTAGGCATGTGTATGAGATACGTTATAGCCAGAAAGCAAATTTCAAACATTAGGCATGTGTATGAGATACGTTATAGCCAGAAAGCAAATTTCAAACATTAGGCATGTGTATGAGATACGTTATAGCCAGAAAGCAAATTTCAAACATTAGGCATGTGTATGAGATACGTTATAGCCAGAAAGCAAATTTCAAACATTAGGCATGTGTATGAGATACGTTATAGCCAGAAAGCAAATTTCAAACATTAGGCATGTGTATGAGATACGTTATAGCCAGAAAGCAAATTTCAAACATTAGGCATGTGTATGAGCAACGTTATAGCCAGAAAGCAAATTTCAAACATTAGGCATGTGTATGAGATACGTTATAGCCAGAAAGCAAATTTCAAACATTAGGCATGTGTATGAGATACGTTATAGCCAGAAAGCAAATTTCAAACATTAGGCATGTGTATGAGCAACGTTATAGCCAGAAAGCAAATTTCAAACATTAGGCATGTGTATGAGATACGTTATAGCCAGAAAGCAAATTTCAAACATTAGGCATGTGTATGAGATACGTTATAGCCAGAAAGCAAATTTCAAACATTAGGCATGTGTATGAGATACGTTATAGCCAGAAAGCAAATTTCAAACATTAGGCATGTGTATGAGATACGTTATAGCCAGAACGCAAATTTAGAAATTTCAGTAGATGCATGTTTTAAAGAGTTGCAAATCAATTTTTTCCTCCCAATTCGAAGCCTGGAAAACACATTTAAGATGATAGCATAACCAGCAAAGCATGTCAATAACCATACAAAAGTGGGCCAAGTGTAAAAAGGTGCTCAATGATGATCAATGTTTCAATGTATACATACAGGAAGTTTATATAAGCCAACAAAACTAAATATCTAAAATGGACTATGACCACAAATGCCCTAAAGTGCAATCATTACATGCTAACCATAATAAAGATAATAATATGAAGTATTACTTAATAATATGAGTGACCCCTACATTTTGAATGCTCACCTCAATTGAATTTGGACAGGTGTGGACATGGCCCATTCCCCCAAATTGAAAGTTCGGTACTGGCTATTTCAAGTCATTAAACAAAAATTTGGGATAGTTTCAACTACTCACTTTGTCAATGTTGAAGAGTAATCTTGATTTTCCAATTTTGAATTTCTTTTGTCCACTAAAAATTTTTTACTCATGTACACGTTGGATTGCATACTTGCACGAGCGACAGACTACTCTCAGATTTTTACTCTCAAAATTAATACATTTGACACTTACATTGCCAAACTTTGAGCCAATCTGCCTTCGGTCTTTTGATTAACAATTCTGCCAACATTTGTCAATTCAATATTGCCGTTCTCTCCTGCATACACACCAACAACAAGGCTATTTTTGATACCATTTCCCTGGAATGGAAAGAAAAAAAATTATAACTTATTTATATCAAAAGTGAAATGTTTATTGTTTAATGACATTGGGTCTTTTGCCTCTTCCCCCACTGCCCTCCCATTCTGTTGCAGTGACATTACAATCATTATAGTCATGTCTAAAGCGTTCGCGAAATCTCAGCTGAGCGTTTGCATTCTATAGTCTATACAATCTATCCAGTCCAGGTATGAAAGTTTGCAAAATATACAAAAGAGAAACATAAAAGTGCACATATGCAGTAAGCCATGACTTCGTATCCTTTGCAAAGGGCAAAGTTCCAACTCTGGCACGTAATCAAAAGCAGATCCACGTACATACATACATTGGTGGAATTATCAGAACTTATGCAACGGCTCTTTATTAAGTGATTAGCGACAGTTGGTGAGCGAAGAATTCTTGAAACTCTTATTCTTCCTACAGTATCAGCCAATACTTGACAACCCATTTTGCATTCACTTCGTCCAACAGTTAACTGAATAATACAAGCATGAATAAACGAATGAATTTGCACGCCATGTTTTTAACATGTGCACCGAAGTAACATATCCCCCCCTGAATCGGTACATACATTGAAAATGATAATTCTAGTCATCGAATTAAGGAACTTTCTTGGGCACAATTTTGAGAGAAGGTATCTATCTCAATGACACGCTGTCACGCACCTGCTAAGCTATTTAATACGAGAACATTATCAAGGCTAAGTCAGATTTTGTGTTTTTCTGTTCTTCTCGCTACAACATTTATAGAAGTGCGGGGGGGGAGTTATCGCGTGCTTTTACATACAAAATGTCGGACCTTGCAAAAGCCCGAGCGAATCTATTGGAGGTTTTAGGTGACTTATCGCCAAAGTATTGGACGACGTTATCATTGTGGTATAAAATGAAAATTTCTAAAGACGATTTTGATCTTCAAATCAGACAACTTCTCAGCGAGGAACACATCAACGTCCATAACGACTTTTTATTTGCGTTGCTGTCAAGATGTCAAGACATGAGCAACAGTACGGTAGGAACAGTTAAGAATGAACGTTCTTCTTCTTTGGCGTCGTTTACGAGCCACGCGAATCTTGACCTCCTTAAAAAGCATGCTAGACCAGCCAAAGTGAACTTTGATCAAAGATTTCATCCTTATGACGTATTGCAAGGTTCGCATAATATGGACAATGTTATTTTGACGGATGACAGTGACATTAATCTCTGCTCTTACGAGTACACGCTACCGGATGTTCCAGCCATGAATGGCCGGTTATTCCTTGCTGCCTGGGATGCAGGTTTGGAATCGGTGGAAGATGTTGGATCAAATGCAGCAAAACTGGTGATTTTTGCTGTTAAACATCACATAAAGGACATTCTAACGGCATGTTGCTCTCGTCGAGCAGGTTTTAGACTACAAGACAAACATTTCAAGTATGGTATTAATACTGGCTTGATCAAGCCGAATGTTTGGAATAGCACTGACTCTTATTCACCTCACTTGTTACATCAGAGAAATGTGGAATATGTAGCTGATGCTGCTGTCACTTTGGCCAGCAGTATACCTCCACCTGCACATAGTTCCATATCAATGTATGAATTACGTGAAGTGTTGCAAGTGCATTGCCGAGTCATACCATCCCATACTGTCTACGCTGCAAATATGGAGAGAATATTGAGTGGACTATGGCATCCGAGCCATGATGAAATTGAACAGAGTAGATTACAAAAATTGGAGTCGAAAAGACGACAGAGTAAACTTCGACAGCAAAGATGCTTGAGAATATAAAGTGTTTGTGAACTACTATTTTTATGAATGTATCAATAATCCCTAAAATGTATTTATTTTGCCCAAGAATAGGTGTTCAAATTGATGACTGACTGATTTATTTACACTTTTATAAAAACTTCTTGCATGCAATCCTTACCTATCAAGCACTTCTAGACACCACTGACTAAATGAACTCATGGCCATAAATGGTTTCGGTTATGTGTGGACCTGTCAACTACCCACTGATGTTGTGAGATTTGTAAAACCAGAGCACAACACCAGTTAGGTTTGTGTCATTTACACATGACAGACTAGCATGAATATATAAGACTCGCACTACCTTCTCTAACTACACACTAGTTTCATTGTGCGACGGCTCCCTATGGATCTTTGAAACATGAGGAATAGGGACATATGCGATTTTCTTTTCCCTGCATCCATTCCATTCCTTTGGTTCAGGTTTAACACGTCCATCTCTATAACGGTTAACAGGTTTGGAGTTGCTAGGACCTGCGTTTTGGTGTGCGCTATTGCAAGCGTTTGTTGAGTCATTGGGTCTTCCTACTCCAATGACGTTTGGGGTCTGGGGCTGAGCCTGCAGTAGCATTTGTGCCCGAACCCCAACTGGTTCATTTCTGTAGCCTTGAGCCTCGTTAGGACGTTTACGTTTCGAATTTGATCGCGATAGTCCACTGTTATCACCGAACGACGAACTCGATTGTGAGGTCATTTCTATAGCTCTTTGATAACTGGGAGGGGGGCGATCCATGAGAGGCGGCAGTGTTTGTTGGGGCAATATGAGAAGAGGGGGCTGTCCAGGGGGGAAGGACTGATGCACAGGACGAAACTGATGACAAGGGTGGGGGTAAACCATTTGGTTCGTCATCGGAAATTGTCGTTGTCCATACGAAGAAGTTGGATCCAAATGTGGATTTGAAGTATTGTTTACTTGTGCTGAATCATGGGATAGCTCGTCAGCCACAGTTGTTGACGTGACATCTTCCGTGATGTCGACGTGATTGGCGTGCGTTTCCGAAGGGACTTGGAAACTATTTCCAGCACCGTCCAAATTAGTTACTCTTAAAACTTGAGAGTTTTCGTCATCGCAACTTTTCGACTTCCTCTCGGAGTGAATCGAGTTAAGACTTCGACGGCTCTCCTCTTCCTTGTTTTCTGTCTCCGTAACGTCAACCTGGAAGAAAGGGGGAAAAGTCAATGAACATTTGTGGTAAAATAAAACCGGCGGGGAACTCCCCACGCACACGAAGACTGTTACCTCGTTTCCAGCAGCTGCAGCTTGAGGGGCTTCCGCCGGCAAATCAACTTCGTCAAGTAACGAAAGTCGAGCCGTAGACATGGGTCGACCGTTAACAAAAACATCATTTGTTAGTGCAGCAGACGATGGTAGGGTGATGTTTGATTGTCGATCGGATTCGAGCCTGTGAGTTCCTTCTCTGGCAGCGACTCCGCCATTCCTTTGATCAACAGTGTTTAATTTCGGCATACGGCTTTTAAAAAAATTGACTTTAAATGCCAGCACGCGATTCCACTTTTGTTTCCAGGCCTCTCGCACTTCGGACCGAGACGCGCAATGAAAACCAAAGATGGCGCATCCGAGAGCGATGTTCGCGAGTGCGTAGATATAACTTAAAAATATCCACCGTAGTTTTACCGTCCTCGCGCTGAGCAGAAAATACGCGAGGATAAAATTGAGATAGATCAAAGACATGACGACCCAAGTGGCAACCAAAGAAAGAGTCACGTTCGACTTTTCTTCATTCTCTTCACTCGCGCTCGCGCTGACAATTTCCTCCATGGCATCAGGTTCTTCGAGCTGTAACCTCTCATCTTCGGGTTCAGCGTTGTTGCTGCTGCTGTGAGGAACACCGTGAGCGACGAGTAAATGGAGGCGCACGAGAAGGACAGCGTTGACTATGAACAAGAGACAAGCAGGACCGACGAATCCACCCAAAGCGGAGCTCTCGTTCAGCCAGCAACTGGAGATTGAAAAATGACGACGATAGTAAAATTTAATCAGGGCACAGTATAGAAACAAACAGTAGTCACACGGTGTGCAGCTTGGTACTGTACATTAAATGACACGATTGGCTGAGGTTAGCCATCTTAGAGTTCCTATTGGTTAGAAAATACACAATGAACTAGCTGCCATTATGGTAATCACATGTGTTATAAGATATGCGTGGCACGCAAACTTTCGATTAAGTGGGACTACTGTCCGTACTCTAGTCGGGGTTTTTCAACGAAACCCAAGAAAATGACATGAAATGGGCAAAGAAAATTATAGAGAATTACTCAACAAGGCTCGAAATATGTACATGTATATATTGAGTTCACTGGTCTGACTTCTACTTACTAGTCTGACTTCTTGTAATTGTTCACGTCAATGGCCATTGTCATACCACAAATAATGGCGGGAAGAGCTAGAAATATCACATGACTGTCAGAGATGAAACAAACCAAAATCTTGTACGATAAAATTCACGACAAACATTACCCCAGCTGACAATGTAATATTTCAAGACCGGATTTATGACTTCTTCTCCGGGATCTTTAGCCGGAGGGTTCAATCGCCGAGATACGCACATAATGTAGCAACCGAGCCAGAGTAATGATGCGAAGAAAAAGAAGTGAAGAAACATCCCCATTACCCGACAGACGAAGCCGTTTTGCGTACGGTCAATACCGAAGGCAAACGAGAGAATCACGACCAACAACGAGAGGCAGGCATTCATCATCATGATGATGTCATCACGATTGAAGCGAAGATCTCTGGAAAACGGTTTCATACACACGTGAAGAATGACGAAAGCATGGACAGCACACAAAATATATAAGTGCACAATACCTGGCAAAAATGAATGTCGTTAAGGTCGCTACGAGCAACAATGACGTCACAACAGCACCTAGGTACACGACGATCTCTATGGGATACGCGAGGTTGCTTGCGATCCCAAGATGCTAGAATAAACGATAAATTTATATACGATGCAATGGAAAATGCAAGGCAACCGCGATACGGGTACTTACGGACATTATGGCAATGTTTTTATTCACAAGATGTTTACACTCAACGGTTGCAGTTACAGCCGTCGAGTCGGTAACCGTACAGTCGGTATTGCTCGACCAATGAAGACCGCCATCTGGAATGATCACAATAAACCATTATATAAAACAGTGATTGTTATCTGTGAACAGGAGCAGTGCTTTGATCTTACCGGTCTTGACAAAATTAAACTGACTCACGATTGGTTCAGTCCCAGGCTATGAAAAATAAGCTAACGTTAACTTTTCTGCAAAAGCTATGCAATACTGGTATAAATGTACGTATATGCTGTCCCGAATGCTGTAGTTCAATTCGCTACTTCAATCGAACAGCGATATTCATTGGCTACTCAGATCAAAGCAATCACGTTCCTCACAATTTTTTCTCTAAAAACTCCTTACGCATTTTTCTGATATGTTGCCGAATATCTGCTTTAAGACTCTTTACGACAAAAATTTTACTGCTCGTTTTAAATGAATGTAAAAGATAAGAGTTCCGCAGTTGCAAGGTGGCACAATGGACATAAGGCATTTAAAACGGAGGAGATGATTTTTGAAAGCAAACTATGCCATATTTACGCCGAAAAATCTCAAACTTTTAAACAAACAGATAAAGAGAGGATTCTCTCGAACCAACACAAGGAATAAAAAAAGTCACGAATACACAACCAGTGGCGGATCCTGTGTACGTCAAAATAAATTATAGCTACTCAATTATATATTCAAATAGCATTTAGAAAAAACTATTGGTTTTTAATTTATAAAGAGTATAATTTCACCAATGGATTTGCCTCTAATATATGCCAAAATTTGCTGCGGTTATTTATTTTGATGTACTCTAGATCCGCCAAAGTACAGAACTACCTTAGTTCGAAACTGGAGAACTAGAGGATCAGACAGATTCAATTGTTTGATATTTGCTGCAAAAGAGACAAGAAAAACAAGAACGATAAGACGACCTGTGAACGATGCAAACGAGCGAGCAAGCGGCAAATTTCTCTTCATACGTACGTATTTGAATGGAGAGAACATTCGATGATACGTTTTTATCTTTCAAAGCTCCCTCTGTATTCCTCACTTTTGGGAAGAACGTCGCCAAGCGATAGACGAGAAACCGGATTTTCAAATGATCGAACACCACGCGATGACCAGATGATCGTGAGCTTTCAAAAATTGTCCAGGGGATAGTTATGGACAGTGAATAATCCTGTCGTATAAACATTATAAAATAGAAACAATAGAACGCGTGCGTTGATTAATCAATAGCTGAGTCTGCATTCGCCTGTGAAATCAATCATCAAAACAATCAAAAAGAATTTGCAAATCAATCACGAATACATGTTGAAGGAAAAAATTAAAACGTTTGTTTCAAATTCGTTTGTTTCAAATTCATCTGTTTCGCATCATAGTTATTCTATAAAAGAAATAAAACATGTTTTTCGTGTTTGCACTGGCTTAAGAAACCTCGGAGGCGTTGGCGAGAACTCTCGACCAGGTGCGTTTTAGTCCTCCAGAAAGCTTCCTCGGTTTGCAAACACAGTAAACATCTTTCATTTCGTAAACAATGTGCAGATTTGTTGACAAAAATGAAATCGACAAAGCAATTTCCCTACCTTACGATCGGAAGGCTCGCAAGAAACGCCACGTGGCTGCGACCAGCGGTAAGATTTAAAGAAAATGTAACACGTGATATTTTTCTTGGATTCAGGATTCTCGAGGTAGACAGAGGCTAACATGAAGTTTCTCATGACGTGCGTCGCTGAATTATTCAACATCTTACGAGACATGAGCTCGAGCTGCGTGCTTAGTCTAGAAAAAAATGTCTTTTGTGATGAACAAAATTATATTTTAATTTTGTTAGACAGAACTTTCATGACAGTGAACTTGCTACAATAAAATCATATTTTATATCCATTGGACAGAACGTTTATAACAGTGAACTTTCTAGAATAAAATCATATTTTATATCCATTGGACAGAACGTTTATAACAGTGAACTTTCTAGAATAAAATCATATTTTATATCCATTGGACAGAACGTTTATAACAGTGAACTTTCTAGAATAAAATCATATTTTATATCCATTGGACAGAACTTTTATGACAGTGAACTTTCTACAATAAAATCATATTTTATATCCATTGGACGGAACTTTTATGACAGTGAACTTTCTAGAATATATTTTGAATACAAGAACAGATTTACCGTGGGAAGCAGGGGGGGGGGTTACATTCTCTTGATTGTATTTCATTAAATCTATTGCATGACTTGTTGTTATCGTTCGGGATACTGTAGTTAACTGTGCGCAAAAATAAAACAATAAAAAGATTCTCATGATTACCCGAAGGGAGAGCCATCCTCATATGCTGAAGCATAGATCGTCTCCATGTTCAACTCCATGAGATTGTCGAAACTCGTCATAATGTCATTGAAAACCTGCAAACGATTGAACGACATAAATCACAGCTGCAACGCTATTCGCAAAAAATGACCCGCACTACCTTTCCTTGGGTAGCCACATCTTTGTTTGTTATGCGAGACAACACGTTATTTACGAGACTGATATCTTTTGCAGTCGTATATGACGAGGGATCCGTCAACATTTCAAGTCGTTCGGTTACATCTCCGATATTTTTGGAATCTGGACCATCCAGCATCTGAAAACAATCAGAACGTTATATTTAGTGCAGTGCATCGAAGCTGAAATTCATGTCGAAGCAAAACTCTGCTCTAATGAAAGTAATGTTTCGAAAACTCACGGTGCCGGTTGCTCAAAAGCCGGTTAACGCTAATCCAGGGTTAAATATGCCTAACCCAGAGTTAATTCTTAACCCTGGGTTAGTTTGCGTTGCTCGAAACTAGGTTATCTTAAACCCTCGGTTAAAACAAGGGTTAACTTTAACCCTCCTCGCTGGGTGGGTTAAATTACTTAACCCTAGGTTAACATATTATTTTAACCCAGGGTTAGCTAACTTTAGGTTAATGAATTTAACCCTAGTATAGCTGCTAACTCTACGTTAAGTTAACCGGCTTTTGAACAACCGCCCCCGGAGTTTGCACCGCAGTAGTTATGCTTGAGACATTGAACTAAAGAAATACCTAAATGGCGAGCTTTCGGTAAACATGCCTGTACATAAAGGAAGTGATTAAATCTTAGTGAGCTGATTAAATCTCTGGCTTCTAAATTTGGCGGGGATGCAACCGTTCAGTTATGCTCAGTTTAATGGTTTAAGATAACATTATCTCTCACATTGCACTTCCACTTGACTGAAAGTTTCAAAGTTATTACATTAAGATAACATTAACATAACATTATCATTAACATTATCTCTCACATTGCACTTCCACTTGACTGAAAGTTTCAAAGTTGTTACAGTTCGCTACCTGTGACAACAATCCCAGCTTCTTAGACAGTGGCTCAAGACGACAGTTTCCCAAATCGATCGGTCCCCAGACTCCTCCGTGTTCACACGGTCGACGTACGCTGGTATAATTTTTTTGATTGTTAGGCCAAGGGCAACGCAGACTGGCTGTCGAGCGTTGAACGGTCACTGGCCATAACATTCTCTCCTTACCATTCGTCACATCACGTGAGCACATCTTCTTTGACGTAACCACTTGGACAGTTATCGCTTTGGGTACCAGTCCCTCGCCAACGCAAGTGTAAAGACCTAGATCCTCCATCGTAATGGAGACGATTTCCACATAAAGTACCTCGCTAAATCCGATCCGCTCTTTTAAGATTTTCAAACGCTTGGGAAAGGAAAACGTATGGTTTTTTGTCCACTTAAGCGCACGTTTTTGTTTCGAGACCACTTCACATTTTATGCGAAATCTGTCGCCGACGGCGACGATCTGACTCTCGCTCGGATATATACGTAATTCGGGAGGTTTTTCTACATCAAAATACGCATATGAAAATACATCAGGAAAATCAAGATGCATGCAATTTTCCCCCCAAATATCTCGTTCAATGATTTACCACAGAGATCGACTTTCTTCAAAGAAGTCAATTGCTTTGAGACGTTTCCCCTTTGACATGTGCCCACGACTTTAGGTGCGCCTTTACGCGTTAAGTACAGCGATAACCAGTTTAGCCGACAATCACACCGAAGGGGATTGTATTTAATGTTTCTAAAATATAAAAACATCCGTTTATCGCATTTAATTCACATGAAATCGTATTCACATTTTAATTCACATTTGACTCTGAAGATGACTACCGCTAAGGTTGTCGAAACGTCAGTCAACAACAACAAAAAAAGTCCTTCTCAGGACAATACCAACCTGGACGATCGACATTTACAAACATGTAACGATACTCCCGGGTTCAAACCATTTACTTTATGAAATCGTAGCTAACTTGTATCGGTGCTTTACAAACTTCATAAAACGCTTTTGTGAAAAATAATACTCGACAATTGACAGCTGCTTCGTTTGTGGTTTTCAACTGAATTTTGAAAAGGCTGTTTGCATAGATTGAGAGAGGCCTTTCATCGAAGGCGCTCGACTCGACGAAGCAAAAATGAAACATGGAAAAGAAGAGCAGGTTTCGTACGGGGTATTGAACACATTCACTAAGATATTGAATGAGCTGGACGAAATTTCATCGGAAATCCAGCGATTTATTCAAAAAATCCATCTTCTGTTAATGAAGAAAGTCGAGTTTGGCGACAGTTTGGCTAAAATACTTATTGCCATTGGGTATTTGGTCGAGAGAATCGAAGACAATCTGGCGAAAATACGCTGTTTCACGTTCGAGTTCGTACGACTGTTGTATCGTGCAGTGACGGTCTTACATCGTAATGTTACAGCAGAACATCTGAGTTTGGTCAACACTATGACAAACATTTACGAAGAAGCAAGCGACCGCAAGAAACAGGCAAGATGAACAACAGAAAGCTCAGAGAGAAGAATAAAGATCGCGAAAATACGAATCGCTTCCATGTTTATAGATTGGTATTTTTCTGACGGTTGTGATTTTTCATTCGCTTCATTTAATAATAAAATCCACGACGGTAAAACACTTACATTTTCTCCAATGTACTTAATCCTCGTAGCGTTCCATTGGCAATCGTCGATAAATTGCTATTTTGCAAATTTCTACAAAATGATCAAACAATCGTTTGTCTCGCACTTATATATCCACGCTTTGAGGTGATTCGCCCAATATAAGGGAATCCGTTTCGGCGTCGGATTCCGGATACCAGTTCGAAGATTCCGGATACAGTTCGTAGGATTCGGGATTTTTTTTGATGATCGAAAATAGATTACTCCAAAAAAAGTTAACTGCTCTTGAGATTTCAAATGAAGAAATCGCTGTGATGCTAAACCCGCACCAGCATATGAAAAAGCATACTTTCAAACGAGATTGATTCCAGTAAAGCATGGGTTTTCTGAAAACATAGACAACAGATCCGACTGGATTACTCGTGGATTACAACGATACTCATGGATTACGAATTTCAAAGCTTCACTTTTGCCGGATTCCGGATTCCCTTACAAGAGGCGAAACACAAAGTGATCACCTGAAACTTACAATTTTGTCAAACTTTCCAAGCCCACAAACGCATCTTTGTCAATGTTCTTGATCTCGTTGTGTTTTAAATCCCTGAAAAACGTGACAGATTTTTCACATTTTTTTTGTGAAAGATTTATTTTGGTTTTCAACCATTTATTTTCTTCAAGAGATTTTTAAAGCATTCAAAAATATTGCTATCTAGTGGATAGTGCTATTCCGCCTTTGTGCAACCGACCCCAGATGATTACCCTAAAAAATTATCACTTAAAAACATTTTGGAAATGGAGCATATAAAATCACTTAATTGGAAGCCATAAATGATCTATGGATTAAAATTTTGAAATAGTGTGCAAATAAAAACACTCTAGACATCAGTTGAATCATATAGTCCCTAGTAGCTTAGCTAGCCTGAAAGTTTGGTCATAATAAATGAATTTCATACGACCGGCGTAATTTATTTCTGAAACAATTGCATAGCATGTTCACACTTGTGAATTGGCTACCATACTGGTAAATACCAGCATGCTGTAAAGTTTACAAACACTCAAAATCATTAAATGAGATTTTACGATCATCTATCATGACATTGTGTTTGACTTTTCCATAAAAATTGAAATTATTGTTATTCCACTAAAAATCTAACAATCCATTTCAAAGTATACTTGTTATACATCACATGCAAAAGCCAAATGGTTGGTATCATTCGATATAAGTGGAAGTTAAAATCACATTATATAATAAAGGTGAGAACTTACAAAATCTTCAGTTCTCGTAGTCCAAGAAATGCCCGAGCTTCCAAATTTTTTAATTCGTTCTGTCCGATATTCCTGCAAAACATTATAAAATGCAGATTGGAAAATCATTCCAAAAAAACAACAAAAATTAAGTAAGTAAATGTACATACAATACTTTCAAGCCATCCAAACCAACAAATGCTTTTTCTTCCAACAGCTTTATTTTGTTTTTCTGGAGGTATCTAAAGATTCTCAAATTAGCATAGTGAGGGGGCCAGCTTGCATTTTCATTCAATATCATTTGTCAGAGAGTTCTCAACAAACCCTCAACAAGTACAGCGCGCAAGTTCGAAAGTCAAGCATAATATCACTGATCTTGTTTCCACGCAACAAAACCTGAACGGGCATAATGATTCAGTGGTTTGCTGATGCACAAGAAAGCAAGTTTTGGCAAAACATAAGAAGATACATTTCAGCTTGAGTTTACTAGACTACCCAAGTTTTTACAGCAGTTACCAAAATCATAAATTTATATAATAATCATCTATAACGGTGAAAACTAAAGATCTGATGTCGGATCCGTAAACTGCTTCCCTCATTTATAAATTCCCACAGAGCAAGTACAATCACACTTCTCGGTCGGGAAGTATCGCCGTCATTGACGGCACTTACGATTTCACTTTGATTCATTTGTGTACGGAATACGTTTTAATATTATTTATTGCTACATAAATAACGAATAAATAAACGATATCGTCAACACCATCCCCCTTTTCATCATATTTCATGTCACCTATTATGTCAACCCTTCTAACGAGATACCAACAAGCACTTGGCGCAATGCAGCAATAACAAACAATGAATTTGAATTTGCACTTACAAACGCTCCAATTTGAAGTGATCTTCGAGAAATCCTCGTTTTATAACTCTGATAGAATTCTTAGCAAGATCCCTTAAACGTAAAGAGCGTTATGAAAGATCGAACATGAAAGGACAAACACGCTATTATACGTGCGAGGCCCCACTTTGGTAAACAAACATTTTGGCCTTCATTTATCGACATAAAAACAATATGCCATTTAGTTTACTATCACCACTATCTACCACGCGAAATACATCAAAAACGACACAGACATATAAAAAAAAAGTGAAACACATACAAGATTTGTGTATTTTTTGGCAGCTCACTTTGCGCGAACACTTTGGTCAGTCCTCTGCTACGGCAGTTCACTCGATGATATTTTCTACCGGTGTTTTTCTTTAATGCTTCGTAAGTACAAGAACAAATCTTCTTTTGGCAAACATCAGCAAGCGAAGCAACGACGAACAGATATAGAAAAACGACGAGCTTAGGCTCGGCCATCAATATAACAAATGCCTTTTTTATAGCGATGGTGTTCAAGAAGAATATTTAAAGCAATAAATCGCTGAGTTTAAAACCCTCCATTTAACATAAAAATCAATGTATCGCTTCAATATAATATCTTGAAAATATCGTAAATAGATGGTTTATTTAAGCACGATGCAAACCAGAATAAAATCAACTCAAACTCATTGTAATACTCTCAATGTCAAACAGCATATTTATCAATGCCACACAACTTGACACTACTATCGACTTGACACAAGCCAAAACCGCAAACAGGGGGGCACAACTGTTTCGTGCCATGTTGTTTGATACGGGGGGTACAGCGTCAATGAAGAAAAAGAAACACTCATGGGCAAAAGTGTGGGCAATGCTTTTGTGAAATGTGAAGTGCAAACGTTCCCAACGGTATTTAAGTGGTAAGAACCCAAACATTGAGAAACCCTTGTTGCACCCGTCAGCATTAATCAAACATGGCCGAATTGTTCTTGCAATAAGCTGTTCGATGATCTTTTTCGCCACAAATGAAACATCCAACTGGAATATTAGACCCGAACTCAGGACGCGCTCCTTCGACTGTTTGCGAAAGAAAAGCGTCAGCACCTTTTTCTGCATCTGTGTCGTCTTTCGTGTCCGTGTTGTAGTCGCTCCTCACGAAGTGTAACCCTTCACGTCTTGTCGGTTCTAAGGTTCGTGATGTACCCCCTCTAGGATCTCCGGAGTCCTCTAAAGTTCCCGATGCGTCTCTCCTACCCCTTCCTCGACCTTTGTATTTTATTGGCGAGCGTTCGTTTAAATTCCTGTGAGATCTCGCAGTTTTTGTATTTTCATCTCTAAACTCCATAACGTTGCGTAGTGTTCTTGGAACTTGGGGAAATTCAGTCGGAGTGAATGCTTGTTTACAATTGCTAAACTCTTCTTCTTCAAAGATCAAATTGTTATTTGTCGAAGTCATTTTTACCCCAGCAGGTTTCATCTCTGGTTTCGGAGGGGCTAGGTCATACTGGGTAAAGTGCAAGCGGCAATTTTCTTCATCGGGGCAGTATACTTCAGAAGAGAAGCCCGTCGACTCTGATGATGTTGAATACTCCATCTTCACTGTTCCTTCGAACGCTTTCTTTTCCAAATTTTTCAAATCGACTTTTCCTTCTTGAGCACCGATATTTCTCGTTTCATCCACTTTGTCACAAACCTTTCGATGGTCTTCTTGCCCTTCCAAGTGTTCTCCTTCGTTCTTTTTGCTAAGTTCCATGTTTTGAAGAAAAACTTTGAGATCGTTCACCAACCGATCGATTTTAGCACCCAGTTTCCCGCTGTCTGCGATACTACCAACATCTCCGAAAGTTTCTTCGCCGATAAATTTCCCTCCTAAACAAAACATTCGGTTAGGGGACAACGGACTATTCCATTAATAGGATCGAATGGGACATAACAGGATCGAACGAGATCTCGTACCATTGTTCACTTTGAGATACAATTGAATTTCCACAACAGCACCGGGAGGAAAACCTGCTTCCTGGCAATAAAAAAAACCATGGAACAGCAAGTTAAAGACAAGCTTCCACTGCTCTTCGGAACTACATACGAAAAAATAGTCAATAGTATTGTTTGAAAACTTCTTAGTATACCTTCAAAGTGTTCCCGAGAATATCTTCATTGGCGGCAAGCAAAGAATCCTGAATATAAAGAAATTGCTGTAGTTAGCGACTATGCTTCACTAATCTCGATCAAAGCCATCATCAGAGAGATTATACATAATATAAATCCTAAATATAAAGGATTTATATTATGTATAATCTCGATCAAGTTTATCATATTGTAATTGTCCTATACCCTGATGATGTTCTTCTGGAATTCCTCGAGTAAATGACTCAATCCGAGTTCGGACAACATTTTCCTAACACGTCTGTAAGGATCGTCTGTACTCGAAAAGAAAACAAAGATGATTGGAGCACATGGACCAATACACTAATAATTCTATTGCAAATTTACCAACATACTGTTTGAATCGCCAATATGATTCTTGCTTCCAAATTCAGCTAATTTTTTCTTTTGGTCATTTCCTTTAACAGCTGTGGGTTGCAGTGCACATTTCATGACTTGATCCAAGAGATTTTCTTTCACAACTCTACGAACGCATACGGATGAGAAAGAATTTTTAAACTGCCATCTGATGAAATTCTCAGACAGAAGGATGACTTTGAAATAAAGTCGAAAATTTACAGTTCACTTCTTGTCTTGTTTTGATTCATATTTTTCAATCTCAAAAGACGTACCTTGCCATTTTATCATTCATGATGCAGTTCTTTATTTTGCTAGAACACGACTTCACCCAGACTCTTGATAAGCGAATCAATGCGTGTTGAAATCGACATTTGTGAGCCAATTGGCATACAAAATCAACCAACTGTAAAACAACATCAACCAACCCTCACTTCTAACCTTTTTTCAGAGCTCAGACAGGTTTTCGTCACATCAAGTAGATAGCAAAGATAATAAATCTTGACTGTTGCTTCTTGTGAGCATTCATTAGAAACCTAAGAATAGAAACACTTCAGCTATTAAAAAGCTGCGTGGTCTTTGTGCAAACATGACCAATACTGATTGATGCCTGAAACACTTGACCATAAGTCACATAGCCAGACTGAAAATTTTTGGTCCAGCTATGCAAATTTCAGGACACTATTGTTATTTATTTCTTTAGAAATTTACTGTTTCCACAATGAACCAACTGTGAAAAAAGGCTGGCTATGCCACTGAGCGGACAATGATACCTGGACTGATGAAATCCAATCTTGGAGGCAACCCATTACGCTTTGTCTCAAACAATCTTGAAAACTTTCATATACATTCAAACACATTAATCTTAGACATGGAACAGTACTAACATTAATGGATTGTACCCTTTTGTCTCTTCTCCAGCAATACTGCATAGTTTTCCAAGAAAAATACAGAAATTTTTACAGCTAGAATTTTGGCTTGACACACCCTAAAACATTTAAAAATTAGTTCACAAGAAGACTTGAAGTATGGAATTTTAAGTGAAGATATACTCACTTTGAACAACTCCCGGTTATAGTGCTGAAAAACTTCTTTTAAACACAACGGGAATTGATCTTTATACACCACTAAAGTAAAAATTTTCAAACAGGAACACAGATAGACAAGATGGAAAAAGTGTTTGATGGCAAAATGTTTCATACGCAGATACATACCATTGAGAATCCTACATAAAAGCAAACTAATTTCAAACGAATCTCTTTCTTCTATGGCACGAGCAATGACAAGATCAACCACAACTGCCAAGGCAGATATACCAGGAAAGTTTTTGGATAACTGACTACCTTCACAAACTCTCCTTATATCCTCATGCAGCCCAGCTACATTTTCAGAAGTGACGTTGTTTAAAAGTTTCTTAAGGTCTCGCTGCAGTTTCCATTTTTGCCAGTTTCGTTCGGATTCTTTGAGCGACGCAAGTGACTGGGATGAAGGCATTTCTTCGCATAAATCATCATTCATTCCTTTCCTGTTTACTCTCATTAAAAAATCTGTATTTTTATGCTGGTACTGGGTTACAAAAGGACCTTGTAAGGCATCTGGTTTGCCTGAAAATCCAGGACGTAAATGTGGTGGAATATACTTAGCAGTCATGTTTTCTTTTTTTTCATAAGGACCTGATAAATAGAAACAAAAAATGCATTGATAGTATCGGCACATATCACCAGCAAAATACTCAGAACAACCAAATAATTGTCATAGTCTTGGCCCCAAATTCAGAGGTTAGTAGAAATCACTAATGTTAGGATGTAGATACACATGTCTGTGGTGCCGAATTATCACAAAGAGGACTTACATGTATATGCCCATGATAGGAAGAAGGTAGGATAATCACTTCATTTCAAAATATGAAATTGAACAAGTAAAGTTTAGTTTTGATACCTTTATCAGACAACATTGTTGTATCTTCTTTGACATTTGCTTTAGGTGAATGCAAAAGTTCTTCCGGAGTAATTAAATGAATATCATCCTCCTGGCGAGTCTTTGCCATGTTTTTTGGAGTTTCATTGGAGCAACCAAGCTCTGGGGTGATCTTGTCATCTAAATTACTGCAAACATGTACAAATTGTAACTACACAATTACAGTCCTTGTGATTATGTCCATCAATTCAAATTTTGATCATGGTTTAATCTCATACATAAGACAAGCATGTTTACCCTACTTTAGCTAAAGCCCAACTTCAATTAGCCCTAATTGCAATAACTGAAGGCTACAACATGTTTAAAATAACCTTGTCTGGCTTCCATCGTCAGTTCCTCGGATGCTTGGCAACTGATCAATGGAAGAATCACTCCCTTGTCTATTTCGCTTTCCCTTGTTTCCAAGAAGATCCAGAGGTGTCCATGTTCCTAAAATAGGCATCATTGAAGTTTGTTTCTCATCAGATGATTAAAGATTCGACCATTTTATGTTATGACCCAAGTTACTACATATGACAAGATTGACAACTACTAAATTCATGATGGAGAACTTGATCTTCTTCACATCACGCAGTCTTATAAATTAGTATAAAGTAAATCAGCAGCAATAGCTCCATATGAAAAAACAACAGTGTGCTTCCCGCATTCAATACCTGATGCACTTGTCGGAGACGGACTTTTTGGTAAAGCAGCAAGTGAAGCAACTGCTTTTGACTTCGTTTCATCTTTTCCAACTCGCATATCCAACAAACGATTCAAATAATCTCCTCGCCCAAGTCCGTACATTTCTTCCGTCGTTTAACGAAACTCACAACCGTTGACGCTGATTGAAAGCGTGTTCAAGTTTTACTTTCGTTCAAAAACCATAACAAAAATGTGATAGCGGATAACTATACCAAATTACCACAACGAAGAGTTACTCAGATTTTTTGTCGGGGTGGGAACGGCAAGTCAAAATTAAAAGGCATCAAATTTCATAGATCAGTGTACTCCACCACTCGACCACTCGACCACTCGACCACTTACGTACGAAGAACAAGCACATGAATCAAGACAAAATTTCTGATATTTATTTGATTACATAGTTCAACATATTTAACTATTTACATAATTCACTCGCGAAAAAATAATGGTCAACATCAATAAAATAACGTTTCTTCGGCTTTCTCTCGAGTTAAATGAGTGACTAGTGTTCACAAACTTAACTCACACTTGCAAAACATGATGTACTGGCACCAAGAATTTGACATTCGACCCAGTTTCAGTTTTCATTTAATATTTCACGTGAATATTCATAGTGTAGACTACATAATTTACATATGCCTTGGCCGCATAAATAGTGTAAAAATTAACGAAAAATTAACTAACGAATTTTCAGTTTTATTTATAAAAATATTGGATGCAATGATTTTTTAGTGATTTTTTTCCTACATGTGGGGCATTTTGCTTGACTCTGAACGGAACTGACGATGCACGGATTACAAAAGACATGTCCACATGTCGTCGACATCAACTGTCTTTTTTCCTTTTTGATCTGCGATGGACATGAAAGGTGAAACAACGTTTATTGAAAGTTACAAAATTTTGTTTCGGAGTATGCTTTACCTGTTCATAGTCGTCCATACAAATGGCACAAGTAAACAAAGTATTGTCAAGTGGATTTTCTTCGACTGGTGCAGTTCTGGATTAAACAACACAGAAAATAACCAGTGAGGCAAAGTTTGAACTGTACATGGCTGAAGCAATTGTAGGCAAATACACGCTTTCATTATGCAAGATTCATTTGCAATTTTGCATCAAGTGTGAATATAAACATGATATTTTTCTCATAGAAATTATGCATCACAGATTGCATGTATAGTAAAAATTTTCCACAAAGCTGGAAAAATAACGTTATACTCTAAATTACCCTTCACATAGTACAATCTGGAATACCTGGAGCAAAAGCATAATAATTCTTAATGCTAATGTAAAACAAACAGCATAAATAATAGCAGTGTATTATAAAAAGTATGATTTGAACCCTGTAATATCATTCCAGGTCTGTGTTATAGACTGTCCAGGTTATTGTAATCCTGAGAAGTACTGTTGGTGTTAGCGTGAACTGACATTTCAACAAATTTAGTGGGATAGTTAAGTGAAGAGCAAATCTCAGGTTTGCCATATTTGTGTTCTGGTTCATACATCATCATGTTATGTACAGAAAAAATGCGCATGTGTGTGGATGTCTATTGTGCGTTGCTTTTGTAGATTGTCATTGTGTGTAAAGTTATTTGATCTTTTCATGTTGCAAATAAATCATTTGTGACTTTTCGGGTAATTGTTGTGATCTGTTGATTAGGTTTTGTTTTGAGTTTTGAATAGATAACTATATACTTAATCCACAAAAACTTCACACAATCAACATCCACATTTCCACACATTTCCTGGACTCACAGTACAATTAAGAATAAAACAGACAACAAATTTGTTGAACCTGACCTTTACTCCTCACTTGCATTTGAAGATGACTACTGATAAATAAGACTGTCAAAATGTTAAGTCAACATCAACAACAACAGTCCTTCTTGGGGGACTCCACTAACCTGGACAATGTAGCTCTTTAAATATGTAATAATTTACTTAATATCTCCCACACTACCACTTATAAACACAATACAACTGTCTACGATCTTAGTACTACTCAAAATATGAACTAATTGTAGGAATACCTTTCTGATTCACTGTTATTTCTAGTTCTTGGCGACATGTTCCAAAGGATTACAGAATGTCGATGTGGCACCTGATTCAAAATACAGCCCAACAAACTTTTACACAGAACTTCTAATCCTGTATTTAACACATAATTCAACAAAGCAAACTAACCATGTCGGGAGAATGGGTAAGGTCAACATATGAAAAATTACCAGAATCATCCGTCAAATCAACTAGAGGTTTCTCTAAACAACAACAACAAACAACAAACAACATTTGTATACCGGCCAGTATTAATTCCCGCCAGGGGGGTTGACCGGTCCATGAACTTTTCTACGCCAAATGTCTCTATTGAATTGGTTTACGAGAGAAAACACACCTATGAATTGTTCCACATCAATAACTTCAATTTGTCGGTTGTGCGAAGCAGAGTGCGATGTGCCAGCATTGGTACCATTCAATAATTGTCCTTCTCTATTACGTTTTCTGTGTGATCGCTAAAAAATATTTACAGACTTATGTTAAAATCTTTTGAATTTTATACAAATAAGATAAACCTATTTGTTCACGTGCCATGGTTTGTAAGTCCCTTAAACGGGTACAATTGTTAATCTTTTTATTTAAGATACTAAAACCTCTCAAAAGGCTGAAGACAGATTGATAGCTGGGGGGGGAATACTCATACATGCATGACATGCCTTATCTTTAATGTTCCTATATGAATACCCCCCCAATCAGCATTGTCATTGATGAAAATATCTTGCATTGGGTTCTGGTCATTGGGCATATATGCAGTGGGGGACTATAGTCCGAGGTTTATTGTGTTGATGGCAAATAGCTAATGACGATAGGCATCAACAGTAAAATGAAACAAGATGTGTATGCCTCTTGTACATAATTTGATGAAATCAATAAAATAGTTATCTCCAAACAATGATATGTAGTTTAAAACAGCCGACACAAAGTTGCAAAAATGGAGTGAAAGACCAAACTTCTAAACCACATGATGGGAAAAACAAGTTAACTAGGCGGGCACTTAACTGGAAAAATGATTCAATAAACTATTTTCCTTTATACACTGTAAATATGCATGCTTACTTGAGCAGGTACTTGTCAAATTTCATCCAGCAGGATTCAATTTCATATCATCTTAATCCCCGCTAATTTAATTGAATGTTTCATGAACACAAAGCAATGAATAAAAATTTCCACTATTGTTGTCGTAAAACATACTATTAAAGTAAATGGTTTGAAGTAAATGGTTTCAACCTGGGAGAGAAACATACTATTGATATTAAAGTAAATGGTTTGAACATGGGAGAGAAACATACTATTGATAATGCCAATGGAAAACAGTACGTAAATGATGAACAAGCACACATATATTTGTTCGTGGGGATGCCTATTGTTTTCGGTGTTTGAATAGAGCCTTTGAACATTAAAGCATACCCAATACTAATATTCAGTCAATTTGAACCATACTTGTAAGCACTTTTTCTTGAATCCTGACAACAACCAGGGAATTGCTATTTTAAACAAAAACTTTGGCTGTCTATGAGAGTATTTTTTCGAGAAAGTTTTTTTTTATTACGTGAAAATATTTCATTCCCGAAATGGAAAAAAAAGTATCATCGTTCGGAGAAAAACAGAAATTTCAATGTAATTATAAGAAGCCGCATTGAATGGACGATAAATAGTGCAATTCAAATAATTTTGAAAAGAAAGATTCATTATTAGAGGATTCAATTGAGACGAATTACAAAAATGTGCCATCAAACGTATGTTTCGACAACTTACTTTAATCTTAGGATTTGATTTCATTATCCTCGACTCGTTGCGTGAAACAACTGTTTGATTGGAATCCAAACGGTCAGTACCGATTTCATTCACAGTCTCCATTCGTGTCTTGTTGCTATTCAGTTATGTTTCAGCCTTTGACAACTTGCCAGAATGAAAACGTCTTTTCGTACAACACGCTTCCTGGAATAACGTTGTATTGTGTAAAAACCACGATAATCGACAAGAAAAATCGCAAACTCATTCGCTTTCAGTCGAAATTCAATTTATTCAACAAATACATTTGGCACTCCAAACATCAACAGTTTCAATACCCTGTCGACCATTTTGCTTTGAATTATAATTATTTCGGAAGTCGTCGTACACTGAACGACGTACGTCATACCATAATTATGACGTCATTCTTTAAATGTCAATAATTCACACGCAATACGCACAGCTTGAACTGCGCAAAGAGGTTTCAGTTTCAACAGAGCCCCCTAATTGGGTTTCAGTCAATAAGAAGCTCGATTTGCGCAATGACTTTCGCAATTTAATACATATCACATTAAAGTTCCATATCATTCATACAAATTTAATATTTTACAATAGTTGATACTGCAACCAAGTGATAACATAAGATGACATGTCAAAAACAGACTCTCCATACGAGGGCATTTTGCATTATCAATCAGTGCCAGTGATCATGATGACTGTCTTTCATAATCTATCGCATATAAATTAGCAATGGTAGTATACTTTCGACATTGTGCAACAATTAATGGTTTAGATACTGTCATATCTAACACTATAATAAAATATATGTCTATTGAACAGCTGCTGATTAAGAAAGATGAGGCACAAGATGAGAATTTACACTTGTGTATTTACACCTGTGTATTTACACGGAATAAACAGGTGGTGGTTCACCGCTGATCGTAGATGGGGCAGCTTCTTCCATAGCGTTCATTAACTCCGCTGCCAATTCTTCTTCACTGGAGAAATTACTGCGCATCCTGCGACAGGTACAGTTTAGCATGTTGAATGCACATGCTGAAAGAGCACATACTCCACCAGCAACAACTAAGTAAAAACTGTATGAAAATTGAACGTGATAATCTTGTTTACTCAAAGGTATTGCTTTTGAATATAGATGCTTTCTGATTGACACCGTGATCCAGTATGAAAATGCACAAGTACCAACCGACATAACAACTGAAATGAATGTAAAATGAGAACAGCTAAGAAAGGCAATGATTATGACAATTTCAATCGAAGCCATGTATGCACATGAGAAGGCAACACACCTGAAACAATATTGCCGATCGAATTTGAGCGGAATAATTGACACAGTCTACTTCGTGGGCCCCAAATGTCCATTAAACATGCAAGGAAGCTGCTAAATGTAGCACAACATAGGAAACCCATGATTATCTTCAATTTCAAGATGGTATCATCACTGTAACATAACTTTTCTAAAAGCACGAAGGTAAAAACAATCAGTTTCCTTGTAGTAATGGGTATCAAGTGCAAGAAGCCATTTTGGTTGACAAAGATGTGGATTAGTCACATCAATTGTTTTAATCATTTAATGAAGTTTCTTTATTAAAGATAAATATGTTGACATTTTTTAGTTACTTTAACTATGTCAAGCCAATAAGACAGGATCTCATTTATTCACTGGAGTCGCTTTAGTCTTTCAAATCAAGTCATCTAAATCATCTCTTTTGTAGAGTTGCGTGACACAACTGACAAAAAACGACAAAACGACTCAAGGAAATACACGAACGCCAGTCATAACAATCAGAACGCTTGTTTGAAAAACGTACGCACACAAATACCAGCAAATAACCGAACAGCATCAATTCAGGACGAAAATACAAAAAATAAATCACTAGCAGGCATGCCGTAAACATAAACGAAATTCGATATCATCATTGTTGACAAACGGTGGTGAAAGTACTGGATCATCTTCACATGACAAATTGACAACTTACTCAAATCGCTGTTTGCCTTCAAAGAAAGCATTTTATAGATTCCTATGTGATGTCTTCGGCAATATCCTTCTTTGACAGAAAACCATCTCGGTTCAACGAGGGCAGTAGCAAGGAATATGACAGAAGTCAAGCCGAAGAAAGCCGACACTAAATTACGTTGAGAAAGTGGCTTTGGTCTGTATCGTACATGACTTGAATGTGACTGTCGATTGTTAAATAATCCAACCGGAGCGAACATTTTAAACGTGTCTTCACGTTGTTTTCTTATCAGGAAAGTACCAACTATTTAAAACGAATTCTCGGTTCAGGTAATTCTTTGAACCCCAGCGAGATCGATATTTTCCCGTCTCCTTTCTTTCTTCCCCCGTCAAAAATATCACGAATGTTGCCGGAAAGTGTCGAAAAGTACTCGAGCTTCGTTCGCCATATGTCAATTTGGTGAATGGAATTACATTCTCGTGCAACATAAGCAAATATTACGGATTTCAGACAGGAGTTTTAAAAAAAGACAAATAAAGGATCAAACTTATGTGCAACGGGATCCATCGCATCGTGCAAATGAGCGTACATTAATTCAATACAAGGAAATTTCAATGACTTTCACAAAAAAACACAGGTATGTCGTCTGAAATTGAAAATACCTGACACGGAACACGTCCCTTACGTGAAGAACAAATTGTCAATCATTGTTTCGTGTACAATTCTCGAATTTTCGTGCATTTCTTTCTGGTTGCATGTACAACATATGTGAAAATAGCAAATTTTAGAAAATTCCGAGTTCTTCAAGAAGTTTCTCAATTGCTTTTAAAAGCGAAGATGAAGCAATTAAGCGGCCAAAATCGAAAAACAATTTCGTCGGGCGACTTTAAATTAATAACAATACGTGGAATTTTTAAAGGGGATATCTAAAGGTTCAAGTGGTTGAAATTTTAATCGCATTTCAATTCTGTCTTGTACCCTAAACATTTTGCGATGACCGAATTAAAGTTCTCTTTAAAAGTGTTTTTATGTATTGAAGTATGTCTCCGACGGCTTTGTAACTTAGCAACCTTCACGTATAATTTCTATTTTCCTCGCTCGCGGTAATTGTTTTAAGCCAACCTTGGTTTGCTTCGAGATTGATTTTTTAGGTTTTTCGAATTCCTGAATGCTAAAGGATATTTTATAAGAAGCATTCATTTTGTACATCATTTTTCCTTCATTTGAAATTTAAATTACAACATTGTGCAATGAGCACAGTAAGTAATAATATCACTTTGTTTCACTTTGTTTTGTAATTTTCGCATCTTTCCCAGTTCATCAGCTGTTTCTAATAATTAGGCACTTATGTTAGGATATCGTTATGAAGGTTGCAGTACACCTCGATAAGATTTCTTTTAAAGAAGAAATATTTTTCTTCTGGCGAGTAGAAGCAATTTAGCAAGACAGCAACGCTCGTAAAAGCCTTTTATGTTGATACTTGACTTTTTGTAGATGATCCTCGAGAGTAAATTTGTAAGTTCTTGAACGTTGTCTTCGTTCGATCAACAGCTCATGCAGAACGCGTGCAAATAGACGAGAAAGCATGGAAGAGAGATCAGAAGAACCGGATTTGAGATGCGGATGGCTATCGTGGAAACCAAAGTTTATGCAGCAATTCAACAATCCAAAATGGTTCCTCTTCTTCTTCACCGTGTTCTCTTGTGTTCAAGGTAGCGTAAGTTACTAATTAGCCGCACGCTTTGTATTCAGCAATTAGCATACAACATATTGTGTCTCCTTCAGGGATGATAATCAATGGTTTCACAGCGGCAGGTTTGACCTCAATGGAGAGACGTTTTCAACTGAGCAGCAAACAAGCCGGCATGATCGTTGCCGCACACGACGTCTCATCCTTGATATTTGTCGTGTTTATCAGCTACTACGGTGAAAACAGACATAAAGCTAGGTGGATCGGGATAGGGGCACTGGTAACCAGTATAGGCTGTCTATTTTTTGCTTTACCGCACGCCTTGGTAGGAAAATACTCCCCTAACGAACAGGTGGGAAACTCGTTAGAGAAATCGTTATGTCGAGGTCTCAATCATAACATGACGAATACTTGTGAAAATTTTTCTGCGTCGGACTGGAAATACATGTTTATCTTTATTGGAGCAAAGTTGGTTCTTGGTGTTGGTATGACCCCGGCCTTCACCCTCGGTCCTGCATATATCGACGAGAATGTACCCCCGGAAGTTGCACCTATGTATATCGGGGTTTGGTTCATTGCGACATTCTTTGGTCCGGGAGTGGGTTATCTTGCTGGTGGTACGTTAATGAACATATACGTGGATTTAATAGAGGTTCGTTTGCTGGATTGACTCTATTGAACTGCATTATAGCAAACATTGTCTGCCTCTTGTAAACGTTTTCATTTTCTGTGTTGTTAGCCTCCTGACATGGATCTCACGCCGTCTGATCCTCGATGGGTAGGAGCCTGGTGGCTAGGTTATTTTGCGGGAGGCCTCTTGCTTTTGATGACGTCTTTACTGATCATGGCCTATCCCCGTGAAATGCCTGGCACCCAAGAGATTAGGACACGAGCTATTCGCGACGGTAGGACTCTTCAAGTGTCTTGGGCACTGTACTGAATACACAACTGGATAGCTACCTTTTATAAACATGCTTATACTTGCATAAAATAGACGCTTATCTGACTCTTGAACTTTGTTTTGGGTACGGTAAGGTTCACTTGAACCAATGGCTTTGAATTTTGGATGGAGGTATCCTTCAGGATATATTGGAGAGCTTGATGAATTTGAAGACCAGTACGACTATCGCTATGATATTCATCGTTAGCTCGCGGATCACGTTGAATGAAATTCATTAGACGGGGATAGGGAAAGTCAGGAATAGACCCTTCAGTTTGCTTTATGTGATGAAATATTTATTTTTTCAGGAAAGGTAAAGGAGAAAAATCAAAACCTCCACGGTCGACTCTCCGAGATCATTCCAGCGACGAAGTCCCTCGTGTGCAATGCAGTTTACATGTGTAATACACTGGCGTTGACCGGAACGGGACTCGTTGTCACCGGACTTGCACCCTTCATCTCGAAGTTCTTACAGTCACAGTTCGGGGCGAACACGGCAGATGCAGGCATCTTTGCCGGTGTGGTAATCGTCCCCGGTACTGCGGGCGGTATCATCTTGGGTAGTTATCTGATTAAGAGACTGGATCAAAGAGTCGTGTGTAAACATGCAGCGAAGTACTGCCTCATCTTCTCATTTGTCGGAATTTTCGGAATGTTGACGTTCTTAATTCCCGGATGTAACACGGCAGAAATTGCTGGCGTCAATGCCCCGTACATACATCCCACGCGCATGTAAGCTACACGAAGTAATGAATCCATTTCGTCAACTGCAACGTCCTCGTATTTTAACACGTTCTTTTGCAGGAAAATCATTCAGAATGTATCGTCGTGCAACAGATTTTGCAACTGCAACAAGATGAACTACCTTCCAGTTTGCGGCAACAACAACATTACGTATTTCGATTCTTGTCACGCCGGATGTTCCATCATCTTTGAAAACAAGGTGAGCACACGCATGCTCCGTTTGTACTTGCACATTTTTCGCGATTCCCACCATTCCTCCTCCCCATTCCTCCCTCCTACGCCATATTTACAACGTCATGTTTGAGATCGCTTCATCGTTATTTATTAGACGTATTCCAAATGTGCTTGTGTTGCCAAAACGTTGAATGTTTCGTTGACCGAGAGTTCAGCAACGCCTGGAATATGTGACAAAAACTGTAAGAATCTCGTCCCATTCCTTGTGGGAGCATTTTTCCTACTCTTCACTAACTTCATCGTTGCTACGCCAAACAAGACGGTCGTTTTGAGGTAGGAACACCACTGGACGCTAATATCAACTGGAACGCTAACTCCAATACTCAGGCTAAAGGCCATTGTGAAGCCAGCTATGACATATTTATATCTGAATTTTTCGGTGTATTACCAAATCTCGTGGATCAAAACTTTAAATGGCACTTTGTACTAACGTATTTTATGTAAATCACTGTTGATTTTTTAAAATAATACCATGAAAGATCTAAAAACTCAGAAAAACTAGCTTCATTTTCGGCTTCAAAGATGGCGGCACAGTTAGCGTTCCAGTTGATATACAGTTATCTGAACACCATCGCTGGATTTGAATGTCCTTTATCGTTCTCCATCCTAAATATTCCAGATCAGTGCCCTTCAATCAAAGGGCATACGCCTTAGGGTTTCAATGGCTGATCATGTCGTCGTTGGGATCAATGCCTGGTCCGGTATTGTTTGGTACATTCATTGACAAGACGTGCAACCTTTGGGAGAAAAGATGCAACGAGAAGGGCGCATGTCTTGAATACAACAACGCACAACTCAGTTACCTCATCCTCGCTGCAGGCTTGTTATTTCAAGGTATTGTTAGTGTTGCATTCCGTAATATCTGTACTCACCTCTCCCCACTCTCCAATAACCTCCATTTTCCCAAGACATAGAAAAGATAAGCCCACCTTGTTAATTTAGCCCCCCCCCCCTCCCAAATAAGACTAACATGTGCATTTTTAATGAGAATGAATGAAAATGTGAGTTTTGTACGTAGTGTTTCATTAACATTATAAGATATACATGTTTGCTGTAAGGTACGCGTTCTGTATAACTTAACTGAATTGAACGTTTACTATTTTGTTGCACTTGGAGAAAAGTTCAAAAATTGCATCTTTGCACTTATGTTAGATCGAAATAATTGAACACACAACATTAATGTACGCATGTAGAGTAAACCCCCTCCTCGTAATGGCAGACATTAATGTACGCATCTAGGGTAAACCGCCTCCTCGTAATGGCAGACATTAATGTACGCATCTAGAGTAAACCTCCTCCTCGTAATGGCAGACATTAATGTACGCATCTAGAGTAAACCTCCTCCTCGTAATGGCAGACATTAATGTACGCATCTAGAGTAAACCCCCTCCTCGTAATGGCAGAGATTAATGTACGCATGTAGAGTAAACCCCCTCCTAATGGCAGACATTAATGTACGCATCTAGGGTAAACCCCCTCCTCGTAATGGCAGACATTAAGGTACGCATCTAGAGTAAACCTCCTCCTCGTAATGGCAGACATTAATGTACGCATCTAGAGTAAACCTCCTCCTCGTAATGGCAGACATTAATGTACGCATCTAGAGTAAACCCCCTCCTCGTAATGGCAGAGATTAATGTATGCATCTAGAGTAAACCCCTCCTCGTAATGGCAGACATTAATGTACGCATCTAGGGTAAACCTCCTCCTCGTAATGGCAGACATTAATGTACGCATCTAGGGTAAACCTCATCCTCGTAATGGCAGACATTAATGTACGCATCTAGGGTAAACCTCCTCCTCGTAATGGCAGACATTAATGTACGCATCTAGAGTAAACCTCCTCCTCGTAATGGCAGACATTAATGTACGCATCTAGAGTAAACCTCCTCCTCGTAATGGCAGACATTAATGTACGCATCTAGAGTAAACCCCTCCTCGTAATGGCAGAGATTAATGTATGCATCTAGAGTAAACCCCTCCTCGTAATGGCAGACATTAATGTACGCATCTAGGGTAAACCTCCTCCTCGTAATGGCAGACATTAATGTACGCATCTAGGGTAAACCTCATCCTCGTAATGGCAGACATTAATGTACGCATCTAGAGTAAATCCACCCCTCGTAATGGCAGACATTAATGTACGCATCTAGAATAAATCCCCTCCTCGTAATGGCAGACATTAATGTACGCATCTAGAGTAAATCCACTCCTCGTAATGGCAGACATTAATGTACGCATCTAGAGTAAACCTCCTCCTCGTAATGGTGTTTCTAAAACAATAGCCACCACCCTCCCTTCCTGGTACTATATACAATAATGAAAGTAGTTTATTTTGATTTGCTCGTTCTTATTCCTACAGTTGTTGCGACCATTTTGTACTTTCTTTCGTGGTATTTTTGCAAGTCTAATAAACCGTTCGACTTGGGGGAGAAAAGTTTCGTTACTGCCGATGATGCTTCAGTGGACTATGAAAAACAGAGGGTGGAACAAGCCCTTGACACTGGTTCGCCAATGATTCAAGTCCGGAGCCTGGAAACCGACGATGACGTCAATGACATAAGCGGTAGTCGGTTGTCCCTGATGTCACTGACGGCTCACGGGATGGGTAACGTTGCAAGATATCCATCTGCAACACTTGATAACCTATTATAACCTTTTATATTTTTTCCATGAATCACATGGGAGAAAATCTAGGAATATTTTAAGTAAACATTTTGACGGTGTTTTTTTCCATATAATGTTTACATCCGAAAGCTCGCGTAGGTATTTAAATTTAAATAATTGTTTTTAAATTAATGTAAATATTGATTTGAGCCCTCCGTCATCGAGCGAGGGCGACAGTATTTTAGAATTATCGAAATTGTTTAAATGAAAAATAAATGATGCACCAGGGGAAGCCATCTTCTACACTTTAAATTAAATATAGCTCAAATTAACGATCATAAAAGAAACCAGTCGCGGATCCTGGATTTGGCAAATCATATCACAGCCCGCTAACTTTAAACTGCTTTCGAATATTGAAGCAATCACAGAATGCACCCACCACGTATTTGTACTACTTTTTGTGCCCAATCCTAACCTCTTTCCACAATGTCATGTTCTTACCAAATTCTAGTCGATACGTTCTCTCTTCGTAAACTTCACTTTTACGTTGTTTTTCGGTCTCGAAACGGGCAGCCATTTATAAGTTAAGTCTTCATTAGGTTCCACTTCCCACGTGTATTCCATTAATAATCGCTTCGTAATAACCTTGGGTTGCAATTCATCAAAGTCAATTTTTTTTCCAAGACTTAGGCCTGTTTCAATCGTCAAACTTTAGATGCACCGAACGCATTAAAGGGAAAAGAAAACAAGATGAACTTCCTCATTATCTTTTGTTTTAAATGCGTTCGGCTCATGTAAAGTTCGACGTTTGAACTAAGCCTAATGGTTTATATCAAACAAAAAAGAAGACGTTTAGAAATTAACCTATTGTGAAATTTCAATGGCTGATCACGACGCTAATCCCATTGGTGAATTGCCGTGCAAGTCTTGCAGTTGCAAATTATGCGAAATAAATAATCTTATATTTACCAGAAGCAGATTGGTACCACAAACATGGCGGCTATGACGTCAGGAGGAAAACGCTCAATTGGGAATTATTAAGGGAATGATGTATTGGAAATTATATATTGGGTTACAACATTTGGATCGGCTAACGAGCTGTCTACTGCAGTTATGATATTTCTACCATGAACTTTTCTTAGTTTCAAAGCTCATACTTACATGTAATATCCGTCCGATACAGTGTTCGCCAATGCAACTGCGACGTCCTTGACCGAACGTGAAGACACGTGATCTCGAAGGTGCGTCACTACGATTCAATACACAATTCGTTAAAAAACTGTTTTAGATCGATAGAAAGTACATTGCTTCAACATTTGACTTTTAAAAAACGCTCTACGACTGTGCAATGGCTATGCTACACCTTCTGCGCAGTCTTCAACAAGGGTGATTTCCATTCAACGCAAAATATTGCGTTTCAAGTTCAACATAACATAGGAAACCAATCGTTACTTTTAAGCAGTGACGTAGCCAGCCCACGTAAGTTTTAAGTCCTGCTATGTAAATATTTCAGGGTTCATACACTCAGCAAAAAACAATACATTTCTAATGAAATAACGCTCAACGATCTGAAATTCATAGGTCGCGACAAAATTTGCGGGCTGGCTACGTCACTGCTTTCAATGCATACAACGTCGACGTCATCACATATGATGCACAGCCATCGTAGGTACGGGCAATGAGTTTTGCTCCTTTAAGAAAGCCCCACAACAAGAAAGCCGCGATAAGAAGTTAAACCTAGAGTGGGGCTAATTTCGAAAAGAAATCGACGTATGTTAAAACTCCATTGCCACAAAACGCACAATCACTAAATCCACTAACTCATTTTTTAAAATACTTCTCACGTGCTTTGCCAACGTTCAGGGTGAAACTTTTCGGGTTCAGGAAATACACTTGGATCCGTATTCGCGTTCCTCATTAGGTAAGCAACAGAACAGCCCTTTTGAATTTCATACCCGTCAATAATGACTCTCTAAAATCACAAAAATCCAAAGTGAATATCGCGAGTAGACATGAATCGGGAAGGAGTTGGATACGAGCGCGAAATACCTTCTTCGCAATGCGTCTTCCTCCCAGAAATGGTGGCCAAAGACGTTTTGTTTCGAGTAAGACATCTTTGAGATAGTCATCGTCTGTAACAGCGCGCTCACGACGTTTCACCTAAGATACAATAAAAAAATTTTTGATACTCACTGTGCGGAGTATTTAGGCAAAGTGGCGCAGGCGCAGACGTATCAATAGTAATCCAGGGATACCAACTAATGTGCAATCTCATTGGCTCATTCCATTGGCTCATTCTCAAACCAATTCTGGTTTTCAACTTTCCCAGGAGCGACGGATCAGAGGACATGAGGGCCACAGGATACTAAACTGTTGATAATGCTTGCGGAAGTAAACAATGTTTTCTAGATGAAAAATCCTGGCTGAACTGTTATTTTATTGCTTGTACGTCGAAGGAGAATGTGTATGAGAAAAAACTTGATACAGTTGACATCATGCAACGGAAAATAAAGAAAATAAAAAGAAGAGAAGAAAGATAAAGAGAGAAAGAAAAAGAAAATAAAGAAGGGAGAGAAGAAAGAAGGAAAAAAGGAGGAGAAGAAAAAAGAAAAATAAAGAAGGGAGAAATAAAAAAAGAAGGAGAGAAGAAAAGAAATAAGAGGAGAGAGAAGAAAGAAAAAGAAGAGGAGAAAAATAAGAGAAAGAAAAAAGAAGAAAAATTTTGAAAGAAAAGATGCATTGGCCGGGAATCGAACCCGGGCCTCCCGCGTGGCAGGCGAGAATTCTACCACTGAACCACCAATGCCATATACTCGAGAAGGTCTATATGAAGATTTAAATGTAATAATTCTTCACTTTATTACACTCAATGACTACACTACGAAATCCAGCGTATGGTATTCTATGTCGTTGGTACTCTGTAACTATGGTATTCTGTGTCTATGAAATAAATACTCACATTGCATGGTTTAGCGAGTTCCAAACAACACGATGTGAGCAAGGATGATAAAGCTTTAGGGATCAACGCCGACACAAACAGTAACACATGTCGACTTAGCTCATCGACGTCTTGAAACTCAGCGCCTTTCATCACATCCAACAATCTGACAATGAGAACGAACTGTGTGTAGCAGTATAGGCGACGACAACGTTGGGAAAAGAGGGCAAAACTTACGTATTTTCATTGTGAGGCAAGCGTTCCTTTATTAGAGTGAGCAAACTGTTCTGCAAAGCAAGACAATTTAGGAATTACGGTACGATAGAACAAATAAATTATAAGGCAAGGAGAACACCGAGAAAATTCAATCTTAGGACAATATGGCGCGTTAGTTTTTGAAAATGAACGCGATGAATCTAACGCCAGTCAACATATACCTTTGCCGCAATAGCTCGACCATAAGATGACGTGAAATAATTACCAATCTTTAAACTGATGGGAATGGATATAAGACCTGATTGCAGAAAGGGAGATCAACTGAGATAATGGTCATGCAGTTGAACTGAGTTTGAAAAATAACGTCACTTTTGCTGCAAACGTACCATGCCAATGTGTTCTGGTGAGGGCTCTGACCATCTCCATTTCATCCTCGCATGTTCGACCATTCACACCGAGAAACAAGTTGAGACAAAGTTCCGTGGTAAAATGTTTGAATTGGTCATACACTGCGACTGGTTGATCTGTTTCCCACAGCGAGAAAAGATAATCACATGCGCTGCTGACAGTATCTGTAATAGTGTTCATTGTTTGTGGTGTGAACAGGGAATGAAAGATACCACGTAGTCGTGAAACATTTCCATCATCATTCATGAAAATTACAAGATCTCCGAATAACGAATGCATGTAACCCAAATCTTTGTAACCCATTTCAAAACATTGCTCTGAATCTATAAAGCAAATCGACATTGGGAAGAGAAACTAATGAATTGTATTGCTGGATATTGGTTTTGTGATGATTTGCTCAATTTATTAACGAATGGTATCAAAAGAACTGGTTTTCATGGTATTTTCCCTGGGTTTGATCAGGGGGGAGTGACCATTGCAGCAGCAGGGTTGCTGGTTATAGGTTTTAAGATAATTTGCTCACTTTTGATTGAGTTCATAATTTCACAGTGGGAGTAGAAAGATGTATTACTTGTAACTTCATAAACTCCTGATTTTAATCACCTTCTAATAATTGTTGAACAGCCTTGCTCGTTGTCAAGAATACAGTTGGTTTATTTAACATTCTTGCTTTAAAAACAGGTGACCGGTATTGTTTGATCTTGTTTTTTATAAACTCCTGCGGATTATAAGCAAACTCCAAAGTCTTGTCACTTATTCCCATCCATCCGACTGATCCAGGCACCTCACGTGCTCTCTCTTCCATCATTACACCTGAGAAAATGCATGCGTATAAAATTCAAAAGTGTGTAAATGGAGAAAATTAGGTCGCAGTAAGACGTCGGTTACATAATTTAAACATTGACAAAATGCAAACAGAAAATTTGACAATTGCAAAATTGTAAAGCAACTTTGCATCATCTGTGATTTCAATCTGCAACTTTCTCATTTGTGATGTCTCACACTCTGAAGTGGCAACTGAGAAGAACGGCTACTTCCTAGTGTAAACTCCATTTATATAAATGGCACTCTTCATGTGAGTATTTCGTTTCAGTCGTTAATTAAGTGGCTAAATTACAACTTACTTGACAGTTTTGCTATAAACAAGATCAACACGATTACACTTTTCTTTTTTGCGGCTGGCACCCGTTTAACTACATCTCTGTCCTTTTGAAACGAGCTAAAAAGTCCTAAGATGAAATGCTAGTTCTAGTTTTGCCATTCAAATATTAATTTGTCGAAAATTTTAATATATTTCAAAACTTCCAATGACTTCCGGTGGGAAGGAAAGGCCGCTTATTGGTTGATTTTGGAATATATTGCTGTAACATGAACTGCTTTAATTTGGGGTTTTTCCCAATACTCTAATTTCAATTTTTATTTGCGAGGATTTTTAAGATTATCTAAAAGAGATCTTTATCATATTTCATTCAAGAACGCTGTAATCCGGAGGAGTTGTACTACGACGATGACGTTGCTGATGACGTCAAGGCGAATTGAAGAAAACACGTTTCAAGTCAAAGATCAGCTAGACGATATTCATGAAATGTTGACCAAAGTATGCTCAGGTGATTCTTTTGAATACAGGTTTGAAACCGATCTCCACGCACGAACCCGTACAGTTAATGAACTTCACAGAGAACAGCTGAACACGGCCAATAAAATGGAAAGAGAAGTCGGGGAGATCAAGTTGCTCTTAAGCAGTTGGCTTTAAAACGCGATACAAAAACGCATCGAAAACATTCGCGCGTGCAAAATTCCGAAACTCCGCCGGCAAATCACGAAGATGAAAAAATACTGATGATCACTAAAATCATCATAGTTAAAATACGCACCCTGCATCACTGTGGTATCGTTGCTAATGCATTTTGGAAAGGTACTGTTTATATGTTTTACAGTTATTTTGAAATTTTGCCCCAAAGAAAAATCATTTGGTGGAGCATTTTTTAACAAATGCAACATTTCACTGAGCTCATCTTTACGATTGCGACATGAGCTCACACTTCGACAGATATTCGTTGATGAGCATTGTCGAATGCGAAACGAATTGCGCAATGTAGAAGAAGGCATGTGCAAACAACTTTATTGTTTAATTTAAAACGTTGACTAGGACTCTAAGCATTTTTTCTGGTGAAAAATCCTTGCAGTAAAGTAGCAAAACATTTACATGACGCCATGACATTGTAGCAAATAGGCTCCATACAAATGGTCATTTGTTGGCAAGTTGCATATCCGTAACTTGATTGGGAAAGATTTGATATGGCACATCTTTTCATTTTGTTTATTGAGAGTTTCTTCAATAAGCGTTGAATGAGCCTTTGAAAACTTTCAAACCATCACCAAGGGAGTCGTCAGGTCGAACGGCCTCGTCCAGTAAGCCAGCAGCATCAGATCCACCATTCACCATCAGATGCGCGACAGTGATTGGTTGATTTGTCTCTATTCCCAGGAATCCTCGTCTGAGAACGAAGATCATGCAAAATAAAGTTAGGATGCTGTACTCGGTGTGAGGCAAAATGAATTACAGCCGTCACTTTTATACTCAAAATACCTTTATATAGCAATGCCTTTGGTTATGAATTTCAACAAAATAAAGTCCTATCAATCGACGGGCTGTTGTAATTTATTTTATCTAGCATTTGATCCGCCACTTGGGCCTAAACTCAAATCCTAAATCATGGTTTGGTGAAATCGAAAGTCATGCAATATATTTGTCCAACCTGAAATAGATATTCGAGATTTCTTTGTCGCCTCCGACAACATCAGCGACCTGATCAAAAGAAAAAATCCGACGACTTAGCTTCGTTTGAAAAAATCTTTAACTCTATTCGAGAAAATCCACGATATGGAACTCTTAAACTACACTCACTGCTTTCTTCACGTTTCCTTCCAGTATTTTAAACATCGGCGTGTTCTCGTTCAGCAGATTCTCGTCCCATTTCTCGTGGAGTTTGAAAGTAATTTCACCTGAAGGCATAAATCGTCCGGCAATCGTTACAACTGAAACTCGGCGAATTCCAATATCAGTTTATCAAACCTGGGTTTGGATACACCGCCATTGGCTCCCTTTGCTGGGCTTGCTCCATTGTGTAACCGTCTTGAAATCCATAACCTGGAATACATCAAAAACGTTGAATATTCTTGTGCAATTCAACTCCCGAGAAGCCATATTTTCGATGAGTTATATAATAGAATAACTAAGTACCTTTACTTAAGACAAGAGCGAAAAGAATAAAGCTTATTTGAGTTGCCATGTCTGCTTGCCAACACCCAATTTTGAATATATATAATTCAGTTAGTAAAACAGCATAACGCCGTATTTTTCCCCGACGTTGAACAAGTCTTACGGCAAAAATATTTCACCGCTGTGATCAAAGATCGAGAGAAGCAACAGAAATGTTGGACACCTGCTGAAGCACACAGGTACTGTACGTCCGTGCGATCTTGATGTGTGATTCTTGTATCGGAAATATTGAGGGTTAAATGGAAAGGTTAAAATTAGCGCAGTTAGGATTAAAGAGATGAGGACATGTGTTGAGGAAATCAATTTCAGAATTTGAGGAAGTTCGTAATTTCAGCTTGGTTGATTGAGCTCGAGATACAGAAGCTACGAAGGGAAAAGGACAAGCATGGATTACCCCGCTCCTTGTTTTTGTTTTTTTAATTCAGTTTATTTTGACAAATTTGAGAGGATTATACACTAAAATAGAAATTGACAAAGGTCATTCTCGGACTGAAAATGAAAAAAAAATTATAAGGTAACCAAACGAATTATCCGACCAAAAATTTTTTGGTCTCTTTCAGAAATTGTTCCCGAATATCAAGACAAACTACCACTGAACTGGAACACATGGAACGCTACCTGTAATAGAAAAGTCTAATAAATTCTTGAAGCCAAATTTGACACGCGAGGTTACATACGCACACGCGTGTGTAGTTAATCAATTTTCAGAATCTCGAAACACAGCACACGCGTGTCTGGGCGTAAGATCTGGCTTCAATTTTTTGCTTCAGTAGCGTTCCATGTATTTTAGTGTAATGCAAACTACACAACATCTCGCAAAACAATGATATTGTTAAATACTAGGTTTTAGAGGGTTGAGCAGCGATCACTTTGTCCATCCAGTTACGAAGCACTGCCATGTGGGCATATACACCATACTTGTTGATGCGTGCGCAACCTCGACCCCAGGACACAATCCCAGTCAACTCGTACGAGCCATCGTTGCTCTTGCACACTAGGGGACCACCGCTATCTCCAAAGCATGCGTCGACACCACCTTGCTTATATCCAGCGCACAACATTGTATGAGTTATCCCAAGTGGTCCCGTGTTACCCATTACCTTGGAAATGCATTGAATATTATCATTAAAGTTGTAAGAGTTATCCCAAGTGGTCTCGTGTTACCCATAACCTTGGAAATACATTGAATATTATCATTAAAGTTGTATGAGTTATCCCAAGTGGTCCCGTGTTACCCATAACCTTGGAAATACATTGAATATTATCATTAAAGTTGTCCTTTTTACTAAGATCTTTAAAATTTAGGTGCCAGTTGTACGAAGAGCGAATAGCGCTATCGAAAGGATAGAAACATTTTTGAACGCTTCAAACATCTTTTACCCCTTAATTGGCAATGCAGCTGATCGGCGATAGTCGCCAAACGAAATGTGTACAAACTTTTCAAAAAAATTCACCAAGTACTGAAGGATTGAAAGGGAAAAGATATATAATACGAACGGGACAATCAATTAAATATAATATTGGTTCTAGAACTTCAAAATTTCACTATCGTAAAGAAGATATAAGCAACTTTTTTCCAAGTTTGAAAAATTTACTCGATCCAATGGATAGCGCTATCCAGCATTGGCGTAAATACTGCGATAATTTGGGGGGGGGCCGTATTCGTATATTCTGTTATGCCGGGCTGATTTCTTTTGAAAGTGAAATTGTTTTGAAAAGAAATTAGCCAGGCATAGCAGAATATATAAATATGGTCCCCCCCCTCCCCATTAACACAAGATTGACGCCAACGCTGTCCAGCCTCCGTGCAAGTGGCCCCAGAGTTGCAAAAGACCTGCAATTTTACATTGCACTTCAGTAGCAATTCATATAGGGGCATACTCTAGATATTTGATACAATTTTGTTAAAATAACGTTCTATATGAATATTGCGCAATGATTTCAATGAAGACTTTACATCTACCTAATGCATCGATATCTACCTTTTTGCATTCCGACGGCGAGATGAGAGGAACTTCTGCTTCTTTAAGTCGCGTACTTTTCTTTCCCCTTTCCGTCGTTTTTCCAAAACCAGTGACGGTGCAATTTTTGCCCGCGGTAAGGCTGACATTTCGTCGCGGCAGACACGCGGGCATGACAAAATGATTGAATTTCACAGTGCTCGCAAGTCGTAACAAGGCAATGTCATAATCGTATCTTGATCTGTTCCCAAACAGTGGATGGCGATAGACATAGCTCACGCCTAAGATCATCTGATCCAGGCTCCGGCTATGAATATTTGTGTCACCAAGTATGACGTAAATATCCGAGGCCAGCAAACCAACCACACAATGAGCAGCGGTAACAACCCAGTCGTTGTTCACAAGCGTACCCCCACAGAATGGAAGCAATGAGCAATTGCGACAGGATCTCAATGCTGCGTGCCAAGGCCATCGGCCGATATTGGAATACGTTCCTCCTACGATACGAGATAGCGCGGTTGACGAACGACCGCAGGTTCTTGGTCCATCTGTAAAGAAAGAAACATCTCATCATGACGTTTGGTTTCCTTCGTTTGGAAGTGATTTCATCAGAGATTATTCAAATATCACCTGTAGTTGGTTTGATGGTTGTCGTAACTTTATGCGTTGGTTTGGTTCTCGAAGCTAGTAAAACCAAGCATATTTAGACTTGAGGATTTCTAATAATACTTTATTGACTCATAAGAGATGACTACATAAGAGGTATTCACCTGTAGTTGGTTTGATCTTTGTCGTAACTTTGTGCGTTGGTTTGGTTCTCGAAACTAGTAAAACCAAGCTTATTTATTTTTGAGGATTTCTAATAATACTCTATTGACTCTAGCAGAGTAGTCAGCCGGCAGGTTTTAGTGTCGTGCTATGTAAATTTAAGATCATTAAAATGGTTCCATTTTATAAATTTTTTTTGTTTTTAAGGCGAATGAACACAGAAAAATTTACATACCAGGAATTAATTTTCGGGCTAGCTACATCATTGTTGACTCGTGATCAGCAAACTAACTACACAATGGGCAGCGGTAAGCATCCAGTCGTTATTTACAGTTGAAGCGTTCATCCCCCATCTCCAGAATGCAAGTTAAGTGAAATTACAACACCCAATGTGCAACGGTAAAAATCCAGTTGTTGCTAATGATCAGCGCTATCTATATTGCCAATACAGAGTTGGAAACTCAGAGGGAATTTCATTATTTCCACCCACTTTGTTATCATTGAAAATAGATGCAGCTTTACCTGGTCTTTTTGTGGTTTTTATTGAACAAACTCCACATGACAGCTGACAGTTGATGAGCATATAGTTAGGATTGATTTTGCACTCTCCTCTTCTCAGCCACGACGCGCAGAAGACATGTCTATTTTTACACAAACAATGGCCACAAGAAAACTTGCAGTTATCTTTCATCCAGGTCGAATAAGTGTTTGTACAGTAACCCTTTTTTACCCATGCCACGCATTCTATTTGCTTGCGTTTGTCTCGACATGACTGAACTGTTGAAAAGAATACGGTCGAACCAGTATTGATTAAGTCATAAGAGGTCAGCCTGTGTTGAAGGCCCAGCTTCTATTAAGCTTATGGTCATTCTAGTCAAGATACTATATAGATCCTATACTAAACTATACTATATACTATACTTTACAGTCTCTACTATACTATACTATACTAGATAAATACTATCCCAAAAATAAAGTATCTTTATAGAATGGACGGTTTCTATAAAGCGTATAGGGTCAGTCCACTTTCCTGAGGTCCCAAACATAATTTTTCTTTGTTTTGCAACAGACTTAAACGATGGGATAAAGTACATTGAATCTTTATTCGGGAGCTTTTCAAAGACTTCAGTCTGCATTAACGACAAAGAAAAATTCATGAGTATTTTTCGGCATTTTAAGGCTTTGACATTTCCAACAAAACCTGTACAAACCATTTGCATCGAACGGTCACACGGTGAACCCAGTTTTTGGTTGTATAATGAAAGCTTTATACGACAAATTTGCCTACCTGTGCAATAACCGCAGGTTTTTTTGCAATACCCTTGATATTGGGGGCATTGGTTTATATTTTTGATGTTCGTACATGTCTGTGTGTGGTAGATGTCTCTACATTGGTTCGCACGTCTCACTAAAAGGAAACTGAGAAATGACAATCGAACAGAAGTTTAACTTTGAAACAACTGAACTTCCCTTCAATGAACAACCAATGAGAAAGATAGTATAGGCGTTCAAGAACTATCATTTTACATGGGGGGGAGTGATGAATATTTTCCCAGCTCTCAATGAAATACCGGACTTTTTTACTTCGAAATACACGTCATAATCGCTTTCTCCCATATATTTTGCTCGACTAATTTTGAAGATTTTCCCGACTTCTAAATTTTCAAACTTTCTTAGGGAGACAGCCCCCCCCCGTCCAGTGCGCCTACGTAAAATAAGGCAAGGTAAAATCTTTATTTCACAAGGGGTATAAGGTATACCCATAATGGTTCGCTAATAAACTTGTAATGAACGGTGTTCGCTAATAAACGGTGCCATCCAGTAAACTGCTATAGTGGCGAGAATCTCTCGTCCATACGGAGTTTAAAAGAGATTTGACTCGTCTCCGATCCCTGTGGGCTTGGTAGCTCAACAGGTAGAGCGGCGGACTAGTACCCGAAGGTGCGAGTTCAAATCTCGTCCAAGTCACATGTTTTTCATGTGCATATTAAAAACCGTGTTAGGATTAATATAATAAACTTGTGGTCAACGATTATCTTAAGATTTTCATTCGGGGCATACATTCCGGCACGAAGGATCGTGCGGGAAGAAAAGAGATATGTCAGACGCATATAGTGATATAGACAATTGTAATGTGACCCCCAGTGCTAAGAATATTGATAATTCAAATGGAAATTGAAGAAAGAAACGTGAAAATACGCAAAGTGGGATAGAAACGACGAGTGATCTGAGCCACGGTGCATGAAACAAGAAGGAAGAAAGAGATGAGACTTAAGCTCATTAAAGTACATATTTATATGAAGTAAAACAACATCACAAGAAAATGTGATGCGCAACAATGTCTTACCGCGTGCTGGTGCTGCAAATGCTTTACGTTTGAAAAATTTCCCCAAGCGTTCTGCTAAACCATTTTCATGGAGAAGGCACATCAAGATATTAACAAGACAAGCCCGAAGCAGTTTCATTGTATAAAAATATGTACTTTAGATGTCGCGTAAGTGAAGTCGCAGACAACCTATCGCCCATATGTTTTGAAGCGAGTGTTGATTACTTAGAGATAGTATTACAACATATTTTGTACGTCCCCACGGTCCATACGTGATGTTGAAATGAATACAACAACTATTCTTTGCTAAAATACAAGGTACAACAAAGCTAAATTTGTCCATCTGTCAACGACGATATTCGTCACGGGTATATTGGAACTGTGAATAAAGCTGTGACTGATTGAAACAAAATGAGCAATGACGCAAAAAGATGGGATGCCTCTTACAGGGTGTAAAATCACACGTGTGGGCCCAACTTAGAGACAATTAAAAAGGGACCTAATTTTGCTGTGTATAGTATAAACTTCATTTTTTACGCGGAAGACAATAGTGCAAATATTTCAATTTCAAACTTCGCGGATCAGGAAGACCTGAGTTAGCCCAGTCTGAACATTTAGTTGTTACAAGTATGACATCGTTGGATGGTGGATACTCGAGGGTTATGAATCTTACGAGTCAATGAAACAAAATGTGAAATGACGCAAAAGTATGGGTTGTAACTCGAATGGCGTCAACAATATGGCGTCATCAGCATGGTAGTGGATACGTGAGGTCCGTATGAGTCCATGCTATTGATTCGTTCACAATTTGCATGGTTATGACAACAAAGCATATATCATTTTACAAATAACTCGGTAAAAAATTCACAATAAACGTCATCAAAACTTCGAATGACGTCACTATGCTACTAAGATCAGCTTTGCCATAAAAGTACAATAATTCGCATGAACAAAAAAGCCATTACATTTTCCAAACATTGCTCTTCCGTTTCTTTTAAACAATACTTCCTGTAGTTTGTGTAATCCAGTTTTTCAAGAGCTCTACATTCGTGTAAACTCCATAATTGTTTTTTCTTGCACAGCCGACTCCCCACGATACGATCCCCGCGAGAACGTGACGATTTCGAGACGCATCAAAGCAAGCGAGAGGCCCACCACTATCCCCCCCACACGAGTCTACGTTACCAGAAGCATAGCCGGCGCAAATCATGTTCGTAGTTATTTTCTCCGGTGGGCTCTGCTGCTTGTAAAGCTTTGAAGAACAACAATAAACTTATATCAACGATGATCCCGAAAATATATTCTTATAAAGACAAGAGTTTGAATCATTTTGTATGTGCTTACCTTAACACAATCAGTATGCAGTGTAATGGGAACTGTTGCTTGCTTCAAACGGTAAGACTTGCTCCCTGCTTCGCTGGTCTGACCAAACCCTGTTACTGTACAATTCGTTCCAGAAGTTATACGACCTCCTTCATTCAAACACAAAGGCCTCACGTAATTATTGAAAAGGACATCTTTATCCAAATAAAGAAGGGCAATGTCCTTATCAAAAGGTGCCAATTTTTCGTAACTCTGGTGCTGCTTGATCTTTACACAATTGAATGATTGCTTGTGCCAACTCGATTTCTTTTGATTGACCACTCCGGCTTCAATAAGGAGATCACTTGCAACGTAACCGGTGATACAGTGAGCAGCGGTTACTACCCATCTCCTGGAAACGATAGTGCCACCGCAAAAGTACATTCGTAAACGGTGCGTCTTAATTCCAACTTGCCAAGGTGAGCTACCAGCCGGTGCTATGCTACCCCCCACAATGCGTGCATTTTGAGCTTTGGTGCCACATTTGACATTACTCGTAACAACTGGGGGAGGTGCGCCTGATCCAGATCCTTGTGTGACTAAAGAAGTGGCGCAAGTTCGATATGAATGAGGGTTTCACACATGCGCAAATTGTACGATGTTGGAATTTTGGTCGTGCTGAGTAAATTTCGAGACATTATCGGCATTCATTGAACTACTGCATATTTTGGCATATGTATAAATGGCATTCATTGAACTATTGCATATTTTGGCATATGATAAATGGCATTCATTGAACTATTGCATATTTTGGCATATGTATAAATGGCATTCATTGAACTATTGCATATGCGGTAACACAAAAAAATTTTCCTCGCAGGAGCAAATTCACGAGGATGGTCACGCTATAGCTACAGGTTTGAATAGGACTCAGATCGACGTAGTGTGATACGAGTTTCGCGCATATATAAAAAAGAGGCTAAAAATTAGCTGATTTGCATAACGCAAGCAATGAGCGACCACGATTACGTTTTGTTTTGCGACCAGCTTACTGCATCGAGAAAAAGATCACGAATAAAATATTGTTAACTTACGTGTTCTCTGCACGAAACAGATAATGTAAAGCAATAAGATAAAGCCAATGCTTGTCCCCTTCATGGTTCTCGACGAAATGAATGATAATGGGGAGAAGAATGGCGATTTTTTATGACGTCTTTAACTTGAACTACTCATTCATCAATTAATTAACACCTGACGGAATGAAATAATCGGAAATACGGAGGTACATACATCGATGATAGAAAATATCATCCCATTTCTATACGCTACAATCTCCCATCCCCTCTCCTCCCCCCCTGCCCTCAAGTTTGCCGCTTGAGAATGTCACTAAGTTTTGTCAAATGCAGTCGTGTATAGACAATGCCTGTGGAATCGTGAAAGGATTAGCATTCAAAAGTGAAAATTCAGAAGAATAACGCGATGAAGCAATTTCTTCTAGAATAGACTGTAGTGTTCGTCATCTCCACCGCTACTTCCTTTCTTTCCTGCCGACGGTGATGGAGGTAGAGTCAATTTACTTCTACCGGCTTCGGCGAATAGTCTGCCCTGCGGTAACAGACTGGGTTTTTCGTAATTGAAGTTCAAGCTGATGTCATTCAATGTCCAGCTAGGAGACTGGCCAACGCTTGAATTGGAATCGGAGCTTGCAAGACTAGCGGTTTCTAAAAGAAATTTTTCCACTAAAAATTCGCCATATTTTTAACAATGGTTCCCAGGTCCCTCGGTAATTATCACAATGACTGGCTTTTGGGCAAAAGAAATGAAATTTACAAAAACCCAATAGCGAAGCCAGCTCATTTTTAACTTACACAATGCAAATGTTTTCATCTTCGATCACCGAAAAAACAACGAATGGAATTGATTTTTGAAAGAAATGAGTAAAAATTTTGTTGTAAATTTGCAATTTAGGAACTGGCTTCACGGCAGTGGCGGACACTGAAGGGGTAAGGGGGGGGGGGCTAGAGCCCTGCAATAATTTTGAAAGATTAAAAATCTTGCACCAAATCCCTCAAATCACGCCTACATAATATAACTGTGATATTAAACAACTATTTTATGTGAACGTAGGAATCAATTAAGTTTCTGGAGATCAAATTTTATAGTGTACCTACGTACAGGCATGCCCCGGGATGTACCTAGAAATTTCATGCCTTGAGGAAGAGCCACCTCAATGTTTCAAATAAAGTGTCCGCCACCAGCTTTGCCACCTCAAATATCCACCATTTACAGAAATCGCGAGTCAAAACAAATACCTGCGTTCGCGGCAGCCATCTTCTCCAACTGCCTTCCGTAAAAACCGTTATGGTCGAGCCGTGTGACGATATTCAACATTTGATGCTGGAAATCTGTCTTCGAAAAGTTGCTCAACTTGTCGAGCAAGCCGAGAAGATATTTGGAGAAGTTTTTGTCGAAATTCGTCACCGTCCTCTCGTAATCGTCGCTGCTTATCACCTCGTCCAGGTCCTTCGACAAAATCTGGAGAAAAAAACGGCGGCAAAAAATAAACGCAAAGACTCCGATTACAAAAAGCCATTTCCACACATTTTGCTTTCAAAAATCGTTAAGAAGTTCGGTTGATTTTCGCTTTTCACTCTACCTTGCTGGCCGCTTTCTTCTTCTGCCTGTCATACAGCAAATCCTGTCTTTCAATTTTTCCAATCTTCTCGACGCTCGGATTGTCGCTGGTTATCACAGACTGAGTGATTCTCTACAGAAAATAACCAAACTCGATGCAAATCTCATCATGAACGAACAGTTGAAAGGAAGAGGGAGGGGGGCACCCGCAAAAATTTTAAAAGAATTAAAGTCTTGCACCAAATCCCTCAAATCACACCTACATAACATAACTGTTATGTTAAATAATAACTATTTGATAGACTTCTGTACTATAGACGTACCAGCAGACGTATTAAACCTTCTTAAGTTAGTAGGATTATGTGCACGTAGGAATCCTTAAATCAAATTTTAAAAGTACACCAATACGCATGCCCTAGAATCTCCCAAGAAATCCCGTGCCTTGACGACGAGCCACTCCCTAATATTTCAGAAAGTGTCCGTCACTGTTTCAAGTGTTCTAAATTCGCATTAATTGACAAGGTGAACTATCTGAGCCAACGCGATAAGCAGATGTTGTCGTTGTGGTGTCAGCAAAGCAAAAACATTACAGAGGCACTGCTCCAGCAGCGTGACCTTACAAACGAAAATTTTTACTAGATCTGATCAGATTATCTCAAACACTCACCTGTTTTTGATTTTGCAACGATATAAAGCAGTTGGGAGAGTCTAAGCTTATCAGGCCAACTGGTCAAAGTGAGACATTTGTCTCTCCCCCCCCCTCGTTTGGTTAAAATGGACGTCAATTCCGGTGGGAGCATTACAAAAGTAGAAAGTACCTGAACGCAGTTGGTGAATGTCACGCAGATCATCATAAGCTTACTAATGGTCTGGGAAGAAATACAAATAAAAATACACACGTTAGAAACAAATAAATATATCAGCTCAATGTAATATTATATTAATTAACCAAAAATTAAAAGGGGAAAATAAGTAATTACATAATGAACTATCAACACTTGATTTTTTAAAAAATATTTGAGTGATTTTCAAAATAGCCCTAAGAACTTGGTTTTATAAAATTTACTAAAAGCGAGTGACGTTTTATGGTTATTTTAAAAACCATCTGAATGGCTCTAATATTTATAATGAGAATACGTTTCCTGCCTAGCACCTCACTGGCAACATTATCGAATGAAACAACCCACAATTTTCGACTTTTTACCATGAAATACTTAGGATTTTGTTCAAAAAATGCAAGTAAAAAACAGCGTTGACTTACGCTGACAAAACATTCACAAAACAAAGCAGGGAATTAAAAATTCTTCGAAAAAAGCTACAAAGCAGTTTAAAGCACTTTTTCTATCAACAAAATAAACCATTTCGTGTAATATGAAATTTGAGTCATTTGTAAGGTCTCGTTGCTACTGAAGGACAAATTTCTTACCTTAAGCAACTCAGGAGCAGTCAACATGCAATCTTTGAGACATTTATCGAGAAAATCATTATGATACGTCAAGACATCATCGACGTTGTTCACCTACAACATGATGAACTTATTAAGCAATTGTTTTCCTTGGGGAGAATAACACGAGAATATACTCTATGTGTAAGACGCTGGATTTTACCCAATAAATGGCTCGTCCACGGGAAACGTATGGAGGGTTCCCGCCCCCCCCGGTCCAGCGGTCCACGAGGACGAGGGGCAACAAAGGGCAACGAGAAAGGCTTAGACAGCCCGTGAACAATGTGGAAAATAATAATTGTTATTTGAAAATTTTTTCAGTAAAAGATCAAAGTTGATTGAGCCAGGTTCAGATTCAAACAAGACGCTTATCAGGCGATCGCTCGGGCTACTTGAGAACAGTGTTTGGTTATACTTTCGTATTATAATAGTTGGTAAGGAAGATCGATAATTGGGGCGGCGGGGGGGTCATGGTCGCATATGCATGTTGTAATCCGCAGTAAACAACGCTTTTCAAAGGAACTCAATACAGCATATCGTGCATGTATGAACATTAGCCACCGCAATCATGGACCTTTCTATGCCCATGTAGCAGCCAGTGCTGTAGAAGTGGGGGCGTTTGGGGAGGAGCCCTCCTTCTAGCTTTGAAATGGGTAATTTTAAAAGGGCACTATTGACAAAAAGGTCAAGAGAGCCCCCCTTTTGATAAATTTAGTTCTACAGCACTGGTAGCAGCTGTAGACAAAGTAACGAGGCAAAGAAAATCAATCATCCTTTTTCAACTCACGTTTTTCAAATTCTCCTCCAATATATGCCAGTAGGGTTCGATAACCTCGGACATCATGTAATACTCGTAGTTTTGTACGAATTGAAGCATCTTTGTCCTCAATGCAGAGCACTCCACATACCTATGATGACACGATGATCCATGAGTGCCCCATGCACGGTCAAAGTAAAGTACATCATGTGAGAGCTTACTCACCAACGGGACGCTCGAAATCTGTAATGCTTCGTCGATTTGTCGTTCAACCAAACTCTTTAAAAAGTAGAGAAATTGTTAAGAATACTCAACACGACATAAACACGTGCGTTAAGAGACAAATTTTCAATATGAGCGTTTAAGAAAGATATTACGATTTGTCTCACCTACAAAGTTGCCTCTCAACATGCTTAGCATAGAACAAATGACGAAACAGAAGTTGATACTTGGTCAATGCCTACAAAAATTTACAACGTCAATTCAAGGGAGCAAAACTCATGCTACACACATACGATATTTTCAACTCATATAGCCTAACTATAGTTACGAGTGAGGAAAAAGCCGCCATCTTGAAAGTTGGCAAAACTGACGACACTTAAGACTGATCTCTGCTTTTCCTGAATTGATATACAGTTGCAAAGTTGATAGTCTACGTATGGATTTTTAAAATATTGGATAGGATTAATTTCTTGAACTTTCTTTTAGCTTATATTTCATTTTGAGTTTTGGTGGCTAGCATCTTTCAAAATGGCGTCCTAGCCTTACCGAGTAATATCAACAGTACACAGTACTTTGACATCTAGGGGATGGGGTTCCAAATCATTGTTTCATACCTTTCGACTAAGGATCAAAGACACCGGCCATTTGACAACATAATCAAAGGAAAATGCCTCTAAACCTGAAAAAGTTCAATAAAAACCACAATGAATCGGCAACGAATATTATCCGAGGAATCCATTGTTCAAAGGGTGAAGAAAAAACCTGATATTTGAATTTCTGTGGGATCTTGGGAAAGGGAGGCTTGAAGAGCTGTGAATATGGGAATATAGAGAAATGATACGACAAACGTGATATAACAACATTGTCTTTCACAACAATGATATCGCTATTGCTACCTCTGTCATTGGCAACAGACAGGATGCGAAACAACTGCGTGATTAAATCATAGGGAAGGAGTTCAACTCTGTAATAAAAGATTGTCGTATAAAAAGTGGTGATGTTAGAGTATGATAATGACGACGATGTTCATGAAGAAGACGACAATGAAGTTGATGATACTGATGATGATTAATGATGGTGACGATGATGACGACGACGACGATGCTGATGACGATGATGCTGATGATGATGATGATGATGATGACGAAGATGATGATGATGATGATGACAAAGATGATGGTGATGATGATGATGATGATGACGACGATGACGATGATGATGATGATGAGAATGATGATAATGATGACAAAGATGATGGTGATGATGATGATGATGATGATGACGAAGATGATGGTGATGATGATGATGATGATGATGAAAAAGATGATGGTGATAATGATGATGATGATGACGACGATGACGACGAAGATGATGGTGATGACGATGATGATGATGACGAAGATGATGACGACAGTATAACAATAGCGACAACCATAATGCTTAACAACACGATGGCAAACAAAACAAATCAGTACGACAACAAGTCAATCCTGCCTGAGGTCATCTTTATATGGGTCAGCATTGGCAGCGGTTGTCCTCAGAGAAAGTTCAAGTAAGGTCTCCAAACGACTGGGAAATATATCTGGAGAAAAGGGAAACATTCATAACCACGGAATCATTATGCATCAAACAAGATAATGATCGGATGAATTTTTTATACCATCCATGTTTTTCTTCATTTCATCTTCGGCAAGATCCATAAATTGAACAAAGAAATCCCCTTGACCCATCAAAAAATATAACCGAATAGATCTAGATAAAATGAGTCAGCGTTTCAATTGAGAAATAAAGGATGTTGCACGGGTTTATGCAAACCGAGGAGACCTTTGGGAGAACTCGAGAGCAGATGAGTGCAAGCCCGAGACCAAAGATCGAAAATTGCACATGCTCGAGAGTTTACAAAGTCAGTGCAAACACGAAAAACATCTTTTATTTCTTTTACAAAATAACAATAATGCAATGATTGATTGCAAATTCTCTTTGATCAAGATAATCGGTTTGCACAGGCTAATACGAACTTAGCTACAGGACCTATAGCACGCGTTTTATTGTCGTTATTTCATAAATACCTGAGTCGACCCATAAGATCTTTTTCTTCCATTAATAAGTCCAGTAAAGTTTTACTGGCGTAGTCGTATGCTTTCTCTATTTTGTCAACATACTCTCTTTCTCGAAGAGTGTAAATGATTTCTTCAGCATCTGGACACTGGACATCTCGTCCTACAAGAAAAAAATGACAGATGTATTCTTTGTTTGAACTTTCGTTTCTCATATCAACCATGCAGTCATAAAATAAGACTGACGTACAGTTGTAGGACAATGATGAACTTCGTTGAATATCAAACATGCAGTCATTAAGTAAGACTGTGGTACAGTTGTAGGATAATGATAAACTTTGTTGAATATCAAACATGAAGTCATAAAGTAAGACTGTGGTACAGTTGTGGGATAATGATGAACTTCGTTGAATATCAAACATGCTGTCACAAAATAAGACTGAGGTACATTTGTAGGATAATGATGAGCTTCGTTTCTCATATGAACCATGCAGTCATAAAATAAGACTGAGGTACAACTGTAGGATAATGATGAGCTTCGTTGAATATCAAACATGCTGTCACAAAATAAGCCTGAGGTACAGTTGTGGGATAACGATGTACTTCGTTGAATATCAAACATGCAGCAACAGTGTAACACAAATGTTCATTTGTAGGATAATGATGTACTTTGACAAATATCAGTCATGCAGTCACAGAGTATGAGTAAGGTATAGCATTAGCTTCATGATGTACTTCCCATAATATTTGCCATGTGGTTATAAAGTAAGTGAGATTGAGGTACAGTTGCAATATGTTGGTGTTCGACGTCATGTTGCTTGCAATTGTACTTAAGTAAAGTATTCACACACCCCTGACTTGATAAAAATAAGTATAATTTCCCGTTGGTGGATTTCACATTTCTCTAGCAGGCTCACTCGCGAAACCAAACATGCAAGTTTACATGCCAACTCCACAGAAGACGTTCTTATGCCTTAAGGGATTCAATATTGATGATGACTAACCGCATTGACGTATAACGTTAAGATATTTTCCCGTACTGAGAATCTTCTGAGCGACCTGTTAATGATAGATTTGGGAATCGCGTCAAAATGTTGCTCGTTGCTGGGTTAAGATTTAAATGGTCAATATTTTTAATCAGTTTTATTTATGACAAAGAAGACAGGCGGGAAAAATCTTGTTCCCGACTTAAGTTACCGTTTCCAAGAATACGGGTATTTTATGTTGAACAATCGTGTAACGTTGACGCCAATAAGTGGATAAAATCAAGGGAAATATCACTAAAATGATTAATGATTACAAAATAAAGACACTCCACCAATTTCAGGAAAATCTCTCAAAGGATATGCGTCATTATACTCTTCGGTCAATTTTTCTTTTTGAAATGCTTCTTGCTCTGCCACGAAAAACTGCAGAGAAAATACACGATTGACGAGAAAATACTTGAATGACAAGTAAAAATACTTGAACGACTAGAGAAAATACTTGAATGACAAGACAAATACTTGAATGACAAGAGAAAATACTTGAATGACAAGTAAAAATACTTGAACGACTAGAGAAAATACTTGAATGACAAGACAAATACTTGAATGACAAGAGAAAATACTTGAATGACAAGTAAAAATACTTGAACGACTAGAGAAAATACTTGAATGACAAGACAAATACTTGAATGACAAGAGAAAATACTTGAATGACAAGTAAAAATTCTTGAACGACAAAAGAATACACTTAAATAGTCAGTGAAAATATCTGACAAAATATACGTGATATTTAACCTCGAGATATGGATCCGTGACAATTCCCTTGTACATCCACTGTTCTAACATGTCAAAATATGGTACACAAGCCTGTTAAAGAAGCAAATTGTTAGCAAGGACCACATCTACCAAACATCGCCAATAAAATGTTTCATGTTTGTAAATGTAGATCGTCCAGGTTGGTGTAGTCCTGAGAAGGACTGTTTTTGTTGTTGTTGACTAACGTTTTGACAACCTTAGCGGTAGTCATCTTCATTGTCAAATGAGGAGTAAACGTCAGGTTAGCCGTATTTGTTATCTGGTTCTTACGTCATTGTATTGTGTGTACAGGAAATGTGTATTGTCATTGTGAATTAGTGTGAAGTGAAATGTTTTTAGTTGTGAAGTGTGATTTAGGTGTGATGTTTTTAGCTGTAATGTGTGGGTGTCAATTGTGTACTGTCATTGTATTGTGTATTGTCATTGTATTGTGTATTGTCGGGTAAACTGGCAGGAACTTAAACATAAGACTTACTGAACACAAACGAGTGCTCTGAAGATGACTACCGCTAAGGTTGTCGAAACTTCAGTCAACAACAACAAAAACAGTCCTTCTCAGGACTATACCAACCTGGACGATCTACATTTACAAACATGTAACGATACTCCCGGGTTCAAACCATTTACTTTAATAAAATGTTTACCGCTTGTGTAAGGTAGAGACATAGATCTTGTGAGGTCGAGTCTCTGACAAAAATAAGCATATAAATTCATTAAATCGACGATTATATATAGCTATGAAAGCATCACAATACATTGGTAACATTACCCAGTCATGTTTGTGGTTCTTTCATGTAACAACGTCAACACTGACCCACCCTTACACTGCGCCTGACAATAAAACACTACGTTACATTACGTTAAAATATAATGTTAACAATGTCCTCGCAGTTATAATGTGTATTGTACACTCATTGTACATACAATGTCCACCTTCATAGTCAATGTACTTACAATGTTCACCTCCCTAGCCATTGTACATACAATGTTCACCTTCATAGTCATTGTACTTACAATGTCTACCTCCCTAGTCATTGTACATACAATGTCCACATCCCTAGTCATGGTATTTACAATGTCCACCTTCCAAGTCATGGTATTTACAATGTTCACCTTCCAAGTCATGGTATTTACAATGTTCACCTTCCAAGTCATGGTATTTGCAATGTTCACCTTCCAAGTCATGGTATTTACAATGTTCACCTTCCATGTCATGGTATTTACAATGTCCACCTTCCAAGTCATGGTATTTACAATGTCTACCTTCCAAGTCATGGTATTTACAATGTCTACCTTCCATGTCATGGTATTTACAATGTTCACCTTCCAAGTCATGGTATTTACAATGTCCACCTTCCAAGTCATGGTATTTACAATGTCTACCTTCCATGTCATGGTATTTACAATGTTCACCTTCCAAGTCATGGTATTTACAATGTCCACCTTCCAAGTCATGGTATTTACAATGTTCACCTTCCAAGTCATGGTATTTACAATGTCCACCTTCCAAGTCATGGTATTTACAATGTTCACCTTCCATGTCATGGTATTTACAATGTTCACCTTCCATGTCATGGTATTTACAATGTCCACCTTCCAAGTCATGGTACATACAATGTTAACCTTCCAAGTCATGGTATTTACAATGTCCACCTTCCATGTCATGGTATTTACAATGTTCACCTTCCAAGTCATGGTATTTACAATGTTCACCTTCCAAGTCATGGTATTTACAATGTCCACCTTCCAAATCATGGTACATACAATGTTAACCTTCCAAGTCATGGTATTTACAATGTCCACCTTCCAAGTCATGGTATTTACAATGTTCACCTTCCATGTCATGGTATTTACAATGTTCACCTTCCAAGTCATGGTATTTACAATGTCCACCTTCCAAGTCATGGTATTTACAATGTCTACCTTCCATGTCATGGTATTTACAATGTTCACCTTCCAAGTCATGGTATTTACAATGTCCACCTTCCAAGTCATGGTATTTACAATGTTCACCTTCCAAGTCATGGTATTTACAATGTCCACCTTCCAAGTCATGGAACATACAATGTTAACCTTCCAAGTCATGGTATTTACAATGTCCACCTTCCATGTCATGGTATTTACAATGTTCACCTTCCAAGTCATGGTATTTACAATGTTCACCTTCCAAGTCATGGTATTTACAATGTCCACCTTCCAAGTCATGGTACATACAATGTTAACCTTCCAAGTCATGGTATTTACAATGTCCACCTTCCAAGTCATGGTATTTACAATGTTCACCTTCCATGTCATGGTATTTACAATGTTAACCTTCCAAGTCATGGTATTTACAATGTCCACCTTCCATGTCATGGTATTTACAATGTTCACCTTCCAAGTCATGGTATTTACAATGTCCACCTTCCAAGTCATGGTATTTACAATGTCCACCTTCCATGTCATGGTATTTACAATGTCCACCTTCCATGTCATGGTATTTACAATGTCCACCTTCCATGTCATGGTATTTACAATGTCCACCTCCCTAGTCATGGTATTTACAATGTTCACCTTCCATGTCATGGTATTTACAATGTTAACCTTCCAAGTCATGGTATTTATAATGTCCACCTTCCATGTCATGGTATTTACAATGTTCACCTTCCATGTCATGGTATTTACAATGTTAACCTTCCAAGTCATGGTATTTACAATGTCCACCTTCCAAGTCATGGTATTTACAATGTTCACCTTCCATGTCATGGTATTTACAATGTTCACCTTCCATGTCATGGTATTTACAATGTCCACCTTCCAAGTCATGGTACATACAATGTTAACCTTCCAAGTCATGGTATTTACAATGTCCACCTTCCAAGTCATGGTATTTACAATGTCCACCTTCCATGTCATGGTATTTACAATGTCCACCTTCCATGTCATGGTATTTACAATGTCCACCTTCCATGTCATGGTATTTACAATGTCCACCTTCCATGTCATGGTATTTACAATGTCCACCTTCCATGTCATGGTATTTACAATGACATCCCTAGTCCCCAGTCATGGTATTTACAATAAGTAGCATTACAATTACAGTACATTTTCTATAGCTTCCGCTATGGACGAGAGAACTTCCATGCGACGCAAACATGGCTGAATATTAAACCAGAGATTCTGTAAAGACAGTTGACCCTTAAAACACACACAAAAAAATAAATGAATGTTTTTGAAACATCTCTGAGAATTTACACCCTTTATACCTGATGAAATTCGTGTTCCAGTTGAGAGACGAAGATGAAATATTCCTACAGATAACAGAGAAACGTGTAACAGCTTATTCACATAAATCATGTCTGCATAAAATATTCCATTTTCTGGGACCAAAAGACCAATGAAAATATATTTTGGAACGAAAACGCCTCGTGGGAGTTTTCGCTTATCCAATACAAATGAAACCAATACAATGATATCAATCACAGTGACAGAGCTAGAGAAGGGAACAGAGAGCCAGCCCCCCTGGCAGAATTCTTGGACCCACTAAAATATTATGTTTTACTTACATTACAATGTTTAAACAGTTGTGGCTCCCCTTCCCTTTTATTCCCCACTCCACTGACGGAGAATCCTGGCTACTCCACTGATATATCTCTACTATTAAATTCAATAGATGCAGGAAAGACTAAGAAGAACTGCAAAGATGACTTTGCCTTACAAAGTTCTTACTTTCTGAGTGCTGAGACTGCTGTCTGACATTGCACATGTACAAAACTGAAGCTTGGAAATTAAATAATTTTTTTAGCACTTTTAACCAATTTTTTCTGCCCACCTCAAAGAGTGCTGAGACTGCTGTCTGACATTGTGCATGTACAAAACTGAATCTTGGAAATTGTTTAATTTTTTAGGCACTTTTAACCAATTTTTTTTCTGCCAACCTCGAATATTTTCAGGGCCCAATGATCCCACGGTCAGCTATATTATGCAGTCCTGACATACATGTTCATACATGTCGTGTCCCAAGTGCAGGAGTTCCCATTGTAGTTTCGTGATAGCCGAGAGGCCACACAGAATTATAAACTGTTATCTCTCTGTAACCTCCCTCTACTCTCACCTTCATTATCACTCTCATGGCTGCACTGACAGCGTGGTTCACAAGTCCAGACAAAAACCCAGATTTATCTAGACAAACATGAGCAAGCATTTTACACGACGATAAAATATCGGCAAGAGCGAGATTCGGATCATTTACCTTCAATAAAACGACATAGCAGAGAGTAATGAGAGCAAAGAGGTAGAATTTGTTGCACTAAATCTTGAAGGGATGTATCTGAAACAAATTTATAAACAAACTATAAATGATATATGTAAATACAGTCTACGATGCAGGAGAAAGAAACTCGAAGACAGAGATTATCCAAACAATGCACTAGATGTCAAATAGATCAAATTTGATTATAGCTAATAAGCTATCTGTCTGAAGTCTGTACCATACTTTAATATTCCTTACATAAATACTCGACGGAATCTTCTCTAATCTTACCTTACATTAATAATCCCTTTCTATATAATACCCATCTTTATCATCCCTAACGTAAACCTTAATAATCCCTTCCTATACATTACTCATCTTCATCATCCCTAACGTAAGCCTTAATAATCCCTTCCTATACATTACCCATCTTCATCATCCCTAACGTAAACCTTAATAATCCCTTCCCACAGATTACTTATGTTTATCATCTCTTACTTAAACCTTAAACATCCTTTCAGATATCATCCCTTATCCTTAATAATTCCTTCCGATACAATATCCATCTTCATCATCCCTTACCTAAAGTAGGATCAATGCTAAACTCTGGTGGCTCCAATCCTTCGATGGATTGGCTCTTTAGGTGAATATATTTTCCTTCGACACCCTAAACATCCTCAAAATAATTATTTGAGAACAAAGGTGCAAGTCAGAGCTCGCGAAGAAGTAACGTACAGTCATGAGAAATAGCAGATCTTCAATAACGGCAATTTCTTGCATTTTCAGAGGAAGAACACGGACAGGTACGGCCTAAAACGGAAAAAAGAATAACAATAAGAACAAAAAGAATAAATCGACGGGAAACTGTGATCAGGATGATACTATGGAAAATTATACGTCATAAGGACAACGCATTGAAAAAGTATTAACCGAATGAATTAAATCGACAGTCAAAAATATAATGTACGTAAATAGCGCTAAATTTCATAGTAAATAACTTTTATAAAAACAACTGGTAAACTAAAAACGTTGTTTTCGTGAGCGTGCATTTTCTCTTAAATAAAGACCATGATTCTATGTATCAACAACTCGAGGTATCAACAAAACAGCTTTGCAAATAGCTACTTCGGCAAAAACTTGAAGACTGCAAGTCTTTTTTCAACAACAAACTCGTGTGAGATGAGCAAAATTAGTTACACATTAATCTGACATTTCAGAGTGTATCAAAACGTAGGTATTTACATACAGGAGAAGGGACTTCAAAGGATTTTACAAAATCTCCCGTGAGATATGGTCGACTCGACAGCCAATCAGGCAGATTGGGAAGGCCAGCCATGGCTAGAAACACGGTAAAATTTTATCAGCCATACAAAGTAAATGTTACATGTCATTGTGTGTATGGAGCAGTACATAGCTACCTTTCCTCGCTTGTTTTTCCCGAAGATTTCTCAATGTAGCTTCAGCAGCTGGAGATGCGGATGGTCCAGTGATGGACGCCAATTGCGTACGGAACTACGAAAAAAGGATGAATGAAAAAAAGTAATAACGCGACAAAAAAAGATGTCTTCGAAGAATCAAACACTACATGCGTTGGTAACCTCATCAAGTTCCTTGGCAGTCATTTGTCCAGAATACTTCTCGAGATTCTGTAATGTTTCGTCCATGTTGGATGACGATGGCTTGCTCGTTTGAAATCTCTTGTGACCACGTTCATTGGCATTTCGCTCCAGGTATTCTACCATCTGGCAAATGTTTTAAATAACGGATGTAATCATTTGAAAGCTACCACAAACATTCACACGAAAAAAGTAGTTTGATACGCTTTGTTCAACACCAGCGTGTTTCAGCCCTTTTGCTACATTTTAAAGTGCACCTCACTGGAAAATTTTTATCGGCGTTATTAAAACTAGGTGTGATTTCTACCGAATCAAAAGAAGTTTTTAATTTGGTCAAATCGTTCCATGTTTGTGGCGGTTTGAAGTGGGCGAAAATGTCCTTTTCGATGGACCTTGTCCGTCGTTAGAATTGACTGAAAAGAATTATATTTGTGACGTTATTGAAGGGATTTGTCGATGCAAGATGTAGATGCTAACTACTTTCGACGATACTAGACGAGACTTCATACAACGGCAGACAAGGTCCATCGAAAGCCAACTTTAAACCACCATAGCAAGAGGACGATTTGATCAAATTGAACATTTTTATCACCCATAAGTTACAACTCGCACCTAGTGTAGTTTTAATGACGCAAACGACAACTTTCAAACAAATTTGTTTTCATGCAAACGATATCATGAGCCCATGTAAATTTTCGCCGGAGCAAGTATTCAAACATTGAATAGTGAAGCTGGATTAAGATACTGACACTGGGATCTTCAGAAATTCTTGAGAGTAAAAAGACCAACGGATCCAGCTCACGAATACTGCAATAAGAACACAAGTACGTGCAAGTGGTTGCTATGACAGCAATGGATGGAAAATTTCTGAGAATATGAATAATTTCTGAGATCAAAAACAATTTTCCTAGAGCTGAAAGAAATTGTCTATACGTACTAACTACGTGGATGAGTGATGCTAAGAACGATGTACATTTGACATTTACCTGGAGGAAAATGGGAGAGTGATTCTGAGATAGAGGAAAGAAAGAAGACAAACGGAGTGAGATGGCGCTAGAGTGAGATGGTGCTAGAGTGAGATGGTGCTAGAGTGAGATGGTGCTAGATTGAAATGGTGCTAGAGTGAGATGGTGCTAGAGTGAGATGGTGCTAGAGTGAGATGGTGCTAGAGTGAGATGGTGCTAGAGTGAGATGGTGCAAGAGTGAGATGGTGCTAGAGTGAGATGGTGCTAGATTGAAATGGTGCTAGAGTGAGATGGTGCTAGAGTGAGATGGTGCTAGAGTGAGATGGTGCTAGGTGAAATGGTGCTAGAGTGAGATGGTGCTAGAGTGAGATGGTGCTAGAGTGAGATGGTGCTAGATGAAATGGTGCTAGAGTGAGATGGTGCTAGAGTGAGATGGTGCTAGAGTGAGATGGTGCTAGATGAGATGGTGCTAGAAATGGTGCTAGAGTGAGATGGTGCTAGAGTGAGATGGTGCAAGAGTGAGATGGTGCTAGAGTGAGATGGTGCTAGATGAAATGGTGCTAGAGTGAGATGGTGCTAGAGTGAGATGGTGCTAGATTAAAATGGTGCTAGAGTGAGATTGTGCTAGAGTGAGATGGTGCTAGAGTGAGATGGTGCTAAAGTGAGATGGTGCTAGAGTGAGATGGTGCAAGAGTGAGATGGTGCTAGATGAAATGGTGCTAGAGTGAGATGGTGCTAGAGTGAGATGGTGCTAGATTAAAATGGTGCTAGAGTGAGATGGTGCTAGAGTGAGATGGTGCTAGAGTGAGATGGTGCTAAATTAAAATGGTGCTAGATTAAAATGGTGCTAGAGTGAGATGGTGATAGAGTGAGATGGTGCTAGATTAAAATGGTGCTAGAGTGAGATGGTGCTAGATTAAAATGGTGCTAGATTAAAATGGTGCTAGAGTGAGATGGTGCTAGATTAAAATGGTGCTAGAGTGAGATGATGCTAGAGTGAGATGGTGCTAGATTAATGGTGCTAGAGTGAGATGGTGCTAGATTAAAATGGTGCTAGAGTGAGATGGTGCTAGAGTGAGATGGTGCTAGAGTGAGATGGTGCTAGATTAAAATGGTGCTAGATGAGATGGTGCTAGAGTGAGATGGTGCTAGAGTGAGATGGTGCTAGAGTGAGATGGTGCTAGATTAAAATGGTGCTAGATTGAGATGGTGCTAGAGTGAGATGGTGCTAGAGTGAAATGGTGCTAGAGTAAGAATGTGCTAGAGTGAGATGGTGCTAGATTAAAATGGTGCTAGAGTGAGATGGTGCTAGAGTGAGATGGTGCAAGAGTGAGTTGGTGCTAGAGTGAGATGGTGCTAGATGAAATGGTGCTAGAGTGAGATGGTGCTAGAGTGAGATGGTGCTAGATTAAAATGGTGCTAGAGTGAGATTGTGCTAGAGTGAGATGGTGCTAGAGTGAGATGGTGCTAGAGTGAGATGGTGCTAGAGTGAGATGGTGCTAGAGTGAAATGGTGCTAGAGTGAGATGGTGCTAGAGTGAGATGGTGCTAGAGTGAGATGGTGCTAGATTAAAATGGTGCTAGAGTGAGATGGTGCTAGATTAATGGTGCTAGAGTGAGATGGTGCTAGATTAAAATGGTGCTAGAGTGAGATGGTGCTAGAGTGAGATGGTGCTAGATTAAAATGGTGCTAGAGTGAGATGGTGCTAGAGTGAGATGGTGCTAGAGTGAGATGGTGCTAGATTAAAATGGTGCTAGAGTGAGATGGTGCTAGATGAAATGGTGCTAGAGTGAGATGGTGCTAGAGTGAGATGGTGCTAGATTAAAATGGTGCTAGATTGAGATGGTGCTAGAGTGAGATGGTGCTAGAGTGAAATGGTGCTAGAGTGAGATGGTGCTAGATTAAAATGGTGCTAGATGAGATGGTGCTAGAGTGAGATGGTGCTAGAGTGAAATGGTGCTAGAGTAAGATGGTGCTAGAGTGAGATGGTGCTAGATTAAAATGGTGCTAGAGTGAGATGGTGCTAGATTAAAATGGTGCTAGAGTGAGATGGTGCTAGAGTGAGATGGTGCTAGAGTGAAATGGTGCTAGAGTGAAATGGTGCTAGAGTGAGATGGTGCTAGAGTGAGATGGTGCTAGAGTGAGATGGTGCTAGAGTGAAATGGTGCTAGAGTGAAATGGTGCTAGAGTGAGATGGTGCTAGAGTGAGATGGTGCTAGAGTGAGATGATGCTAGAGTGAAATGGTGCTAGAGTGAGATGGTGCTAGAGTGAAATGGTGCTAGAGTGAAATGGTGCTAGAGTGAGATGGTGCTAGAATGCAAATAAGTCATTCCCCTCTGTTACAACCAATTTCGAACATTTAGATTGAATAAAAGGCATGGAAAGAAAGTGCGGTTGTTTTTAATGGAATCACTCACTTCTTTGACTTGATGAAGTCATATTTTTGTATAAATTCTCTGGGATATGGACTTGTCTCTGTAATCTTTTTCTTGGCTGTGTGAGCAGAAACCTGTAAAACATGAAGAAACTAAGCAGAACATGAATAAAGCAACTAATTGCTGACTTTGATTGACATTCCACATGGCCATGCTGGAAGTCTAGCTGCACAAACAGACATTCTATCAATGCTGTTGCAATTTGAAATCCTGGAGAATTGATTGCATGAAAATAATTAGTTCCAAATGCCACTGAATGGCAAGTTTCGGCCGAAGGACCGCACATGGTATGCCAGAAGCTGTGTAACCATAAATGCAACCTTTTTACTAGATTTTGTCAGACAAGCTTAGACTCTATCACTCACTTTACATAGTTGCAAATTTTAGAACAGGGGGGAGTGTTTAAGCTTATCCAACCTAATCTCGTAAAACACTTGTAAATATGATCATGATATTTCTTAAAATCACAACCTGGGTGGTAACATAAGGTGTCATATTCTTGGTGAGGACATCAGTGTACACCTCCGGACCATCACCCCCAGAAACTCTAAATGTGGCAAACATATGCAAGTTAAAGAAATATCTAAATATATTTAATATTGGTACTGTAATAATTTACATTGTCAATTGTGTAATAGTAAATAGATGACTTGTCTTGCTTACGTTTTGTTGGCAGGTCGATTAATCCAACAAAACAAAGCATTGTTGCAAGTGTTGTATAATCATATGACCATATCTGCCAATCAGCAAAATGTAGACAAGGCAAGCCATCTATTCATATCTTAGAACTTTAAAAGTTGAAATACTTGCCCAAGTAACTTTAGAAGCTCTGAAACACGATAGTGAACCTCAAATTCTCCCATGGTTTTCAAAACTAAGCAGTGATTATTTCAAAAACATCTTTAAACACGAAATAAATTTTAAAATTCGCTCGTCCATCATTTCGCCGCCATTGCTATGAATTTATTAACATATTAAAATGAAGCTTCCGTTTGCAAATCGTTAGATTCACATGGTGTTTTGATCAGTTTGGAACATTTGTTTTGAAATTAGTGGTTCAATCTATGAGCACCAAAACATTTTGAGGGAGAAAGTCGGACTGGCTGGTCGATCAGTGCTTTAAATAAAAGGCACTTTTTTGGTTTATTGAACAGAAAGGAATGCTAAAGAATGAAAAAGAAAGACGTGATGAAAAATGTTATTCTCTTTTTTATCATCTTTCATAACTAAGGCACAGTATATATCAACCAATCAGAGGCCTGAGCATGAGAATTAACCATGAAACTAACCAATGAAAATTTATGAATTTAGCCACACCAAATGATTTTAGCTGTCATCCTGTCAATCATAATACGGAAAACAGTAAACTTCAGTCAGCCTCTGAGCCACAAGAATACAATGGGTAAGTTTGCGAAATTTGAATAGATATTTCGAAAAAATACTTTAAATGTCAGTAAATTTGACGTTAGAGAGTTTATTTTATGAACGTGGTTAGTTATTATGTAGAAAACATCTTTCTTGGTCTTTTTATCTATCGAATTTGGCGTCTAGCTGCGTTTTTTTGTGAGGAGTTTTTGCCTTCTTACGTGGACGTGAAGTATTGAACTCGGACTTGAACGTTACAAAAACGATGATTTCGCTAGGTTTCAATGGCTTTTATTTAATAGTACTTTAGTCTATTACAAATTGTTCAGTTTTTGAACGCTTCGAAGCAAAAATTTGTTAAACAATTTATTCATTTCAACTTGAATTTGCAAATTATTATTTTCTGGCTCAACCACAAGCTGAAACGAGCAACTTTACTTCAAACTTTAACACAAAGCAAGAAAGAATTTATGGCGATAGTTACAGATTGGCAAAATGAGAAACATGCAGAACCAGCTGTAATACTTCTACTGACTTTTTTGTCAAATTCTGTTAAATTATAGCTTAACAAACAGAGAAAAGTAAGTATACAAAACAATAGTGGAAACATCAATTGTGATAGTGACGTATTTTGAATTAATGGCCCAGAATCCTATGTTCTCCCTTTGTTATAAAAAGGGATATGATGTCATTGGCCTTTCGTCATTTGCGATTGACTTGCTCTGCGCGTAACTTCGTACTACTCAAAAAAGCGAAAATTCCTTTGTCGGTGAACAAAAGTAATTTGAAATGGATGTTGCTCAGTCAAACAACATGGTTCCTGTCGAAAAAACTTCAAACGACAACGTTGAACAAGTTGTGGCAACTTGCGTTTACGAAGCAGCAAAGAATTTTGACGAAATTGTGGCCGCGGTAAGAAAATGCGTTTCACTTGCAAAACGTCGTGTGGAACTGCTCGAACGATTACCACTTTACGACGAAAATGCAGGTACTCTTCAAACTTAGTTTTTACTTTGCGATTTTTTTCGAAGTTTTATTTGCTCGTGTTATTTTTCCCGAAATTTTTTTTTAACTTTTCGAAAAATTTTTTCAGTTGCTAGGAGATAATGGTAGTGTTGCACGAGATAATTGATTTGTTACCATGCGTACGACTTGCGCAGATCACGTGATCATCACCTCTGATTGGCGGCAGAAATAAGTTTTCTGTTCTTGTGCGACGATCTAGTGAATTTCTATGCGCTTTTACCATTTCTTGTAAACAATCTTTCAATAAGTTCGGCAATTATTCAAATGACCTATGATTGGTTAATGTTTTTTGCTTTGTGTTGCTAGGTAACCTGTAATTATAGAATCGTAGTTTCGTATTTCACTTGATCGAGTGTTGAATATTTGACTGACAGTTTTTGATTTTTTAAAGTTTTTTTTCTTTCAAACGAAAAATCAATAAGTTGAACCCTGAATGCAAGATTACGATTAGCATTGTGCTCGGAGAAATTTAACAAATCCAAAAATTTCAGGCGATTATTTACCAATAAAATGAGCGAATTTTTTCGCCAAATGGAAAACTTGTATCGAAAAAATTTTTCGTCGAGAAACCATTGAAGCATTTCGCCATCAAGTACGTACTTTGTCTTCCATTTTTCAATGCATTTTATTTTGTTTTAGAAATTGAGCATCTTGCCCTGTGCTCAAAAGATTCCGGTATTAAAAATAATGTGAAAGAAACGTTAGTTGAAGCTGAACTGATTGAATCAACTTTACTCAGCAAATCGAACAAAATAACTGTCCCAGTCATTGAAACATCACCTCCAGCTGAAGCCGCTTCAATTGCAAATGGTATAAGCATTGATAGAGATGATTTTGAAATGCCAAAGGAGCACAAGGACTTCACTGAGAATAACGCCTCCAAGGACTTGACTGAGAATAACGCTGAGAATGTCGAGCAATTGGACAAAGGTAATTCAGAAGTTGGTGCTTAGACTGTTTTGCGTTTTTTTTCTTCTATGAGATGAAATGAGATGAACTTCTTCATCATCTTTTGTTTTAAACGCATTCGGCTCATCTAAAGTTCGACGTTTGAAACGGGCATGAGAAACAATCTCATGCTGATTATACAACTCTTTAAAAATATTTCGACGAACAATGAAATCTCACGTATGTTCTAATACCTCTAGATGAAATTATTGATTTGTCAATTGGTGATGATGGTACAATAACTGAGTTGTCTACTGTGAATGATGAAACTTCCCCGAAGTCTACTGGGAATGATGTTAAAACTGACCAGGACGACGACGTCGATATTAGCCAGATTTTAATAATAGTTGGGAATGACACTCAAGAAGTCCAGTGTAATGATGGCGAAGATGAAGTTAACAACCCAGCACTAATGCTGATGCCTAAATCCATAGTCGACGAGGATCAGATCAGGCAAATTGAACCAAGTCAACTGACTGTTGCTGGTGAAGTTAACTCAGCCATGTCTATAGTTAATAATCAAACCAATGATCAAGCTACTCTGGCTGTTGATGATCATATCAAACAAGCTCAATCTTTAGAGATGAAAGATCGCCCATTTGATGTTAATGGTAAACATCTCCAAACGGTTGTTGTTGATGTCTATCAACGTGGTGATGATACAACAGGTCAAATCTCGGCCACGGGTAACAATTCTCGCAGCAAAAGTGCTGACAAAGTGAAGAAACCTGTAGCTGTTACTTCGTCTCTTGATGAGATAAATACTTTACCATGGAGGAATCCTGCTGTTGATAAAAAATGTAAAAAAAGAAAAGGATTCTTCAGACGTTTATTTTGTTCCTGTTTCAACAGTAGTGAAACAAGCGATTAATACTTTCAGATATTATTATAGTAAATTATTTATATTTGTAAATAGTTTGTAAATATAATATAAAATTCTTATATAAATAGTCTTTAGAGATATATATTATCAATGACTCGCGCTGTGCGCTCGTTGTTGTATTTAATTTTAAGTGAAAGTGTAAATATAAACATAAAATTATCAGAATGACTGTAGCGAGTGGTTCATTTTTTTATTTTATTTATGATCAATGATCATTGAAGTTTCTATATTTGTGAAAATCACAGTTACCACGATAATCTTTTGAATACACAGGTATATGAATTCATGTGTCTGTTATGTGAAGATTTTACTAACGGATATCAGTTTTTGAGCAAAGCTAACAGGCAATTTCATCGAGATCTTATTAGCTATTTACAGTGCTTATAAAATGTATTACACTCATCAATCAAGTATTTCAGTTCGACGTAGAATTATTAGGTTTTACATAATGTACCTATATTTTGGTACAAAAGAAAATCGCTTCATTTTCCAAGGTCCTTAAACTTAAATACTCTCGTAATTAGTCGTCTGATGTGCTGTTTATCAGTGATACTCGACAGAACCAAAAAATATTGCATAAAGATCTTGGAGCTCGCGTTGAAATTTAGATCCACTTGGAAAATTTTTAAAAACTGCGTGTGTAAAGAAATAATCAGAAAATAGCGATAAAGAAATTGGAATGAAAACCGTAAAATAAAGTTCAAAAAGACAGTTTATAGATTCCAATTTACTTTATACTGATCTTTACAATCGATTGAAATCTACATTCCGAATATTTTAGGATGGTCTTCCTTACTGTTCATGAATTTTTAAAAATAATTAACGCACGTCGACGTAATCATTTAGGATATTGTCTGAAGTAATTGGTCCAGATCATTTGCAATGATTTGAAAAGCTTTCTTCAAATTGTCCATCATGAAATCCACTTGCTCAGTTAACTAAACAACGAACGTTGATCAATATGTCAATATAAAAAATTAATTACTTATAGGTAGTGTGACCATATATGAATAATTTATCATCAAAAATGCATTGATCCGTGCTGTTTGCTCCCCCCTGTTTTTAATATTGCAACTATGTAAAGCAGGTGGGGCTGTCTAAGCTCACCAGAGCAGATCTGGTAATAATAAATACCAATCTTGCCACACTGCTTATAGGAGAGGTAAAAGGAAACTCATACCTCGCTGATTATTTTATTAACAAGGACTTTCTCTTCACCAGGTTCCTCGCCGTTATCGACACAGTGCGTCCGGTGACGTAATGCTGTTAGTTTGTTCTGCGACTCTCTAAGTGATGAATGAAAGACGGTCATAAGGATTTGAAAGGTAAAAACGAAGCATTCGAGATTTTCATATTATATACCTAAGGTGAGTCGTTAAAGTGTAATACGTCAACATCCGATTACGTAAAATGACGATGGTTTCTTGATTCTCCTTCATGGATATAAAACTCGGCAGGATATAGGAGTTGGCGTTGTTTTCATCTGAGCAACTATTCCGCTGTGCTTGACGGTCGTCATGAAACGTCTTGTCTCTTTCTTCATGACCTTTTACGATACTTTTATAGGGCATAAAAGAAGATGGTGGTAGCAGTAATGGCTTTTTCGAGCTGACGGTCTTGTAGTTTTTCATTGGCACAAAGATATTTCTACCAGATGCGCGAGTATTTAAACCAATTGGAGCGCGAGTATTTAAATCAATTGGAGCGCGAGTATTTAAATCAATTGGAGCGCGAGTATTTAAACCAATTGGTTGCTGACTCGGACAAGACTCGACTGTGCAACTGGATGTAGAGCTGAGTGGTGAAGGTTCGTGAAGCGAAGGTTGAGAGATAGGATGGATGTTCGATGGAAAGTTTCTAGGAACACTTTCACTTTCTTCTCCGATCACGTGTTCTGATGATTCTGTGAGGTTATCACTTTCTATTAAATATTGAGGAATTCTTGGAGGGAGTCTTTTTACCCTTCTCAAATAAACCATTTCGCTTCCTTGACTTTGTCTTCAACATATTGAAAGAGCATATCGTGAATTTCTTTGGTAGTTTCAGTCATTAAGACACATGTGCATACCTCCAGTTTATTATTCGGTCAGTTGCAGTTGAATTGTTCCCGACGACGGATGTTGATGGTCGTTTTTGAACAACGTACGATGAAGATTGTAGACTTCGAGGACGCTCATCTCGGTGTTTGATGGTAACTCTTCTCCAATGAATGGCACATTTCTGAACAATTCTTTGAATGTTTTCGGAAAACTGACGAAAGAATTTGAGCATTATTTACATTGTCATAAAATCTGTTGCGATTTGTAACAGCATTCTCCATACCTGAACGTGTCTTGATGCGGCAAATTGCTCTCTTTTGCTGATGAAAAACGTGGCAAACTAGGTGCGAAAAACATAAACGGCCTTAACAAGAGCATATTACTGGGTGATGGTTTCAGAGTAAAGCAGGTCCTATGAAAAACACGGGGAAAAAACGCGAGCCGGAGTGTAAAGACGTCAGCCAACTACTTTTGACTGGATTTACGCCTGTTGCTATGGCGACACATACACCGGTTCTGACCAATCAGAGTTTGTGGAAATTTATTCTTTATAATACCTAGTATGTACATAAGCACCTTAATCCACTGAATGACGGTGACTTTGTGAAGATAAGCGCGACGTCTTTCAAGTGCTTGATTGACGGCAGCTTTCTTTCTCTTCTTTTCTTTGGTGTAAATGATCCATGAAACAAACGTCTACAATATTTCATGGTATATTCAAATTTAAAGACACTGTGGGCAAGTCGTTTGCTGCGAATTAGCAAATTGTTAACAACAACATTCACAAATTGAAGGTGAAAACCTTTCGCTGTAAAGTGAAACTCCAAAGCCAAAGAGCCATGTGAGACATCTTTACGAACTGTACGCGTTCACGAAACTGGAAATGACACGAGTCAAGGAATACATTTATACGAAATAACGAGATCTTTGCTTAACACAACATGAAGTATATCAATACTTTGATGTGCCAAAACTTCCAGTGTGACGCAACAATTCTCTCATTATGAAAGACCATACAGTGTTGATGTAACGCCTAAAACAAGCAAAACCCATTGTTACCACAATCGAAAACGAATCTCAACATCATAGAAGAGCTCTGTATAACCTGTTTACGATAGGCCTGAAACCGTTTCTTCTTAAAAACATCTAGACATCTTTCTAAAACTCGTCGTTTCCAATACTCTTCAGCTTTTTCGCTTTTTTTCTTCGAAGAAAGTTTTAATAGGTGCTGTCGTTTCCACGCAACGAGCACGCGATGTCGATATCCTAAAATATATAGATGACGTAACACAAAGTACAGACTAAAATCCACGGTTGTTTAAGGAACAAGGGGGCGCCGTTTACCTCTCTCGAGCTTTTTCTGTACGGCGGAAATCTTATTAAATTGTTCAAGTTTCTTTCTTGAATGTTTGAACGCGTAAATACGCCAAGCCGTGAAAATCTTGAACATAAAATATTGGATGAAGTCAAGGAAGGGTATTGTGAAATGACCAATTTATTTGGACATTTTATTCTCAAACCTTTTCGAAACATTTTTTCGTCCAATGTTGTACTGACATGTGATGATTCTCCTTGCCAAGTTTGAAATAACGAGCGTTTTCCCTCCAGCGCTCAAAGAGCAGTCTTTATTGAAATGAAGAGATCCGAAAACCGTCAATTTTATTAACAGTTAGACAACAAATCACCCAATTAGCTTTCATCTTAGAAATCGACAGCGAGCGGTTGCAATAAAATCAGAGAACATGCATAAAATATTCCACAAAATCTCTTCCCCAAAATCCCAAAAGGCAAGTTATGAGAACGTTCCTACCCCACAGTTTTCACATCTTTAATCTGTTTCTTCCCTTCCACCAAAGTCTTCACCTCTCTCCAATGTTTACAATACAACTACAAGAAATGTATCAACTACTCGCGTATCCAATCATATCACAATGATGCGGTAAAACTATAATGATTTTGAACCGCAATGGGAAAAATCACTATGAGAACGCAGATTATCAAGGTTTGCCTTCACCCACCTTCCATATTTCAAGGATTTTCTTCAAAACTGTGCGACGATAATGAAAATCACTTCTCATCAAGAGTCTCCATTTATCTCTCTTCTTAACGACAAACTAAAGCAGATGATTCATATATGAAGCAGGAAAACCTACCGCAATCTTTAATGGTGAACGCACCGTCCTCCAATTTGTCCAACACAAAAACGTTATTTTCCTATTTTGATGCTGGATAGCCACGCACATACGTTGTGAACTAACAAAAAACAATGTCGAAACAATAGCAATAACTTATTAAAACTGAAAACGAAGTGAAAGCGATAGTACCAAGTATTGATATTTTCATCGTGAAGACCGAACAACGGGCGTTAATATCTTAGTTATGATATGGTTAAACTCTCATTTGCAACAAATAATAAATAACTCTTTGCAGAGAGCTGTAGAGAAGTCCACGTGGACAACGGCTGTGCGAGTGTGCGCGAGTGTGTGTGTGGGGTGGGGAGAGATATCCTGCCTCGACACCAGCCAATCAGAGAAATTGGACGTTCTATCAAAAAAACTGTTTGCCATGTACACAGTAAGTTACTAAATATGCAAGTTTGGGGATCAAAACTGCAAAAGGCGTTATGTTGCTGCGATTTTTTTTACTTTACTGTCGTGGTAATTAAATTCCACTTGTCATGCTTTATTCCAAAGCCATCATCAGAGATTATACATAATATAAATCCTAACACGGTTTTTATATGCACATGAAAAACATGTGACTTGGACGAGATTTGAGTCCATGTGACTTGATCTCGTCCTAGTCACATGTTTTTCATGTGCATATAAAAACCTTGTCGTGCTTGGTCTGTTGATTAGGCAATTAGTCACGTGATCTTACCAACGTTTAACAGTTTCAACGTAATTCCTCCAGACTTCGAAACATTTCGACTTAAGTCGTATGGTAAAATTGGAGTCGGCTTGCTCCTTAAAAATACCGTGATTTTACAAGGTTATTAATTGGTAAGGATCGTGAAGACATGAAGTAACGATTTTACAAACCAAGAGAGAATTTTCACGCAAGGTTTCTCTTGTTCTTGTCGACCACACAAGGAAAAACTTCTTCGTTAATCTCTCCATGTGAGAAAGGATTGCCTGTGGTAGACACGAGTTTTAGAAAAAATCTTCACATAACGATCACTACCAGCTTCTCAAATTTTCACAACTCATACAATTCGCCGAAGCGTTTGCACGTCCATTTGTAACCGATGCTCTTGCAGCCAGCGATAAAATGTTTTCGCCAATAGACACTCTCTGATGATAGAAGAAAAGAAAGCAAGAACTTATTAAGTCGTCATTCACTTTAACTTCATAACAGCACGTCAGGAAAAGGCAATACGCAAGTAGCCGCAAATACCGTCGAAATTCCTCGCCTCTCTCCGCATTGAAGTGCCTCTTTTTCATTTTATCAACAAAAATCTCCCATCGGTTAAAATACCTGAGGACAAAATTACTGGTAAATCATCAGGCACTCTTACAAGTAAACAAATCCGCTTTCTCGTTCAACCTTGGAAGAAGATGACGTCTTGCGTTGACGTCAGCAATCAACTTCAGATTTCGCTCTCCACGTTTTTGCTGACGATATAATTTCCAAGATTTCAGCATTTTGCGCAACACGATTTTCCTGTATAATAGAAAACGTTTTCGTGAATAATCTGTCGAAGTTTTTCAAAAGAACGCCGTCAATTACCTGTAGAAGTTTTGAACGAAGTTGATCAAAGATACATGACGCAAATCTTCTCGAAGTTCATAACGTCTTAACCACAATAACAGGAATGCTTTCTGTAACTGTTGAATGAAAAATGAATGCTTCTGAGGATTTTGTTCAGAGCCCACCATGTGAACAAGAACAAACAACAGAACAGTATTTTCACGAAATCGAAAATTTCTACGGAAGCAAGTCTTCTCCTCTGGAATGACAGGAAAACAAATTCATCCCAAAAATTTTCAACAAGTTGTTAATACTTGCGAGGAAAATTTGGTCTACATTGTTCAGGTTCTCATCGCGTAGAGGTTGCTGCTTTTAAACTCTTAAACTTACATATTTTCTCCTGTGTTTCATGGCTGAGACATGAAGGATGTTCTTTCTTTTCCGAATGACAACTCTCTTGCACAAAATCTTCAAACACGTTCTCTTTAGGAATCACGAAAATAAGAAATTTTCCCATAATATTTAATTTATACAATTATTACTTCCTCACTTTTAGCCGAGTTTGAAAGTGTCTGCAGGATTTTGATATGTTTAGCTGTTTGTTACAACACAGGATAATGTCTGTGCAGAAGATTTGAAATTAAGGACAAACAACTTGTGATGGTTTGGACTCTTACGATGTGACGGTAAAATTTAACGTTGTAATATTTTTAGTCATACCATTGCAACGTTTCAACGAGCAGCTGAGACATTCTACGACTTTTCAAGTTGGTGAATTTCAACGCTATAGCATTGAAAAACGTAGCATTGTACATAAGCGTACTAAAGTTATCATTTGGGGGAGGGAGGGAGGAAATATTTTCCCCAAAAACTCATAATGAAAGCTAGGCCTTATTTTATAATGTTGAAAATTTGTCCTACTTTTCAATCTTCAAACTTTCTTGGAAGGAGGTGGAGGGCGGACAGCTGCCCTCTCTGCCCCGGCATAGTACGCCTATGTCATTTTACAATTTGCAGCATTGCAAGTCGAAACATTGCAAAGTTGCGGCGTTTGAACGCTATATAACATAAATTCTTATGCTCCAGTCTTATTGTCTTCCATATTGTGAAGGATACAATGTTTCCAATGTAGAAACGTTCGCCGTTTTCTCGCTTTCAGCTCCATCGTAATCAGTTTATCTTTAAATTGCATCAGTTCAATATTCCTTTCCCAGGTAATTTTCCACCTCAAGAAGTACAAGCGCAACTTGTGGGAACGATGAAACCGAATTCCACTGTCTATAAAGTAGTAACTAGCTACTGAGCTCAAAAATCCACGAGATTTACTGAATTAATACAACAAAAAAGTGACATATAATGTAACAAGGATTTCAATTCGTTCTCACCAAAACGTGCTTTCTCTTCTCGTCTTTGTGTGACGTACAATTTCAGGTGCTCCAGAGTATGTGCTGTCAACCGTCTGTGATAACATTTCGATGCAAACTGCGTCTTCAAATTTTCCTCGGTTATCATTGAATATTGAAGCATCCAGCATCTCCAAGACTGTGTTCCAATATTAACATAGGCTGTTTATCGTAAATTGCAAACGTCGAAATCGTGAAAATTATTTACCTTGGCAAGCAAGCATCGTGCACAAAAACCTAGAGCATTCCTCTCCAGTCGATACAACGCTTGTCTCAAATTAAATTGATTTTTCCATTTGTTGAATGCCATTCTGTTTCAATGAACGCAACCATTCAAATTAAATTTAGATCCCATTGAAGGTAAATCGTTACAACCCGCAGTTACCTTTCAAGAAGGATTATTCCATCCTGTTGACTTTCTATGTAACAATCTCTCTTATCTTTTCTCTTTCTTATGTACTGTTTCCAACTTGCTAATGCCATCACAACACGCGAATGGTCAGCTAAAGCATAACAAAATTTCGGTCCAGTTCGTCCTAAAATCTTTGTTAACGCTTTTTTACGCTTTAAAGGCTCAGAAGGAAAGGCGAGGGGAAAAAGATCATAGGGATATGTGCATCGTAGGAAGAAAAGGGAAAGTTCTTGGGAAAGCGTTTGAGTTTCAGGTGAAGGGTAAGAGGAAGCACGGGCTACCTAAGACGAAGTGGAAGAAGATAATGTAAAAGAAGTGCTAGAGCGTCGGTTTGATGAAGAGGATGTCATGACTCGAGCGAGATGGAGTAAGGAAGATTACAACCACAGCGGGGCAAACTTAAAACGAAAATTTGACCGCAACTTCATTTATAATACCTTTCTGCTTTGCAACCATTGTCTTTGCTTTCTTTCTTCGTTTAAGAGCAATGTACGAACGCCAACGTCTCCAGGTTTTCAACCATAAACGAAACCTACAAAATTGTTGCGTGCGCTCAAAATTATTCATTGCCAATTTACATCATTTCAATTAATTCACTGCCTTTCCACATGCCTGTTGTGGTATTCTGCACGAATATTCAATTTCCATTCATTTTTGCCACTCCACCAGACATCTTCCCATTGACAAAAACATCTTTGCAACAGTTTCACTTGATAATGTTTCCTACATGTCAGATGCCAACCAAACTTGTCAGTCAATTTCTTGTCTGTATATTTACTTTGGTTTTGCAAAAAATGTTTAAAAAAATTTGCAGCTAGCACTGTGCAGTCTAACTTTGTAGTGCATACTGCAAACTAGCAGTGCTAATTCTTTAATCTTACTAATTCAAATCTAATTACTCAAAAATTCTAGTCAGCAAACATTGAAAATGCTACGGGAGAATTTGAAATTTCACACTTTTCTTAAGTGTGCATTTTAACCACAGTTTGCAATCAGTTTAATGCACCTGCGGGTGGCCTGGTTACTTAGGATGTAAACATAACAAATTACCTTGCTTTCGACGGTGAAATCCTGCCAAATGTCTTCCGCTGCCATATACTGATGTATTTTAATAGGAGAAGCCTAACATAGCAGAAATTCTTCCTGTCATCTCCAATGTACAAAACAAAACAAAATGATAAAACCAATACCTTATCCTAATTTTGTTAAGTCTTTCCTTCCTGGTGATTTTTCTTGTAGCTGGAAATCGTGTGGCTTTTCCATACTTCCCACTCAACTCTTTTGTATTCTTGAAGTGTTTGTCTTGTACTGTTATCTTCTTGGCTAATATTAGACAAAGTTCAGAGTTTTAGTGAGGAAAGAAATATTCTGTCCAAAGAACATAAATTTTGGCAATTCTTCCTTGAAATAACAAAGTGCATTTCACGGTTTTCCAGCTCATATGAAGGATAAAAGAGGTTACAAAAAAAATAATTTAAGATCCTTTACCACAGCCATAATAAATCACTTAAACACAAAAACTTCCAAGGAAATCAAAGTTGACAGTTCAGCTTGACTATATGAGGGAACTAGGGGAGAACAAATCATCCAAAATGACATTGGTCTAGTTGCAAGTATGTAATGGCTTATAATGTGAGATCAAATGACCAAATATAATTAAAAAATGCTTGATCAATATATGATCAGAGTTATCAATCAATAACAGAGGAAATCAGTCAATAACAGAACAGTAGTTAAATCAAGGTCCCTATGATTAACATAAGGCATAATTTGCAGCACATACAGGCATGATGTGTATGTAGTACGTACTAGTATATGTATTATACGTTTATCCTTCGCGAGTGTTTTAAATTTACTTTTTTTGTAGAGGGTCTTTTATAATAGCTTTGAAAAAGTACATGCACGAAGAATGACTGTTTCAACCATCGAAAATAACAGAATCCTTGTGGAACACATGCTTCACGGTTCAGGTATGTGCTTTTGCAAAACTGCATGGGATGGGTGCAAAGTAAACGAAAAATCTCTGGGAAATGTCAATAGACGAGTGTTGTGGCAGCCATAATCAACATATACATATACACAACACAAGAAAGTTAAAAGAAAATTCGTAAGAACTGGAGACGATCAAAATCAAAAATAAATTCTCGGAAACGAAATGAAACATCCGTCACTAGTCAGTCATCACACCTTGAAGAAGATTGGATTGACTCTGCGAAAACCTCTTGAGGAGTGAAATTTTCCTTTGTTCCCTTCCATCGACTTTAACATAACGTTTATTTTCTTGACCGCTCATAAAATTTAATCATTCGATCACGATGATTAAACTCGGTAGGCTTCTACTCTAAAGGACAATACTTTGATTACACGACTAACATGAAACTTAAATAATTAGCTCCCCCCTGTGTATATTTTGATTTTAAGTATTAATATTTGGACGAAAAATAACATCCGGGGGAGACTTGCGGTGTAGCAGCATAAATCATGAAATATATTATTCATGTTTCGCTTTTGTTTCCTATTCGTTACTTGAAAGTTGCAGCAAAGAGTCACGCCAAAAATTTGTTAAGTGTTTTCAATGGCGAGTTGCTGTGACGACTCAATTCTTGATGTAGTAGATGGTATGTATGCTAAATTTTTATAATTACAACGACGACCTCACAAATGTCACTTTTTGTCAAAGTTTTCAATCGCGAAGGGTGTTTATTAATACACGGACAGCTGGAGATAAAAACGGATTTTAATTAATATTTAGTTTGAAAAGGTTTTAATCGTTTTAAACCGATGTACTTTATAAGTATAATGCCGTTTTATATAAAGCTGTTTTTTTACAGGACATGTGCACTTCGCTGCTGACGTTGAGCCTCACAATCGCATTCAAGTAAAACAAGACAGCGACAATTTTCACGTTCATCTTGGATTCTTGCAAACAAAACATAAATATGAAATAAAGTTCGACGTCCCCAATCTCTTTGGTTTTGGCGGCAAGATTTCAGCGACTAATAAGTCATCCAGGAACTTTGAACAGTTTGAACTCGACGTGACTGACATTCAGCCTTCAGGTATAACGTGTTTGTAACACAGAATGAAACTTGTGTTTGAAAACATTGTATGGTTTGACAATGTTCCTGAAATAGAGTGAAAATATCACCAATTGAATAATTGGTCTTGTTTTTTCATATGATTCATATCTTGGAACTCGGGTTTTTAAAATATCTTGGTGCGCAGGAGTATGTTTCATCTTGTATTTCCTGAAATTGTCTGCTTGGAAACAATGTATATGCATGTTAGAAAGCTGACTTGTAGTCAATTATTGTTTGCATGGCTTCCTCACTTTTGTCATCTGTTACTTCAGATTCCAACATGTTGAACATTGTCCTTCATCTCACTGTATTCAAAGAAGGTCTCAGAAAGATCAGTTTTACACTTCCAAGTGATGATAAAGAATTTGATGTCATCTTGCATGCAAGAGTCTTGGGGAAACACAGTGGAACACCGATGCTTAAGGATGGCATACATTGTCTCCAAGTGATCAAACGTTGATGTGGCTTCTTTCTCCGCTTGAGATACAAATTGGCATTGTAAATTGAAGAGCATCACATATCTTATGTAAATAGTTTTAAAGAGACGATGCAATTATAAATAATCGTATAAATCTTGCATTTGTACTGCCTCCTGTCAACTTTGACTGGAAATATTATCATTCTAGTGAATGGTTTTTTGGAATCTGGACAAAATGCGCCTGGCAAATTTTATGGTCAGCGTTAGTTTCCTTTGCAATAAAATATCGTGACAGGAAAGATAGTGTAAAAGATAAAAAGAGGGAGCTGTATTTTCATTATTTTTTCGATAATTTTGAGAAATGCAGCACGATGAGGTAGGTGCACATGCTCCAATCATCGATTTTTCAACTCCCCCAACATAATAGCCCGTTTTTTTCTCATTATTTAGGTCATTTGGTCCGTGATTAACCATGGCTTTTGTTCATTTAAAGTGAAGTCTGTATAAACACGTGGAGCACGTTCCCCTATCGTTGTTTGCATATTAACGTATGCTTTGTACTCTCTTTCCAGAACAGAGACGAACACTTTCTGTCGAAATGAATATAATGTGACGGGATTGTGCAATCGACAGTCGTGTCCTCTTGCTAACAGCAGATATGCAACTATCAGAGAGGAAAAAGGTTTTTTGTAGCATTAAGTCTTTTAAGTCATATCACTTAGTGATCATTCTCACATCCCGTTCTCACTTCTCTTTTTTTTAGGTATTTGTTATCTCTACATGAAAACCATTGAACGAGCGCATTCACCTGCCAAGTTGTGGGAGAAAATCAAACTGAATAAGAACTATGAAAAAGCATTGGAACAGATAGATACTAACTTAGTCTATTGGCCTAATTTTATGATTCATAAATGTAAGCAACGATTCACTAAGATCACACAGGTAAGTTGTGTCGTTTCAGTGCTATGCCTTGAAGTGGAAGTTTTGATGTATTTTCCTTAACAAAATGGCTAAACAGATGGCAATTGATGTGTTTTTTAACAAAATGACCGCATTTGTTATCATAAAAGCTTATGATTTGCCAACACAATACAAAGCTTGTATAGCCAAATGAAGTGTATACGGGTTTGGTTCTTGCTCACTTAAACTGGAAAGTTTGTAAATTGCAGACCCAACGTGGCAAGTTTGCACACATAATAGGCTAGTTTTTTTAACAAAACAAACAGTCCAGTCAGTCCAATTGCTCGTAGCAACTTTATTTTGTAATAATATTTTCTCTCTCAAAATCAATTTTTTTTATCAATGAAATCAATAGAATACAACAAGAATCTGTGGTTAGGGTTAGCGTTTGAGATGGGTTTATTCAAGTCATTTAAACATAAAAAATGAACTAAAGAACTGTAAGCCATTAAGTAACTAAATAGCCTGCTTCCGGCTCATTTCCTGAAAGCAATATTTAGCTTTAGACTATAACTCCATATCTGAGAGTGATTGTGTGTGCAGTTACCTTATTTTAGTAAATGCTTTCAAGAATAAATGTTCAGTCTTGAGGGTTTCTTGACTTGACATCAATGTGCAAATAAAACAAAAAAGTGCAATCATCCATTTGAAATGAAGTATTTTACAAATATAATTTTTTAAAATTTTTGGAGATGGAAATGTTCTGCATAGGAGCTAAAACTTGTTTTAACCAAAACTAGACCTTTTTGGCTGAAGAAAAAGATAAAACCATTGCAGTTTGCCTACCACAAATCATTTTGCCAGAATGTGTTTTTGCCATTTGTCGTTGATGGTGATAAAATGTTTTTATTTTTTAGTACCTTATAAGAATGAGAAAACTACAGTTAAAGACAAGGTGTGTGTGATATCTTCTGATTTTTGTGATGATGAGGACACCACAATATGAGTATTTTTCATTTTTCCAGACCAAAACTTGTAACAATAAACAAGAAAGTTGAAAGGCGTGAGAGAAAAAGAGAAGTAAAGTTTTGTTAATAGATATTTATTTATTTCATGATCGCATAACATTACCTATGATTGTTTAAGTCAAAAGCATTGGTTGCCGCTCAGCTGGATAAATCTATTGAAAAAGAACTTTTGGAAAGATTAAAGAAAGGAACGGTAAGATTTAAAAACATCGTGATTTTTAAAATCGACTTTGTTCCAAGGTTTTTCAATCTTCGAAGAATTGGTTTCTGGATGATCTATGCGTTTTTTATTTTCAGTATGGAGACATTTATAATTTTCCAAGTACTGCATTTGAAAAAGTCATGGAAGACCAGGAACAGGTTGATGTTGATGAAGATGAGGTTAGTTGTTCCTTTATAACTCAGCTTTGCTTGTTATAAACTATATGAAAAATATCACTTGAAATGTTTGAGTGCACAAATTCTCTTTTATCTCTACACATAAGGAGGAAGAAACAGAGGAAGAGGTAATGGTTTGTTTCTGTTTCTTTGCTTTTTCATCTAATACAGAAAACATTTGTTTGGCTCTATCGTAGGATAAAGTAAAGTATATAGCCGATGAAGATTTTGAAGAAAGCGATTTGAGTGATATTGAAGATTTCGAAGAAGAGGAGAAAGAAAATGAACTGGATGACACAGACATTCTGAAATCATTTGGCAAGAAAGCAAAAGTTGAAATAGAGTATGAGATGGAAGAAGAGCCAAGAAAACGATTAAAAACAGCATAAATAATTTTTTGAATTTTTATTGAGATAGTTTTTTAGGATCAAAGATCTCTCTATTTTCAGCAAATCAACAGTAGTTTGGTGATGAAAACAGGTCAACTGTTTCATTGGATCCTGACTCATTCCAAGTTTTTCTTCTCAAGAGGAAAACATGAATCAGTTATAATTAGGTATTATATTAGATCCCAGTAAACTAGTTCTGTCCATTGGTTCTAAACTTCTGACAAACTGTTTTGTAAAACATGGTCTTTCCCCAGTTTCTTTGCTCAATGTGGGAACTTAAATCAGTTGAACTTTGACAATGTCGTAGATCCAAGTAAACTAGTCCTGCCAACTGTTCCATTAAATTTTGGTCTCTCTCGAAGTCTCTCGGCTGGAGAGTGGAACTTACTCCCACTCGGTGTTTTCTTGATCATCTTGAAAATTTCAGCAATGCTAACAGTTTTCTTGTGACGAGATCCAAGGACAAGACACAACATTGCATGACATTTTTCCAGTTGTTTCAATGCTTTGTCAGTTTTGCCTTGAGTTAACCTGATGCTAGCAAGCAATTGATATGAATTCGCCAAACTTTGACTAGGATCACCAAAAACAATTGTTTTACTGTTGATTACATCGGCAACAACACCAGCTGCCTTCTCATGTTCACCATCAGTGATTAAATCTGTGCATAATGCTTCTTGAGCTGCTATGGTTCGCTTATGATTGCATCCATATGTACATTTGTAAATTTTTATACACCGTTCTAAACGAGCCAGATTTTGTGAGACGTCATACCCCTGAATACTTTGCAAGTCAATGGATGCACTGTACAATTCATCAGCTAGCTCTTCTGTTTCTTTAGTGAAAATATCATGAGCAAGTTTAATGCGCATTTCTATCATTTCCTGGGCAGTTTTAGTATTTATCATCTTGTATGCTCCAGCTAAACCTTGATACAGTGGGAGAATTTCCTTGCTTGTTTTGCCATAAATCTTTGTGGCATGTTGTAATGCTTTCTCATAGTATTCTATAGCACTTTCCTTCTTCAATTTGACTGAAACCTAAATATGTGGATATATAGATGGACAATATTTTGGGGAAATATTATCTGAAAATATGGCAAGCAACATGGTACCTGTCCCAAGCTTTCCATGATTTTCACATACATCACCGACAGTTTGCGTTGTTCAAGCTTCAAACTTTGTGCAGCTGATATTTCAGATTTCTTCAAAGCCTGTTGACATTTTCTAAAATCTTGCTGCTGGAAGTTAGCTTTTCCAATGATGAAATATACAAGTTGCATCACTTTCAAAACGTCCTTACTGTGCGATATCCTACTACTTCGAAATTCTTCCGCTTCTCCTTCAAGTAATTCATCTCTTCCCTTTTCGCCATGAAGCAGGGCCTGTTGAGCGAAACCTTTCCTTTTCAAGTACGCTTCACCAAGCTTAGCGTGTGCTTTTGCCAACTGCCAATGACCATTACCGTAGACTAATCGGCAATAGGCAACAGCTCGTATCCGTTCTTTCGTGGCTAATTCAAGTTCTCCTTTTTTGCTTAGCTCACGAGCTTTCCTTTTGGCTTTCTTAAATAAATGCAGTGGCGCCAGTGGATGGTCACCAGCAACTACAGTGTCGTTTTCAATGTCTTCGCCATCGCTCTCTTCTGAAGACGATACGTGGCAAGGAGGTGGTTGGATTACTTCGTCATCCGAGGTTTCGACTCTCGGAATTTTGATTATTATGTCTGAAGAGTGGTCATCTCCATTGCTGGACCCTTCGTCTCTTTCATTCATTGTAAGTTATGGTTTACATATCTGAATATCCAAGCAACAGAGTCGACAGCGTTGCTACAATACATACACCACACTGACACCAGTTGTTTTCAAGTGCCAAAAAAATTTAGTAATTGAGTTTACATTTAATAAAAATGTGATAGCATCTTTATTTACAACAAGTGCATGCAAAAACAGGCTTTTATAAGGAGAGATGAATTAGTATAAAATGGAAACTAGTGGTCGTCTACATTTTGAACGATGTGAAACAGCTTTGAAGTTTATACAAGAAATATGTCTTGGTGAAATGTGAAATATATATTTTCATTATCTTGGAAATTTACAGTTTGGTGACTATTCATAATGACCGATTGTGAGGTATTTAATGTGACAGTGAAATGGAGTGGCAACGAGTATCTTATTGAACATGTTGAGTCGTCCTTTACCCTATTACAACTAAAACAACGTATACACGAACAAACTGGTGTATTACCTCACCGTCAGAAACTGCTTAGTTTGAAGTATAAAGGTATTTAACGATACTTATATTCCAAAATAACCTTACAAACATTTAATAAATAGGTTTTTTAATGTCTAATCAACGAAACCTTTCATATGTTAGGTAAAGTACCAGGAGATGATGTTAAACTATCGGTGCTGTCGTTTAAACCAAGCATGAAGATTATGATGATGGGAACAAGAGAAGAAAATTTGGTAATTCATTTTTTTATCGTGTTTGTGTGTGCTATGAAGTTAAAACTTATAGCTTGGTAGAATTTCTGACCCTGTATTTAATGGACTCCGTCGATTTCGACGTATGAGGGTTCCACGAAGTGGAACATCCTGGTTACTGAAATTATAGTGAAGGCAGCTGACCAGACTACAATCACTCGTACCCTTCACGCTACCACAACACTGATATCAGCGTGACACAGTGTGACAAGGCTGCAACATTGCAGATGCAGGTACAGTCCATCCGAGGACATAGTTTCCTCTACCAAATTTCCCTCACATGGCTTTGGTCAACCCGGGCTAGGTTTTATAGACACATTGCCAGATGTGCCACGAGCCGGGATTGAACCCGCTGTCTGGCTAACAGCTCACGCCATTAACCATTCAGCCACTCGCCCCCAGTTGACCCTGTATTAGCAACCATATGTATAACAACATTGTTTAAAGGGAATGGTTTGTTTTTATCCAAGATGAGTGTTCTGCAGTCATCCAGTGAGAAAGATGGTGCCGATGTGGTCAACGATTTTGATATTAAAGAAAACGAAATTCTTATTGAAAATAGGTAAAAGTCAAGCTTGCTTTTGGATATCATCTCAAATGTGCCCAGATTAGCTACTGCCCCACATACGCAAGTTTTCTTTTATACAACAGTTTTGCCTATAAAGTAAATGGTTTGAACCCGGGAGTATCGTTGCATGAGTTTGAACAATGATTTAAACCCAGGAGTATCGTTACACGTTAGTTTTGCCTATCTCATATCATATGTTGATGAGGATTTTATGAGCTGTTTATGTAGACAAAATTGCTTTCATGAGAAAGTAATCTTATTTAAAGGTTTATTTTATGTGAAGATTGTTTGTATGTAAAAATCAGCTTGATGCAAAAGTTGGTTTCGTGTAAAAGTTTGTTTTATGTGAAAGTTGGTTTCATGTAAAAGTTTGTTTTAAGTAAAAGTTGGTTTTATGTAAAAGTTTGTTTTATGTGAAAGTTGGTTTCATGTAAAAGTTCGTTATATGTGAAAGTTGGTTTTATGCCAAAGATGGTTTGATGTATAAATCGGTTTTGTATTATGCTAATTAATTAGCTAGATGTGCAGCTTGAGTGCGCATGTCAATGGGATGATGAATAGAAGATAATTTTGAACAAGTGCGTTGTGGATGCAAAAAAATGAAAATGAAATTTTTTAGAGATGAATATCTTGCCAAAATAACAAGACGCGTCAAGGAATATCAAGTGAAAGTCTTGAATGAACCACGAGTCGGCAAAAAACTGCTTGTCCTTGATGTCGATTATACTTTATTTGGTGAATAAATGTTCAAGGAACCTTCTGTTGAACTGCTGAAATCTTTACGTACACATTGTCTTTTTTAAATGTCAGATCATCGATCAGTTGCAGAAAAAGGAGTGGAACTAATGCGACCGTATCTTCACGAGTTCTTGACGGCATGCTACGAGCATTACGATATCGTCATTTGGTGTAAGTAACGAATAGTTCATCATTTCACTCCATTTTCTGCCTATAGCTAATCCTTTTTAAGAAAATTTGATGATTTTGTCGTTGTGTTGCGACTTTGCGTTGTATCAGGATTTTCTGTCTAGGTTGGGGGGGAGGCAGGCCAGTGAAAAGGGAAGGAGGGTCATGACTGTCGACTGAACAATGTATACTGTGACTAAAATCTGATATTTTAGGGAGGCAAGAATTTCGCTGGGGGAGCCTGACCCCCCTCTGGCTACATCCTGGGCTTTAAGTTTCTGTTGCTCTGCGATGCACCTGATAATGAAACACAACATTTAATAATGTGCGATCACTTTTCGTTTTAAGTATGATTGAGCTTAATTCTAATCATATATAATGCGCAAGCGCAAACCAAAGATCAGATGTCAATGTTCACGTTTGTTGAAAAAATAGTTCGAGTTGGACGTATTTACCAGTACTACTACCAGATATTACTTCATCTTCTTAATTTTACGAAAAACATATTTAAAATGCTGAGAATATGGAAAAGTAAAACATGCTAGACGGAAAGTTCCAAACCATGCAAGCTTTTAAAATTGGCTAATATTTGACGACTGCACTACGAAAAGGGAAAATTTCAAGTCTCTACGGGAGAAATGCCACACAACTCGGTCGCTACAAAACCTTTCAGTTAACACCTTTTTGTTAAGAAAGTGATCTGTGGCATCTTTCGACTCATCACTATAAAAGTGTTTCATCCAGTCTGTATCTTCATATACCTATGTTATATAACTTAGTAACTTAATGACTGCAACATTTCACTTATTTAAGCGTGGAAGAGGGAGCTATAGATTCATTACGTATTTAATTTGCTTAATGTATTTATGAGTTTGGTCCGTATATATTTTTTTGGAACCCCTTTAGTGAAGATTGTCTCTGTTTAGTGATTTCAGCCATTGTGTGTATTTGTATTTAGTTATTGTAAATGCTGTGTCTGTTTGTGATGGCGTATCCATGAGATAAAATAAATAAAATGAAATATCTTCATCAAGTGAATTGTGACCAATGGCCGTTCTCTATTTTCTTCTATTTCAGCTGCAACAAACATGAAATGGATCGAAACAAAAATGAAGGTGCAAATTATTTATGTTTGTTATTCATGCACGAACACCGCACTCCTCTAAATGTTTTTGTTCTTTTTACACGTTTTTAGGAACTAGGCGTCTCGAGCAACACGAATTATAACATCGCGTTCATGTTAGACTCCCTTGCAATGATAACAGTTGATCACCCGACGTATGGAGTGATTGAGGTGATCCCTTGTGTTTCTTTGGCTTGTATGAATATCATTTAGTCAGTATGTTTTTTCAATATGAACATAATAGCCCAACATAAGACTTTTAAAAAGCCATCACAATAGTAAAATAAAGAAAGATTTATTAATAACGTTTCGTCTTTAACTTAAGACGAAACGTTATTAATAAATCTTTCTTTATTTTATCATTGTGATGGCTTTTTTAAAAGTCTTATGTTGGGCTATTTTGTTCATATTGAAAATTCCCTTTTCGCCTGGCAAATCTCTGGCCACGATTTTAGTCAGTATGATTGCATTCATAGATAATTGAAGAATAATACATGTTTACTGTGTTTGCATAAGCCTGTGCAAACGCAAAAAAAACATCTTTTATTTCTTTTATAAAATAACAATAATGCGAAACAGATAAAGTTAAAACGAACGTTTTAACTCTTCCTCTAACATGTATTCGCGATGGACTTAATTGATTGAGAAGCTCAGATCAGTTTGCTCCGATCGTGATCGTGACCAATCACCGCACGCGTTTTATTGCTGTTATTTTATAAATACAAGTCGTACGTTTTTCCATTTCAACAATACAGACAAAGCCACTGGGTGTTATATGGGGCAAATACCCTGAGAAATACAGCAAAGAAAACAGTATTATTATCGACGATCTGAGGAGAAATTTCATCATGAATCCGAGTAATGGACTTAAGGTATGAATAGTGCAGTGTGACCATACATGTAAGTTTTTTACCGGACTGGTCGAATGAACTTAAACACTCCCCCCCTGTTTTGAATTTTGAAACTATATAATTCAGGTGGGAGAGTCTCAGCTCATCAGAGAAAATTTTGTAAAATTTTCATGCATGGTCACATTGGAGTAGTGGGTTAGAACCCTAAAGCTAGCGTGGGTCCAGGATCATTTTTAGAAGGGTGCTCTAGTTTGGAATAGTTTTCGGTCAATGTCTAGTTTGGAATAGATGTGGATGTCGCCTTGCTACGTCCGACTGTTTGTTCTTGTTAAATTCTGTTACTCTTATACCATGTTGGACGATATTTTTGGAGATGTGCCCCGATAATGGTATTATTATTGGTATTATTATTGGTATTATTATTGCTAATGGTATTATTATTGCTGGTATATATATAATGGTATTATTATTGCTAATGGTATTGCTAATGGTATTGGACGCTAATGGTATTATTATTGGTGTAGAAATGGAATACTTTGTGTATATTTAAGTATTATAATGGTATATTTTGTGTATATTTATGTGCAATAATGGGATATAAATGGTATATTTATTTTTGTTGGGAAATTTCACCCACTCACCCACCCCTCCTCCTCCCACAGTAAATTTATCCCTGTCTTAGAGAGTAAAAGATGGTAAATTACCTAACAGTCACACTTAACTTTTAGATCCGACCTTTTCGCGAGGCTCATTTAAATCGAGGTACGGACAGAGAACTGCAAAAATTGACCAAATATCTTCAAGAGATCGCTATTTTGAACGATTTTAACGATCTCGACCACAATAGATGGGAGAAGTACAAAGGCAAAAAGAAGATGACGGAAAGATAAATTACAAAAAAAGTATATTTACAAAAGGAATTCACGTAAAAATATTGTTCGTATAACGTCTATTACGCTCTCTTCTTTCGTTTCTTACGGTTAAATTCGTTCGCCTCCGCCTGTTGATTTGATAACATCGCCTGAATTTTCTTCGTCTTGAGAGCCCGCTCGGCGTCCCTTCGAAAAGCGAAAACTTTTTCAAGCCATATTAAAGTTTTTCTGGCATCAAATTTTACTACAGAATTTTCTAGCTGCGTTGTAAAAGTAATTTAAGAACACCATATGGTAATATGAATTTACCTTTGCGATTGTTCCTGAAGCTGTTGTCTAGCCAAAAATTGACTGTCTTTGCGTATTTCTCTCAAAGCGCCCTACATTGAAATACGCAAATCGCCGGTATTTAACTACAAGTACGTATATTACTTAAACTTCTTTTCAAAGCAAAGTGAATTTGAAGAAATGCGCTGCCCTTATACCGCACCTTAAATTCCTTCTTGTGCTTGTAACGAAGTTTTTGTCGTTCGTTCACTTGTTTATTGCGAGAGGTATGCTTGCGTCGTACTTCATAGCTGGAAAGAATTTGGGTCACGAATTTAAGGTAAACGATCACGCTGCGTGCGAATGATACAGAAACTTACTGTTCGTCAAACTGCGGCTCGAACATCTGTATCGCTTTGGGGCGACGGGTCTGCATTGTCAGCGGTTGACGCTCGGTCGAGTGATTTTCAAGAATGCTCGTTAGATCGGTCAGTAAACACTAGAAAATACAAGCACCAATATTGTAAATATGAAACAGAACGCCTACCCAGGAGTTCACTCGGTATACTGGTATTAAAACATTTAGAAGCAGTAAGAGGAATCTAACAAATCCAAGTAAAATGATAAGGTTGCGGCGGCAGTGTTCCTCAAAATTTCGAAAGAAAATTTTCGCTGACAAGCATTTCATATATAAGTACAGTCAAACTGAATTGAGTGGTGGCATTTGGATACGAAAAAAGATTGCACATAAGAGCTATAGTTATACAGGAGTATACGTAGTCAGATTTCTGACGTGGCTCACTGTGCCGATGGTCATTTTATATCTTCAATGCGCCTTAACAGCGCGTGCGGAGTAATAAGAAAAGCAAAGAACACGAAAAGATGCATAAAATAAGGATGGCAACCAGACTAGTACGTGCATAACAGATACAGCGCATGCGGAGTAAAAAGAAAAGCAAAGAACACTAAAGGATGCATAAAATAAGGATGGCAACCAGACTACTACGTGCATAACAGATACGGCGCATGCGGAGTAATAAGAAAAGCAAAGAACACTAAAGGATGCATAAAATAAGGATGGCAACCAGACTAGTACGTGCATAACAGATACAGCGCATGCGGAGTAAAAAGAAAAGCAAAGAACACTAAAGGATGCATAAAATAAGGATGGCAACCAGACTACTACGTGCATAAAGATCGATGGTAAAAAAACCCACCTGAATCTTGGAGGAATGATTTGCAGCAGGAATCCTAAAGAGAATTAGAAACAATTGGATGATAAAATATCACAAATTCGACAGTTTTATATGTTCAGCAAAGCAAACCTCTTTAAATGATATCCAGCTGGTTGAAATATTTCAAAGAAGCTCACGAATTCATCGTAGAGAGTCGTGAATTTCATTAACAGTACAAGACACGAATAAAGAGCAGTTTCCCTAAAATCACGAGAAGTACCATCGAATGTGTACACTCCTTGTACCCTATTGTACATAGCTAGTGTATGTAGGTATGTTGTTGGTGATCGCATGATTAATCAGCGAATATCCAGGGTTACAAAAAATCATTCTCGGATATATTAGCAAGTCACGTTACCCCGAAGGAGTTTAATGCATTTTGCCCCACGACGGACCCGCCAATGTAAACACCACTGAGATTTTAGGTTGTCTTTTACTTTGATGAAAATATACCCAATTTAATGTCGTACTACCTTGAACAATCTGTTTCATCTATTTCATCCATGAAAATTCTATCAATACTGACAGGCTTCAGTTCGCTCCTTTGGGGAAACGAAACATCAAAAGCATAAAGCAAATGTTTCAAGTTGTTTTCATCGAGTTTAAAGAATTACCCAGAGTTTTCATCCGTTCCAATTCTGAGAATTTCTACGTGCTTTGAAGTAGCATTGAAAGGTGGAAACACCTTGCCTGGGTTCGAGAAGAATTACATATTAACAAGTGCAGTGTTGTTCTTCAAAATTACGGAGGACACTCAAGGACGTAACAGGATACCCTTGTATTAGAATACAAACTTACCTCTATCACCAGTCTTCTCCGATGCCAAAAACAACACTCCAGTTAGGTAATTGATAACCTCCGGTACATAACGTTTGGATTTTCTAACGAACTGAAGAAGAACTGAGTCAATGGTCACGAACGCATAAAGAATACTTATTTAACAGCAATACAAGCAGCAAACCTCGTGGACTAATGTACACATAAATAACCCAATGAATACATCGCGTAGTGTGACGACTGAAATCTAAATTGACGAAAAAGAGGACGCGATGAAGTGCACTTTATCTTTGGTCTTTAATGAGCGAATTTTTACCGATAAAAGTCTCGTTTCCAGGGCCCGAGAACTAAAACTTTGCGAATTACCTGCGATAAGATTTGACCCATAAACAACATGACCGGAGTGCATATGACATGTCGGAAATCGGAGGTTGAGAACAAAGCGGAGACAATTCGTATTGTGACAACCTTAAGAGAAGACAATGAACACATGGTGACGTAATGATTTTTGATGAAAATGCAAAGCAACGAACCACGCACCGTTTTTAAATCCGGGACTTTCCGTTTGCGACCTTTCCAGGAAAGAGAGTAAAAAGAAAGATGGTTAATAGAAAACTCGCGAACATATGAAATGTCGACTTCCATCCTCACTCAGTTTATAAAAATTATCTCGCATCCCGACGAGCCTTGCTTGCATCGTCTTCGCTGCATGAAGCGGCATCTCTTGAGCAAGATGAAATAAATGGCTGGAAAGAATATAAACCTTGATACATGAATAAAACAATAGACGAAGAGAGAAAAAACCTTCTCGTGAACAATACATACCTAATTAAACCATCCACGGCTTGCAAACAAGGCGGATTTTCGGAGAGGAGATGGTCATCAATGTATTTTAACAACATGGTAAAGAAATCCTGTAGACATGGTGGAACCCAGTTAAAAGGCGATTATACATGTTGAGATGTACTCAAAACAGTCAAAAAGAACTGCTCGGGAACTGTCTAAAATTTGGATAATGATGACACCATTATCTCTATTTAACTATTTTTTTGCAAATGAGCAGTTCTTTTTGACTGCAAGTTTAGTTACAGGCCACGCGTGTACCTCCATTTTACACCTATTGCGAGGATCGAGTTTAGGATGGTTACATTTTCGTATTCTTTCGACGATCGTTAACATATCGTGGGTTGATCTGTGCGAACGTAAAATGAAGCAAATGAACGACGTTCTCGAGTGTAACAGACGATGGTCGTGAGAAGACGAAGTACGAATAAACTAGAAAGCCATTCTAACCTGTCTTCAACAAGTGTGTAGAATTGTTCAAAGCTTTCGGGCGCTATGGCAACATACAAAGAAATAAGATCATAAGAGAAAAAGGTAGCTACTATAAATAAAGGGATCACAATTCTAACGATGCAAGAACTTTCAAACTATCTCCACCGAGCTAGTTTATACTTTATATTCTAGTTTACTTTATATACTTTATATTACTTTATATTCCCATCCCCGTAAGCTGTTGTTTGGAAATTATAGTTTCAAAGTAAATGGTTTGAGCCAGGGATTATCTTTAGATGTTTGTAGATGTGGATCGTCCAGGTTGGTGGAGTTCCGAGAAAGACTTTTGACAAAGATTCGGACATTCTCATTGGTAGACATTGTCAAAGTCAACACTAACACCATCAGTTTTCAGGATTAATTACACTAACCTGGACGATCAACATCCACAAACACGTATTCGTTAGTTATGTTCACTTGTCCATGGCCGTTTTTGGTCAGCAGTGATTGATTTGTAGCCGTTGCATCAATTTGTAGCTAATTACAACTGTCATACGCACATATAAGGATATTTTGTATTTGCATGTTTCTTTACGCAGTGTGCTACGACAAATGAAGATGAAAGTTGGAAAAACATGTTATCCAAGAGAGAGGTTAGGGGGTATGAAAAAAGAACGAAGCATACTGTGAATTTTCTGACATATAGACTCACCAGCAAATGTGTAGGGAAGGTCTTCAGTGTTTGTGTTGCTCCTGGTTTTGGTAGACTTCAACTTCGACGCGTCTTTAGGAAGCATTTCGCCATCCGAGCTCTCTGTTGATTGATGACCATAAGGACTTAGATAACACTCACATACAAAACATCTAGGATTATTTGCTATCACTTGCCATGATCTGACTCAATATCAGAATGAGAGGAAATTTCCTCTTCATCTTCCTCATCTTCACCATCATCTTCACCATCATCTTCACCATCATCTTCACCATCATCTTCACCATCATCATCACCATCATCATCACCATCATCATCATTTTTACCATCATCATCATCATCATTATTATCTGCTTCTGTTTCATTCACATTATTTTCATCCTCCTCGACACCTGAAACATGTTACTCCATTAGCATTTCAATGGGATAAACTCAACCCAAGGACTCTGTCTTCACCATAACACATTTACCAGAAGAGAAATAATACCATACCATCACCATGATCATGATCATCCTGTGGTAGGACTATTCTCCCATCTCGATATGATAGTAGTGATCTGATATCGGTGTCTATGGAGTAGCTGTGAATGAAGTCAAAGCAAAATGATTTATAAAGTGCAAAGAGTGTAATTTCTTCATATGTGATCAGTCTTACCAATCAACAAGAGCATCAGCTGACATGCTACGTGGTTGGTGTTCCTCATCTTCAAACCCTTTCATTCTTTTGATTCGCTCAGACTGGAAAGATAATCAAATGAAGGTAGGCTCTATCAGGATGAGCCTTCTCGCAAATCCTTTAAATAAAAAAAGGCATGGAGTGCTGGCCAATGGCTATATAACTAAACCTCCAAGTTTTGCAGCCTTTCTTCCTCCATCTTTGCAATTTGCTCTTCGCTTTTCATTTTATCACTCGCCTGTAAATGGAATAGAATATTTTTAATTACCTACGACTTTACAAAGAATTGGAAGAGTTATTTTGACGACAAGTAAGGTGTTTCATGGGTAGTAAGGGTTCTTATATCTGACCTAAAATACAGACAAAAAATTAGGATGAAGATTGTCTCACCCGAGCTTTGACTTCAAAAGCCATCTCTCTAACAGTTACGTCATAGTCATCCGCTTGTTTCACCTTGTCACCATTAGCCTTTATGATAAAACAAAAGTGGTGAAAGTTAGTACAATGTAAAGGAAAATCATCAAGCCTCTTTGGGTGTGTTCTTAAGGACTCTGCTTTGATTTTTCATTACTCACTCGAAACTTTAGAAGATTTCGAATACTCTCGAGTCCCTCATCCAGAGACTGGCGTTTGGCCTCAGCTTCCTCACGTGCCACTTGCCTTTCGTGCTACATGATACATAATACATATCAAATTAACATTGTCAGAAAAAAAATACATGTAATATAAAAATGAAGCGAAGGATTTTTGGTAGCAACAGACCTTCTTAACTTTTGCATTGGCAATAATTTCATCCATTATTTCTTTTTTACTTCGAGGCTCGGTAGGATCCTGAAAATAATGTAAGATAATTATATGAGTCCAGTAATGTAATTGACATAAATACTGACATATCATCAGTGAATATGGATGTTATAAGATAAAAATGTGTATTCTCACTATAAATTTTAACATTAATTTATATTGTAAGCCAAAATATTGCACCTGTTCAGTTTTTCTTTCTAAGAAACCTCCAAAGTTATGCTCATTCTTGAAGCCTACATGCCATAGAAATAGTCAAAATCGAATGAGGGTAAAGAATTGGCATGAATTCAAAGTTAACACAGCATGTACCCTCTTCTCCACTTTCATCATCACTAACTATGGGACCATCAAAATGTTTTACGTCCTCAAGAGTCTGTCCAAAATGAGTGAGATCTTCATCTTCAAGATTAAACATACCAGTTTTCTCATGATGTTTCTGGGAAATAATAGATAGTGTGCACAATTACCAGTCATTACAAAATGCATAATGCAATTTCATGGAGATTTGCACAAACCTGCTTCTCTGCTGCAAAGCGTTTCAACATTTTCTCTTCCAAAGAAAGACTTTCGTCATATTCTCCAAATCTTCTGTCAATAAATATGTTTGCCTATGTAATATCAGGACAAAATTCTATCACTACAATGCACAATTCTCTTCATCCAAGCTTGCATCTAAGTGCTACTCAAATCTGTCCTGCAGTATATTCATTTGACATTTATTACAAAATATCTGAGATACCTTTTTCTGTTTCTTATATTCCAATAACAAACTTTTCTCTCGCTGAAAAATCCAAAACGAAACATTCACTTCAAAGCACACTTTTGTCAAATGCAACAAACTCAAACACTGACTTTCTTGATTCCTTTTGATCGTGAAACGCCAGGATTTCCTTTCTCGTGCTTCAACTTTCTCCCCAAAATATCATAGCGTAGCCTATTGACCCGAACTTCGAAAGGATTCTCCTTTGTTGATTTCATCTTTTTTCTTGTATCTCTTGCTTGTTTTTTGCTGCAGTTACTTTTCGAATTTCTCCCCATTTTGATGCTTTACCATTCACTCATTCAGATTTATTTATTCATTCACACGCATCCTTTCAGAGCTCACGTGCTCTGCGAGTACAACGCTCATCAAAATTCGTGAATGATTTCTCACAACTTTTTGAAATCAGTGACTGAGATTTACGCCGTACTCCACCCTACACCTCTAGACTTTGTATAATCATGGAGCAGTACAGTGAGATCTTCCCCGTTATCTTCTTTATAAATATCAAAATTCAAATATGACATTTACAATTTTGTGTCATTTGTATCCCCATCGGACTTCACTTTGCGTCATTTGCGTGAGACCATCCGATCGTAGCATGGGACCGAATTTGTTCCGTGCCTTCCCAGCCTTCCTCATTTTTTGAAGCTGTCAGTCACGAGGTCACGAGCTCTGCACGCTGTTGGGAAATATGTATTGTGACGTAAGTCAAAACAAGCATCACGTACCTTTTCGGACGAAAAATATCGTGGATATCCTATCGACTTTGTCATCGAAATCGAAGAAGTCGATGCGGCTTTTTAACGATCGGCTTCTTTTTAACGATCTGCTGAGCGAAGTATAATATAAAACCCTTGATTAATCAGAAAAATTTAATTCAATCATCGAAGCGCCATTTTACGACGAAGTGCAAAGTCTTGTTTGAGGAACGCCTATGTTGTCTGAGCCAGAGGTAACGTAAATTTTTAACCTTCAAAAGTATTTCGTTAATAATCTTTAAATAATTTTCACAATGTATGCTTTATAGCGCCATTCTCGGCGCCATTTGCTACTATTTCATCATTTCAGGAAGAAGCGTCACGAGTTACGATGAAATAATTTTTCATTTTCAAAATTTCAGTATTTACAAGTAGAGGTTCGGTATCCTCGCACTTACAGACATTTGAACAAGGGAAAATACACGGATTATGAAGTTTACATAGAGGTAGAAACGTTTTTTTTCTGATTCTATGTCGGTCCGTAAAATTCAAAGAATGCGCTGTAACCAACGCTGTTGTCTATCATTTGGCAAATATGCTCGTCATAAGAAATATAGTGAAATCTAGTGTGTAATAACCCCTGGGTTTCATATTTTTAGACCAACAGAATAGCATTTTCTCGACGAAGCTCTACAGTCCGAAGACGTTTTTCTGAATTTGTATGGCTGAGAAAACAACTAGCCAGCCTTGAAGTAAATGGTCTAGGAAAGTGAGTGAAACGAACGCCATTATATAATATTACATTGTTATTATTAATGCGTGGGAAGTTAGCGGGAAGACAAAGTTATCGACCGTAAACAAAATCCAAAGTCCAGCAGCAAAGATTCACTTTGGCGTTTAATGATTTTCCGGCCTTACATTTGCCTCGGCGATAAAAATCAATAATTCAATACACTTTGAGTTACATTCATTCTGTACGGCACTATTTTTATGAAATGAGAATTTAGCTTGAGTAAATTAGTTCGTTGATTTGAAATGATCATTCGTTGAATTTTGTTTGACAATGTCATGCATTCCATGTTGCCCAATTTTATTGGTTGTACTTGACAACTGATACCGGTTTCTGGTATTTGGGAAATGTCCTTGCTATAATTAGACTTGTGAATGTCTGTGGGTGAGTAGCTTGTACTAGTGACTAAACAGTAAGCTCAGAGCACGATGTTTGAAAGAAAATTGTCAAAGAAAGAAACAACATTTTTATTTTGTAGTATTTTGACAAAAATTATTTTATCTTTTTTGTTATATTATTTGAACTTTCTTTATTAGAAAATGATATGTGACCTTTGGACCTCACTCCAAGTGTTTTGATTAACCTATGAATTTCTTCTTTGTTTTTATTTAAACTGTGCGTATGGCAGGCTACCCAAAATGTCCACGAAATTAATGTGTCATATTACTTTGCATTTCACTATTGATTTGTGAGAGATAATACCTAGTTTTGAATTGATTGAGTAAAACATGAAATTTTATGAAAAGGCCACTTAATTTGTGGCCTTTTCAAAAGTTTTATTTTGGACAATTACATTTACTTCATGAGTTTGTTTAATGTCTTGTCTTATAGGGGCAGTGTCCCCGAACTTCCTCCCAAGAAAATGATTGGTCGATTTAATCCATCTCTTTTGTCATCACGACAAGAAGGGCTTCGACTTTTCCTCGAAAGGTAAATGAAATGAATTACTCTTGAAAACTGACTTAAAGCATATGTCTGTTCGTTATATTATAAGTAAATGTCTATTATAAACAAATGTTAACTGATTTGTTGAAATAAACGTCTGGGTGTCGATTTTTTTGGAATGTGTGGGAGAAGTGGAAATTATTTCCCTGCACTTGGTTTTTTTATGCTGTGCAATCCAGCCAAGGCAATTGTGATTGGTGTTTAATGGGGTACCCCCCCCATCCCATCCCCCCTTACAAAGTCATCCTGGATTCATATCTTAATAAACATTCTTGAATTTTCATAATAAATATTCACATGCATACGTAAATATTGTAAAACCATTGCAAATCCAGTATCAAGCATGTAAAATTTTTATAATTTGCTCTATAGCGTACTTAGTGTCAACAAGTTCCTGTCCTTCAGTGGTTTGCATTTGTTTTTGCAATCTCCCATGACTGTTGAGGAAATTGAGGATTTCCTTGGTGGAAAATACAAGAACAAAAGTGTCGAGGATGTCATGGAAGACTTTGGCTGTCCAACAAACACTGACAATCCTTTTAGAGTGTTTCTGAGAATGAACAATGCTGGTCTATTAATTAACAACACAGCAGGACGATCTTTACCATACAATCGTTTATCATACAATCGTTTACCTAGCATTGATGAACAGGAGGACAAAGTACCCGTTCAATCATCAGTGGATTCATCTGAAAACTCATCTGGAAGTTGTTAGAGTGTTTTATTTACCAAAAACCATATTTTAATGTACATTGTAAACTACACATAAATGATCTAACTGACAAATGGCTATTTGTGCAATTTTTCATCCAAGGTATGGGTTACCCTAATGGTCTATACAGAGATCATATGTTAAAATGATTGGGCAATTATAATTTAACTTTGAAAGGGCTGCCATTAGATCAATGTAGAATACAAATGTTGGTTCGCATTCATTTACACAATTCTTGGGCCTTGTATAGACCATTCTGCTTGATGTAATCAATGACTGGGTCAGGAACAACATATTTAATGCTTTCATTTCTTTTCAATGCACGTCTGTAATTACAGATCAATAAAATGTAACTTATGCATTTTGTTGTTTACACAACACAAAGCTTAATTACAAATGGCAAATAAACACAACTCATAGTAAAGCTTACAAATGACCAATGATCACACACCTCATGGCTTACAAATAACAAATCAACACATACCCTTAATTTACATACACAAATTGATGCAGAGGTCATAGCTTACAAATGACAACTTGACACATACTTTCCAGCTTACATACACAAATTAAAACATTGCTCATAAGCTTACAGTTGACTTCTTAAAGAACACGTCCCAGCTAATATATACTAATTAACACACAGCTTGTAACTTAGAGTTGACAAATAAACAAACCTGACTTTTGTTGAACTGATATCATTGGAAATCCATTCTTTTACAATCAATATGTTGTTCTAAACAATGTTGGACATTTGTGAACTATGGATTTTCTATTTAAACAAATAAACCAAATGTAGGATCCAAAGATAGGCATTAATACTACACTACCTTGTAACGGGTCAACAAATCAGATTCATAAATAAATCTTTCAGGATCTGAGCCATGTCTCGTTATCACAACCAGACCATAATCACAAATTATTGAAGTCATCTGGCTTAGGCAAAAATAAAATGAATTAGTCATTTTTTGGATTACATCCATTTTTTTGCAACTTACATGTTGTTCATTCCACAATCCAGGAACAGCAAATGATTCTAACAGATCTCCACCGCATAGTAACTTGACAGTGAAATCTTCATTTTTCATTTCACTTTCTACTTCCTCTTTTGTATGCTTTAAGACATTCAGCGTTTCCGTCCATAAGTCTTGTTTCACTTCCCAATCACTGATCCTAAAGCATATAGTATGAAATAAAAACGCTAGTGTTCAAGGTATTGAAACTGCTTTGCCACAATCGTCAATTGAGGGTTAAAATAGCAACTTACTGTACCCAATCTGATGTTCGCGTAGCTAACTTGGCCATTTGTACTCGATGATAGCCTGACACCAGTGTCTAAACACACAAAGTTGCTTTCCTCTAATTTGCAAGAATATTGATTTCGTTAGATTTTATAAATCATCACCTTGGTGGTCAGTTTTTTGTAGTCATCGTTTACAGGTGAGATGATCCCCTTGGTGACAGACAAAATTCCAGTTCTATGCAGTGCATCTCTTGCTAGTTCTGAAGTGAATGAGATAATGAACAATCTATAAAGATATCTGTTCTTCGAACAATTGATATTAATTGAAGTGAAATGTTTTACCAAACATTCGCAAATGCATATTTGTGATTGGGTTGAACGAACCACACGAAAGCAGAACTACGTTAGTCATCGTTCTAGGAGATGCCATAAACCGCATAAAGCGTGACGCATCGAATCAAAATATATCATTATATATATGTAAAATTTTATATAAAGTATATTTAAATGTATTTTTAGTTTAATGGATGACGTAATTGTATGACGTTCACATGACGTTGCTTAAATTAAGCTCTTAAATTAAGCTCTGCGCATTCACTATGGCGACAACCATGAGCCCGTGTGCATATGACCGCTGGTCGTGGAACTCCCGTGAGGGGAAGAAATAGGCATTTATGAGGGAGTAGATATGTCGACAATTTTTTTGCTTTCACTGCTTAACTGTGTGCAATCAGGCCGAAATCTATGAATGTATACAATTTGCGTCCCATTCTTCACTTCAGCATAATATTTTGGGGGAAAGGTAAGATTTTACTGCGCTAATTGTCGGTTGTAAAAAGAGTCCAATGAGGTTCATTGTTTTGAAGGTAATGCCTGTGTCATCGGGTTGTGAAAACATAGGTCTTGCTGCCTAAAAGGTGTGCATATTTCAAGCTAAGCTTGTCAAAAAATGTAAATACAGTTCATCGTGGCCTTCTTGTACATTTCATTATGGACTATGAAGCACTTAGTCAGCTTTCGTGTGGCGAATTGAGTTGAACGTATAAAATTTGTGCGGTTCATTGCTTGTAAATAATTCATGGTCAACCGCGCTTTGAGCCTAAATAACTCTTTGTTTTGGACTTAACTTTAACGTAATCCGAATATGTTTGATCGAATATCGCGAAGGTATAAAGAAATTAGAAAAGCTTTTATTTTCAAGAGGCTACAAACGCAATTGTTTTTTGGGGGGAATTTTTTTTTCGAATCCGACCGATTTTGTACCTAAAGTTTTCAATGTTGCGATTCGGGTCAACAGTCGATGGCTGGAAGGGTTGAAATTGCTTTTATTTGCTTTGAGGCATGCTGGTGTAGTGTATAGTTTGTTTGTCGATGAATTTTTTATCCATTAAACCCAGCTGAAAGGCCCGTAATCAATAAATCATCGTCATAATATGATACTCCTCTTACTCCATGACTGAGAAATTATTGTAATTTCAGGGGAAAAATATCGGACCAATGAATAGACGACTACCAACAGAAATGTCGAGCTCGAGAGAGTCGAAATCCGAGTTCATAGTCGGCAGTAAATATCGTCTGGTCCGAAAAATTGGCAGTGGATCCTTTGGAGATATTTATTTGGCAACAAACATTACGAACGCCGAGGTGTGTTGCTAATGACTAACCCGAATGGCGAATATTCGTTTCAATTGCAGTTTGTTATATTCTGTATACTGTAATACTTCATTCGTTGTTTTTTTTTATTATTGTTAAGAAAACAACTTAGGAAAGTCTTTCATCTCTATGAACTCGATTTCCTGTTCTCCCTTGCATAGATTAATACTCATGATTTTGTTTTTTATAGTTGCCGATTATAAATGTTTGCTAAAAGCCATATGATTGGTTTCAGTATGAGATGGGAGCTATTAAAGTCCCTTAAATACTTCATGCATTTCCAAAGCAGATGACACGAAGTTTTAAACTATGTACTTTTCAAAAACAATTACAACAGTTAATTGATCCAATTTGTTTGAATGACAAAAGAATGTCACTTGATTTTGCTCAGGAGAATAATTGTATTTGCAACTCTTAATAATAGCAGTTTTCTGTGTGCTTTGTAGGAAGTAGCAGTCAAATTAGAATCTTCCAAAGCTCGTCACCCACAGTTGCTTTATGAATCAAAGCTATATAAAATCCTGCAAGGTGGTGTTGGGATACCTCACATAAGGTGGCAATGTTCAACTTTATTCTCCCCTTTTTACTTCTTCGTGATAGACATTCACTATCATTGATTGTAGGTGGTATGGTCAGGAAAAGGACTACAATATTTTAGTGATGGATTTGTTGGGACCAAGTTTGGAAGATTTATTCAACTTTTGTTCAAGGCGTTTTACTATGAAGACTGTATTGATGCTAGCTGATCAGGTAAAATGTTCAGGAAAATCCTCAAGGTTCTCCTTTGATGTTTTAATGTGTAATTCAACATTTTTATGATGCAAATGTTTGGTGAGGAAAATCTTCAAGGCTCTCCTTAATAGTTTCATGTGTAATTAACTCAATGTTTTTATGTTGTAGATGATTGGTAGAATCGAATATGTTCACAATAAGAATTTCATACATCGCGACATAAAGCCAGATAACTTTCTTATGGGAATTGGTAAACATTGTAATAAAGTGAGCATCATCCGCAATTTAGGGAGAAAAACTTGTTATTTCCAATTATTTTCCATTTTCCTTACCAAGATTTTCACATCATTTTAGTTGTTTTTAATTGATTTTGGTCTTGCGAAGAAGTATCGTGACAGCCGAACAAAGCAGCATATTCCATATAGAGAAGACAAAAACCTTACTGGTACTGCAAGATATGCCAGCATTAATGCTCATCTTGGCATTGAACAATCGTTAGTATACCATTCACCGATTTTTACATTCTTGGACAATTTGTTGATATTTTGACTATCTTTAGAACATTGACAAGTTGTTTATATTTTACTGACCTGTCTTCACAAAATAAACAATTATTTGAATATAGCTTGTCAATCTTTACTGCATTGTTGGACAATTATTTGCCAACTAATGCCAAATCTTTATCATCTTTCTAAACCATCATTAGATCATAAGTATTCAATGAGTTGGCCATGATGTTTCACAATACATACTACTTCAAAAAGCTACATCCAGCTAAAAGCTTTAAAAATATATACAAAGAAGCAGATTCTGAAGATAATGTCATCTTTAAGTTCAACATTTAAATTACATATAGTAAGATATGTAAAATGAAGTGTAAATGTGTTTGAAGGCTTTGAAGCAAAGTCGAAAATTTACACTTAACTTTACCTCTCTTGTATTGATTCAGATTTTGAATTTCTTGATGGTTTAATTTCTTGGAATCTGTTTCTTTGTATAAAATCTCTCTTTTTGGTTTTTCTTTGATATTTTGAAATGTCTGTTGATGGACTGGGTTTTGCAAGCCTGTGAAAATAACAACAGTGCAAAAAAATAACAAAACTGCTTACAGCAACAAATTACAATTTTTTTAGGAGACGTGATGATATGGAGTCCTTGGGTTATGTCCTTATGTACTTCAATAGGACAAGTTTGCCTTGGCAAGGACTAAAGGTTTTTTTCTAACATTTGTGTTTTCAACATGTTCTCAAAGCAAGGGTCATCTGCCTTAACTTGTTTGTACGTCAACAGGCAGCGACAAAAAAACAAAAGTATGAAAAAATATCTGAGAAAAAGATGTCAACACCTGTGGAAGTCTTATGCAAAGTAAGAGTAGTGGTATTTTTACTATAAATTTTTTCTGAATGAAGATTTTGTTCACATTCAATTCATATTTTTTCAGGGTTTTCCAGCAGAGTTTGCTATGTATTTAAACTACTGTCGAGGTTTGCGTTTCGAAGAAGCACCAGACTACATGTATCTCAGACAATTATTTCGGATTCTCTTTCGTACATTGAACCATCAGTATGACTACGTGTTTGACTGGACATTATTAAAGCAAAAAGCTGCACAACAGGCGTCTACTTCCAGCACGGCAGCTGCCACGCCGGGAACTGGTGCCAAGAGACATGAACGAGAAGCTAAGACAAGAGGTTAGTGAAACATTTTTGCTTGATGCAGTTAGAAACAAGTTGTTCTTTTAAAATATAGTTTAATGATTGGCGTATCGAATGCATTCAGATTAATGGGGTGTTTTTCAATCATTTTATCGACGAAGACCCTTTACGCTTTTTGAAAATCGTATACACGCACTACGTAAGTTGGTAACCCTGGTGGTGAAAGACACGTATCACCTACGACAAGTGAATGAATGCATAAATTGAAAAATTACCGACTGCTTTTGTTCAAAAAACCGACAACCATCTATCTTTTAGGAAAGCCCCACTTTGAAAAATGGTCGGTTGGTTTGTAAAATTCGTTATTGATTTCAAAAATAGATGGTTGTCTGTGAGAAAGTTCGGGTGGTCACACCCCCGTGCTCCCTGCTCGATACGCCCCTTGCTCGACATCCCCCCCCCCCGCCGTGTGTAAAAAAAATTTCAAAGTCTGCTGATACACTTGTTCATGTTTCTTAAGGAGTTCATTTTTCCCTCTGATGTAAGAGGTCTGTGTATCTTTTTCGCGTTAGCGTCGTTTTCTCTTTGTCTAGGTCGATAAATTTGAGACACTATCAGCAATTTATACTAAGTAACGGAATATTTCGGTAGCACTTCTACATTTGGATTTATCTAAGCTTCGTTTCTCGTTGAGGAAATCGGACAAAGCAACTATTGTACATAACGATGAACGAGTTGAGTGTCTTTGACGTCGACCGACCGTCCACAATGCATCGCGTTTTATCTCTCTATCATTAAACACGTGCAATGATGCACGAGTAACAAATTTGAGAAATATTTTAGGTTAAGACGCTGTTTCTTTTATGCTGTAGCGCGCGATTTTTCATTCAACTTGTCATTATTTATGAAATATTTGAATTTCACGCACATATTCGTTATAGAAGAGAACGCAGCCTTTTGCTGTCATATGTGTTATTTGCAGTATCCTGACACCATGATGCCACTCCCCACCCTACTCTCTCACCCGTCCCCTGGTAGTATTTTGTTGCATGGGAATGTATTTCTCAGTATTATACTTTTGTTGTCCATTCATCAACAAACTTTCGTGAAGATGATAGTAAATTGTGGTGTATATTTTGCTATAGTAGTCTTTGTTCAACATTGAACATCCAAATAATTTATTTTGAATGTTAACTTTTGTAACAGAATATGAGCCATTAAATATTTCTCAAGAATTTTGTTATGCTATGTGTCTATTATAGCAATTAATTGGCTAGTGTAGTGGTAGCTAATGAAATTAAAATTGTGAGAAATTTTCCAAGTTTTACAGAAAAGGTGAAAATGTTGCCTTGATGTCTTTTATTTGTTCATTTGTGATTGGCAGTAATGGTGACCTTGGTGATCCACCATAGTACCCGAACATATCCATTGCTGCCTTGAGGCCTGCTATACCATGTCCAGCTGTGACCTATGAAAGAATTTTATGTAAGAACATGTAATCAAGATGACATGATGTCAGTGTTCATTTATCTTACAGCTGTATTTGGTGCAATAAGCTGATGTTGTAGTGTTTTTGCTTTCTCATGTTCTCTATTTTTGTGTAGGTCAACTAAATGACAAACTTCTCTTCCAAGCACATTAGCCAATGCACACACTCCCCCAACTGCCCCTAAACAAAGCAACAGTAGTTTTACAAGTCATTAATAATCCACATGATTTTGACAAATTGCACAAGTTACCTAAGGTGAGGGATGCATAAAGAAAAGACGCTGAACCAGCTAAAACCTGGAAGGGTCTTTTCATTGTACGATGAAGAACACTTCCAATTTTTGTGATCTATTCAATAATGAATACCTGGTAAATTTTATGAATTGATAAAATGGATTTAATTGCATACATTGCCCCCACTGTCTTTCAATCCAATAATGTTAGGATGCTCAGACAATTTAACAATTATTTCCTCATTAAGATCAATCCCAGTGTTGGTAGGAACACTGTATAGTATGACTGGGACTGGGGATGAGTCTGCAACCTGCAACACAAAAGCAAAATTGTATCCGATTAAAAAAAGATGAATATTAAATGAGAAAGACATTTGATAGAGCAGACCTTAGTGTAATGTAACTGCAATGCTTCTTTAGTCATTCCTGACTTGTAGAAACAAGGTGTTGACACAAGAACAGAGTCAACGCCAGCTAAAGCCATACATTTCACCATAGCAATGGTCTGGTTTGTTCCTTCAAGAAAGAACATATAAGCCAATCAGATGATTTGTTACTTTTCATAAAACTGGTCATGGTTTTCAAAATTGCATGTATCTAATAACTATGATCATTAGTTGCCTTCACAAGCTGCTCCTGCAATGATCAGTTTTTCTTTAGCTGCATATTCTTTTACTTTTTTCACCAGCTCTATTCTTTCATCTGGATCAAGGTATGCAAACTCACCATTTGAACCTTGCACAACATAACCTAATGGAGGGGGAAAGAACAAAACAAATGACAAGAATTTGTACCACTACCATGAATTTGCTTTTCTTGCATTATAACTTTGTGATATCGAGAATTTCATTGAAAAGTTCAATTATTTCTTTCAAGTTCTGATGATGTTAGTTGTTTTGCTATTGTCTCGCTATACTCTGATATACAGTGGCGTAGCCTGCCAGCAATAGCCTGTCATGCTATGTAAATTTTTCTCGGTTGGCTGACAAAATGAAAGTTTTTGAAAAAAGTGAACAATGCTAATAATCTGAAATTCACATAGAAGAATTAACCCAGTGAGGGTTATGTTAATTTTGTGTTCACTCCCTGTGAAAAGTAAAGATTTCTAAAGAAATGAATAATGATAACGTTCTAAAATTTACATATCAGGACTACTGCACGCATTCCCACTACATACTTAACACAGAGTTTGTTACATAGCGGCTGGAACTGACTTCTAAATTGTTACATTACTTTGGGCGTCATGTTGAGAAGTTTGTTTTGAAGTTGAAATGTTTAATCCAAGTTTATAAAACATTTCAAACAGTGTAACTATGAATAAACTACGGACGAATCTTGCGCCAAACATGTGCGATGTGTTTAACAAAACCAGTGTTTATAACGTTGTAAAGAAATCAGACTGCAAAAGATCTTCGCCACAACGTAACATAGAAGATTATATTGTGAAACCTTTGAAAGGTATTTCATTCCATCTCTCAAGGTTTTCTCGCAACTTGTCGTAATCGATTTGTTCTTCTTCGTTGAAAGGTGTTGTGATTGGGGGAAATATTCCACTTAAATCCATATTTTATGAAGGTATGTGTATAAAATGCATCTCTATCACGGCATTGTGTTGTGTACAGCCGGAAATTTGATACTTCTGACTGACATTGTTGACTAATAAATATGTCACTCAACGTTTACACCCTCCCCCTGGAACAGCAAACAAGTCAATAACACAGGGCATGTTCCTGCAAGATGGCCAAATTAAGTGAAGTCATAGAATCGTGCAGTAGAAATGTATTATTAAAAGACGTCAAGGCAATTAGGAACACATCGACTTTATCATTCTGCGTTGGTGAATTCACAATATTGTAAAAAATTGGCCTTATGCTAAACTAGGTGAGTACAGACTTTATCTCAATCTTGAAGTACAACTTCCTCGTGTTTGTCACAATGTGAAACATTTAAATGCCACGGATCTTTTCAATGCCCTTTCCCTCCCAAAACTATACACTAGGCAGTTGTAGTTGAAATTATTTGTTGCTGTCCTTTACGTTATCAAGCCACGTGGCATCACGTTTTCTCCCCAGGGGGATGAACTGTGTTGAGGGCATTCCAGACACAGTCTTGCATGGTCTTTTCAAGGATCCGTTTCTTTTTATTGCGATAAACCATTCGTTATTCTTGCTCGAGTCTTTCTTCGAACCACAACCCCGGGAATGATGCGTTGAGCTGTAGGTAATCCAACCATTTTCTTCGTGATTTTCATTAAAAAACGTGTTGTCGTTGAAGCTGAAATTTCGCTACAGAAATAGAATTTAACATATAGAATGTTAAAAGTAACTAGTTTGGTGAACAACGCCCCGATAATTTATGGTGTGTTATATGCGCATATAACACATTCAGTATAATGTTATGGTGGTTTTTGGGTGAGCCTTAAATAAATACGAGGTGTTTAATAAATTTGGGTGTTTTATCACTTTACTGTGTACAAATGTAAACAAACTAAGACTACATATTCGGTTTCTGAGCCTAATGGACGACCCACCATTATAGTGATGTTACAATGGTAATGCGGCGAGGGCGTCTATTAGAGATGGGGCGTTAATTAGAGAGAGGTGCCTAGTTAAAACTCACGTTTCAAAGAGGGGTTTTTTGCGTACGATGCGTTTATTGGATCATTTACAGTAACAGCGTTATCAGACCGGAATCTTTTCATGTAATTTAGAGACTTGACATTATATAGAATACTTGGGGGTAGAAATGGTTATTTTGAATTTCAAAGTAATACGTAACAATTTATCAACTTACTATCGACAGTAAACGGCCTCTGCTGTTAAGCGACAGATACCTCCCTGTTTGGACTCCTTTTAAGCGTCTTTGAACACCACCAAAGACTTGAATCTCGACAATTGCTTAAAATACGATCAATACATTACACTACGTCATGCAGTCGACGTATATGTTTCATAAGCATGCTTACTATATTTGGATGTGACGTTTTTCGTGCCGGCGATCCGTCCGTTATCGAGAATTTCCAGAAGAAATCCCGTTCTGCAATACAGCTGAGCTTTCATCTTTCCAGAAGGCGTGTGATTTTTGAAGTTAAGATGACGCGCCTGTCTTCTTGAGCTTTTATCACCCGATTGAATTCTTTCAACGTCTTCGAGGTAGCGCGATAAAATCTTCTTGCGCGGTGTTGCTGCCAAGCGAAAATCTCTCCCATGGCTTGCTGTCGGGAGCATCCATAATATTCCGCTGAAGAACAGGACAGCGAAGACTGTGATGGCCTTTGAAACGAAAACAAGATAGTTCATTTGGCTGGCGCAAACTGTTAACTGGGCAACCGATGGGGATCTTTCGTGAATTCAATGTTGATCCACAAAACGTAATCGGGGATCGAGCAATTGAAATCAAAATGGATTTTGTCGACAAATCTCATTAACGTTAAAACCATTAGCTCAATGCGATTTACTTGTGCGATAATGTTTTTGTAAACTGTTACGCCTTGACCTTCTCATACACGTAAAGATTTGTTTGCACAAAAACAATATGGTATTTTGCTGTTAACTAGATGGTAAAAAGCGAGTGAGGACATATAATCAATAATTTCGATAGAGCTGATTGTGTCAACGGTATTATTTTCTCTGCATCGCGTGCTTTAAGTAGACAACCCAAAAGCTGGGTGGTAATTTGTCTTACAATCAGACTAAGAAGAAAGGGAAATCTGTTTTTAAGATATTCCTGATCCATGTAGCCTAAAACATCATAGTTTCGTCAATAGTACATTCTTATATGTTGAATACGTGTAGTTAATACTTGTTATTTATTGCCCCAAGCCCATGTCGTGATGTCGTGATGTTAATGTTATTCTGATCCTTTGACAAAGTTGTTAATGCAGTGTGTTGATCCATATTATAAAGTTGGCCTAAGCTCAAAAATTTCAACTGTTAAATCCTCGGTTAAATCAACATTTTCAACAAATAAAACTCCATTTACACATAATCTGTGATTTATTAGTCAAGGCCTGAAAAGGGGAAAGTTCCCATGTTCCAATTAAAGTCAATGATTTGTCGCACAATTTAACTTAAAGAAAGAGGTAGTACTATTTTTCATCTCCAATTTTCCACTTTGGGAAGAAACTGGCGATTGTTTTGAAATAAGGCTGCATTCAAGCAAAAATGCGAACTCCTTTTATTAAAGTGTTTCGTGATGAAACGAGTTGACAAACTAAGTATGTTTGTTTAGAAAACGCGATTCTACATTCTGAATGTTTTGCTTACCTTGATTGCACACATGTTTTCGGATGTTCAATCGTGGCAGCAATGCTATCTTGTTGCTGTTTCTCAGGAAATGATCGTTTGTTGCTCGTAAGCTCAGACAGTGTGCCGTGCGGGCGCAGTAGGCTTGTTGCGAACTTGTTGCCTACTTACATTCATTTGTCGGAATGCCTTCTCTGTCAAGCTGCGCGAAAGTTCTCTAACTTATCTTCGCTCTCTCCATGCGTTTCCTTTAAATATGTCGGAAAGTTTGTACCAAAAATCATCGCCGCTCGCCGTTCCAGACTGGCTAGCCAGGATTTAATCCTTAACAAATTCTCAAGTGCTTAAAGCACACGTCGGCATACTCGGGTTAGAGCAAATTACTTAGATTGAGTGATTTAAAATATGCCTCTTTTAAGCCGACGTCGAAAATCGACTTGTCATTGTATTATTACACCCATTGACGTAAGATGCGTAGTTTTCTGAAAATCCATTCAAGTGTAATAAAGCATGTGACCATCGTGTCTTATTTGTGAGAATGCATGAAGCTGCAGTGATATTCTCTGTTGTGGATCATTTGGTGAAATTAGTTAAATATAGCGTATATTTCCTGATATTACACATATTTATATGTTTTACATCATTGCAGCTGTCAAGAATGTTGAAATAAACATGTTAATTGCCGAGCTAATAGAAACATGCCGCCCATTAGGAAATTTACGGTTGCATTCCTTTTGTGTCGTGGACCAGCTTTTTGATTAGAGACAGGAGAAGTTTTATACTTTGCGCGTAGAAAATGAAAAGGTATAGACACAAAGATCTTTCAGACAATCGGTGTCTCATCTGTCCCGTTCACGGACGTGTGTTTACTTTGGACCGATGTGTTCAACCGAATGAATAAAGTTGGTGTAACTTTCTCTATTCAGCAAAAATCTCCCATTTCCTTTACCGCACGCATTGTTTATGTATGTTCATTTCTCAGTCTTACCCGCAGGTAAAAACATGGGTGGAAATCGTTTAACACGTTGGCTCTTTGCCTGTATTAATGAGGTGGCTTTGTTTGATACCTCTTAAAAGTCTAGCTATTATATTATTTCACATTCCTTCGCATCATATATTCATCACTTCATCCAGCGCTGAAATTTTCGCACATCAGGTAGCACTTCGACAATTTACATTTATATACGTTTAATCAGTGACTTGTTTTTCTCATGTTTCATGCGTGAAAATTTGTAGAAGATTTCGTAATTTTCTTAGATCGTAAATGAAAAACATGTAACAGAAACTATTGATTTTATGATAGTATCAATATGACGAAAATTGCTTGCAATTCTAAAGGGCTGATTATGATATTTCTTATTTTCTTAGTGCTTGTAGAAAGTAGAATGTTCGTTCAACTAGGCAGAATAATTAAACCATGAAACATTCTTTGTTGATGATGTATCGTTACATTTGACGGAATTACTCCATCAATATCTTCTTAGTATGAAATTATAACACAGCATTCACACTCAGCGTGCTAAAGGCACAGAGTCTAATGAAATCCACCGCATTTTGAACTTTATTCTCTTTTTGCTGCATTGCTCAAATATTTTGTATTGTTTACTTTGCTGTTTTTCTGGTCATTATAATCCAGTTTTTCACTAATTGCCAATTTAGGGTTAATGGATATCATTCTAAGTGTAATGCCCACTGTAGATTAAAGATTAGTAGCTTAGTGCAACTGACGACAATATTGAAAATAAATTAAGTTTCTCAACAAGTGCGCCTACTTTTGGACTTGCTGAGCAGCGGGGAGTGAAAATGCCCTCTCTTCTTCAATAATATACATCCACAACAATGTACACAATGTGTTTTATTTTAACCTTTTCCAGAAGAAAAGGAAAACAGGGCTCTTAAGTCCGACGTGGATTACAAGCATTAAAAAAATGTGACATGATCGTGATAAGTGGTAATAAGTCATGACTGAAAGGGATTTATTTTTTAATAAAGATTGTTCATATTTTTCTTATTTCTAGCAACATATCACTTTCGAAAACAAATTATGGTAATTAATAGAAATTTTTTAATTCGGGCTTTTTGGAGTATGCGCTACAGGCTAGGATATAAAATAATCGACCAAGAGGCTAAAATTTCACGAGACTGCTCTGACTCTCCACCATAAATCCGGTGCAGAAATCTTTTCATTCATTACCAGCGATCTTGCATACGCACGAGTGATATCTTTGTGGTAATTTGCGAATATTGGAAATCAGAGTTCTTCGTTCATCTTTAACCGTAAGCCATAATGTCAGGCTGCGATGACGGTGAAGCTATTTCTGTAATTTTCTTATTCCTCAATGTCTAGACGCATCAGCAAGGTGCGAAGTTGCTTCAACGACATTCAGCATTTGGTTGAACATTAGGAAGGGATTCCACCCACTCTCCTGCCGAAATTCTTTCTTAAAGTTTTGATCGCAGCATGCTGAGCCAGACAACAAAATTTTCATGGAATTTGTACATCAAAATAAAGGAACGAAATGATGTCCACGAAATTTCTAATCTAAAATCTATCACTCTGGAATAGAATTATGCAATGGAATGATAACGAAATGTGAAACTGAAGAGATTAGACTTTATTTGATATGTAGTTTAACGTGCTCTCGCTTCAAGATCTCCCACTTATCGACTTGATAATTACTCCACAGAATTTTCTTAATAAAATAATATTCACACTGTGCCCCGCATCCTGACAACTATATATAGTCCAGTGCTTCTCTCTTGTACTCAGTGTGCATGCTGGTATTTACTGGTATTCGGTCACATCATGGGAAACGTGATGTATTTGCCTGTAGCATATCCTTGAGGGTCTGTGCAGGCTGGTACCTCCCGCGTAGTGTTGCCATATGTCTTACCAAAGCGGTAACGAGCAGCTAACAAAGAAAAACAAATCAACGAAAATTTATACTTGAGAATTGTGTTAGCTCTTACAGCGTTCCTACTTATATTGTTGACATAGATACTGATGGTAAGAAATGGATGAAATTGTGCTGCCATCATAATTCGTAAGCCATGTCTTACTTGGTATGTATCCAGTGTATTTTGGTAGCATTCCTGCATTATTGTATAGTACATGTACACTGGGTGCATCACCGGATGAAAAGGGTCTTTTAGAAGTCGTCAGATCTGGTCTACAGTCGAAAAGAAACTTCCAGTTCAACTAACAAATGGATTAATTAATTTTACCAAATTACACAGGCTTAGTTGCTATAGCAATCTTACGTCACGAGTACAACTCTCTTGGTCAATAGATGTTGATTTCTTAATCTGGATTGAACTGATTCTTGCAGTCCTTCTTTGGTCCACTTATGATACCGTTGACCCAAAGCGAACCGTTCAAAGTTTGGGATGAATCCTGTATAGCCAGAGACAGGTGATTCCATGAAAGATTTCCTATCAGCTAAAACGTAAAGCGCCATTAGAATTTCATCGAAGAATGTAGATAGTCTCGTCTGTACTCACTGACTGTGTAGTTTTTACTGTAGGCCACGTTAATTTCAGGATACGTAGCAGGCTTGCAATAATCTTCGCGTTCTCTCAGACTTTGCTTGTGAATAGCGGTGCGAGAAAGACTCCTTTGTTCTGAACGCTTTCTCTCCACATTCTCTAGAAATTTCTTCAAAGCTGTTTCAGTACTTTCTTTGTATGTTGAACCATATATGAAACCGGGTGTGTGGATTGGTACATAACCTGGAAAAAATGAGTTGGTGTGTTGTTTGACGACACCCAACAACAATAAAACTCGGGAAACTAGTCGTCGTTTTTGTCGTCGTTTTGCATCGGGTACTGCCCAAACTAACAGACGATAGTCTCCAAATCTAGTTACCATGGTAACATTACATTCTGTAAGCAGTTTTCATCTCAGTAAGCTTTTTTTACTAAAGTTAAATTTCATTAATCGTAATTGGCCAAATTCTATATTTTGTAGAACAATTGTAATCTTTTCACACCGTTACATTAGGAATCGGGTGTAACTTACCATCAAATACAAATTCTGATTCAAACAACTGAAACTACCTCACGTTTCCAACTCACGGTCTAATCACCTAGCACCTATGCCATCAAAAATTGCTTTGTAACTACTGTTCAGTCATTTTTTTAACTTTTAAGTTCAATTGGAAACACCAAACGCAATTCCTAACACCCTGCTTGCTAGGTCTGCATGGAATTTGAAAGATTAAAATTATCTAGACTCGTGCACTTGTAGGTTAAATATTTTATACCTGTATAACCCGGCAACATGCTAGCTGTCAGCTTGTTATCTCCTGTAGCCAGAGGGAGAGGTGTTGATGTTGGGTTAAGGGCATTGTTTGGATTTAATTTTTCGTTTTTTGTATAAAGCTATGAAAAAATTAACGTGTACTTAGTTGTACTATAGTCTAGGTCCCACAACGTTAAAAATCATCAAAACTTACTTTTGTTAATCTGTCTGTTTCGGAACCGTATGTACGACCACACTTGAACCTCAGTCTTGGACAGTATCCAGTATAACTGGTATATTGAAGTAAACGAGTGTTTAAAGCATGGCAGTAACTATTCGATGATGAAAAAGTCTAACAAGATTTTTTCACTGTGTAACTATACAATGCTGTGTTGCAGAGGACATAGAAGAAAAACTTCACTTGAGTAGTTATGGACAACATAAGATCGCCATGGGCACTTAATGGTGCTGAAGAATTTTTCAACAATATACTTATTATGTGTTTGTAGATTTGGATTGTTGACGATAGTGCGATCCTAAGAAGGACTGTTGCTGTTAGTGTTGATCTATCACATCTACAAACATGTTACGTTCTCCAAAGTTCAATCCACTAACTTTAGTAATTATAACGTTGTGGCTCTCTGTATTAGCATAATATTTTCTACTCACCCTGGCAAGTTGCTTGATTTATTTGGCCTTAACGTCTCCTCGAATCCCATGGCTATTTATACACACAAAGAAAGAGATGTTGAGAAAAGAACATACTACCCACTTTCTGTTACCACAACAACAGACGCCTCCTCACTAAAAAATTGCATACATCGCTGGAGTCTTATTGTACTGTATTGTAAGAACGGATGATTTAAGTCTTTCGTATCCACGATAAACCAAATGTAAACACATCTAACATCGTTGTGCGTTTTTCGATTAACGATAAATGAAAAGCAATTGTTATTGCTTGTTTTTGTCTTTGCATGCAGTGAAACTTTAATACGGAAAAAAATATTTGTACGATTGATATCTTTTAGTTTGGTGAAGGATTTCACTGACTTTTTTCCATAAGTATCTATCATATTCTCATCAAGTCCGGTAGTTAGTGGGTCTTAATGACGTGTAATTTGAAAATTATTATATTAATTACTTGACAGGTATGACAAAGGAATTCAACAAATTAAAGTATTTTACATCCTTTCACTTGACGATTTTATTTAACTATTTACTTGCGACAAACCAAATTATGTTTTATCTAAAAAAATATGAATATGTTCTGCGCTATAAGTATGATTGTTCATCTATGTAGAATGAGAATTTGTCCGAGGCTGTTGCATTGTCATTTTCTTGGTAAATATTTCTCAACTCTGTTTTTTCCTTTAATAACCTCCCCTATAAAAATGAATGATCTAAAGACTTCGAGCATTTACGAAATATTATTGCTATTTGTTTCTGAAAGTTACAACTATGTTCACAGTTCACACTGCTTTTAACTAGGGTTTCTCAATTTCAGTTTTTTCGTCAAGAGCCGTGAGGTTTACGCACATATTTCATGTTGACCGTCATGGTAATTTTTCCTGCAAAGTTAGCTATTGGGGTGGGATTAGTCACCTCTCCTATACCCCATAAAAAGAAAAAAAATTAATAAGAAATTAAAAAGAAATTAATTTAATGAGAAAAACAAACACCCTTGTTTGTGAAACTAGTTTTGACACCAAGAAAAAAGTTTTGGAAAAGGTGAATTAAAAAAACATGCATTTTCATTTTGAAAATCAACAATGATGAAGGTGCTACGGTTCTATTTGAAGGTTGATGCTCAATTGAATATTTGAACATATTTTAACCATAGCTGATTAATTCCAACTAGTGTGCATTGCTTCTTTCTCGACAAGAAACATTCCCAGCGTGCAGTTTGACACAAAGGTTGATTTTGAAAGTGTTTAAACGTGTATGATATGAAGACACGATTCAACTAAGCACTACATACCAGAAGATAGATTTCGTCCACGATTGATTTCATTAAACACGGTAGTTGACTCAAATTTCTTTTAACTTAGTTTATAATGATGACAAAGTACTTGAAGTAAGGTAGAAATCAGCATCTGTACGTATCACTTCTACACTTATAGTTTCTCTTTGCCTTTGTCGAGATGAATGTTTCCTTTGAGCCAGGATGAGCATTTTCCGTGGATTACTTGTGCACAATGCAGAAGAAAACATTTTATACAAAACCGAATTATATACCGGCGCGTTTCAGTCCAGGCTTGTTTCGTTACACTCAATTGCTTTATAAACTAAACGGTGATTGTAGCAGGTTTTTTAGGTCAGACAATCATGTATTTGTCAAACCTAAGCACTGAGTACCTTATTTGTGTATTGATAAAACAAAATTGATGTCATGCACAATACCCCAACACGTTTGCATCAGTCTCAATTTTTTTAAACTTTTCACATCGTACTTTTAGCAGATTTTTTAGGCAGACATCACATATTTTTCAAACCTATAAACTCTCTTTATTTTATGAATATAGAATAGACAGCACTAATTTTTGTATCGTGAAACGATATGGAATTACTTAACATCTTTCTCAAAAGTCTTGGAAAAGTCTCAAACGGAAAACAAAATAAAGGAAAAAGAATTATTCAAGCTATTTACAGATCATGTTATAAACCTAATTTTCCTACATTAGCATTACTCTTTTCTTTGACTTGTCTGCATTGATGTTCACGCTTTGTTTCCCATGTCTATTTTTTCTTCATGTACATGAAGAAAAAATAGACATTGGAAACAAAACAGATGTACATGTACTTTTCAACCTTGCTCCAAGTGTTTAGTACTCTTTATAAAGCAACTAAATAACGGAAAATGCTGCCCTTGAAAGAACTGAAAAGTGAAGAAGCAGTGAAACAAATTCATGTACTGTCTTTTCTTCTTTTCTTGATCTGATGATCCATTATTGTACCCTTCCTTTGTATCATTCTTTTTACTTGTCTTCATTCGTATTCCATTTTTCCCCTCTTTACGTCAAGTTTTAGTTTTTTCGAATCCGTCTTCTAAATAGCAAAAAGTGGTGAAGTAAACAAACAAATAGTCACCCTGCATTTACAAGATGTGCGTAATGAAACGTTAATTTGCCGTTTCTTTGTATCTTCGTTCTCTTTTTCTTGTTTTCGTTTGCCTTTAAACGTTGCTTCCAACGCCTTTTCTTCTGTTTGGCTTTTTTTTAGTTTCTCTGACTGTTTCCACTCACTTTCAATAACTAATCAACCGAACAAATGAAGATGCTGTCCTTGCAATATCTCCTGAGCAACTGAACAAATGAAGATGCTGTGCTTGCAATATCTGCTGAGCAACTGAACAAATGTGAATGCTGTGAGTGCAATATCTTCTGAGCAACCGAACAAATGAGAATGCTGTGAGTGCAATATCTCCTGAGCAACTGAACAAATGAGAATGCTGTGAGTGCAATATCTCCTGAGCAACCGAGCAAATGAGAATGCTGTGAGTGCAATATCTTCTGAGCAACCGAACAAATGAGAATGCTGTGAGTGCAATATCTCCTGAGCAACTGAACAAATGAAGATGCTGTGCTTGCAATATCTGCTGAGCAACTGAACAAATTAGAATGCTGTGAGTGCAATATCTTCTGAGCAACCGAACAAATGAGAATGCTGTGAGTGCAATATCTTCTGAGCAACCGAACAAATGAGAATGCTGTGAGTGCAATATCTCCTGAGCAACTGAACAAATGAAGATGCTGTGCTTGCAATATCTGCTGAGCAACTGAACAAATTAGAATGCTGTGAGTGCAATATCTTCTGAGCAACCGAACAAATGAGAATGCTGTGAGTGCAATATCTCCTGAGCAACTGAACAAATGAAGATGCTGTGCTTGCAATATCTTCTGAGCAACCGAACAAATGAGAATGCTGTGAGTGCAATATCTCCTGAGCAACTGAACAAATGAAGATGCTGTGCTTGCAATATCTGCTGAGCAACTGAACAAATTAGAATGCTGTGAGTGCAATATCTTCTGAGCAACCGAACAAATGAGAATGCTGTGAGTGCAATATCTGCTGAGCATGCAGGCTTCAAAGATGGCGTCCAAGTTAGCCTTCCAGTTGTTGTAGAGTTCATTGAGTAAACATGAATTACTATATAATATGTACCAGTATGTACCTTTTTAATCCTTTATGTTAGTTGTGGGTAAAGAAATACCCCACAAGAATACGAATGTTTGTTTAACAATTATACAAACACTAATCATCCACAACAAACGTTGATCAAATGGAAAAACTTTCATCTTTCTTTTACATTTTACGTTGATTTACATCGTACAGTACTTTTATTTATAATAAAAAATTTCAACATGAAACGTCAGTGATATTAGATGCGAACTGGAAGGCAAGTGCAGACCAAACAAAATCGTCTAGGAAAAGCTTTTCACTAAAACTGCACTGTATTTTCTCATAGTATGGATAACTGCTCGAACCTAAATTCGCTTTGCAATTTGCCCTGCCATTCCCTGCCAACTCAATCTTTGCTGTGCTGATACCTCATTTGGGGATTAGTCATCCCTCCCAGCCCAATTTAAATTTCGCTCCTGGACAGTGAACCGTTGCCGCTGTCATTAGCTAATTTTACCTTGCGGGCACGGGCATGATTTCAAAAGTATGGCTGATATGGTGGAAAACGAAACTTACTTGGCTAAAAACCATGGAAAGTAACGACAGAACAACAATTATCAACGACGGTAAACTTCAGAAAATATTTCTTCTCTTTTCTTTTTTACTGAGAAAAACAACACAGACTGTGCTTCAAATTTAATACTTTGTATGTTACTTCACAGCCTAAATCAGGGGTGGGCAACATACGGCCCGCGGGCCGGGTCCGGCGCCTGAAGGGATTTTGACTGGCTCGCCGACTGTATCCGACCATTGAATATTGAATATTATTCATGTAATAATCCGGCCCACCAATAACTTCATTTTCCTAAATCTGGCCTGCCAACTGGAGAAATTGCCCACTCCTGGCCTAAATCAACGTATCAAAATGAAAATATGTATATTTTAATATTTCAGTCGAACTCACGCACGAAGGGGGACATTGCTGTGGCCGTAAGGCATGTACTCTGACTAAAATATGTGGATCTTTCATCATCGGTTGTACAGCTTTGGTTATATTGTTGATAGTTCGACCTCGACAACAGATAAACCCTGAGGTACCAATAGTTTTTGCCCATCTGTAAATGTTGATCACGAATGAAATACAACTTGGCAATTTCTACTTTACAGTATGGTGTCGTGTTTGATGCAGGATCTTCTCACACAACCGTTTATTTGTATCGGTGGCCTGGGAATGAGCGGTTAGGGGGAACAGCTGTACCTGTTGATGAGATTTATAGTTCTTCTCATCAACCTGGTAGGTGTGTATGATTCTATATGGATATGTGGTGATGGTGCAGGGAGGGGGCAGAATTTTCCCAGTGATATTCACTCTTAGCTACCCTTAATAGAGATGCAGAATTTGCTAAGTTCAAGAACCACTTTCATGCTTTAAAACTTAGATGGATATAGAGCAGGGGTGCCAAAATTTTAACATACCAAGCAACTGAGCAAAAGCAATTGTTATTGGTGTTTAATAGAGAATACTTCCAATAATCTCTCCATCATAATAGAAAGGTAAAAGAGAGGAAAGCGAATTCCTTTAATATATATTAAAGCCCCGCAGATTGTATTTTATGGCTCTTTTGAAAGCACCTCTGCTGGGCTTTAATATTTATCATAAGTAACAGAATTTATCAAAAAAAGGCTGACATGTTTAGGCAACAAGTAGCCACAGAAGTCAAATCAAAACTAGGGCAAACAAAACCATCGTGAATGCATCCCTGCCCTAAAAAACATTATGGCTTTTCATGACATAAATTTTCTGTTACATGTTTGTAGACCAAATCATTTCAAAGTATTTCAAGTAGTTCAAACCATTTACTTTATATATTTTCTGTGTTGTTTATCTTTATAATGTTGTTTACCTTATAAGCTCATGTTGTATAACCTCATGTTGTTTACCTTATAACTGCATACTAACCATTTGATGTGAATATTTATGGTCCTCTTTAGGTATATCATCATTTGTGAACAACCCTGAGTTGGCCGGTAACTCCATTGCAAATCTCATCAAAAAAGTTTCAAAAAATGTGCCAGCCAACAAGAGATCATCCACTCCTATCTATGTTGGAGCTACAGCGGGCATGAGATTAGTCAAGTATGTTGAAGTTTTTGTTGTGAAAATTGCAAATATTATATGGTGAATGGCAAAAATAATAACTTAATAACTCTTAAAAGAAATGTTTGAAATCAGAGCACTAACCCAATAGTTTTAAAAAATAGTTCTATTGTGTTAGTGTTCTGGTTTCAAACAGTAAATTTCTTGTCTTGTAATTTTTTGTAGGGAAGTGAAGCCGGATGTTGCATACAAGATTATGTTGTCAATCAGTCATGCTTTAGACAACTCAGGATTTCTAATTCCCCCAAACAGTTCAAAAATCATCTCTGGTGTAGAGGAAGGATCATGGGGATGGATAACTACCAATTACTTGATGAACATTCTGCAAAAACCAAGCGAGGTTATCTTCTCATTTGTATAATGTCATTTTTTAGTGCCAGTAAAACAAAAATTTTGCTTATTTGAATTATATTTTCACTGTAGAAAGCTCTAAAAATGACAATTTATTCGTATTTCTTCTTATTGTCGAGATATTGAAGTTTTTGTAATGTTCAACTTCATAGTTGCTGATGACATATTGCATAATGAGAAATGGAATATAATCAGGAATGTTTGCTGATATGTTACTTCAACCGGACCGAGTTCCATTCATTGTGAAATGTTAATGGCATAAAATCATCCATAAATATTTCATGCAAAAGTTACCAGAAGAATATTTATTAGTTTGAAGGATTCATCATGCAATATGACATCACTTGTTGTGAAAATCGGACATAACAAGAGTTTTAATGTCTCGATGTTAAAAAGAAATATGAATGAACTGTTTTAGAATGTCCACTTTCTCTTCAATGAAAATACAATTACAATGGAAAATTTTTCCTTTTACTGGCCCTTTAAAGTTGCCAATGCATGAAGTACTAAACATTTAGTTGTTTTTTATCTGATGAACTAGGTTACCAAAATGAAGGAATTTTAGATAAAAGTAATGTATAGATGTTATGTTACCTCCCACTTGTGACATTGGCCTAGCCAGCACCACATGTTTGGTCACGTGACGTAAATTTCAGATTATCGACATAGCAATAGAACCGTGACAACTGGAACTGAGCTAGCGGAGTTTTAAGTGGGAGAGGGTGTTGTTAAATTTTGTTTATCAGATCAATATGAAGGGATTAACAGTTGTGCTGTTCGTTTGCAACATTAAGCAAAAAACAAATGAATATACAGGTATTTGAAAAGGTACATACTTTAGTATAACACAAGACATACTTTATGTATATTGTTGCCAATTAAGTGCAAGGCGGGAAACGGATTCTCAATATAAATATTAGAGCCGAACAAATAATTTTGAACATAGTCATAAACAATTTGGTGTTATGAAGTTTAATAAAATAGTAACGTTTCGTCTTTACTCAAGACATCTTCAGACTAATAAGGAAGTTTACAAGAATTATAGATATATAGAGAGTTTATTTAAAATCGTGGCCAGAGATTTGCCAGGCGGAAAGCGAATTTTCAATATGAACATAATAGCCCAACATAAGACTTTTAAAAAAGCCATCACAATAATAAAATAGAGAAGGATTTATTAATAACGTTTCGTCTTTAAGTTAAGACATCTTCAGATTATTTGAGTTAATTTATATACACGAGGTTTTAAATACAAGTATATATTACGGGGTGTTAAATTACATGTGAGGTGAGTAGGAAGCTTAGATGACGGAATTAAGTGAGAATGGCAGTATATTAAAGAATGTGAAGGGGGATTGAGTTGCCTTGGGTGTTAAGAGAGGGTTTAAGTTTGGATATAAGAAGGCTTTCATGAATCATAAGGTCATAATTGGAGGAGGAGGAAGAGAGAATTGAGAAATCATTAAAATCGGCAGAGTGAGATGTATTTTTTATATGAGAAAGAACTGCAGATGGTGGTGGACATAAGGAAGGCGTCCCTGTTAAGGGAGAGATTCCCAAGTGTTCTGATATTCTGGTGTGTAAATGACGCGTGGTTTGACCCACATACGATGCAGAGCAGCATCGACACTTAAATGAGTATACAACAAGAAATACAGGAAATGTGTATTGTCATTGTGAATTTGTGTGAAGTGAAATATTTTTATTTTTAGTTGTGATGTGTGATTTAGGTGTGATGTTTTTAGTTGTAATGTGTGGGTGTCAATTGTGTATTGTCATTGTGAATTGGTGTGAAGTGTAATGTTTTTAGTTGATCGTTTGTTTGTATTGTGAATAAGTCGTTTGTAAGGTGCCGGTAATTGCTGTGATCTGTTCAGGGGGGGTCACCCACACATTACAACTAAAAACATCACACCTAAATCACACATCACAACTAAAAATAAAAATATTTCACTTCACACTAATTCACAATGACAAAACACATTTCCTGTACACACAATACAATGACGTAAGAACCAGATAACAAATACGGCTAACCTGACGTTTACTCCCAATTTGACTCTGAAGATGACTACCGCTAACAATAAAAACAGTCCTTCTCAGGACTATACCAACCTGGACGATCTACATTTACAAACATGTAAGCTTTTGAAACTTAGCACCACAAGAAAAGAAAGTTCTCTATGAGATAAATTGTTATGAATTTTTTATGAACGAATCCCAGATCATCGAACACTGCGCTACTTATGTGATTGGTTAACTGCCATGTAAAGAACGGGATCACTTGTGCTTTAAAAATGGAAGCATCGTCTCTTAAATTTTAATTTCCAAACTCGAAATCAGCATTAAAAAGTAACGTCATCGGTTTCTCTCACCATTCAGCAACATTATTTGTTGGTGACCGTCATTGTGTAGAGCAATTGAGATTGCCCAGATCATCGTTTCATAACAGAGCAATCGCAATTGGGCTATGAAAGTTTGGTTGGGATTCATTTTGTAGCACTTACAATAATTTATCTGTGGGAGGGGGACTTACTTTGTGCGTGGTGTTAATGCTGCATGTATAATTAATTAATTTCTTGTTGTTCAAATCGAATTTACATCTTGACTAATCAAATTTCTTATCCTTAGCGTTTTGAGATTAATGTACGATTCATCCAGGAAAGTTTGTCACTGGCGTAGCCAACTCGCATGTGTCTCGTGTGATGTAAACTTCAGATCATTAACGTTATTTATTTTTTTAGAAATCTACATTCCTATTTGCATGGCATGATCAAACTTGCAGGCAGGGGTCTTGGACCTTGAAAGTTGCCTAAAATGCAATCCAGTGCTTGCAGTCTCCTGCTTAAACCTGCTTGCACCTACAGTGTTCTTAATGTTTCTCCAGGATGTGGCTACAAAAGTTTTGCTGCTTTGGATATGGGAGGAGCTTCGACAGAGATAACGTTCATGTCTCCAACATCTGGTAAACGCACTCTCGATTTTCGTCTTTATGGCAAAAACTATACGATTTACACTAGATCATATTTATGTTATGGTCTAAATGAAGTATACAGAAGATATTTGGCTCAGCTTGCCAAGGTATGGAAGCGCCACGCCATGAAGCATGTTTTCTACAAGACTTGGTTTTATAAGCACGTCGCACAAGATTTTAAACTTGTTTCCGTATTTCTCACGACATTTGCATTCGTGTTCAAATATCTTTCTTCCATTAGAGTGCAAACTATTCTTCTAAAATATCCAATCCTTGCGCACGTCGCGGAAGCAATTTTAACCAATCAGGAAAATACATTTGGAAGAAGCCCTGTAGTTGCGAGCCATCAAGGAAACCTGGTCGCGATAACTTCACCTTCTTTGGTTCAAACAACCGGACAGAGTGCAATAAAAACCTGATTAAACTTTTTCGTTTTTCTTCGACGTGTGATGGCGCCAAGGATTTCACGAATCATAGCCAACCGAAGCTGAAAGGCAGTTTCATCGTAAGGCATATCTATATTCGTATCTATTCTGCAAACTTTAGCTGACACTTTTCTTTCTGATGCAGGCTTTTTCAGGCTATGCTTTCGTCCGAGCGGGGCTCAATCTATCCGTTACACCAACCATGAAGAAATACAAGTCTGCTTACTTGTCATTTTGTGACAAGCGTGGCTCCCAAATTCACGAACAACCACGTGTTTCAAGTCGCAGGACTCCTTTGTGTTTTGCTGGACACTACATATATGTCTTGTTAACCCATGGTTATGGCTTTAGCAGTGAAACCTGGGATATCGCATTTGAAGATACAGTAAGTGTGGCTATGTGTAACAGTCACATACGTAGCCAGCCCACAAGTTTGGTCGTGGCAATGTAGATATTTCGATTTTCAATCAAAGTAAAAACAAATTTCGAAAGAAGTAAATAATGCTGATGAACTTAAATTTACAAAGCACGACCTAACTTGCGGGCTGGCTAAGATCTCGCCGCGCGTATTTGTATTTTTCCGCGAAGGATTCGTCACAACATCTGAAATCTTATTTTTAGGTGGGTAAAAAGCATCTTGGTTGGTCGCTTGGTTTCATGATTAATGCCACCAATCTCATACCATTAAACCAAGCCAGGCGTTTGAGGATCAAAGACACATTTCTCATACCTGCGCTTGTCGTTGCTGGCATTTTTGTTCTCGTTTCCTTCATATTGGCCGTGAGGTTTTTCGTCAAGATTCGTTCAAAATCTGCATATTATCCAATCTAATAAAAAAATAAAAAATATGTTTTTTTAAATTTTTGAAGCTTTAATTAGACCATTAAATTTTTGATGAAATAGTGCTTGTTGTCTGCCTACCGTTGTGGGTTGATTTTTGCAGTTCAAGAAGTTTAGTATCTATCTTTTTGTGCGTTGTTTATAGTACAGTTCTCTATATTTGCTTGGTAGAACATAATTTTTATAAATAAACCCATCTCCTGTAGTCTTTTTTGACCAAAATGTTTTTTGGTCAATTTTTCTGTTAAATGATTCCCAGGGCTCTGCTGCGAAGTTTCTAAACTTGTGTAGAAAATTGGAAACGAGAAAGAGCCAATCACAGTGCAAGAAAATTTTGCTGGTATTTTTTCCAAGATGGCCGTCTGTGCACAATTTTCTATTTCTTCAAAACACAATTTTTCGTCTTTCAACGAAAAATAACATGAATTTTTGATGCAGTCGAAATAAACCCGGTAAGCAGAATTTGTTTTTTATAAATCGAAGTTTGGGAACATGACCTGAACTTTATTAAAGCATTCAGAACTTTCGGCTGAATTCACTTTGTGCTTGTGTTATTTAGCTGAAAAATTCGCAAAAAACATTTTCATGCAGTCGTCCAAGGAACAGATAAAATTCGATGAGCAAAGTACGATAATTAATGTTGCATTTAACGAGGATACCTCCATGCCTGCTCCACATCCAGGTTCACAAAACGATACTGCTACACAAGACTGGCGTGTGCCATTTTGTCAAACGCTGCCTCTTGCTGAACAAACTTTAATTCAAAACATCAACACGGGAAATTTATGTACCATGGAAACCACCAACCGACTTCGACATCTATCATTCCCATCCCAGCATGAACCGCAGTACTATCCCGAGACATCACCTTATGAAGCGTCCTATCAACCGCCATCAGCATTTCATCATCCAATAGAAATCACTCCAACGATTTTTCCTCCCTACTTTGTGAAGAACTTTTTGCCACCGGAATATAGTTCATCCGCTGTTTATTATCATGAAGGAAACGTCTTTCATTCATATCAAACACAACCCTACCAAGACCTATCTCAACTAAATACCTTTGGAGTAAACTATCATCAAAATCCTTGGGGCATCTCTCAAAATCACACCAGACTCACTGATGTTCATGTGAAATCATCGTCTCTCATCGATAACTCTTGCTGTAATGACTCTCGTTTCCAAGCCACGACGAGTTTGCCACACGTCCATATTTGTAAGACCAAACCCCTATCTCATTTTCCTACTTTTTCTGGTGACACGAGCGCACATTCTTCGATTTCGACGACCTCTAAACTTCCAGAAAATATCTTTCTTCCAACAATTAATGCCAAGACAGGAAGCAACGCCGAGATGCCATTGTGTTTGAAAAAAGAGGCAAGTTTATCGGAAAGAGTGAAGGCGCAGGTTGACGATTTCATCCACTCGACGCTGAAGAAGCAAGAGATTGGCTCTTGTCATATTCGCGGACGTAAGATTAAGAGATCAGTGCCATTAACGGTGCATTTGCGTCAGCCTCAAACTGAAAAGAAGCGTTTCAAATGTGACCAGTGTTCCAAATCCTTTATTCATCTTGATAAACTTAACTCACACTTGCGCTCTCACACTGAAGTTAGACCATTTTCGTGTTCGTATTGTCATAAATCCTTTGCTCATTCAAGTGGTCTCAAGACACATACGAGAATCCACACCGGGGAGAGACCCCACCACTGTCCAGTCCTTGACTGTGGCATGCGCTTTTCGGACATTTCGACTTTAGTGAAACACGCCCGTGTTCATAGTGGTGAGCGGCCTTACTCCTGCGATGTTTGTGGTCGACGGTTCAGTCAGTCGGGAAACGTGCACAAACACAGGCGAGCCGTTCATGAAAAAAATAGCAAACGTAAGCGAGAAAATGTGGAGAGAAGTTCACAGGGAGAGCGGGATTGGGGAAACTACGGAGACAAAAAATATTCACCGGAAATTCTTGATACACATTAACATTTTAATTGTCAACCATAAAAGAGAAAAAGAAGTTTTTTGCTTGTTAAGAACTGTTGTTGTTACACTTAGACGTTGCTGCGAAGGAATGCTAATTTCGGTTAAATTCCTTCTTCCATTTTAGGACGATATTGAAAGTTAACTCATTAACTGCATGAAGGAAGTTGTTTAGTAAATATTGTAACTGTTAAATTTCGATGTAAATACATCTCCTGGGCTAAGCTGTTTATAGTGAAATAAATGCTATACAAACAGTCAATCAATATCCACTTCTTTTCTCGTGATTTTCATATGGTAAATTTATGTTTCAAAATTGAATTCCTCATTTTCTAAATGCCTCGAGGTCTTCGAGCAAAATTTTTGACGAATTTAGAGTTTACTAATTGAAATACTGCGTAATTTTTGAGAAGGTCCCGTATGTCACCTTGTTACAGAAAGGTCCTGTTGTAAATTTTGTCATAGAAAGTCGTTTCGCCAATTCTACAAATTGAACACACGCTCCTCAATTGAAAAAGCTGACTGTTTTAAATGAGCCAATTACACACTTGGGTCGGCCATTGCTTGTTGTCAATTTTGTTGAAAGTTGAAATATTGGTACCACTTTCGATCCCCCTGTTGTTTTCCATTTAATTGTCGTTCTTGTTTGCCTTAATTCTGTCCCACGCTTTCGTGACATTACCTTTTCTTAGTCTCAACTTATGATAAAATTATATTGAACTATATTAATGCAGTGTTTAATTGATAAGCATTATTAGTTTATTGTAAACTTTCTCAATATTTGTCCAGTTAAAAAGGTATAAATGCACAATTACTGTTGCACCACTTCCGTCGTAGTTCTCTTACTGATGCATGAAGGCTAAAACGTTCGTGCTATGCGTGGGGGGATGATGTCTATCATCAAATTATAATAAATTTTCTATTTGTAACTGCTAAATAATTGCGTAATATGCTTATCAGCCGCCTTGAATTATAAATGATATGAGCAAAACGCTTGTGGCTTTTACGCTGACAAGTCAATCTTTAGATGAAAGATAAAAGCGAATAATATTTAAAACCTGGTGTAATAAATTGTCGACTGCTGACATTACTTAAAAGGGACCATCTTTTATTGTTCAGAATATAAAGTTAATTACGTCCAACAGATGAAGCGGAATTTTTCGATTCTGTCGATATTGTGAAGCCGCCCGAACAAATTTCACAGTAAAATGCCATTTACGGGGAACACCTCTTGAGACTGTAGCGTGATTGGTTAAGAAGCGTTGAATAATACCAGGAATTCTATCGCCACATGAAATGGACCATTGCAAGGTAAACAGGAAAGCTACGTTGCAGGAAGTCAAATCCGTCATAACTTCAAATAGGACTTCCACGCAGGAGTATAAAGCATTTCGTTTTGTGAGATGATGTGGTAAGTTATGCAAAAACTCTAGGAAGAACAGCTAATTCCATTGTAATTATATAGTGCCGAACATTTATTTCAACGTGAGTATATCAAATTATTTCATAGGCAACGAATATTTAATGACCTGCGAACTTGTTCTAATTGCATTGATTATATCGAGAAATTTCGTGCCCAAAGTCTTTCAATTTTGTAGATTTCATTACTCATTACTCAGTAGTTACAAGATGATAAGACATAGCATGTTTTTGGAAGTAAAAATGCTTGTTTTGTTCGTAATATAATGACGAAGTCTTCACGCCCGGATGATATTGTTTACTTTACACTTTATACATTCGATTAGACGCGCGATATCAAAAATGCGTTTCGCGAACAGTTGGCATTCGTTTAATTACGAAATGAACCTTTTTTTAAATTAAAAACATTGTTTTTTGTGTATATAGGTTATTTAATTCTGGGAAAAGAAAATCGAAACATTATGATGGACTATATAAGATGTCCTGCTGATTATTACAAACCAAGGTTTGAGTCAATCGTAATGGATGAAAAGTCTGAAGGTCCACCAAAACGTGGAAGAAAGATCTCTTCGACGTCACAACAAAGCAACGACGGTCAATCTTGGCAACATGATATGTTGATAGCTCTGAGAAACAGTGCTATTCCTGAACCAATAAGGATTGCTTGCATGAAAGGAAATGTCGTTGGCCCCCCATATTTTGGTGAAGTCTACCATGGTATGTTATCCAGAGATGAGGTCACTGAGTTGCTATCCGGAGGGAATGGTCGGTATCTTGTGAGAGAAAGTCAAAGTTCGCCCGGAGATCATATATTGTCATTTAGCTCAAATGGCAATATTCTACATTACAAATTGTTTTATGAACATAGCACTGCCAAATTCTTCACTGAATCAGATGACAAAACTTACAATTCTCTAACAGAACTGATGGTTGACATTTTGGAAATGTTGAGAGTAATCCACAACTATGCAGGTCAGAAAAATGGAAGTTTTAATGAGCCTATATTGACTAGCAAAAAGTCTTCTTCAGTTGGTAAGCCCCATAACTTTAGAATACATCAGTACATGCATCCAAAGTGGTGTGATATATGTCATGCTTTTATGTGGGGATTAATGCACCAAGGTATGAAGTGTCAAGATTGTGGGCTGAATGTACATAAACATTGCGTTAAAAATGTTGACAGTAACTGTACTTCTTGTGCAGTTTTTACAAAAACTCGACTGCTTAGTAGAAACAAACGACGTGGGCGGTCATCAGTTAAAGAGCAATGTAAAACCAATGAGCTATATGCTGTTCTTGAAGAGCACATTCACTGCAGCTATCAGTTAGAATGTCTCAAATATTTGTCAAGCCTTGGACAGCCAATAGAAAAGTTTGACTTGACAACCTTGATGAATCCTTGCTACTGCGATAACTGTTGTCAGTTAAAGGACTTAGACACTCCTCTCTGCAAGACTGGCACACCCCCAAAAGCATATTCCCTGCCTTTAGGTTGGTGTCGATTTAAACTAAGTGTTTCGAAGGAAATCTTAGATGAAGTTACAACGTGGAATGTTGCTTACTGTTCAATTTCCATTGACATGTTCCCTCATATACTACAGAATGGCTTTGGCAGAAAATTTGATTTCATGTGCCCAGATGGCAAGGTTTTTATAAAACTTACACCATCAATAATTTGTGCTGACCTTGATTCATCATCTGTTGAGTACAGTGACAATGATTCTAGTGAGGTAAAGATAGCCAAAATTGCACTGCAGGTTTATGTAAAACCTGGATCATTTCAAAGCATGAGACGTGTGGGAGAGTTACCATCTGATGAAATTGATCCATATTTTTCGAGCAAAGACATCTACTGGATTGTAAGAGAAGACGAAGCAGTTGTCCCATTTGGGGTTTTGATAAAAAGAATGAGAACAAACTGTAGCAGTTCCTAAAGATTAAAAAACTCTGTATGTAATTTATAACATGTTAAACAATTAATGTATAATGAAACACTGAAAATTCTTGTGTAATTATTTTAGCACAATAAATAGGTATTTCGACTACAGGTCTTTGTTATATGGTTGGAAACAATTTTTAGACTTTAAAATTCGATCAAATGAACGTGGAGTGTTTAATACATTCATAAAAAATGCTAGTTTTTCGTGTCAGTATTTTGTTGCCGTCAAAAATTTCGTCATTTTTGGATAAATAGTTCAAGGTGACAACCTCACTTCGGTTACCGGTAGAAACTGTGAAGTGTTTAAAAACCATTCTCGTCATTTGATAAATGGAAACAAATTGCATTTTACAAGACTTGTACGCACAAATTTTACATTCGGAAGAACAAGTGAAGGAAAGAAGTACCAAATTCAAAGCAGGTGAAGTGGTTTAGGGTGAATTCAAAAGTTTGTATGCGGGGAAAAATTGACTTAGATGAAAATGTTAACTCTTTATAATTCTTCAATAGCAAACGAAGAAATTTCTTCAACACAGACAAAAACTGCAGAAATCAGAGACGAAATAAAGTCACTTCAGGGTAGTCTTGCGATTCAAAATAATAATGTGGCGGAACAAGAATTACAAGTACAATGGCTGAAAATAAAAACAAATATTATGAACGCTCAGAAACGACAACTGGAACAAGAGATGAAGGACTTAAAAAATAAATTGGTAGGTTTAAAGTAGTGCTAACAATGCTCTAACAGATAAATATAACAAATCCATGCGTATTTGTAGAAAGATAAGGAAAGTGGAAGGCAGCTTGAAAGGTATGATAAGGAATTTCATTACATGTGATCGATTAATAACATTCGCTGACGTATGTTTTATTGTAGAGAGACATTCATCGCAGACTGCAAAGAGTTTTCATCCATATATGACCTGACTGGAAAGGGAGAGAAGACAAGGGAAGCAATTAAAGCTATTGAATTAAAAGAACTCGTAGAAAACATAGAAAAATTGAGATCAGGTTTTTAAATCATCGAGATCGAATGATGAAGACAATCCTGCATTTGTACATCTTTTCCTCTCTCCTGTAGAGCTTGATGCAATACGCAAAGAAAAGAACAAATTGTGTGTATTGCAAAAGAAAAAGACATCTATAGTTTCTACAATCGAGAAATTGGAAAAGGAATTGAAAGGTTTGTGCTCGAGAAACCGATATGGTATTGTAGTATCATTTAAATTCCGGACAACGTTTGTAGAGGCAGAAAAATACATGCAAACTGAAAACGATAAAACAGTTGAGTTGAAAAAAGGAAAGGATTTGCTGTCAGAGAAAGTCAAAGAACAACCAGAAATTCGGAGGTGAATTATACAACAATAAAGGATTCTTAAAAGTTGCTCCTTTTATAGAGGCTTAGACCGTAGTTTATTAGGCATGATCTGTGTTCCGTACATAGGTTGTCTGCTGAACTGAAGAGATGCAAAGAAGAAAGTTTAAGTTTGGAAGGAATCAATGACGCGATGGACCAAGAAATCACCGAACTACGCCAACAGCTTCATCAAAAACAGTTTCATCGTTCACGGCGAGCTCAAGGCAGCCAACACAACGAGACTCATTCCTCACGCCTTCTCAAGTGAGAGAAGCGTTCAAACATAAAGAAATGGAAACAACTGGATGTTCGCAAGAAACTCAGCAGAATAAGAAAACTCGAAAGTCGTTGCTTCAAATAGAAAAATATGGTTGAAAAAAAGAGACAGAAAAAAAGAATCGGAAAAAAATACTAAGTCACAACATGTTGTTGCGGTATTATTAATTTTGCAATATATATATTTATAAAGATGATTAACCTCCCTCGTTATCATCGCTAAGCGCTTCGCATGTGAGATGTTCATACCGTTTTTCAGTTACACCCAAATCTTTATTCCTAGCAAGAGCAGCAGCTGCTATCATTGACGCAAATCCATTGTGAACATCCCTATCTACATGACTCATCACGCCTCTTGTAACATCCTTCATTTCCGTAGAGGATGAAACACTTACATCAAAAGATTTATCTTCACTATATGGGCTATCCAAAGCTTGTGTCTCATCCAAATCTTCGACAGATTCGCACTTCCCGCATTCGTCGATGTTTTCCACGTTCTTTTCAAGTTTTTTCAACAAAACTTTAGGGATTCCGACCATTTTTTCATCGTCTCTAGTCGCTAAGACAGATTTGAGTTCGTGAAGAAGATAACGACTTTCGTGTCGGGATCTTTGCTCGTTTAAAATGTCATCACTACTTGTGTCACGTGATAAGCCATCCTGATATTCAGAAACACCTTCGTAAACAACATCACACATAACGTCACTATTCTCATGATTGAAATTCTCCTCATCGACATCCACACTGACGCTAACCTCGCGTTCTTCGTCATCAACATTTTTCGTTTTTACGTCATCGCAAGTCTCAATCGCAATTTGCTGAAATCTTTCTAAACTCTCTTTCCAACAAACATTCACATTCTCCATTTCTTGACTCAACCGAGATACGTCCTTACGAACTTCATCGATTGGCAAGTTTTTCTCAGTCATCAAATTTACGAACTTTTTCTCTGTTTCAATGGACTGCGTGCACGCTTCCTGAAGATGCATGATCAAGCTACGCCATGCTAATGACAAAGGAGTGTGGACCTCCCGCGGGCTCTTCATAAATCCAAAGTTTTCATCGAAACTACGAGCGGGGATTTCTCTTTCATGAAATCGATAGCAACACTTGATTTCCTGAACATAATCATTTCCATCATTAAGTAATTCTCTCAAACAATTCGCAAACTCCAAAGGCTTGGGAGAACGATCTTGCATAAGAGCAATAATGTTCAAAATCATAGTTACAGCTATAAAGCATAACAATGTAGATTGGTAATAGCCAAGCGCATGGAATTCCTCCTTAAGGGAGAGCAAGCTATTCTCCTCGGCATGTTGATAAACTTGCTCTGTCGTGATTTCACAATTCTTCCTCATTTTTTCAAGATGGCCTTGAAGCCAGTCTAAATATACCGAATTGCTAGAATCTGAAAAGGTTATGTCCTTAATCTTGTCGCAAACTCGAGCGTTGTATTTCTTCATGTTAGTTTGAAGGCATTTTCTAAGCATCATGCATTGTTTAATTTGATTTTCCAGTCCTGTGATAGGTGCAGAAGGGTTGACAATGACGTGACCGCGTGCAATCAATTCCTTTTCTCGAATGAAAAGGATCACATTTCGTATTAAGAGTAAATAATTTTGAGCAAACTTCGTGAAGGCAATAAGATTGAATTCCTCGTTCGTGAAAAATGCCTTTTTTCTCGCACGTAAGTAGGGAAATATTTGAAGGAAAACAACGGTCACGATAAAAACGACAGACAACATAGTTCGATGTAAGAAAGAAAGAGGAATAATTTTGATAATTATACTCGCCAGTAAAAATGTCAGCAATGCCATAAACGAGCTGAACATGTTGAAAACGTCATCATCCATGGAGAAATTTTTGATGTGAGAAGTAGTTTCGTCATTGCACTCCAACGAAATATCATGGCATTGCTCTGCCCGAAACAAAATCTCCAAATGCTCGTCCGTCAAAAGTTCAGAACGCTTTATTATACCAACGAAAGTACTATAATAAGATATTTTATCCTTATGTGAATAATCCCATTTTAATAAAAACATAATTTTGTGTTTTATGAATTGTGCCAATTTTCTGAAAGGTCTGTGCACGGAGTTGTATACACTGTCATCCATAACATGCCCAGAATCACTTCCTTCGATTACTTCATCCTTTTCAATTCTTTTTGCTACGTCGAATTCCGTAAATCCAACAAGGGAGAGATGTTTAAAAAGCGGAGAATCTTCAAAGACTACGTCCTCTTCCGCCATATTGGATTTTTCACAATATCGATGTAGTAGATGGAAACAAGTCTGTCTTATAATCTGTCATCGAAGCGAAATGGCGCGTGTTCAGTTGAAGAGAGAACAGTGAGAGTGAATGAATGCCTACATTCTTATTATCAACTTCTTTTAAGATATGGAAGGGAATGAACGAAAGAGAAGATTAGAAGACGATTCAAATCAAACAAGCTATTCCAAGGTGGGAAGAGGTTTTCGTACGAAAATGAGTAGCTAAAAAGTATTTATTAGTTGTTACTTTGTTATATGTTTGTAAATGATGATCGTTGGAACAAACCCCCCTGAACAGATCACAGCAATTACCGGCACCTTACAAACGACTTATTCACAATACAAACAAACGATCAACTAAAAACACTACACTTCAAACTAATTCACAATGACAATACACAATTGACACCCACACATTACAACTAAATACGTCACACCTAAATCACACATCACAACTAAAAATAAAATATTTCACTTCACACTAATCCACAATGACAATACACATTCCTGTACACACAATACAATGACGTAAGAACCAGATAACAAATATGGCTAACCTGACGTTTACTCCTCATTTGACTCTGAAGATGACTACCGCTAAGGTTGTCGAAACGTCAGTCAACAACAACAAAAACAGTCCTTCTCAGGACTTTATTAACCTGGACGATCATCATTTACAAACATATAATGATACTCCCGGGTTCAAACCATTTACTTTACTTGTTACTTTGTATATATGAATGGGTTATTCACTGGCTTGTCACAGCCAGCAGACCTACAGCCAGTAACAGATGCAATAACGTAACTTGTAAAGACGTCAAATTGCATTCCATGTAGCTTATGCCGACCGTATTGGTAAAGTTTTCATGTATAATGTACATGAAATGCACTTTCGTATAATTTCGTACAAGTAGGTTTCACATTCGACAAATTACTAGTTACACAAGTGACCAGTTTTCATGCTGTGCTCAATGTGTATCTGAATGTTTTAAGTTAAGAATAAGAGAAATAGAGTAATGAAAGTGAATGAAAATAAGATATAGTGTAATGGAAACCGAAGAAGCACCCTGTGTGAAAGTTTCAAATAAACAAATTTTATGAATGCAACAAAGTGGAATCTACAATGGAATCATTTTAATGAAGTTTTATTTATCTCAATAATACAATGGCATTTTCTATAGCGAGCGTTGCAGAAACATAAATCAGACTCATCAGATGACGAAGAACATACTCCTTATATATCGTTGAAAGATCGCAGAAAGCAAGAGGTACATTTTGTTTGAATTTCCATTTTTTTGTGGTAAGAAAGATATCTAATCTTGTTTTTATAGTTAGAGAGACGTGCAAAGCTCCTCCATGGAAGTGGAAACATCAAGAATGAAAAATCTACGGAAGGAGAAACAAAGAAAGAGAATGTGAGCCATACATACATACATACTATTGCCTGTGGGTTGTTCTTAAACAATGTCAATGATTGCTCAAATGATTCATTCGTAAATGTTTTTCAAATTATGTGTTTAATACATTCAAAACAAGAAGTTTTGGTAAGCATGCAACCAGATGGTTTTTTTAGTGGGAAAGCAAGCCCGATCTTTTAATCCTGCTATACAAATTTTTCAGCAAAATTACTATTTATTTCTTTAGAAACGTAATTACTCATTCTCTTTGAACACAAAAATATATGCGCTGTAGGAGTAAAAAATAGGCTAGTTTTGCTACTGATTATTTTCATCAGCCTGTGTAAACATAAATAGGAAGAAGCATGTTGATCTTATCTCAATATCTTTTTAATTTTTGATTTGGATGGTCTAGTATTCGAAACCTTTTCCTTTTTTTTCTCGTGAAATTGTTTGACTAATCACAACAGGGACGGATTTGGGGTATGGGTTCATGGTGGTTGTGCATCTCCTCTAACCTCGGCTAGAAGGGGTGCAAGGGGGAGTAAAATTTCCCAGCAAATATTAATAATCCAACCAATTAAAACTACCAACTACTCATTTCCCAGGGTCACAAGTCAAACCACATAAAATCTTACTTTTGAATGACATATGGACACAATGACCTACAAAGGAGCCATTAAAATTGAATCCAACCTAGATTGTAAAAACTGGATCCATCCCTTTTCCAAGATCTTACCATGATCCCACCAAGATCTTGCTTAGATCATGCAAGAACTTTCCAAATCATGCTTGATCTTGCAAGATTTTGTGCTAGATCTTGCCACGATCTTATCATGCAAGAACTTTCCAAATCATGCTTGATCTTGCAAGATTTTTTGCTAGATCTTGCCACGATCTTATCATGCAAGAACTTGCCAAATCATGCTTGATCTTGCAAGATTTTGTGCTAGATCTTGCCACAATCTTATCATGCAAGAACTTGCCAAATCATGCTTGATCTTGCAAGATTTTGTGCTAGATCTTGCCACGATCTTATCATGCAAGAACTTGCCAAATCTTGCTTGATCTTGCAAGATTTTGTGCTAGATCTTGCCACGATCTTATCATGCAAGAACTTGCCAGATCATGCTTGATCTCTCCAAGTTATCACAAAGAAGGTTAACTTTTTGTTGTTTTATGAAGGTGGCTGACAATGCGTCATCTGGCCTTCCCAATGTTAGTCTATTGGACCAGCACAGTGAGCTACTCAAAAAAGCTGAAAGTATGACAAATGAGTTTATTTTTTATGAATTATTTTATTATCTTCTGTTATTGTCTTTTCAATTACTTCCACTTTCATTTCGATCTCTTTTTTGTTCATTTCAATTAGTTCTACTAAAATTCCAATTTCTACCTTTTTCTTTTCACTTACTTGAAACCACTACATTTTAGCTGTCAAAGAAACAGAAATTGAAAAACAGTTGAAAGAGGAACAAAAGATTTTGGAGAGCATTGCGGAAAAGAAAGGTTTGTGGAATTTGTTGTCACTTTACTTGGTTGGCTGCACTCGTCATTTTCATGTTTTTTTTTTTAACAGCTTTGATGGCTGTGAGTGAAATTGCAAAAGGAGTCGTTTATACAGACCCAATAAAAACTGGGTAAGTTCTGCTCTAAGATTTCATTAAAACCTGTAAAGTGGTAAGATGAGCGGACCTCAAATTTGTTGTACCACGTGATCAAATTTCGTTGTGCAACGTTATTATGATATCGTTTTGATGCGGAAAGCTTGTCATTTTATATTTTTTTGAACTACACCAATCCTTTGTGTTTGCAGGATTTATGAAAAGGTAGGGAAGGCATTTGTGACGTGCCAAAAAGCAACTTGCAAAGTTTTCAATTAGAAATTGTCGCGAAAAGGAAGGGTTTGCCCCCTTTTCCCATCCCTGGCTTCCCCCTTGCCCACGAAGTGGTTTACAAACAGTTTAAACATGAGATCTTTTTGCTATAAACAGAATGTTTTCTTACTATGGCATGATAAAATTCGTTAGATACATGTTCCAATTTCAATAGCAAAGGTCTTTCTTATTCAACGTACTTTTTAATTGTTCTTTCCAAACGGAAATACACGGAAAACCAATTGCACCTTAAAAAACGACGTCATCATATGGTATGGTAAAATTGGATCACAGTAAATAAAAGAGACGCTTTTGCGTGTTTAAATGACACTTTACCACTATAATATTATTGTTCAATGATGCTGCAAGACAGTGTAGGGGGGGGAGGCACTTAATTAAATCTTTATTAAATGTTGGGGGCTCAAGCCCCCCTCGTTCCCCTCCCCCCACCCTAGTGTAAGGAGAATTTACTATTTACCATTCTGTTTAGATGGCGTCCACCACGATATTTTCAAACTTTTCCTCAATCAAAATTCGAGAAAATACGCAAAAAGAAACACATTCTAGTCGAGGGAGACGACATTCCTCCACCCATCAAGCACTTCAAGGTGAAAATGCTCTCGAAGCGTTTTGTTTTCTTGTCAAGATTTATAATAATTCAATAAACTTTTCCAGGAAATGAAATTTCCCCGAGCAATCATCAACGCATTGAAAAGAATGAACATCTATCGGCCCAGTCCAATACAAATTCAGGGAATTCCTACTGTGTAAGCTTTTTTGGCTTCCATTACCTCGATCCCAGTTATTTTCATGGCCAAGTGATTTTTGTACTTGAATATGTGTTAGTTTAACTGGTCGCGACATCATCGGTATAGCGTTCACGGGCTCGGGAAAGACTCTGGTCTTCACGTTGCCGATTGTAATGTTCTGTTTGGAGCAGGTCAGTTGGTCCACGTGATTAAGGTCGAATGTATATTATGTTGAATTTTTTGGGAAAGTGAAGTCGTACACTTTTTTGCCAGGAGAAGGCTCTACCATTCTGTCGAGACGAAGGTCCATATGGTCTTATTGTTGTACCTTCGGTAAGTTGAGTTTGTCAGTTTGATATTCACAATGTGCGAATATTTTCAATATTTCACTGTGTTGTTGGACAAAATCGAGTGCTTCCGCGAGACTTTTGATTGATGTAAATATACAGGGAAAGCGAGGGAAATATAAAAGCAATATTTGTCGGACGAAAGCCGTTGGTCACGTGACGCTAAATTTGCCGATTAGTCTTTCCATTACAGATTAGAAACTATCCAATCAGACTACTTAACCAATTTGTGTGATATATCCAACAAGAGTATCCACTATCCACATTAAAGCATTGCTTACATTTTTTGATGTGTCGGTAAACTAGAGTGAAGTATCCAATTAGATTATCCAATCAGACTACTATAACCAGTTAGTGTGATATATCCAACAAGAGTATCCACTATCCATAGTAAAGTATTTCTTATATTTTTTTGATGCGTCAGTTGGTGTTCTGGGGCCGGTTGCACGAAGCCTGGATAGCGTTATCCATTGGATAGCAACTTAATCGAACCTGTAAAAAAAGTGGTTATATTTTCTTTACGATAATGGAACTTTATAATTGTAGAACCAATATTACATTTCATTGATATTCCAGTTCAAATCTTAGATTGTTCCCTTTTCTGAGATTTTTGAAGCCTTAAAAATTTTTGCCATCCAGCGAATAGCGTTATCCCTCCCTTCGTGCAACCGACCCCTGTCGTCAATGTTTCACTTTTTTCTTTATCAGCGAGAGCTTGCTAAACAAACGTGTGATGTTATTCAAAACTTTACCAGAGCGTTGGAAGTTGATGGTAAGCAGTTTCTTTAATGGGCGAACTATTGATCTATAGTTGTAGCTATACGTGCGATGTTTTTAACGATTTCTCAGGATACGTACGATGTTTTTAACGATTTTTCAGGCTTCGTACAATGTTTTTAACGATTTTTCAGGCTCCGTACGATGTTTTTGACGATTTTTCAGGCTACGTGCGATGTTTTTAATGATTTTTCAGGCTCCGTACGATGTTTTTGACGATTTTTCAGGCTACGTGCGATGTTTTTAACGATTTTTCAGGCTCCGTACGATGTTTTGACGATTTTTCAGGCTACGTGCGATGTTTTTAACGATTTTTCAAGCTCCGCACGATGTTTTTAACGATTTTTCAGGCTACGTGCGATGTTTTAACGATTTTTCAGGCTACGTGCGATGTTTTAACGATTTTTCAGGCGACGTGTGATGTTTTTAACGATTTTTCAGGCTTTCCGTCCATCCGCACTGTTCTCTGCATCGGTGGGTCTTCCATGAAGGATCAGAGTGAGAGGATAAGACGGTAATTTGATTATTCACAACAATCGTTCACGATTTGAAAATGTTGTGATGGTGTCGTTCGTTAATTTTAATAACAGGGGTGTTCACATCATTGTTGCGACGCCCGGTCGACTTATGGATTTGCTTGACAAGAAAGTGGTTAACTTGGATATTTGCAGGTACGTAAAAGGTCTCGTTGTCGATTTATCGTTGCTACAGTCGTAGCTTTGTTGCTACAGTCGTAGCTTTGTTGCTACAGTCGTAGCTTTGTTGCTACAGTCGCAGCTTTGTTGCTACAGTCGTAGCTTTGTTGCTACAGTCGTAGCTTTGTTGCTACAGTCGTAGCTTTGTAGCTACAGTCGCAGCTTCGTTGTTACAGTCGTAGCTTTGTAGCTACAGTCGCAGCTTTGTTGCTACAGTCGTAGCTTTGTTGCTACAGTCGTAGCTTTGTTGCTACAGTCGTAGCTTTGTTGCTACAGTCGTAGCTTTGTTGCTACAGTCGTAGCTTCGTTGTTACAGTCGTAGCTTCGTTGTTACAGTCGTAGCTTCGTTGTTACAGTCGTAGCTTCGTTGTTACAGTCGTAGCTTCGTTGTTGCAGTCGTAGCTCCGTTGTTGCAGTCAACTTTTTCCGTGCGGACATCACGTTATTACGGACACCCACAACATTAATGGATTCATGATGGCTTTTTGTGTTCGTGTGAGGGGGTGGGTTGTGCTCTAGTTTAGATTTGATTTTTTTGTTTGATCCTGTTAGTGATTACCTTAGTATCATAATTGGGAGATATATGGATGTGTAAGTAAACAGAAACACAAACCACAATAGCTTTTGCTTATAACTATTTGGTATACTACTATTTTATAGGAAATTTGCACTCCTCCACAATCCTCCTCTAAATCCATTTCTGACTAGCAATTAAGAACGTTAGTGTTTATTCCCCCCCTCCCCCCTCCAACTGAAATTACTATGAATTGTATTAAATTACTCTCACTATTACGTCACTGCTTTTCCAACAATCATCTTTATTGTTCTTCTGTCGTAACAACGGACACCCAGGACGTATTTTACTGTGAACACAACATAAAAGTCAATTCTATGTCAAAGACTCTCGCCTCACGCTCCTTGTCCAACGAGAGTTGACTGTATATTGGCGGTTTTTTTTCTTTTACAAGATACCTGTGTCTTGATGAGGCTGACAGAATGATTGACATGGGTTTTGAAGAAGATGTTAGGACAATATTCTCCTATTTCAAAGTATTCTCACGTCATCCGTCTAAATCGTCAAATAATTCTTTTCTCCTCTCTCTCCCTGAAACATCAACCATAAACATTCTCTTCATTTTAGTGCCAAAGACAGACGTTATTGTTCAGTGCGACGATGCCGAAGAAAATCCAAAATTTCGCCAAAAGTGCTTTGGTAAAACCTGGTTGGTTGAACTTGACGAATTTTATCAGTTTGCGTGAACATTATCTACATGAATATTAGCAATATTTAAGCGAAATTCAATGTTTATTTAGTGACAATAAACGTCGGAAGAGCTGGGGCTGCCAGTCTGGACGTTATCCAGGTACTTTAAGATGGTCTTTTGGGGGAAGTGGGTGGGGTGGGTGGAGTGTTTTGCTTACATTTCGGTGACTGCTTGTTGCCGTAGCATATCAACATTTTTGTTATTTTCCGTTACCTTTCTATTATGATTGGACGATTTTAGGAAGTGTGCTTCATTCAACCCTATTGACTATTACTTTTGTTTAATTGTTTTGTACATTAGAATTTTGTAGTGAAATTACCACCCATCCTACATTCCCTGTGACCGTGGCTAAGAGGAATGCACAACCCTCCCCACCTATTCCTGATTCCATCCCTGATTTAAGATGGTTTTTACTCTTGAAATTGAAATTTTCAACTGCTGCTTATTCGCGAACACTTTCCGGAAGTACTCGCAATACTTCCCGGAAGTACTCACAAAATACTTCCCGGAAGTACACACAAAATACTTCCCGGAAGTACACACAATACTTCCCTGAAGGACACGCATTATCGTAAACGACTTCGGGCAATGTTGTACATGGTCCATGCATAACGTCCATGATTGAAATATTCTCTCATGTGAAGAAATCTTCAATTTTAGGAAGTGGAATACGTGAAACAAGAGGCTAAAGTTGTTTACTTGCTGCAATGTTTGAATAAAACATCACCTCCCGTAAGTAGTACCGCTATGGAATAATATTATTTTTCATAATATTGTAAGTAATACCGCTATGGGAAAATATTATTTTTCGTAATATTGTAAGTAATACCGCTATGGGAAAATATTATTTTTCATAATATTGGCCATTTTATTATGGATGGGTCTGAGTTGTTGAATTATGAAGAGGGGTCGTCCATTCAGTAGACACTCAAATTTTATGCAAATATCACTGATTTGGGATTTATCTGTTAGTCATTGATTGAACATTTGTCATGCATTATACTGTAGCGGGCAATTCTCCATCACGTCTGTGACATTTTTACTTCAAGTACAAACAAAATTAAGACCATATAAAATATGGGATATTCATTGTGTCTTAGGGTAACTTTATCTGAAAACAAATGCTGTTTTAGTTTTTCACACTGTTCTTCTCCGGGAGATACAAAGGCAAAGGAGTGAGAGACACACAAAAATCAATGTTTCCTGCTAAGGCATTTTTTTACCAACTTCACATTTGATGAACATCGTTATGGCAAAGTAATGAGAAATATGTGAAATACTACATTCAATAATCCATATTCAAACTGAAGCAGACATATCAACATTATATAACACATCCTACAGGTTGTTTAAAATTTTCCAAAATTCTTTAAAGGAATACCCCAGTATGCTTGCTCAGGGAAGCAATATTGGATTCCATAGTGTTATTCATTCGACTCCCCGCCCCTTTTTTCCTGTTTAGACATGACGTGTCCCCCCCCCCGACTTTCCTCTCTACTATCTGCTCAGACATGATTTTGTACATAAAATAGTTTCAAAAGTTATAATCATTACTTCATTTTTATATTGTATTCATCTCTCCTAATATAGTTTCCACACTATCTGTACTGAGTGTTTCTATTAAAAACTAAAGATGTCTCGTGAATATTATATTTTCTAGTATTGAATGCTTAATACCATTTATTCATTTGAAAAGGTCCTGGTGTTTGCCTCAAAGAAATCTGACGTCGATGACATTCATGAATACTTGTTGTTGAAAGGTGTCGAAGCTGTTGCGATTCATGGAGACAAAGGTAAGAGCTGGTTTCCGCAGGACATAAAGCGTCAGAATTCATTTGTTGCAATTGTTTTCAAAACTGCCTTCCAAATAACGTAATTCGTCTTTATTTGACCTAATTCATTTGTCTTAATTTGTTGTCATTGAGTCTTTGTCACAAAAAATTTGTTGTATCAAGTTTGTCTGAATTGGCGGGAATCATGTTTTTCCTTAAAGTTAGGCTGTCGTAAGACTGTCGTAATTGTCGTGAAAAAACAAAAAATTATGATGATTATGATTTCTGTTTTTGTTTCTCCGATTGTGCATAAGAAAGAAATACAACAAATTTCGACAGTGAATTACGACGAATTATGTCGTATGAAAACCTTACATATAACAGTGTGAACAATCCGTATCCAATACTTTGCGTCATTATCCTTCATTGTTCCTCTTTGTCTCGCGAACAGATCAAGAAGAACGGGAGAGAGCCGTCAGTGCTTTCCGCGCTGGACGGAAAGACGTTCTCGTGGCCACAGACGTCGCTTCAAAAGGTCTCGATTTTCCCAATATCGCTCACGTATTAAATTACGATATGCCTGAAGATATCGAGAATTATGGTAAGGATATCGGAATCTTTTTGACAATATTGTTTGCGAGCTCGCGTCCAGAACTGTGGAACTATTGGAGTTAATTAATGGTCAGTCGTCTCCATTGGTCATGTTTTATTGACACAGGAATGGATTTGGGGGTGCGCTATCCTCTCAGCCTTGAGAGCCAATTTTTGTTACAAAATGTGACTTAAAGCAATGTGACCAATGTGACAAAAGCAATTGAGATAATGTTTAATGGAGCACACATCCAAAACTTTCCCAATTCTATTAAAAAGTTTACAAGATTAAACCAAAAATAGTTTGACATGTAATGTAATCAAACTAATAAGTAGCCACACAAATTTATATTAAAACTAGAAAAGACGAACCCCCACCCTCTGCCTCCATAAAACCACTGTTAATCCATCCCCGAATTGACATTAACGAATAGCTATGTCTTGGAATTGATTGACCACAAATTCCGAGATAAATTCTCAGATTATCCTATTACAAAAACTTCTACAGTTCCAGAAGTAAGCATGCAAACATATTTAAAAAGAAAGTCCAATTTTGAGGCAACTTTCCCTCAGTAAAAAATTTTGTGTGTTTGCCCCTAAACGGATCTTTTTGCTCTTTAAAGTGCACAGAATAGGACGTACTGGACGCAGTGGGAAAACTGGAGTCGCTACCACTTTCATCAATAAATCATGCGGTAAGATGCTCTGCGGGGAAGCAAAAGAGAACCAGCACGCTTTGTTGCTTTATCTCACACATTGAAATATTTATACAGACGAATCTGTTTTGTTGGATCTCAAGCATTTATTGGCTGAGGCGAAGCAAAAGATCCCGCCTTTTCTGGCCGCATTGGAACCTGAAAACGAAGAACTTCTCAATGTTGGCGGTAAAATTATTTTTGAAGATATTGAGAGTTTGTGGGTCCGCTACCCGGTGGACATGGGTCAGACAATTGACCAATTTTATATTCTTGTTTTTTTAGATGAACGCGGTTGTGCTTATTGTGGTGGCTTAGGTCATCGTATAACTGATTGTCCGAAACTCGAGGCAAAACAAATCAAAGAAACGGGAAATATCGGCAGAAAGGATTACCTTGCACATGGAGCTGCTGATTGGTAGACACGCGGACTGTAACTTCTCGTTCTCGTTATTTCTACTGTCGGCTTTTGTAAATATTAATGCTGCCTCCTTTCGGAATAATCGCGTTCCAAATGTTATGTATTCCACCTCCGCCCTTTCCTTGAGGCCGTGAAACTTCAATAGGAACTATGTCCGGTAGTTGGGAGGGGGTAACTCGTAGGTCAATATACCGGGTATGTGTCGAAATGATAGGAGCTTTCAGATTTGTTTTGATATGTGATATTTCATTTCAAAATTCTGTGTATTTCTTCACAAAATTGTATATTTTCTTCTCAATGGATTAACGGTAAAAATATTGCTTTGCTCGCCAAATGTCTGGAAGACGACGTTTGGAGGACGCTCTTCAAATGGGAAAAGAAATTGATATGCGTTTAGATGAAAGGTCTGTGAGTTGTGTTTTAAACCGTTAGTGAATTATGCGCATTCAGAAAATTGCATATGTTTGTGCCCACTTCCGCAACGATTTATAAATTTATATATGATACCGTTTCAAAATGCATAATGCATACTACGAAAAACAATTGTCTAGGTATTGTAAGATTGTCGTAACCGGAAATGATTTAAAAATGACAGGGATCCGTCGTTTCGTCTGAATAAAATTTCATATGTGGAAGATATTGAATTTGGTGATATTGGTGCAACGTACAGCATCAACTTTTCTCACGACAGCCAATATTTTGCTGCTGGTTGCAGCAATGGTGCAGTGCAGGTATTAAATATCATAGTCACCTTCAAACTGTTTTTTAAAGCTTCCTCAAAAAAACTCACTATAGGACATTTCTTTGGAAGGACCATTTCGTTGTTTTAGGTGTACTCCGTCAAGCAGGGGAAAAAGAAACGTCCACTGCAGTACGGTTCAAATTTTGGTCTTCCTGTTACTTGTGTGAAGTTCTATCCATATAATTCCAGCTGTCTTGTCACTGCAGGTTAAATAATGTTGAAATAAATATCATTTGCTACATATGCTAGTAGTTATGAAATGTGAAGGGAACCAAGTATATATTCTATTAATGCCAGACTCTCAAGGAGATATCAAATTCTGGGATCTAATGGAATGGGCACAGCGAGGAAAGATTTTAGAGAAGGGAAACGAAATTGAAACATTGGATTTCTCTCATGATGGCAAGATTTTTGCCACCGCAGGAAAGGTTATTTTTTTTCCAACAAGTTATGGTCATGCAATGTTTACCAAACGTGGTGTGAGTGGAGAATCTAGTGTTAGTCAAAATGCACTATTTTAGCTCTTTCTATGAAATTACTTTTAGATAATAAATTTCATCCATCAAACTGTTTTTTTAGGCATTTTGAAGTTTAAATATCCTGAAAAAATAATGAGTTATTGTCATTGATTTTGACCTACCCAAAATCAACCACGGATTTTGCATAAATAGTTGATTATGATATTACCAACAAGACCACCATCATGTGCAAATCACCCTGCCATTTCTATTCAATCATGAGCCACACGGGAGTCATGCATTTTTGCTTCTGCATGATTGTTTTCAGGCATGGTGGCAGACAGATAGTTGGGGGTGGCTAATATTTATATAATTATGCATGTCTTAATTGAGATTATGGATTATATTTATAACATAAGAAAAAAATGAACATACCTTCTCCCCTAAATTACGTATTCGCTGCTGTCCCTGTTTTTCTATGTAAGACTTCAATGTAATTTTCAGAATTATTACTTTATAGTTGCTTATGCGCATGCGCAGTTCAATAAAGTTTCGGCGATTTTCTCTCAACTTTAGGACAAAACCATCCGCGTCTACGATAGTGACAGCCATGCGATAATCAAAACTTTTCCTGGAGCGGGAATTTCAAACGAAGATGAGTTAGTGCACACTTGTGTTTGCGCATGCGTACACGCGTCACGAGCACATTTGACTGGCATGCATAAGTTGCCAGACTGTTAATCTGAATGTGTTATCCAAGGCCCTCGAATCTTTATTACTGAAAAGCATGAAAGCATAATTTCAACAGCATGTTGCTATTTCCTATAGTTTGCTTAAAGGTTACACAGTTAGTAAGAGTGGCGGACCCATAAATTATTACGAACTAAATGCTGTTGGCTGAGAATTTCCAAAGAATAAAATTCACCATTGAAACTGTTTTAAAGGAATTTTCACTTGGAAACATGTGTTCAAGAATGTTGCACGAAATTGGCGTTTATTTTGACCGCCAATGATTAATTGCAACAAAAGCCAACTTCTTTAATGTTCTTAGCTCTTCCGTATCCTTCCTTGATAATTTGATTGCTATTTTCCATGCTTTTTGCTAGTTCCGAGTTTCGAGAGGTCGGTCATGGTCGCAAAGTGTTTGCTTTGAAATTTCATCCTTTTGATGACAACGTTTTTATCACAGGCGGCTGGGATAAGTGTATTAAGGTAAGATTGCTATCTCATCTATCTTGTCTAACATCGTCATCGGAGAATTAATTGCGGCTTGTTGATTGTCTTGAAGATTTGGGACACGCGCTCTGCTCATTCAGTTGGCACCATATGGGGTCCGTATGTGTGTGGTGGGGACTCTTTGGATATATCTATGGATAATATCCTAACCGGTTCTTGGGTGACCGATGAAGCTTTACAAGTACGGGCGGTGATCTGTTATAGCTACGGAAGGAGTAGGACCTGTTGGATTGACAAGAAATATGACTTAGTGACAGCTTTTATCTCCCGGATCGAATTCTAAAAAGTGATGGTATTTTGTTATTGTTTTTTAGATATGGGATTTTAAGAGCGGCTCACTCGTTGAAACCATACCATTTCCATCTGAGAAAGGGGCATTTTTGTACTGTGCACGATTCGTGAGCAGCGATCTCATTGCCGCTGGTGGCAGTGGTAGCAGAGATCTAAAACTTCTATACAGACATACCCACGAGGTTTAACACTTTGATAGACTAGTGATTTGTCGAAATAGTTCCCGGTTATGGAATGTTCTTTTTCTGAATTCCAGGTTGCTGGCTGTATAGATAATTCTGGCAAAGTTGTTCAAGCGTTGGACGTAGGTGATGGTGGTCATCTGATGGTTATAGGTGGCGCAAGTGATGTTCTTCGTCTTGTCCGATTGCTTTAGGAAGCGCCATCTACTTTTGATGTCTCTTGGATTTTTTACATGCTGTTTTTCCTTTGTTCGCATTGCTAACATTTAAATGAACTCTTTCACATACTTTTCAATATGCATAAGATATTTTTCTTTGTAAAAAGATTCTTTGTCGTTATTCTACATTAGATGGGCGTACGAGCTGTATAGCGCCCCCCGTCAATTGCTAATTGGTTCATTATCTTCCGATTTGTGGGATACAAGGCAGTTCTAAGGAGTTTTAGAAAATCTAGAAGCGCTTATGTTTAAACGTGACGATTGGAAATCAGAATTTTTCGTAGGTCGTAAGATTTGAAAGCGTATGAATCGTAATTGTTTTTTTAATGATGCTGTTCAGACTTCCTTCTTGCAAATTATCCTTTTTTTATTTTCATTGTGGGGCTCAATTCAACCTGTTTAGGTGACACATGACATTCTTTCATTTGAGATATACTTTAGTCTGAAATAAAATCTCAGAAAAATAGCAAAAAAAATCTATAATTATATTATATAGTCACCAAGTTCTCTCTTGAAAAATTAGTTTTGAAAACCTTTACAACAATGAATACTCATCTGAAATTATTGCAACACTCAAATTTAACTCTGACATCTCATTGAAGCAATTTTCGACGTAAAGACTTGCGTGTAACGAGGAGTGAAAAACTAGCGAATTCTTTAAGTGCTAATTATGCACAAGCAAACGTTAAATTCATTATGAAATATTTTTATCTCAGCGCAGCGCTCCGTTGCTCTGGAAATTTTATTCAAGGCAAATGCAATAGCAACTTCATTACGCACAAAAACTGAAAATATCGCATTAAAATATTTGTGTCATTCAAGTCAATCGTGGCTCGAGTGCGGAACCGTGACTGCGATTGTAATACAATATTGTTGCTATCTTAGCCAATCAAAATCGTAGAATTTTCTGTATTATTGAATTGAAACAGGCGGCCATCTTGGGAAGGTGGGTTTAAGCTGTCGTAAGGAGCCCTCAGCTCCGATACGACTTTTGTTCATGGAATTGGAAAATATAGTCGCGAATACAGTCTACATCAAGGCGAGGGAAAGTATGACGCATTTTTACATCTGTATTTGCTATTTTTGATGCAATAAATGACGATAACGGACGTTTGCTTTGTCTGTTGAGTTGTACGTTATGTCTCGCTGGACATATTTATCAAAAGTAGCACACAAGTGTACATACATGTAAACATTTGTGTGTATAGTGTAGTTGCAACAACATTTTTTTGGTAATCACTGCGTTCCGTTGTGTTAAATTGTGACTTAATGTTTGTTGCAGGTAAGGCCAAGGGAAGGAGCAAAAAATGGCGTTCGTTTTTGCAATTTCCTCATATCTCACTGTGCATTCATTTGAAGAACGAACGTAAGTGTATCCGTTTACGAAATGTATTGTTAATGTAATCTGTCGTGTTGATGAAGCAAATCCTCCAATATCTTTCTCAAGTCGATCTCAGTTATCGTCAAATATACACGGAACCGATTGGCAGGGAGCTTTTTTGTGAGTTCTGCTCGTCCGACAGCTTTGCCGATGGTGAATTGTCGAGACTCGACAGCTTTCTAAGAGCTATAGTAAGTCGTTCTTGTTGATGTTTACAAACTGTGAGGTTATCGTTGTGTCCCTATCCTTACCCTGTCAAGAAACACTGTACGCATCAATCAGCATATAAGAGGAATATGTTTGAAGTTTAACTTATACCGACCAAATCGATTATTCATCGTCTAGATCGAGTACGAAACCGCAGCTGAAACCGAGCGAAAGAGGCTCGCCTCCAAACTTGTACAGGACTTCTTGAAGAGCGAAAAGGACGTAAGTTTTTCCTCGCGCTCGCAAACTTCGGGGCAGGTTTCGAACGTTAAGTGTTTTTGTATTAAAGTTTATCTATGCGGCCAATCTCTTATTTGTTTCTCACTTTGTGAATTTATTAATGATGCTCGAAAGGTATTACCAGTTGATAGTTTGCCATCATAAATTGCAATCGTTATGAATTATAACTGCATTCAGATAATTTTAAAGTGTTGCGAGTAATGTAATTTTCACGTTCATTAAACATTTTGCCTAACAAAGTCCGGAATTTCGTGATTTTTTCGTGGGGAATAATTCCACTTTTTACCTCATGTGCATTTCATGTCTATCTCGAATCTTAATTAGTTATGGTTTTTTAATGTCTAGGGAATGTGCCGCCCGTTTTTTTCCGTATTTAGTTAAAAGTGTAATAATTTTGCTGGGAATATTCACAAGTGCTTTGGAATATTCCATGCATATTAGTGTTCAACGGGATTTCAAATTTCGATATTGAATTATGAAATTAACACGTCCGATTTTGCCTGTTACAATGAGGAAACGACGCGTTCGTATTCTCGAGCGTTCGCTTTAATTTCATTTTTGCTTTAAGACGATTCGTTTTCTAACAAATATTAAAGTTTCTTCCGAAGCCGGGGTGAAAAAATGGAATAGCCCAACACCGAATTTGCAAGATTTATGGAAATGAGTTGCTGGGCAGCTGGTGGGTGGGAGATCTTCGGGCAAAATCACTCCAAGACGTACATTTTTTGTATAAAACAATTTCTCAGTTGTTTATTGTGTGTATATCTCTGCAGGGAGGAGGTTCTTTTGTCACATGTCACCTGTGTTTTAAATATAAATGTAGTTATAGTCATTTCACATTGTTGACTATACTCATATATTGAATTAGATATTTTTCTGTTATGTTTAGGACAGTAGTTACTTTAATGGAGTCATTGAAGCTTCTTCTGTAGAGGAATTTAACCAGCTTTATACCGATAATGAGTCTCTCACATCTGAACTATTCATCTCCTTTAAAAGGTATTGCATATTCCTGTTTCAATGTTGGTAATTCAGTCATATTTATTTGAGTGGAGATTTCTCTTGACTGAAACTATCAATGTTATGAAGCTTTCAACCATTGATTGGAGCCCTCTTCAGAATAAGAAATATATGATTTATTAAGAAAAAGGTACCATTCCTATTAACAATACACTTGCAACTATGGCAACACACTCTATGCCATCCAATTTCAATCTAGAGAAATCTCTACTCTAACATACACCTGAACTCTTACTATAAATATTATTGCCCATAACATAAATACTTCCTTTTAGGCCATAGATAAAAGATTTTATTGATAACAACACTTCATCTTTAACTTTAGACATCATCAGATTGAAATATGCATAGGAAGTTAGAAAACATGTATACTATATATACAATATTTACTGAAAGTTAGTTTACAAATTGTGATGATGACAATGTGGTGAGATTTGTCTGCTAAAGGATAGAGGGGGGTTAAATGGAAGTAGATGAAGTTTAGTGGGATAGAACTGCCTTGAATGTTAAGGGTTGGGTTAAGCCTGGAGATGAGGAGTTGGTGGATGGATGGTTTTGGGTTTAATATCAACACTGTTTTGTGTCGTATGTAGGTCAAACCATGCGCCATTTACACACCAGAGTAGCAGAACATTTGGGAATCTTGCCTTTGACAGGAAAACCTTGTCCAATCTATTCCAATCAACTCCATTGTGTTCATCTATTTAAAAACCACTAATCACTTTGCTGACTTTGACAACTTCAAAAATTTGTCATTCTCATCTAATGCATATCAACTATCTATCCACAAAAGTCTCCTCGTCTCTAGGCTTAACCCAACTTATAATGTCCGAGTGCTATCCCATTTAACCTCATCTAAGTCCATTCAACCTCGCTCTATCCTTTAGCACATAAATCTCACCACACTGTCATCACCATATCTTGTAACCTAGCATTCTGTAATTATTGTATAATTAGTATGTACGTATGCTTACAAACTTCCCATGTGTAATTTATTTCAATCTGATGATGTCTTAAGTTAAAGACAAAATGCTATCATCAATAAAATCTTCTATCCCTGGCCTTATTGAAAGTTAATTTGTTGAGCAATATATATTATAACAATATATATATATATATAATTATACTAATGGGAGAATATTCCTGGATAAAAGAGCCCTCAATATCCTATATATTAAAAGAGCGTAAGATAAAATGAAATAAAATCAACAAGTTTTTGCTGTTGCTACTCGCAGTTCACACCGTAGGGCGATCTTCTGGCAACTAACAGATTATTTATTATTCGCTGACTATATACATTGATTAAAAGGTGCTAGGTTAGGTGTTAGGTTATCCTAAAAGAATGTAAAAAGAACAAGATGTTAAATAAACATTCCCATATCTTAAGTGCATGTTGTCATGTAACCTAACACCTTTTAATCAATGTATATTGTCAGCGAATAATAAATAATTTGTCAGTTGCCTGAAGATCACCCTACGGTGTGAAACTCCGAGTAGCGACAGCAAAAACTTGTCCATTTTATTTCATTTTAAATATAATTATATTTATATCAAGAATTTGTTTTCCACCTGGCATATCTACAATCACAATATTGAACTATTCTTGAGCCTATGTTGTCACCTTTTATTTATCTCATGGCTTACTTTGAGATGGAATTTCCTTTGATGTTCTTGTTGTTATTGTGTGTCAGTTTTGTTGTGTCAACTTACCTGTGTTTTACATTGTGTAAAATATCCTTAAATGTTCCCATCTAGCTCTATAGAAAATTATTTTGGTGGTGCTCCATTTGAAAAATTTAAGGAAAGCATGTTTTTTGAACGCTATCTACAATGGAAATACCTTGAAAGGTGATGTGGAGCACATTTTCTTTGCATGCTATTCAATGTGTTTGATTGATGATGTTTTGCCAACAATTTTCTCAGGCAACCTGTGACAAAAAAACTTTTTCGTCATTATCGTGTTCTTGGTAAGGGAGGATTTGGCGAGGTATGTAGTATGACCGTGTCATTATTACATTATTACGATGATTGAATACAATAGATGTAAAATAGTAAATTAATCATGATAAATATCAACAGAGAGGAGATTAGAAATTCATAATAGTTGAACATTATTTTATCATTTAATTTATGCACATCACATAGTATTGAAGATTAAGTATTGTATAGATACATAGTTATCTTTAGGATTAACTTAAGCTATGGTTGTGTAAATTTAAATTGTCACAAGTAGTGTCTTTATTCAGTGAAATTTTCATATTTCCTCACTCTGCAAGATTTAATAAGCACGTTATTTTTGCAGCTTTTTTATTGTATTCAATATTTTTATCATTTTTTATCGTCACTGGTTTTGTTGTTGTTTTGTTTGATGTTTATATCTCGGCCTTGAAATGTAGCATTTGGGTCATTTTTCCTCTGATAGTAAAGCTCATTCTGGGAGTGTTCTTTGTGATCACTTTATAGCACTAAAGGGCTTTGTGTAGTTTCCTTTAAAAGTTTTTCATTGTTTTCATGAGCAAGCAAGACGAATCTCTTGAGAGGATGTGTTTATATAGACCGTAACTCAACCAATAAATCCCTTAATTGGACGAAGGGTCATCTAGCACTGGGACCACAACTTTAAGTGGACCCCTACTTGAGCTAGGCTCCTTTAGCAAAGAAAACATTTGCAATTGAGAATATTTTTCAGTTGCTAGGTTCTTTTCTAAGTTTGGGCCACACCAGATTGCTGACTTTAAAATCATGACATCAGAGGACTTTTGAAGAAAATTTTGCCCAAGCCGCGATTTTTTGTGTCCTTGTGTGTAACCGGAGTGTTGTATTATTTATCTGAAGGTGTGTGCTTGTCAAAGCAAGATTAGTGGCAAAATGTATGCAATGAAAAAGCTAGAAAAAAAGAGGATAAAAAGGCGCAGGGGGGAGGCGATGGCACTGAACGAGAAGCAGTTGCTTGAAAAAGTGGATTGTAGATTTGTGGTAAGTGTATTATGGTTGAGATTCTCTATCCCCGACCCTCCCTCCCTCTCATAATTTATGCCGTTTACCAGAAATGATGCAATTAACGCCCTCCATCAAACAAACCGTTTCTTATTATCAAACGACGTGTATTGGACGTCTCTCTAATAAACGCCCCGTCTCTTTCTCATCGATGCCTACGTCATTCGATTATGATAATATAATTATAATAGTGGGTTCTTGTTTGAGCTCAGAAATAGTATATGTAGTGTAATTTTGTTTGTTCGCAATAAAGTTATACGTAGAAATGATATAAACGTATCTGTCTATGAAAGGCATGGTGTAGCGCTCCCTATAACTACTAAAATTTATCGAATTCCCGGGTGTTTATTAATTAGTTAACTTTCCCATGGTCAGTGGCAGACTGTATGGCGGGGAGGGGCACCAATACTTTTGAAAGACAACAAATCATGCGCTGAATAGCTGTCTATACACTTCTTGACGTATACATTAAACCTTGATTTTATTGTACTTGGTAGGATGACCCTGGAAAACTTGTGCCTTGGAGACAAGCTCCCCACCAGTATTTTATGAATTGTCCGACACTGCCCTTGATGTAGATTACCATCGTTTTTTTGTCTTAGGTCAGTTTAGCTTATGCGTATGAGACGAAGGACGCTCTTTGTATGGTCCTGACACTGATGAATGGTGGTGATTTGAAATTTCACATTCACAACATGGGAAATCCTGGATTCCTAGAGGAACGAGCATATTTCTACGCTGCTGAAGTTGCCAGTGGTTTGATTGCTCTTCACTCCAAAAGAATTGTGTACAGGTAGCGATGGTTGCCTAGCAATGGTTGCCAAGTGATTTCAACCGCAGTCAGAATTATGTGGTAATGAATATTTGTTTAGGGACATGAAACCTGAGAATATACTGCTTGATGATGATGGTCATGTCAGGATATCAGATTTAGGCTTAGCTATTGAAATTCCCGAGGAGGACAATGTTCGGGGACGTGTTGGAACTGTTGGATATATGGGTATGATTGTGGATCGAAGCGCTTTTTGGCTAAGTGTCGTAATTTCAGCATAAATTTTGTGTTTAATGATCTGCCATTGTTCTCGTGGATTAGAAATTTAAATTAGAACTTAACAAAATATCTTTTGACATGTTGACATCGATACATTGGTTGTTGGGGGGGGGCATATTCATATATATATATTCTCCCCCCTCCCTCCCCTCCCCCAAATGAGCGTTCGAATGACGCGCGTAGTTTGAGTTTGGGGGTTTAAGGAATTAGTGCATATTTCTAAGTTCAAAATTCAATCTGCTTGGTGGGAGAGAGCATTTCATATATGAACGTGAAAATTGTCAATTTTCATGTTTACAGCTCCGGAAGTCATTCTTAATGAACGTTATACGTTTTCACCGGACTGGTGGGGTCTAGGTTGTCTTATATATGAAATGATTCAAGGCAAGGTAAGCCAGTCTGTCACATCTCACGTGGATCGTACTTCATATATGTGTGTCCCGTGGTAAATCGTTTTTTCCGTGTAGTCCCCGTTCCGCGCGAGACGCGAGAAAGTGAAACGCGATGAAGTCGAGAGACGTGTCAAGGAAGATACAGAGGAGTATTCAGATAAATTCAGTAGCCATGCTCGACTTATTTGCTCACAGGTATAAAGCACCGATCGTCCGCGATATGGAGTATACCACGAATGAATGTGTTTATGAATCAAATTCATCCCAATTATCAAACCTCCCATTCGTTTTCAGTTACTCTCGAAAGATCCGAAGACAAGACTTGGTTGTCGCGAAGGAGGCTGGGACGAGTTGAGGCGACATCAATTTTTTAAGAATATTAATTGGGCACAGCTGGAAGCGGGACTCATTACACCGCCATTTGTTCCAGATGTAAGTGGCTTGATCTCATGTTTGTTTAACTTAATTTGTTTTCTTTAGTTAGTTTAAACAAAAACATCAGACTCCGAGGCCCCTTTCACACTGCGCCGGATTGCTATCGCAGCTTGTTAAATTTTCTATTTGTAAAAAGGCAGTGATAACGCTTACCATGAGGAACAAAAGCGAGTGAGCTAAATCTGTCAAGCATTCGGTCTAAATCATTGCTCCTTAAAGTGCCCCTATCAGTAAAAACGTTTGTTTGCAAATGTGAAATGTGAAATGTCTAACGTATCCGGTGAAAATGATTCAATTTGCTCAAATCGTCTCCTTGTTATGGCAGTTTAAAGTTGCTTTTCAACGGACCTTGTCCGTCGTGGCTTGAAGCCTGGGTCGAGCCAAATTGTGACTTCAAGGTAGTTGGCATGTTTATCTTATATGAGGAATCCCTTGCATGACGTCACAAAAGTAGGTCGTTTTAAAATTTCGACGGAGAAGGTCCACCAACAAGAGCATTTTTGCCAACTTGAAACAGCCATAAAAATGGAACGATTCTACCAAGTTAAAAACTTTTATCGTTGATACACTGGAAATCGCACCTAAATTTAATATCGCAATGAAAAATTTTATGCCGAAAGTGGGAACTTTAAAAAAAACAAAGACATCGTGAGCCGCAAACCCGGTATAACGTGAAAGTTGCCTTAGCACTATATTTATATGAAACTCATTAAAGGTTATTCCTTATTGTTGTATAGTCTAAAACCCACTAGAGATATGATATATAATAAAACACACGTTTTTCTTTCATTATAACAGCCTCGTGCCGTTTATTGCAAGGATGTCCTTGACATTGAACAGTTTTCATCTGTGAAAGGCGTTCGACTTGATGATAACGATGAAGGATTTTATCATAAGTTCGCTACCGGATGTGTTGCGATTCCTTGGCAAAGTGAGGTATATCACAAGTCCTTGGTGCTTCAATGTTTATTTTATTTACTCCGGTGTTTTATTGCTTTAATTCATATTCGGAATCCATTTGCACAGTCTTGTCTAACTCTAATTCATTGATATTGAGATGATCGAGATGGAATGCTATAAAGAACTCAACGTCTTCGGTCCTAATGGAACGCGGTCAGTGGATCTTTTAGGCGACCACCCCCCGGAACCGGAAAAAGATCCCGGCTGTTTTAGCGGCTTATGCTGTAGTAGTTCTAATAATTCGAAGGTGAACTTATTTTCATTGATTAATGTCGTGTAATTGTTCTTATGTGTAAAAAAGTGTTTTCATTCAGATAGAAACGACCGAGGCTACCACAACAACAAGTATAAGCAAAAATTCATGAAACATCCCCACAGTCGTAGCAAATCTTTCCTTTCCTGTACATAACGCTGGGCATAATTTATATAATTTGGTGGAAATATTTTTAACTCCGAAGAATACTTGGGTCGGGAACGCTTGTATGGAGAGAAACTCAAGGCTGGTCCATTCTTTTTCATAGTTAGAAATTTTCTTGAAGGTATTACTCAAATTGAATCGCTTACCTTTGGATGACGTCATCGGGAGAATGCGAGCACATGATGGACACGTGATGCTCGCCAAGTCAGCATTGTCTTCATCATGATTAGCTAAGCCTTAGAACGTGAATTTTTTTGTGAACTATGATTGGCTCGTCTTGTGTGAACTGCCCGTTGCTATGATTGACTTATATTATGAATTCTGGACCATTGAACTAAATATAACTGGAAGGTTACATCAAGCCAAAGGTTGAAACGAGCGATGAAACTAGTTCCAATCTTTCAATGCGCGGCCAATAGTAATTTCATTCACGACTGGACTCAAATTGTTTCCGGTCAAGATGACCGGTCGACAGTTCATTTTAGCTCGGTCAAAGTCGGTTTTTGACCGATCACTTATACATATAAATTGCATCGTACTAAATGTACACCGTCCTGGTTAGTGAAGTCCTAAGGACTGTTTGTGTTGGTGTTGACTGACGTTTCGACAACATGACGGTAGTTCTCGTCAGAGTAAGTTGTACCTGTAGTCCTCGCTTGACTATGAAGATGACTACCGCCAAGGCTGTCGAAACGTCAGTCAACATTACCACCAACAGTCTTTGTCAGGACTTCACTAACTAGGATCATCTACCAACAACATGCATGTAACGATACTCCGGGCCTTGAACCATTCAATTCATGCATAAATTGCTCAAAAAACGCGAAATGTGTTTGACATTTTAAGCTCGCAAGATGTTACCATGCATCGCATGACAGTTGTACTTTTGACAGACGTCAAAATGACCGACCGGGTAGTAAATTGGACGATCAACAAGCTTTTTTGGACGGTTAATTTCCGTTGACCGACCGTTATTTTGAGCCCTGTTGCGACAATAAGCTAGGCTTGAGGATAAAATTTGTCTTCGCGCAAAGTAAACGCATGTTTACCTAAAGGTAGCATTCCAGTTACATATTTAGCTCAATGATTCTGACGCGGTCATACGCACATGATAAACGCGTGGCTCAGAAGAGATTTAAGTTTTCATGTGCGCATAACCTTGTCAGTATTCATAATATGATTCCCTGATGATGGCTTTGCTATGACTGTCTTATCATATATGAAGAAATCATATGGCTCTTATGGTTTCTTATTTTCCTAAATCGTATGGTAGAGTGAAGATCCTTACTGGCTGGTCCACCATTGGTATTAATTGTACAGTTATAAATCGAATTTGTAGCAATTTAGAATAAATTTTGTCACTCTTTTATTGTTTAACGTAGCCTTGCTTATCATTAACCGGTCCTTGCATAGATCATCTTTGCACGGACTTGTACCGTAGCTTCACATTTCTAATTGCTTGGTCTTTTTCCATTAATCGAAAACGTTAATATTGAACACCAGCTTTTTCGTAAGGCATCATACGTTCGAGTCACGTGAACAGACACAGCATGTTCACGTGTGTGACTATGGGTTCACGTGTGCATGATCGATTTCCAGAAATGCGATTTTTGTTACTGTGTTCCCGGAAATGGTGTTTCTTAGACGTCGCTTTACGCATGGTTTCTTTGATGGTTGAGCTCTATCTCTGAAGGAGTAGGAACAATGGTAACTGCTGAATTGCTCTTTATTCATCCAATTTACTCGCGGTTGCTTCGCTTAAAATATTTCGTTTCCATTCCTCAATCGCAGCTCCCGATAGCTGTTTGACTTTTAGCAAGTTTCCGTCGTCATCTTAAGTAAGAAAATGTCGCGTTAGAAAAAACGATGGTGGCTGGAAGGTAGACAACATTTACCCGATGTAACTGGACTTTCCCTCATGAAATCCTTTATGGATTTTTCGACACAAAATATCGCTCTTTTTCGGAACTCTTCCATGTTTTCATTTTTGCTGAAAAGAAACAGGTCAACCCAGGGTCGTCTATGAATACAAAAAGCTTGAAAAAATTGCTAAATTCATACCAATCCGTTCCATCGATATTTATCTCTCCCCCTCGGCTTCCGTCGTTAAAGCACTCTTTCAAATACGTCAACAGGTCTCTAAAATAGGACAAAAAGTTTTCTAAAAAACCAATCTTTGTTGTTTATCGACCACATTAAAAGCATTTCACACCCGACGTGATTTTCTTTGTTCCAGCATGGGAAGGCTTTGTCGATGTTGAGTGTCCTAAAAATTGAATTCCGCTAGTTCTTCATCTTCGATGAATTAAAGAATCAATACTCTCTTACCCGTTTTTGTGGATCTGGGGATGAAAGACGTCACTTGTAAACCGAACTAACGGTGCAGTGTTGGGAAAACTGTCAAGTACACATTCAGGAGTGAAATATATCTGCGGTCACTATCATCTAGATTGTGATAATTTCAATCTTCCAAACGTACTTGTCACATGTTTGTAAATGTAGATCGTCCAGTTTGTTATAGTCCTGAGAAGACTGTTTTTGTTGTTGTTGTCTGACGTTTCGACAACCATTTGACTCTGAAGATGACTACCGCTAAGGTTGTCGAAACGTCAGTCAACAACAACAAAAACAGCCCTTCTCAAGACTATACCAACCTGGACGATCTACATTTACAAACATGTAACGATACTCCCAGGTTCAAACCATTTACTTTAAAACGTACTTGTCTTTAAACAGAATGTCAAATCTGAATATTCCTTGACGATAAGGACCGGTCCTCAGGAAGATAACCCCGTGCCAAACTAAAGAAGGAAATGAGCCAAATTACAACTTCCGCTCTCTGCGGATGATGCACTGAGATATTGGATGATTGTGGATACCCTCTTTCGTTTGCTAAGACAATGGCTGACTTGTTCTTTCTTACCTTGAAAGGATTTTATCGATGGAATTACGTAAACTCCATCGGGAGGATTTTTACACAGATACTCGCTGCAAACAAAACATTCGCGTCAATGAACACGCCGGCAAATGAAGTTAATGACATCACATAAAGTTATCCGTCACGACGCACATATTTTCACGTAAATCAGACATTATAAATTCACGCAAAATACAAAATTAACGACCGAATTGACCAGCTCTTTAATTATAGAAACGTTTGCGGTCACTTACAATTCCGTAATAATGTCGTGCTGGATGAAGTAGCGAGAAAAATCCTCATTGACGTCAACGAATGACTCATAACCATCCCCTTCACAAGGGAAATCGTCGCTAACTACATTAGCGTCATTTGCCATTGCTCGTTTCAGAGCTCTGCCGGGGTAGCGTAATAACTTTTTCGTCTCTTTTTTTAACTTGCTGCTGAGACCAAAAACGTTAACCGGTATTCTTTGTCTCGTATCTCGCGAAGTGTTTTCAAATTCTTCCGATTCAAGCTCGCTGCCATTGACGTGCGTCCTTGAATCCTGTTCGTTATTCATCGCAGGCATTGTAATCTGTCTTTAGTCTTTTCGTTGATCAGTGTGTAGTTTGTTGAAAATGATTGTTATAAATATATAATTCGTTTGTGTGTGTCACTGTCAACAAACCATTCACGACCCGCCATGACTTTTGTTAAAAACCTTTAATAATTTAACCCGCATGCTGCCATAAGGCCACAGCCAGTCATCAATGGCCACTGAAAAGCTCGTGTTACCGTTTATCAAATTTCATGCAATTTTAGGCATATTGGAAATGTTGTGCAATCGAATAATATGAATTAATTTGTTTGTGTTGTGGCGGTGGTAGCTCCTCAAAGTGAATGACATCTTTCATTTGTTTCTGCTCCGAAAAAGTTTTCATACCATAAATGAATAAAATGGACATACTTAGCATCTTACTGCTACAGGAGATTTTTGCTTCGTTTCATTATAATAGTTTTACTAAAAATAAATGCATAGCTTAAAGAAGTCAAACTAATCTTAATCATAATTCCTCAATCAATCTGGAAAAAACGATGAAGAATCAAGAAATGTCTGATACAATGACTGGTCTGAAATTAGACTGAAAAGACTGAAATAGAAATGAACAAGTAAACTAGTTCCAGTCCCTTTCAAACATTCTTATTTTCAATATGGCTGCCGCAGCCGAAGAAGTGGCTAATAATAATCCTTTGAGTAAAACTTTTGACAGCAAAGCCAGTGCCGATCTAGAGAGAGTAACTGATTACGAAGAAGACAAAGAAATAAGTCCAGTCAATATTGGAAGTGTTAGTACGATGATAGATTTTTACTGGCTTTTATTTTCATGAAATGGTTTAACTTAAAAGTTGAAGTTACAGAAACTTTTAAACAGACTTCAGTCACTTAACTTGCCTGGGCTTGACTTGTCGGTTGGCAATATGAATATTGTGTGAAATGTAGCTCTTAAAGAAAATAGATTAGGATAAGTAACGCGATTGTATTATACTACTGTAGGCAATATCGTTTGTGGATGATACTTACTCAAAAGAAAAAGCAGCCAAAGCTGAAAGGTATTTGATATTTAATACCATTTGAGGATTGTGTGTCGACTGCATATGACTCACTCTGGGTAAAAAGCATATCTTTTGCAAACAGCATATTTCCTCTTTATAAGGACATAGCACATTGACGGCTATTTTATGTAGTTGGTTTACAAAAGCTGGCATTATTTGTTTTGTTTTTATTGAATAATTTGCAAAATTTACATGGACAAATATTTTGAAATTAATGATGAGCTTATATTATTTAATTGTTTTGTTATCATGTGACCCTGTAACCAAGGTTACACCAACCCCCTTTACCCTCCCCCCCAGTAAACCTATTCCTCTCCCCTTCCAATTAATCCATCCCTGATCTGAAGCTCATTTTTGTAATCTTTAGAGAGAAAGAACTGGCAAAGGTTTCTATAAAAAAAGAGGATGTTGTTTTGATCGTAAGTAATTTTGTAAATCAAGTACATGCTATTAAATAATCTTGAATAAACCCGAATGACTTATTTGTAGATGAAAGAAATGGAGATCTCTAAATCAGCAGCAGAATGGAGTCTGAGAAGTAATGGCGGTGATGTAGTCAGAGCTTTGATATCATTGACAAACTAGGAAAGGTTTTGTATTTAATCTTATGTGTGCTAGTATTGCAAAGGTAAAGGATAAGGCTTGTGACAGAGAAACTATGAAACTCTGCATTTGAAACCATGGAAATCATTTGATGTAATATTTATCTTTTTCAAAATGAATTTGTGCGCATTTGCATTGCGAACCATTCATGTTTAAAAATTTTGTTTTGTTTTTTTCTTAAATCAAATCCAACTGATGATTTCAAGTGATTTAATGTGCGTGATGTTTATTTATTCACAGAAATGTACATTTTTTGTTTTGTTGCATTTTCACGAAATTGTCATAGATGATTTCCTCATTAAAACTTTATCTCTATACATGATTGCCTCATTAAAACTTTATCTCTATACATGATTGCCTCATTAAAACTTTATCTCTATACATGATTGCCTCATTAAAACTTTATCTTTATACAAAAACAGTATTTTAAACCAGGGAGTTTTTTTGCTGCTACATATCTGTTCCTGTTTTTGTACTCGTTCTCGTTGACTAACTAAAATTTATGTCATAAACGGGCTGGGGTTATGCCAAGGATGAGCCCACAATGTTGTTGGCTATGGTTTGTTGCTGAATTACGTTATGCAACAGCGTCTATTGCATATTTGATTGCTGGCGTGTCGGGCAGTAAAATGTTGAAATCTGATGAAAACTTTAGTATGCGTCACTACTCTCTCGGTTGAAATAGATAGAATCATTTTTACGAAAGCTATGGAGGAATTTGAGAGGGCCTTGGCCAATGCTCAATTGATTAGACGAGTTCAACACAATCAAGATAAGTTAAGAAAATTTTTGAACTTAGACAGCTAAGACGGCCGTTTCCAAAAGAAGTTATCGTTTTGCTCGCAAGGCAATCGGCGAGGCAATGTATACGATAAAAAAACTGCAGGATACAAGGTAATAAAAATACCTCTGTTATTGAGTTTCCCTAACATACCTACAATATTTTAGCACTATCATAACGTGGTTCGAATTTTCCTCACTTGAGTTAACAGGTTGTTGCTGTATGATTTTATTGCTTAATCAAGCATTATTACTTCCAAACTTCTTGTTTCCCCCGTCTTCAAAAATCTATAAAATAAAACGAACGAACGAAAAAAGTTAGAATGGGATTCAAGAATATTATACTCTTTTTCAAGCACTCTATATATATAGTTTATCCTCTTTCAACACGACTCTTAATAAAATATACTTTTCCCATTTATAATTTATTTAATAGTACATTGGTTTGTTTGTGTTTTTTAATGTCAAAATTCTTATGAGCTTTATTGAGGCCTCTATGTTTATTTTTTTACTTAGGAAAGGCGTTTAAAAGAAGTGTAATGACGTCAGGAAGAAGCTTTCTTGTTGATTTAAGGAGAAAAATTGGTTAATCTGCTTTCGAAGAAGTGTTAGCCATGCATGTTTGCCATTGATGACATATAAAGCATGTACGACGGAATTTAGGGCACGAAGAATATTTCCACCGCCATTGAATATGCTGCGAGCAGAAACTGTGGATTATATCAAAAGGAGCAAAATTGAAAGCCACCCCAGGTATGACTGTTACAGTCGTAGTGTCTGGCAGGAAGTTCTGGTTCAATAGCAAAGATATCCGTACCATTGCTGGTTGTTTAATGATTCAAGGAATGAAAACTTATTGTAATTGTTAATATAACCATCTAGCTAGCAGCAAAAATCTTGCATTATGCCTGACGGAAATCGTGTTTTGTTATATGATAGTAAAATAAATCATTTATGGTCTCAAAATTCTCTTGATTATAACTTAAATTTAAGTTTACAAGATGTCCTTTCTCGGTTTATATTTTATTTTATTTTTTAAGAAATTGTCGTCTGGTCAAGGATTGAAGTCTATTGAAGTTGTATTGAATCAATCATTAAGCATTCAATGACGTCATTACAATGGTTTCTTATGTTACATAAAAAGTCAGAGAACTGTATTTTCCGAGATATTTGACAATCATGGAGGGTCGAACAGCTTTTCTAGTATTAGCACTGTTTCAAATGGCGTTCATTTCTTCTGCGTTCGATCTCTATGGTTCAATGGATGATGCCCGTGATGCAATAATGTCATTCAGTTATAATCCCATACACATCGTGAAAGCGTTTGGTACAAAAGCAGTAGGTGTAGCAAAGAAATTTGTTGGAGAGTATTTTTTTAAGAGACTTAGTTGCTTTCCTTCCTTTTTCGGGCACATATCATCTCGTATTATGTCATCATTACCTCAACCATGGATCAACAAGAAGAAACGATTTCCATTAAATAATGCTTTCGATATTTATGGTTCAATGGATGACGCGCAAGACGCGATAATGTCATTTTATGATCCTGTGCACACCGAGGAAGCTTCTAGCGCCACGACACCGGTATTGAAGAGAGTGAACAAGAAATTGACTGGTAAACCGAGGCAAGTGAAGAAGAAACGAATATCATTAAATAAATTTACAGAAGCTATGGGGGACATTGAGAAGGCCGTAGCCGACGCTCAATTGATCATACGAGTCCAACACGATGAAGATAGACTAAGAAAAATGACAAAGTTGATTAAGACAGCCGTTTTAAAGAGAAGTTATGGTTTTGCTCGCAAGGCAATCGGTGAGGCAATGTATACGATTAAGAAACTGCAGGGAAAAAGGTAAAAAAATCCTCTGTTATTGGTTTTCGCTTTTTTTCAAGTTAACATTTTTCGCATCTTGCCACACCATTCTATCGTGCTCTTTCTTTCCTCGTGTACACAAATAAATTGATGGATTTCAAAATAGCAAATACCATGGTGAATGGTGATAATAACAATGTAATAGTTCTTAAAAGAACTGTTTTAACCAGAACACTAACCCAACAATTCAAAGGAACCGTTATTTACAGCTAGAAAGAGACACTATGCATTTCGGCAGACTACTCGTCAAGTGTCAACGTTTGCTAAATGAGAACCTCCAAATCATGCTATATTTATAATGTAACAAAAGGTCAATGTCATCCCTTTTGTAACATAACCTTTTGTAACATGGTATTTGCTATTTTGAAATCCATCTTTAAGTTTGTCACCACGACAAAGTCACTGTTTCATTATTTAAGAAATAAATTGAACAAACGATAAAAAAAATGCTGAGATGGAAGACAAGAATATTATTGTGCTGTAATCTCTCTCAACAACTGTACATAAATGTAAGACTATCTTTCAACACAACTCTAGTGGAAATATTTTCTTTTCCGGTATAATTAATTGATTAGTACATTGATTTGCTTGTTTTTTTTGTCATTAAAATGTTTTTCCTCGAATTTTCGTTCTTTGCACTTTAGTCTATGGTTTTTATTGAGGTCACTGTGGTTTTTCGTTTAGGAACAGCAGACGAGGTAAAAGAAGTTCAACATTATCAACTAAGAACTTTATTCTCAACTTAAAAAAGACAATCGGTGCATCGGCTTTCAACGATTTGTTTGCCATGCATGGTCAGGTTACACTTATGTTTGCCATTGATGACACTGGGAGCATGAGTGATGAAATTCAGGGTGCGAAGAATTTAGCCACAGCTATTGTGAACAAGCAGCGAGAAGAACCCGTGGATTATATCTTGTCGCCTTTTAATGATCCAGGTAAAAAAAACTCACACAATGTCGTTGTGTGAGATATCAGTCATCGATCAGATAATGATTAATCCGTATATCATGAGACTGTTCGCATGTGTTTTTTCAAACTAAAGAAATTTCGCCTTGACCTCTAGTAATAGTTTAATAAGCCCTTAATAACCGAGCGCGAGATCTTTACGGAGAAATATCGGACCGAATATTTTTTGGACAGACCGAGCCTGTAGGGCGAGGTTTGTACAAAAAGACAGAGGTCCGATATTTCTCAGTTAAGACCGAGAAAGCGAGGTTATTAAAAGGTTTATTATATGGCATTATTTGACCTGAAACGAAGCTTGCTTTCTTTCTCGTCCTTGTTGTTTTTTACCGGTTGGCTTTCACTTTTCTAGTTTTCGTCTTAAAAAATAAATCGTTTCAAATTGTATCGTCTAGATAGTTTAACTGTGTTCCAAGTGTTTTTCCTTCGAATCGCATTCGCAAATGGTTTTTTGTTTCGTTTATTTTTCGTTTTGCTGTTTGCATTACGAAGTTTGTTTACATTTGACTGTAAAATTACGGGTTTTAGACCGTGGTCGATTACGGGAAAATAATGGACCGGCAAAAATGTTTCTGAGTTGGTGGGTGAAACGTGATGTAGTTTGCATGTGTGTTCTCTCATAAACCTGGACCAGCTCATGATAATTTCATAATTTAACATTATTGCTACAATGCTTTGCCTTTTTAGTTGCATTTTATGATGATATGTTTATGTTTTAGGCACTGGTCCGGTCACATATTGTGATGAAACACAAACAGACAAATTTCTTGAGGCGATTTCCTCATTGGAACCTCATGGTGGAGAAGACTGTGCCGAGTTGACGTTCACTGGTATGAACAATGCCATCGATGGAGGTCCTCAGCCACGTTCTCCACTTTACGTGTTTACTGATGCCGGACCAAAAGACGCCAACAACAAAAACATCACGTACTTATTGGAAATCGCCAAAAAACAAGGATTTGTCGTCAATTTCTTTGTTGTGAAAGGCACGGGATGTTCTAGGAAGGCTGACATTACGATCTTTCATAAAATAGCTGAAGGGACGGGCGGTCAAGTGTTTGAATTGGAAGATGCGGCCGAATTAGAGAAATTTGCCAGTCTTACTGCCACTTCGCTTCATGCAACAGCAGACGTTAGTAAGTTTAGTTACAAAGCTACTACTGAACGGAAAAAAAGAAGTTTGTCGAAACAAAATAAGCTATATCCAATCACTGTTGACGATTCTATCGACACAATGGTCATTTCAGTAACCGCTGATCAAGCTTATGGAAGCGGAAATTCGTGGAGTGTGACTTCTTCCACAGGATCGCTCGCGGGCGTCCCAACTGAGAAATTGAGCTATGGGAGAATTTATGAAATCTCAAATCCTAAAGTTGGAATATGGAATTTAGAAATACAATCGAGACCGGACGTGAACTATGATATTTCAGTAAAGGGAGTGAGTACAGATAATATTGACTGTCAAGTTTATTTTGTTCGAACGACCTCTCGTCGTGGAGTACAAACCACATTCCCGATATCATCTCCTATATTAGGTAAGAGTGAAAATTTTTATTGTAAATTGTCGCGGTGTTGTGTCAGTTCTCCTTGATTTATGCTTATCAAGTTATGAATTCATAATCCTCCATATTGTCAGGTGTTCAAGCTGAAGCAATTTTAACTGTTGGAGGAATCTCTCATGTCAACAAGAGAAGTTTGGCCGCGGAACTTGTGACTTTGGGTGGTGACGTCATCACAAGCACAAGACCAACGTCATTCTCCGCTAAAGATAGCAAAGGGATTAGGTATTCGTTCAAATTTCATCCACCAAATCAAATTTTCAAAATCAAATTGAAAGGTCTCACAAAGAAAGGCAATTCATTCGAGCGCATTTCTAAAACACCAGTTAAAGCAGAAACATTGATAGTGAAAGTATTGTACGCAAGAAACGATTTCACATTGAAACACGGAAGCACAACTTTTTTAATTTTCTCGATTGAGAACTTTGGGAACAATGAGGTCGTCGATTTTAAATCGTTTGGAAACTTGGGAACAGTCAAAAGTCAGAACAGAAAGTTTGGTCTCGCGCGTAAAGGTCGGGAAACATCGTTTGCCGTCACGTTCCGAGGAAAACCGAAAGCCACCCCAGGTATGACTGTTACAGTCGTAGTGTCTGTGACAGGAAGAAGTTCTGGTTCAGTAGCAAAGGTGTCTGTTCCATTGCTGGTTGTTGAATGATACAAGGAATGAAAAATTCTTGCATGTAATTGTTTATATTTACCTTTTAGTTAACAGCAGAAATCTTTTATAAATCATAACGGAATGCGTATTTCGTTATATTATAGTAATAACTATTTTAATGTGAGGTAGTAAATTAGTGATAAATACGATGGAAATTGTTCATATATATTCTTACATTTTCATGAAAACGTCAAATATTAGATAGTTTTAGAAAAGGGCGTTTAGGAAGCGATTGCGCCTCATCTTGGTGATTACCTGTAAAGAATGCATCTCTCTGCTCAAAATAGTGCCGAACATCGCGATGATTCTAACATGAAGGCAATATTAGCTAACATGGAGATCACTCAATTTACGGCGCAAACTCTCTTCACGTGAATAATTTCGAGTATTTATGAGTGGTTTCTATCAGCCAAACTCAAAACCTTAGTGGAAAGCTTGGCCTTTACCGCTGAAGACTACAACTGCGCCAAAGCTACCATTTATCAAAAGTCCGTGTACGCCTTAATGTTTTTGGAGAACACAAATCTTATTAAGCAAAAAGGCATCCAGAAATTTTTTTAGTCTCACACACAGTTGTGAAGATAGTAACACCTTTTACTAGAATCTGAAGACATGAGTTGATCAAAAGTCCAAAGGCCAGGCTTTACGTAAGGAGTAAAAGTATTTATATTGAAGAACCATATTGAAGATTCGTATTATAACCACAACATCAGGAATTTGAAGAGGTTATCTCATCATATACAAGCGTTCGTTTACCTCGAAACAAAAAGAACAGCAAAGAGAGCAGAAACTTGCCAACTTTCAACAGTAAACAAACCATGGGAGACATCTTATATTACAAACTCCTTCGGCAAGGGGATTCAACTCCCCCTCCCATGTCAGTGATATCAATCATTGCATAATATAAGTAACTGCTATTTTGGGAATGTTTTGCCTCCCCAAATAAAATCATTTCGGCGCGATTGCCCCAGCGTCAATAATAAAAACCTCACAGTTCAAATGGCCTAATGCAAATCTTTGTAGTCACGTTTTGCGCATTTCGTTCAAGCATTTCAAAGCAAAATTTCTGACAACCGGAATTGAAAAGTCACAATAATGACGCACACTTTCTTCCATAGTCTGCATGATTATTTAACGCGTATGTACAAATCTCGAAATCGTCCCTGTTGAGATTGATGTAATCACTTGTGTGAATAACGCCATTACACTCGGTAGGAAAAAGGTAGAATATTTAAAATGTTCTCAGTTGACTTGTTAGACAATTTTAGAGATTTTTTCGTCGACTAACGTTATCGTTCAAATCATTCTGGTTCTAGTGCGTGCGTCTACAAATATCTAGATTTCTTTGTTTTCGCAAATTTTGCAAAGATTTTCTCGCGGTTTAGCTTATCTTCTACTCATATCCGGCAATTTGTCACGTGTTTCAGCAGCTAATCGACAACATTGATGGACAAGATTGATATTTGACTCATCTGACACGAATGACAAATGTTGTTCAAAACTTCCGCGCACACTAGGAAATTTTGTCGATCACACTTGTCACGAATAACAAGTACGCGTGGCAAGTTCACCAGTGTGCGGGGGTCTTAAGAGAACCGTGCAGAGACTCGCAACAGCTTGTGAGAGATATTCAACAACCATGAAGGGTCTGACAGCTTTGCTTCTTCTCTTCCAAATGGCGCTCGTTTATTGTGCGTTCAATCTTTATGGGTCAATGGACGACGCCCGCGACGCGATAATGTCATTTTATGATCCTGTGCACATCGAGAAAATATCTCGTGCGAGGCCACCACCTGTATTGATGAAAGTGCCTTCCTCTGGCGGCGGTTGGAGGAGAAGAACCAACTCAATGAGGAAAAAAATCACTCGTAAACCAACGCTTGTGAAGAAGAAACGAGTTTCATTAAATAAATTTACAGAAGCTATGGAGGACATTGAGAGGGCCTTGGCCAATGCTCAATTGATCAGACGAGTCCAGCACAATCAAGATAGGTTAAGAAAATTGTTAAAGTTGATTAAGACGGCCGTTTCCAAAAGAAGTTATCGTTTTGCTCGCAAGGCAATCGGTGAGGCAATGTTTACGATAAAAAAACTGCAGGATACAAGGTAAAAAATCCTCTGTTATTGAGTTTCCCTAACATACCTACAATATTTTGGCACCATTTTGCCGCATTAAAGTCGTCCTTGCTTAAGTTAATCGGTTGTTGCTGTACTATTTTATCGTTTAGTCTCGCTTTATTTCTTTCGAACTTCTTGTTTGCTTCGAAAATAAATAAAATAAAACGAACAAATGGGGAAAAAGGACATTCAACATTTATTGTCATCTCTTTCAACAACTCTTTATAAATAAATGATCTTTCAACACGACTCTAATTGAAAAATACCTCTCCCCAAGTGTTTTTCTGTTAAAATTTTTACCTCGATTTTTTGTTCTTGTGAACTCTATTGAGACCATTGCGTTTTTCCAACTCAGGAGAGGCACGCGAGGGAAAAGAAGTGCAATGACGTCAGGAAGGAGCTTTCTTGGCAACTTGAAGCAGACAATCGGTGCATCGGCTTTCAACGATTTGTTTGCCATGCATGGTCAGGTGACACTTATGTTTGCCATTGATGACACTGGGAGCATGAGTGATGAAATTCAAGGTGCAAAGAATTTAGCCACAGCTATTGTGAACATGCAGCGAGCAGAACCCGTGGATTATATCTTGTCGCCTTTTAATGATCCAGGTAAACAAAACTCTCTCACACACACATTGTTAATCGATCGATTTGGTCGGTGAAACGTGATGTAGTTTGGATGTGTGTTCTCTCATAAACCTGGACCTGCTTATGATAATTTCATAATTTAACATTATTGCTACAATGCTTTGCCTTTTTAGTTGCATTTTATGATGATACGTTTATGTTTTAGGCACTGGTCCGGTCACATATTGCGATGAAACGGAAAAAGGCAAATTTCTCAATGCGATTTCATCATTGACGCCTCATGGTGGAAGAGACTGTCCTGAGTTGACGTTCACTGGTATGATTAATGCCATTGATGAAGGTCCTCAGCCCGATTCTCCACTTTACGTGTTTACTGATGCCGGACCAAAAGACGCCAACGATGATAAAATTAATTATTTATCGGAAATCGCCCAAGCTGAAGGACATGTCGTGAATTTTTTCTTTGTGAAAAACACGGGATGTTCTAGGAATGCTGACATTACGTCCTTTCATAAAATAGCTGAAAAGACGACCGGTCAAGTGTTTGAATTGCAAAATGCGGCCGAATTAAATGCGTTGACCGGTCTTACTGCTACTTCGCTTGGCGGGACAGCGGTCGTTCGTAGCGTTAGTTACCAAGCCACGTCACGCAAAAAGAGAAGTTCGACAAAACAAAGTAATACTTACACCATCACAGTTGATGATTCTATCGACACAATGGTCATTGCCGTAACCGCTGATCAAATTTATGGAAGCGCGAATTCTTGGAGTGTATCGCTGACCTCTCCCACAGGATCGCTCGCGGGCGTCACGACCAGCAATTTGAACCAAGGGAGAATTTATCAAATCTCAAATCCGAATGTGGGAATATGGAATTTAGGAATACAATCAAGACCGGATGTGAACTATGATATTTCAGTAAAGGGAGTGAGTACAGATAATATTGACTTCGAAGTTTATTTTGTTCGAACGACCTCTCATCCTGTAGTACGAACCACATTCCCGATATCATCTCCTATATTTGGTAAGAGGGAAAATCTTTATTGTCAACTGTCGCGGTGTTGTGTCAGTTTTCCTTGATTTATGCTTATCAAGTTTAGATCATCTATGAATTCATAATCCTCCATATTGTCAGGTGTTCAAGCTGAAGCAATTTTAACTGTTGGAGGAATCTCTCATGTCAACAAGAGCAGTTTGAGAGCAGAACTTGTGACGTTGGGTGGTGACGTCATCACGACAACAAGACCAACGTCATTGTCCCCAAAAGATAGCAAAGGGATTAGGCATTCATTCAAATTCCATCCACCAAATCAAATTTTCAAAATCAAATTGAAAGGTCTCACAAAGAAAGGCAATTCGTTTGAGCGCATTTCTCATTCACCTATAAAAACAGAAACATTGATAGTGAAAGTATTGTTCGCAAGAAACGATTTCACATTGAAACAAGGAAACACGTGTTATATAATATTCACTGTCCAGAACTTTGGGAACAACGAGGTTGTCAAATTCAAATCGCTTGGAAACTTGGGAACAGTCGAAAGACAGTCTAGAAAGTTCGGACGCATACGTAAAGGTCGGAAGACATCGTTTGCCGTCACGTTCCGAGGAAAACCGAAAGCCACTCCAGGTATGACTGTTACAGTCGTAGTGTCTGTGACAGGAAGACGTTCTGGTTCAGTAGCAAAGATGTCCGTACCATTGCTGGTTGTTTAATGATTCAACGAATGAAAACTTATTGTAATTGTTAATATAACCATCTAGTTAGCAGCAGAAATCTTGCATTATGCTTGACGGAAATCGTGTTTTGTTATATGATAGTAAGAAATAATTGGATATATAGTAGTAAATTAGTAATAAATACAAAGAGAAAAATTCTTGTTGTATTTTCTTGCATTGTTATGGAAACGTTAAAGATTGTAGCGTTATAGAAAAGGGCGTTGAAGAAGTGATTGAGCGTCATCTTATTGATCACGAATGCAGTCGATCAATGCTAGCCAGCGGTCGAAAAATCACAGTTAGCGGACAAAGTGGAAGTTCATTTGATTACTGAAGTGAGTAATATTCTGAATATGCAGATGATTCTAGCATCGAAAAAAATGAACTAAAACAGAAATCATTCAATTTACAGAGATACTTAGCAAAACTTCTTTTATGTTAATAAATTTCCGTATTTATGAAGGTTTCTACCGTCCAAAATTGAAACCTAAGTGGAAATCTTGGCCTTTACCTCGACAAGACTAAAATCGCGACAAAGCTACAATTTGCCAATAGTTCACATAGCTCTTCGTGCTTTTGGAAACCACGAAACGTGCGATTGAAAAAGGCATTGACGAAACGGTCTCATTTCGCTCACACAGTTGTAAAGATAGTAACAACTTTTATCAACTCTTGATATAAGAAACGAGTCGATGAATAGAATAGTTTTCAACAGACACCCCAAGGTTAGGTCCTGTTTACATGAGAGCTGAACGAAGTCAAACCACTACCAGCTCGTGTGTCGGTTAAAGTATTATTTATAGTAGATGTTTACATGGGACCGTTACGTGATTGACTCAGAGCGGTCTGAAGTCATAACGTCTGCTGAGCCGATCCGACCGAGTTCAGAACGGTGTGAATTGAAACTGGCATCAATGTACACCATAAAGTTCAGACCGGTCTGAAATGGCATCAACGCATGCGCTCAAAAGCAAATTACAAAAACAAAATGGCTAGCAAGTATAAAACTAACCTGCAAAGGAGGCATTACGCGAATGAAGATTTTTCGTGATTTCGTGCCGGTCCCATGTTCATGCAAAAAATTCTGATTTTCATTTCGGTTTGACTTCGTTCCGGTCCAAAGGCTTTAGATTTCATGTAGGAGGAGTGAGAGTATAAAGATTTTTCTTGAAGAACTGTATTGTCACCACAACCGTCAGGAATTTCAAGAGACAATCCCATCATAAAAGCACTCTTTGATGTCGAAAGAACAAGAACAAAGAAGAGAGCATAAATTTTCCAAATATTAGCAGTAAACGATCCATGGGAGACCCTCTTACACTACACATTCTCCAGCTTCAATGATAAAAGAACTTTACACATTCTCCAAGTCAAATGATAAAAGAACTTTATATGCAAAAACTCTTTATCCTGTGTGCAGACCTTACCACGTCCAATTGTTTTACATTCTTTCTTCAAATTTCACTTGTCTTGTCAAACATCAACTGTACTACTAGGTCATAATGATATTCCATGTTTATGCGATGTTTGAACCATTGGTTTTAGTATAAGCACTGTTGGACTGTAGGAAGGTTGATACAAGAAAGAGCCTGGGCACGAGATTGAATTAGAACCCGTTACACGCAACGACAAACTGGCAACCGCAGGATGAGGTTTGCGTTTTAACGGATGTGAAAAAGCGGGAGGAAAATTTTCTAATGAGAATGTGTGAAAGTGTAAAGAAAAAAAATTGGATGATTGTGGATACCCTCTTTCGTTTGCTAAGACATTGGCTGACTTGTTCTTTCTTACCTTGAAAGGATTTTATCGATGGAATTACGTAAACTCCATCGGGAGGATTTTTACACAGAGACTCGCTGCAAACAAAACATTCGCGTCAATGAACACGCCGGCAAATGAAGTTAGTGACATCACATAAAGTTATCGGTCACGACCCATATATTAGGGAGCTTTAGCAAAGACTACGAGTACGAGTACTAGTACGATTTACGTCATTTTGGCGCGAAAACATTGTAGCGACAACAAAAACACGTAGCCGTCATCAATCTGAGTACGATGTTTTGTAAAAAATTCGTAGTCGCGACTGCGATGTCTTTTTAAGCAAAGAAAGTAGGTACATTTTTTCATTCTGTAAGTAATTAGTTTACAGTACTATTTGCAAGCATCCAGGCTTTAATTTAGAACCTTTTTTGAGCGCAGATGTACATTAAAAAAGAAAATATGACCTGCAAGACCTTCATGTATTTCGTACGCAAAGTGAAAGGTAAACAAACAATAAAATCGTACAAATATATCGTACATAAAACTTAAAATAGTGAAGATTTTTCAGTCTAAAGAGTCCTATATTCTTGCTCAGTGGATGTGTCGATCGACATCGAGAGATCGAAATCTGTTCAGACTCATTCTGTCCAATCAGGGTCAGGACGACATCGAAATCGGAATCGGATTCGGTGGTAGCTCCTCAGTGAAGACATCTTTCATTTGTTTCTGCTCCGAAAAAGTTTTCATACCATAAATGAATAAAAATGGATATACTTAGCATCTTTCTGCTACAGGAGATTTTGCTTCGTTTCATTTAATAGTTTTACTAAAAATAAATGCAGAGCTTAATAAAGTCAAACTCATCTTAATCATAATTCCTCAATCAATCTGGAAAAAGATGAAGAATCAAGAAATGTCTGAAACAATGAACTGGTCTGAAAAGAGTGAAATAGAAAATTAACAAGTAAACTAGTTCCAGTCCTTTTCAGACATTCTATTTTCAATATGACTGCCGCAGCCGAAGAAGTGGCTAATAATAATCCTTTGAGTAAAACTTTGACAGCAAAGCCAGTGCCGATCTAGAGAGAGTAACTGATTACGAAGAAGACAAAGAAATAAGTCCAGTCAATATTAAGTGTTAGTACGATGATAGATTTTACTACCTTTTATTTTCATGAAATGGTTTAACTTAAAGTTGAAGTTACAGAAACTTTTAAACAGACTTCAGTCACTTAACTTGCCTGGGCCTGACTTGTCTATTCCTCTCCTTCCAATTAATCCATCCCTGATCTGAAGCTCATTTTGTGTAATCTTTAGAGAGAAAAAGAACTGGCAAAGGTTTCTATAAAAAAAGAGGATGTTGTTTTGATCGTAAGTAATTTTGTAAAATCAAGTACATGCTATTAAATAATCTTGAATAAACCAGAATGACTTATTTGTAGATGAAAGAAATGGAGATCTCTAAATCAGAAGCAGAATGGAGTCTGAGAAGTAATGGCAGTGACGTAGTCAGAGCTTTGATATCATTGACAAACTAGGAAAAAGGTTTTGTATTTAATCTTATGTGTGCTAGTATTGCAAAGGTAAATGATAAGGCTTGTGACGGAGAAACTGAAACTCTGCATTTGAAACCATGGAAATCATTTGATGTAATATTTATCTTTTCAAATGAATTTGTGCATTTGCGAACCATTCATGTTTAAAAATTTTGTTTTGTTTTTTTCTTAAATCAAATCCAACTGATGATTTCAAGTGATTTAATGTGCGTGATGGTTATTTATTCACTGAAATGTACATTTTTTGTTTTGTTGCATTTTCACGAAATTGTCATAGATGATTTCCTCATTAAAACTTTATCTCTATACATGATTGCCTCATTAAAACTTTATCTCTATACATGATTTCCTATTAAAACTTTATCTCTATACATGATTGCCTCATTAAAACTTTATCTCTATACATGATTGCCTCATTAAAACTTTATCTCTATACATGATTGCCTCATTAAAACTTTTATCTATACCACATGATTGCCTCATTAAAACTTTATCTCTATACAAAAACAGTATTTTAAACCAGGGGTTTTGCTGCTACATATCTGTTCCTGTTTTGTACTCGTTCTCGTTGACTAACTAAAATTTATGTCATAAACGGGCTGGGGTTATGCCAAGGATGAGCCCACAATGTTGTTGGCTATGGTTTGTTGCTGAATTACGTTATGCAACAGCGTCTATTGCATATTTGATTGCTGGCGTGTCGGGCAGTAAAATGTTGAAATCTGATGAAAACTTTAGTATGCGTCACTACTCTCTCGGTTGAAATAGATAGAATCATTTTTTGCAGAAAGCTATGGAGGAATTTGAGAGGGCCTTGGCCAATGCTCAATTGATTAGACGAGTTCAACACAATCAAGATAAGTTAAGAAAATTTTTGAACTTAGACAGCTAAGACGGCCGTTTCCAAAAGAAGTTATCGTTTTGCTCGCAAGGCAATCGGCGAGGCAATGTATACGATAAAAAAACTGCAGGATACAAGGTAATAAAAATACCTCTGTTATTGAGTTTCCCTAACATACCTACAATATTTTAGCACTATCATAACGTGGTTCGAATTTTCCTCACTTGAGTTAACAGGTTGTTGCTGTATGATTTTATTGCTTAATCAAGCATTATTACTTCAAACTTCTTGTTTCCCCGTCTTCAAAAATCTATAAAATAAAACGAACGAACGAAAAAAGTTAGAATGGGATTCAAGAATATTATACTCTTTTTCAAGCACTCTATATATATAGTTTATCCTCTTTCAACACGACTCTTAATAAAATATACTTTTTCCCATTTATAATTTATTTAATAGTACATTGGTTTGTTTGTGTTTTTTAATGTCAAAATTCTTATGAGCTTTATTGAGGCCTCTGTGTTTATTTTTTTACTTAGGAAAGGCGTTTAAAAGAAGTGTAATGACGTCAGGAAGAAGCTTTCTTGTTGATTTAAGGAGAAAAATTGGTTCATCCGCTTTCGAAGAAGTGTTAGCCATGCATGTTTGCCATTGATGACATATAAAGCATGTACGACGGAATTTAGGGCACGAATAATATTTCCACCGCCATTGAATATGCTGCGAGCAGAAAATGTGGATTATATCAAAGGAGAAAATTGAGAAACCACTCCGGGTATGACTGTTACAGTCGTAGTGTCTGTGACAGGAAGAAGTTCTGGTTCAGTCGCAAAGGTGTCTGTACCATTGCTGGTTGTTTAATGATTCAACGAATGAGAATTTATTGTAATTGTTAATATAACCATCTAGTTAGCAGCAAAAATCTTGCATTATGGCTGAGAAATCGTGTTTTGTTATATGATAGTAAGAAATAATTGGATATATAGTAGTAAATTAGTAATAAATACAAGAAAAAAATTCTTGTTTGTATTTTCTTGCATTGTTGTGGAAACGTCAAAGATTGGCGTTATAGAAAAGGGCGTTGAAGAAGTGATTGAGCGTCATCTGGTGATTACCTGTAAAAGAATGCATCTCTGCTCAAAATAGTGCCGAACATGTCGATGATTCTAACAAGAAGGCAATATTAGCTAACATGGAGATCACTCAATTTACGGCGCAAACTCCCTTCACGTGAATAATTTCGAGTATTTATGAGTGTTTTATCATTCTTTCTTTATGTTGAGAGATTGTTGACATTTTATTTTTGCTGTAACTTCATTTTTTCATGAGCAAAGTACTACTGATGCTTAAACAAGACAAGTCTATTTAGTTTCTTTCGCACTTTATCTTTAGTTTCCATTTCTGTGGTTGTTTTCCCAAATGGTATAGTTAAGCACCTTGCTGTAGCATTTAGATATGGTCTTGAATTAATGAGTAAATATTATTTTCGTGAACAGTAGTAGCCAACATGTATTGCATCCGAGATCCTTGAATGTGGTCCTCAAATCTATACCATTTACTACAGACAAAGCAATAGCATCAGGAATTCCTTTCCTTGCGGTAAATTTCCATCTGTAGCTGCCAACATTCTCTGAAAGCACCTCTCTGTTTCATTGCATATTACTATTATACTTGCTGTTAGCTTAAACAAATTACCCTGTCTTTTAAAGTCAGGAAAGCAGACTCATTTTGTAGTTTCTTGATGACTGCTTCATGACAAACAGGACAGTTTATTTTCTTTTGCACCATCTGGGCAACATAGCCAGCCATGCGATGTTGCCTTTTAGAGATTCAGATACAGTGGAAAAGCTTGGTGCATCACTTTAATCTTCATCCTAATCTCTGTTGTGATTTGTCCCTTGTAAATCATACTTTCAGATGAGAGCAGCATCATCAATTGTCGTACTTGATTCTTTGTTTGGCATTTTATAGGTGTCCCCAATTACTTCCAATATGTTAGTTTCATCTTGTTCGGGTGCAGTTGTGCATTTGCAACCATGGATACTGCTTCTCATCAAAAGTCTCTCTTGTATGCAGCCGTGAATTGTTCAGCTGTTGGGTTGTTGTTAAAGCCTCCTGAGGACAGAGATGATTATAAAGGGGCCTGCAAATTCATACTTGGCTGGCTACATTGTGATGTTTCAAAAGCAGTATACTAAAGTGTCTAATGTGTAGAACGCTTTGTTAGATTTTAATGTCAATGAAAATCATACTTCTTTGAATAATTAAGCGCAAAGTGCGACTATACCATTTAGAGAAAACAACTACCCAGAAATGGAAACTAAAGATAAAGTGCGAAAGAAACTAAATAGACTTGTCTTGTTTAAGCACTCAGCAGTACTTTGCTCATGAAAAATGAAGTTACAGCAAAAAATAAAATGTCAACAATCTCTCAACATAAAGAAGGAATGATAAAAAATGCTCACCTCATTTCTAAAGAACTGAAACGTATACTAGATCATAACTGCCTCAGAAATTGGAAAGCGAGCAGTGAACTATCTTGCATTGGCAACGATGGGACAAAATACATTCTCGCATGTACAACTTTTAAATCACCACTAACGTCGATATTTTACAGCTATCGGAATCATTTTGATGTCAAATCGATTCGCATAACCTGTTTTATCCATGACTAATACTTGAGGTTAGTAAGGAGTCGCGAAAGGTCTTAAATATTCGAAAATCCATGTTTGTAAACGTTATCCGCATTACATTTCTATAGTAATTTGTATCTCGCCGTGGTAACCAGAAGTGAATTTTGCATATATAATTAGGCTTCACTTTTGCTACCTGTAGAAGCTATATCCAGTCTATTATCAGATCAGTGCTCACTACTGAGGCTTCCAACTGCGTTTTGTTGATGAAAGATTAGGGAACTAGGAAGTCATTTGTATTCAGTTGTTGTTTCTGAAACAGGATGTCTAATCATGAAACGATCTATGACGTCATTGCTGAAATTTCCTAAGTTCTATAAAACGCATATAAAACTTAAGAGAACCGTGCAGAGACTCGCAACAGCTTGTGAGATATTCAACAACCATGAAGGGTCTGACAGTTTTGCTTCTTCTCTACCAAATGGCGCTCGTTAATTGTGCGTTCAATCTTTATGGGTCAATGGACGACGCCCGCGACGCGATAATGTCATTTTATGATCCTGTGCACATCGAGAAAACGTCTCTTGCGAGGCCACCACCTGTATTGAAGAAAGTGCCTTCCTCTGGCGGCGGTTGGAGAAGAAGAACCTACTCAATAAGGAAAAAATTCACTCGTAAACCAACGCTTTTGAAGAAGAAACGAGTTTCATTAAATAAATTTAGAATAGCTAAGATGGACATCAACATGCACATCAAGAAAACGTCTCTTGCCAGGCCACCACCTGTATTGAAGAAAGTGCCTTCCTCTGGCGGCGGTTGGAGAAGAAGAACCAACTCAATGAGGAAAAAATTCACTCGTAAACCAACGCTTGTAAAGAAGAAACGAGTTTCATTAAATAAATTTACAGAAGCTATGGAGGACATTGAGAGGGCCTTGGCCAATGCTCAATTGATCAGACAGGTCCAGAAATCAAGATGGATTAAAATTGTTAAAGTTGATTAAGACGGCCGTTTCCAAAAGAAGTTATCGTTTTGCTCGCAAGGCAATCGGCGAGGCAATGTATACGATTAAAAAACTGCAGGATACAAGGTAACAAAATCCTCTGTTATTGAGTTTCCCTAACATACCTAAAATATTTTGACACAATTTTGCCGCGTTTAAAGTCGTCCTTGCTTAAGTTAATCGGTTGTTGCTGTAGTATTTTATCGTTTAGTCTCGCTTTATTTCTTCCGAACTTCTTGTTTGCTTCGAAAATAAAAAAATAAAACGAACAAACGGGGGAAAAAGGACATTCAACATTTATTGTCATCTCTTTCAACAACTCTTTATAAATAAATGATCTTTCAACACGACTCTAATTGAAAAATACCTCTCCCCAAGTGTTTTTCTGTTAAAATTTTTTTCTCGATTTTTTGTTCTTGTGAACTCTATTGAAGCCATTGCGTTTTTCCACTCAGGAGAGGCACGCGAGGGAAAAGAAGTGCAATGACGTCAGGAAGGAGCTTTCTTGGCAACTTAGGCAGACAATCGGTTGCATCGGCTTTCAACGATTTGTTTGCCATGCATAGGTCAGGTGACACTTATGTTTGCCATTGATGACACTGGGAGCATGAGAGAAGAAATTCAGGGTGCGAAGAATTTAGCCACAGCTATTGTGAACATGCAGCGAGACAGAACCAGTGGATTATATCTTGTCGCCTTTGATCAGGTAACAAAAACTCTCACACATTGTTCATCGATCGATTGGTCGGTGAAACGTGATGTAGTTTGGATGTGTGTTCTCTCATAAACCTGGACCTGCTCATGATAATTTCATAATTTAACATTATTGCTACAATGCTTTGCCTTTTTAGTTGCATTTTATGATGATGCGTTTATGTTTTAGGCACTGGTCCGGTCACATATTGTGATGAAACGGAAAAAGGCAAATTTCTCAATGCGATTTCCTCATTGACGCCTCATGGTGGAGGAGACTGTCCTGAGTTGACGTTCACTGGTATGATTAATGCCATTGATGAAGGTCCTCAGCCCGATTCTCCACTTTACGTGTTTACTGATGCCGGACCAAAAGACGCCAACGATGATAAAATTAATTATTTATCGGAAATCGCCCAAGCTGAAGGACATGTCGTGAATTTTTTCTTTGTGAAAAACACGGGATGTTCTAGGAATGCTGACATTACGTCCTTTCATAAAATAGCTGAAAAGACGACCGGTCAAGTGTTTGAATTGCAAAATGCGGCCGAATTGAATGCATTGACCGGTCTTACTGCTACTTCGCTTGGCGGGACAGCGGTCGTTCGTAGCGTTAGTTACCAAGCCACGTCACGTAAAAAGAGAAGTTCGACAAAACAAAGTAATACTTACACCATCACAGTTGATGATTCTATCGACACAATGGTCATTGCCGTAACCGCTGATCAAATTTATGGAAGCGCGAATTCTTGGAGTGTATCGCTGACCTCTCCCACAGGATCGCTCGTGGGCGTCACGACCAGCAGTTTAAACCAAGGGAGAATTTATCAAATCTCAAATCCGAATGTGGGAATATGGAATTTAGGAATGCAATCGAGACCGGACGTGAACTATGATATTTCAGTAAAGGGAGTGAGTACAGATAATATTGACTTCGAAGTTTATTTTGTTCGAACGACCTCTCGTCGTGGAGTACGGACCACATTCCCGATATCATCTCCTATATTAGGTAAGAGTGAAAATCTTTATTGTCAACTGTCGCGGTGTTGTGTCAGTTTTCCTTGATTTATGCTTATCAAGTTTAGATCATCTATGAATTCATAATGCTCCATATTGTCAGGTGTTCAAGCTGAAGCAATTTTAACTGTTGGAGGAATCTCTCATGTCAACAAGAGCAGTTTGAGAGCAGAACTTGTGACGCTGCGTGGTGACGTCATCACGACAACAAGACCAACGTCATTGTCCCCAAAAGATAGCAAAGGGATTCGGCATTCATTCAAATTCCATCCACCAAATCAAATTTTCAAAATTAAATTGAAAGGTCTCACAAAGAAAGGCAATTCGTTTGAGCGCATTTCTCATTCACCTATAAAAACAGAAACATTGATAGTGAAAGTATTGTTCGCAAGAAACGATTACACATTGAAACAAGGAAACACGTGTTATATAATATTCACTGTCCAGAACTTTGGGAACAATGAGGTCGTCGATTTCAAATCGCTTGGAAACTTGGGAACAGTCGAAAGACAGTCTAGAAAGTTCGGACGCATACGTAAAGGTCGGACGACATCGTTTGCCGTCACGTTCCGAGGAAAACCGAAAGCCACCTCAGGTATGACTGTTACAGTCGTAGTGTCTGTGACAGGAAGAAGTTCTGGTTCAGTAGCAACCATGTCCGTACCATTGCTGGTTGTTTAATGATTCAACGAATGAAAACTTATTGTAATTGTTAATATAACCATCTAGTTAGCAGCAGAAATCTTGCATTATGCTTGACGGAAATCGTGTTTTGTTATATGATAGTAAGAAATAATTGGATATATAATAGTAAATTAGTAATAAATACAAAGAGAAAAATTCTTGTTGTATTTTCTTGCATTGTTATGGAAACGTTAAAGATTGTAGCGTTATAGAAAAGGGCGTTGAAGAAGTGATTGAGCGTCGTCTTGGTGATTACGAGTGCAGTCGATCAATGCTAGCCAGCGGTCGAAAAATCACAGTTAGCGGACAAAGTGGAAGTTCATTTGATTACTGAAGTAAGTAATATTCTGAATATGCAAATGATTCTAGCATCGAAAAAAATGAACTAAAACAGAAATATTCAATATACAGAGATACTTAGCAAAACTTCCTTTATGTTAATAAATTTCCGTATTTATGAAGGTTTTCTACCGTCCAAAATTGAAACCTAAGCGGAAATCTTGGCCTTTACCTCGACAAGACTAAAATCGCGACAAAGCTACAATTTGCCAATAGTTCACATAGCTCTTCGTGCTTTTGGAGGCCACGAAACGTGTGATGCAAAAAGACAAAACGTGTGATTCAAAAAGGCATCGACAAAACTGTCTCATTTCGCTCACACAGTTGTAAAGATAGTAACAACTTGTAAAGATAGTAACAACTTTTAAAAATAGTAACAACTTGTAAAGATAGTAACAACTTGTAAAGATAGTAACAACTTTTAAAGATAGTAACAACTTTTACCAACTCTTGATATAAGAAACGAGTCGATGAATTTTTTAAATTGCAGTTACTTGAGTTTGCATGGCCGGCAAAGTGCCACGTTTGAGCAGTTTATGAGTTTCTGCCCATATAAGTTTTTCTCTCGTTTTTGACGTGCTCTTATGCAAGAGATACTTGCGCAGTCGTTAAGATAACCCTCACTGCAAGACGCTTGTTTATTACTTACATAATTTGAAAAAAATTTTATTGAGGTTGATGTATAACATCTTCGCTGTGAACAGTTATAACACTGAGCCGTGTTTTTTTATTGTCAAATACGTTACGTCGAACATTGTGAAAAGATAAATAGATATTCCTCTCCAATGCATGCTTTAGTGTCATTCACCAGAAAAAGAATGTAATAAAAATGGCTCTTGAAGTTTTATCTCAGTTATAGTGTTTTCTAGAAATTATTAGTAGAATTGTAGACGTACGACTTTCGAACACTTTCCACAATAAGTCTCGTCATTGTGCTGCATGCTTTTCTTATTCGTATGGGTTTATTCTTAAACTTCATACCTTAGCTTTAACATGGTATGGTTTTATTTTCAAACTCCTCATTGTCATCGTGGCAATGTTGTGAAAAGGATTTCGCAGTTGATAGTTTTGAAGCATTTCTCGATGAGATGATGTGAATATTAGGTTAATTATGCATGTCGTGGAGCTTGACGCTCAGCCGTATAGATCAACAATCAAACTTTCACAACAACAATAGCAATAAATGAAAAACCAGTCAGGTGCAAGAATAATCATTGTCATAAAGACAGAAGATTTTGTATTGTAGGATTAATATGTTTTCGGTTATGCATGCATAATAATGCATGTAAGAACATAAATTTCACTTATAAATCTGCCTAGACTAAATTTGAACAGAAACAGCAGCAGCAAGTACAATGGCAAGGATAAAAGGGCGAGACCACGTTAAAGTTTATGTTGAGAGAGAATTATTCAGTCACTGGAAGGGAGTCTCGACGTGGATTGAACTTAAATTATTAACTATCAAAGCGGAATTACTACGAGTTAACGACGTCTACCAGACAAACCAAATGTCGATGGATATACCGGACCAAATCTAAGCATTTGATAAGCATACAGTTTGTATAGAAGCTATGGAATTGAGTGATAGCGTAACGCAAGAAACAAGAGCGCCGTGAAGACTGTGCAGATTGGTTTCTTACAACATCGGATTTCCTCAACACAATGTTTAGAGATAATATGGCTGGGTTGTCAAATATGCGGTGATATGTTATGAGTGTCATAAATCATTGAAATGTAGGATATGACTCGTGAAATCGACATTCCTAAAGAATACACCTCAAAAACGGAACGATAGGAAAATTCATTTCCTATGTATATTATATAAAAGCTAAAGGAAGGCAAGTTATCGGCTGCTTTAAAGCCTCCACCAACGTCAAGCCAGAAATATGTCATCCTCATATTTTACTACGACAAGTGCCATTGATTAATAAAGTTAATATTGACAGCAGCCGCTAAAAGAAATCTGCATTGCTTAGCCGTAAGAAAACGTGCTGCTTTTGAAAGACTTACTTGTCTCTATCTTTTTCAAAAGAAGACATAAGTAACTATAGATGTTTTACTAATGTATTCCCAAACTAACATAAATATAAATGTATTTATTTGTACTACTTTTTCACTCTTTATATCAACATTCTACTACGAATATGATTTTTGGTTTGTTGTTTTATCTTTAGCTGGAAGTATTCTGCTATAATTTTGGTTCGAGACCTTCAATGGTCTATTTTTTTTGCATTAAATACTTCAAGGTAGGAGTGGTACTTTAAAATGACCAGGTGTCTTCAACAAACTCTCTTGTCTAGTGGATAGACACAACCTTTCGAGGTTGAGAGTGGAGGTTCGAACCCTGTCTAGAATAAGATGTTGTTAGGCTGTAGGATGATCCGAAACATGGGAAAATAGTGCTGGTTACTTGAACAGAATTCATTACGAAATTTAAATATACGTAAATGTAAATAAGTATGCCCATTATTTAAGGAGCCTTTGCATTGAACTCCAGCAGTGTTGTGTAAAACCTCCTTAGGTTAGTATATAGAAGATATAATAAATATTTAATAAAACTTTTACAACATTACTACAACGAAAATGAGATTTCTATTACTAAGTTTTTCGAGAATGGAATGCGACACTTAGTATAAATTCAGAAAAATTCGCTCTCCGATGAGGAGAGCAAAGAAAAAAAAAGTCTTTTGCTCAATTTTTTTATGACTCCCTGTGATCAGGGAGTTATTTTTTTAAATTTTGAAAAGTCAGGAAAGTCAAGAAAGTCAAGAGCAAACAGAACGCCCTAATCATTCCTTTCTTACTTCCAGGCACTCGTTCCTTAGTTCGACTTTCTGTCTTCCATCGCCGCGTACACGTGCCAAGTGTGTTGGTAGAGGGGCGAACCAAGGATCTTGTGCACAGGAGTTCATTGATGTCGAACTAAGCGCCCAACATCGGCCAGTTGAGCTAAGCGCTCATCATCGAAAACTCAATGTTTTTTGGCGTATTTTATAATTTTTTTCAATGTGAAGCGAAAGAAAAGGAGTAGTAGTTTGCAGTAACATTCGTTATAAAAAAGACCGCATATTTTGTAAAAGCCAAATGAACATATAATACAATGTGGCGCTGTGCTGTATACTTTGTGTTAATTTGTGTTGAAATTACATACAGAAACATATTGTATATAGCGATTATTATGTCAAGGCTTTTGCCGCTGACCAGGAAGTTAATAGGCGCGTCCCCGATCCTTGCCCGGGTTATAGCATTCCCCCCTTCATCATTGGCAGCCATCTTAAGTTTGACAGAGGTCAGAGGAGTATTAAAAATTCATAACTTCTCCTCGTTGCCCCCCACCCCCGGTTTCTTTACTTTGTCATTGATCAAGAAGAGGAAAGAATTAACGAAGATGAAAATACAAAGAACTTGGCAACCATTACTTCCGACAACAAAAATGTCTTTTACACGACTAGTACAAACTAAAGCACAATGCATTCAGGTAATTTTCAAATATGCCATCAAAAAATTTAACTGTTCTTTCATTACCATTAAATGTCATTGATACAGAACTCTGGACATCGGCGTTAGGGATGGGGCAGGGGCAGCTGCTCCTCTAACGAAAGTTTAAAATCAAAGGTTGGGCCAACTTTTAACGTTAGTCAGGCGGAACCTTCTTTGTGAGTTGGAGAAATATTTTCTGCCCTCCAGAAACGATAGCCTATATGACTCTGGAGTTTTGTTTTGTAACGAAATGAAGAAACAAGTACTTAGAAAGTTTGATGTAAAGTGAATATTTCACGTTAAGTAATAAAACATGGCTACAAAGTTCTGTTCTTTTCAATCATAACGACTCGGATAGTTGTCAAATTAGTTTTTGTTTATATGCTATCTAAGAACTTTACCTAAAATTGATCAGCACAAACAAACACAACGATGTACGTACATGTTTTATGTTTGCTAACCACAAATGTGTTCTTGTATTCCAAACTCTGACAAAGTTCACGTGGATTAAGACGTTGAAAAAAGCAATACCAATACTGTATCACGTAAAATCATCAATGCTTTATTTCTTCTTACGTTTTGACGCTGTTTTTTCTTCAGAGCGTGCAGAATGTGGAGAAGAATTCCTCGGTTGGACTTCTCGACGATTGATCTGGGGGTAATAAAAAAGGTGAATTTTACAACTGTTTTCATTAAAAGTGCTAATAGTTGTTCCATGAAGGAAGATATCATTGATTTATACAAACTCACACTTTTCATTATCTTGTTTTTTAATTCCTGCGCTGTCAATGGACGACATTCGTCTTCACTTTCCTCCGTACTGCCTTCAGTTTCGTAATCATCACATGTCGTAGGAGGAACGATAGCTATCGATCCTGCAGCTATCTGAGGACCACCACCTAGAAGTCCAGCAACACTCAAATCTACTCGATCCGGGTCTTGAATCTAAGAAAAATAAAAGTACGTGAACTAAAACATTTGATTTCTTTGACGAATCATTCATTACGAATATGGAAAGTATAGGTTATACTTACTTTGGCGTTTTTATACGCATGCGCTTGAAGGAGTTCATTGGTTCTTTGCTCGATTATGCCTAGATACTGAAAATTTTTAATTGTCATTTAATGAAATCTCTGGTGGAAATGTATATATTAATACATCTTGTTTACCTGCATCATATTTCCTTCAGTTACTCCAGCAACACCACCTAACATGTCTCTTACAGATGATTTATCACAGTTGATCTTCTTGAACAATGAATCCACCCCTAAAAATTCACTAGACCTTATTCTAAATTTCGTAAAACTTATTATGTTCTCAGGCCTCGTTCCCAGGTCTTCCTCATCTATCCCAAAAACAGAGAAAAATTTCTAAACGCTCACTCGCACTCACTGGTGGGTCTTAAGGATGGACACCTCATTGCCATTCAAAACGCCGTTTTCTTTCCACTGATTACTTCTTTTGAAATATTGGCGAAAATCTTGCCATCGTTGGAGAAAAGACTTTCTCATTAATCAGGGAGAGAGTAATTTTTATATTCACTATGTGAGTGTGAGTGACCTTTAAGAATGTTTCTCACCTTCCTTTAGCTGCTCTATAATCTTATGCATTCCTTTGTAAGGCTGCTTTGATTATTCCATTCATCATTCTTAAATCAAGAAAATTTGTTGCACTTTACACAATGGGAAGTGTAACATTTATAGGAAGGTACGTATGTTTAACATATTGAATATGACAAATAAGTTCATCAATGGTATACATCAAATCACATCAATGTGTGCATCAACCCACATCAATGCATTTGTACATCAAAGTACATCTCTTATTTAGTTTTTCTTTACTTTGGGGTCCTTATCATCACCTGAAGCATCTTTTGAGTTTGGAAAGATTGCCATTTACCACTGTATTTTGGCTCAATTTCACTACCTAATATTTGCCATTTTTGTAAGTAATAATGTTGAAACAAATAAAACAAAGTGTGTTTGCCTTACCTTTCATTGCTGGCAATGTTTTTAGATAAAGAGTATGTTCTTAACACTAATTTGTGCTATAATTCAAGTCATCACATTGACATGGTAAGTTTAACTTTTTGTTCTTGACATGTATGTTAAGCATAAATAAGTGCACCATTATCTTCAGTAATCAGAAAGTCAAAGATGGATTGGTGTGATTAATGTCAACTTACTTTAGGTACATAATAAGTTATCTTCCTGAGGAACAGCTGGTATGAAAATAATGTCAAGATTTTTCTCGAATGTGGCCATTAAAACAGTCTCAAAAACATTACCTGTATAAAAATGTACATAAAAATTAAGTAGAGATCAATGAAAGTCAAACTCTTCATTCCTCTTTTTAATTTAGGATTAAAATTGTTGGTACACATGAAACATTAAACATCAACTTGTATATTTACAATTATATTACAGGGTAAAAGGTGTGGGGGAGTGTTGGTTAATGATCGAATAAATAATTACACAATTGTTGTCATACCTGACTTTCAAAGTTCTCAGGTGTTTCATTTTGTTAGAAGAAATTACTTAGAACCTGAGTGTAAAAACTGGTACAGCTGTTTTTCTTTGAGAGTTACCCACAGGCATATGAAATGAGCCTTCACTCTTTTCACCATCTTCAGACTATAAAACATGAAAGGATACAGATGTTAATAAAAAATCTTCACTATATCAATTGAAGAATTGCAAAAAAGATACATGTATGTTTAATATAATAAAAGAGAATGAATTGCATACAAGTGATTTATAAAAATCTCCTCCTTCTGGTGCTTTCGGACTGGCTTTTATAGCTCGTTTACTTCCTTCACTCCTGGCAGGCCATGATGGAAAGTGTGAAGGATCTATGGGACTTGGTGCTTCCTGTACATACATATAACATTAAATAAAAATATTTAAAATTTTTACAAAGCACCATAATTCAAAGAATGAAGGGCCACTCATTGTCAAAGAAAGTGTGTTCCTTACTTTGAAAAGTTGTGGCGTAATGCTGCATCAGCCGCTTCTCTGAGGATCATATGTCAGAAAACTAAAAGAAAAAAGTCATGAAGAGGTCTGGTACTTAAGCAATACTATCTTATGACTAAATAAAGCAAAAATATTACCTGTTCAATAAATCAAAGCCATTATCTGTGAGTGTTGCTCCAAACTTGTTACGAAGATTATTGTAAGGATATTCAGAAAAAGTAATTTTCTTTAAAACTGGATGCTCGGAATATGCTGGTGGACCTGGCCATTTCTCGTCACTGGGTGTTCCCAATTCTTTAAAGATTTTGTTAATTTGACTGATCTCAGTCTGACCATTAAATAATGGCTTCATTGTCAACAGTTCAGCAAAGACACAGCCTACTGACCAAATATCAATGGGCGTCCAATATTCCTGTGTTATAGAGTCAGAGGAATATAGAAGTAAATATTTTTGACAAAATATTGTACACACATTTACTTTATACATAAAAAAGATGTATATGTTAAAAGCAAAGGTTATTGCTAGAGATAATAAATATATGTAGATGTTTCCACACATAAATTATATTTACCTTTGCTCCAAGCAATAGTTCTGGTGCTCGATACCAGAGTGTTACAACAACTGGAGTGTAATATTTTAATGGTGAACCATATTCACGTGCTAAACCAAAATCCCCAACCTGAAAGACACAATGTACTATAATTTGAGAAGATATTAATGTTGAACTTAAAATACTATTATAAACATTGGGAAAATGTGTGCAAGAGATGAAATTTGTGATAACATACCTTAAGAACACCTTTGTTACTAAGTAATAAGTTAGAAGTTTTAATATCTCTGTGAAGGATCAATTATCATGGAGATGATTAACAGCACGTAGCAATTGAATCATTATCGTTTAATCTCACCTGAAACATAGAAAAAAGTATTGTTGAGTATGTATGTACACAAGGGGACATAATGTATTGTATGTACAGTTGGTTATGTAAAATGTTATTGTATGTACAGAAAGTAATGTTGAGTGCGCAATAGAGGGTAGTTATGTAATATAAAAGAAAATGTTTATCTTACCAGCAAGAAATGGTTGAGTCATTGTTTCCATCAATGCCTTTAAATCATGTTCAACAAAATCCATGACATATAGATCTTATCCATGTTACTACCAACAACTATCTCCTATGTAATAAAATCCATAAATATTTGATATGAACTCCACAGCTGCAAAACATCCATAAAACAAAGCTTTGTCAGTATGTCAAGTATTGGGTAAACAATGGTCAATTCTGGAAGGATGAACTTAGGAAAAGTTGATGACTACTGACCTGTACTGACACAATGTTAGGATGCTCAGCTTTCAACAAAGTATGAATTTCACTTAATGAAGTTATTGGAAATCCCTCTTCTTTTCCATTTTCAATTTTTTATTGCAACCACTTCTCCTGTAAGATACATGCAGACATTCATCGTTATTGCCATCACTTTGACAACAACTGTAATAAGTCACCATTTATTTCACCTGTTCTCTTGTCTTTTGCTAAACAACCCCATATGTTCCTTCTTGAATTCTATTTAATGAGTGGAACTCTTCAACACTTCTACAGCCTTGGATAGCAGGAAAATAGGGTGGAAGCTTGGGAAGCTCAGGTGAACTTTCCTGTTCAATCATGTCCTCAGCTTCATCATCTCGGTCACTATCTGAAGCTGAACTGACATCAGATGCTTGAACCTTTAATTAAACAATTAAACAAGAACATAGCACAAATTATTATAATCCACAGAAAGCAATTTCAACCAACCATATAAATATGCTGTGGACTTACTTTCATCACTTTCTTCTTCAACAACCAGTTCCCTCATTGAGTCACTCATAATTCCCTTTTGTACTGGTTTTTTAGATACCTGGGCAGACTTTCGATGCTCTTTTGGCATCTTTATACTACTATCCTTAGATTCACTTTGACCCTTTGATATGGATATTTTACTGTCTTTAGAAGACTCCTTACATCTTTTCCATCATTGAGTTCTATAAGACCTGAAGGGAAATGTCAACCAAATTGCTATAAATTATTAGCGAGCGGCCGCGTGGTCAAAAACATGGCGGATTTTGGTTGTCAAAGTCAGCGGAAAAGACGCGGGCTCATAAAATAAAATTTTTTCGCCCACCCGGATTTGACAACCACAATTGCGATTATATAAAATATCAATGCCAAGCACAAAAACTTTAGAATTTTATCTTTAAAACATGCTGCAAACTTGTTTGGTGTACGGAGGCTGATGTAATGCCAGAAAAGGAAATAATTTATGACACCGGTAAGCAACGTAAGATTGTTTACTATTTAAAGTGTTCAGTGTTTTGTTTTAAGTCAATACTTGAAGTGTCATGGTATATATTTTGTGAATGTTTTTACTCCTAAGTTTTAATTTAAGTTATGTTTATCCAGTCTTATTTGTTCTTTACTTAATCGCTTGCTTGACGAGGCAAAGCAACCAATTCTTATCGAAATATGCATATCTTAAAACTCCTTGTTTCAACTGAGTTTACCTTCAAGAAATGGAGGATTTTTTCATGATGTTTTTCTGAAAATATGAAGCAAATATTAAGATCAGAGCTGTATTGAAGTCAAATGCAGTGCAGGATTAATTAATGAGCTCTTTGGTACATGTCGTACAATAAAAAATACCTGTATTAAACAGCTAGCCTGGACAATTTGACAGATTATGGACAATCATGATGATGGTATGTAAAGGTTTGCTTTTTGCTAAAAGTTTTATAAATGCCATCTGGTGTTTCTGTAAATGAACTGTTTGTTGTAGTAAACAGGTCAGTACATAAAAAATAAGATAAAAACTACTTTGTTCAATAATGTGCCAAATTATGCTCCTACCTTGAAATATTTGCTCAAGATAAGCTTATTATGATGACATGAAACATTAAATATAGTACTGCATCATCTGTGAAATCCATACATTTTCAATTCCAGGTGATTAAGAAATTCACATAAGATGCATTGGTTGCAATGAAGTTGAATGTGGAACAAGCAAAATTGATGGCAAAGAACTTTTTATGTCTTGAAGAATTAATCACTTAAAAGAATAAAGAGTAATCTAGTAAAAAAGCGACATCTGTCTTCAACATGAGACTTTCAATTATGTATAGTTTCTTTATACAAAATACTATTTTAGATAAACTTGATTTTAAGTCATTCACTGATATTTTTATCAAAATGAAAACAAAATTCAAAGGCATAATGTAAAATTCAAAAGTTTGTCAACTTGTTTGAACCTAGAAAAAATTAGTATAGGTAACTGTAATTTGTAAGGACACAAGAGAAAAGTAGAGCAAGAAGGTTAGCATTTTTGAGAATTAATAAGTTCTTCTTGACATACATTACACAAGGCCATAATATTATAAATAATGACTGTACAACAACAATTATACAAAAAACACTTGAGAAAAACGACGATTTTTTTGAAAGCAAACAAGTTTCGACATTATCATAATGCCATCTTCAGTGCAGAATGGTTAGTGTTAAGTAATATGATACGTAATATGATATGAATAAATTAATTACAATGAATAGGATTGTGATTTAGTTTCAAAATTATAAAATATTTACAAAAAAAAGGAAAAGAAAAATAAGTATTAAGAACTTATAACAAAAAATGTTATTATAAAGTAAATATAGTGTTGTAGTGGTGAACTTGGATATTTAAATCGGGATTAGTTTTATTAATGTGTAGAGCTTCCTTGATTTTGAGTGAGAAAGTGGATTGATCATTGTCGATGATTTTAAAACAGGAAGGTGAGAATTTGTTTTACATGAAGGAGAGCTTGAAGATGTTTGTAGATAGTGGAGTTTTGTGTGTGAGTATGTTCCTTTATCCTGGTAGATAATTGGCGAAGTTTCACCAATATGGCGGGAATTACATCCCGCACATGAAAATTGATAAACTATAGATTTGGAAAGTTCGGGAAGTGGGTCTTTAAACGAAAATAAAGATTTTATTTTAAAAGGTGTGAAAATAAGTTTAACGTCAATGTCAGTGCAGTAACGTTTAATGATTTGTGTGAGTTTGCGTTGTGTGTGTCGTGAGTAATCACCTATGTAAGGTAGTTTGAAATAACGTTTATTGTCAGGTTGTTGTATATCGTTAGTGTTAGTTGTGGAGTTAGATGAGTCAGTGTTTTTCTTGTTGTCCAAATAAAATCTATACAACACTATTTGGACAACAAGAAAACACCCATCTAACTCCTAATAACACTAACGATATACAACAACCTGACAATAAACGTTATTTAAACTTTACTTACATAGTGATTACTCACGACCACGCAACGCAAACTGCCGTCAAACGCCTGCACTGACATGTTAAACATTACGCAAAAGAAAATCGCTTTTATTTTCGTTTAAATTGGACATCGGCTTTTCATAGTGGGCTTCCACCTGATGATGAACTTCTCGCCAATATCTACCGGATAAAGGAACATGCTCACACAGACAAACTCCATATCTACAAACATCTTCGGCTCGCTAAACAAACTCCTTTCTGTTTTAAAATCATCGGGCAATGATCAATCCGCTCACTCAAAATCGGGAAGCATTGAACTAATCACGATTTAAACCGGGATTCACCACTACAACACTATGTTACTTTATGTTTTTTGTTATATTCAATACTTATTTTCTTTTCCTTTTTGTAATATTTATATTTGAAAACAAATCACATCTATTCATTAACCAATGTTATTCATATATCATCATGATACATCAACGCTAACCGTTCTGCACTGATGACATTCTGATGTCGAAACATGTTTGCTTTCAAAAAAATCGTCGTTTTTCTCAAGTGTTTTTTAAAATTGCTGCTAATTAGAAATTATAACAATTATACAACATGCTAAATATCTTCACCTACATTATAATTATTTAAACAAATTTGCCTTCATGCAGCAATAAGAAAAGTGTTATGTCAGAGAAACCAATGCACTTTAATTTAAGAAATCGTATTTTCAATGGGAAATTAATGTAGTTCTGTTCAGTAGTAGATCCATGGTTGTCAATGACAATCCAGTTTCTAATATCTTGGCTCAAAACAGAACCAGCAACATGATTATAGAATTTCTGAATTTCGTTCTTTTGCTCTCCTAGTTCAAGATATTTTCTTCATAAGTTCTCAGTAGATTTATCAGAATATCATAATACCTTATTAGACACCCAGAATCAATCCTACCAAAAAAAACTCAAAAAAATTACATACCTACTTATAATATATTTCCAGTCGACTTAAGTCGTAGGGGTAAGCTAACTTTTTCTAACTCCTTTTTGGACATTTTAACTAAGATTTACCCATCTATTCAGGAAAGACAGTTGCACCAAGCTGTTAACAAACAGTCAAAAACACAAGCAATGCGCATGGGATTATGCATTAAAGCTTAACGACACATTGACAGTGTAAAAAATGCCGTTTGATATTTATTTCTAATATAGCTAAAGCATTACTTGACAAAATATACGTTATTTTACAGTAGATTTACCTCATTTAAATGTGTGTGTCTATTTCACAAAAACCTGAAGCATTATTTTCAATATTTTATGCTTACGGTATCGTGGTTGTTTTCGCTGGTTGTCATTAGGGAGTTTTAGCAGAGCCTACGAGTACGACTACGAGTACGATTTACGTCATTTTGGCGCGAAAACATTGTTGCGACAACAAAAACACGTAGCCGTCATCAATCTGAGTACGATGTTTTGTAAAAAATTCGTAGTCGCGACTACGATGTCTTTTTAAGCAAAGAAAGTAGGTATATTTCTTCATTCTGTAAGAAATTATTTTACAGTACTATTTTCGAGCATGCAGGCTTTAATTTAGAACCCTTAATGGCAGACAGAGTTCGGATCTTGATCAGAGCGTAAAAATAACGAAATTTTTGGAATGAAAAGGTTCACGGAAAGTGAATCAAAGTGATAAATCGAGAAGCAAGATGAGGTGAACTTAGTCGAACTGCTCTTACGCTGCGGTTTTCCTTTAAAACATATCAAAGTCTTTAAGGATATTCAATTATTGATATCGAGATGACAACCATTTAGTATTTCAAGTTTCAAGCACTATCAAAATCGATGAAAAATACAATCGCTCTGTAAAAAGTAAAAATGCGAGTTATCGACTCAATATTTTTTATGAGTTTCTTTTTTATTTTCTTTTTTATTCGGAAAAACATTCTTTTTTATTCTTTTTTATTCGGAAAAACAGATCTTTAAATCCACTGAAATGACAAAAAAGACAAACACTGTCTGACACCGTTTGAAAAATTACCTTCCGATGTAAGAAAAATTTTTGCTTGAATATTTTCTCGTCATATTTTATTGTATTGTCTTTTTAGCATACAGTGTAATTTTCATTTGGCTTTTCCTCGTTACAAGTTGTAAGTTACAACGAACTCACTGTAGTAAAGTTTCAGCTGTAAAAAATAACCTTTTGCGAAGAGTTGGCCTTGTGTGTAGTTTGTCGTGATGTTGTTTATATGTTTATGCTTTTGCAATTTGTATTCAAATTTATATTGGCCGTATATGTGTTTGGCACTCAGGGGAATGAAACTGACGTACAAACCGCGTGAATATTCGACTTTGAAGGACTGGAACTGACGCACAAACCGCGCAAGAGACTAGGACTTTGGCTTCAATTTTATATCTATAAAATGTATTGTCGTTATCATTCCAGATATATATATATATATATGGAGTTCACTGATTTTCTCCTTTGCCGCTGAGATTTACCGAAATTGACCGCTTTTCCGAAAATTTCACAATTTCCCACTCCCTCCTGAGAAAAGAGTGAGGAAAATGTATGTGTGTATTCGAGATTAGGCAAGCAATTTTTTGATGAAAATCACGATAAAAACCTGCAATTCGTAACAGCGAGTCAATGTGCTTTCCAGTTATCGGCTCCTACGAGGAAAGCTATTAATTATAAACTATGTACGAAAGAACTCTTTGTTGGCTGCGTTTGAACGTTTTCTGCGTTTGGCTGCGTTTTTAAACGTCGTGTCTAATGTACACGTGGACGATGTGGTATCATTCTCGTATCATACGCGTATCGTTCTCGTATCATACGCGTATCGTTCTTGTATCATACGCGTATCATTCTCGTATCATACGCGTATCGTTCTCGTATCATACGCGTATCATTCTCGTATCATACGCGTATCATTCTCGTATCATACGCGTATCGTTCTCGTATCATACGCGTATCGTTCTCGTATCATACGCGTATCATTCTCGTATCATACGCGTATCGTTCTCGTATCATACGAGTATCATTCTCGTATCATACGCGTATCGCTCTCGTATCATACGCGTATCATCCTCGTATCATACTATGTATGTGTCACAGACCAATGATTCTTTGTGCTTATGGTCAGGTTTTATGTTTCAAATCCAATTGCATCCTATTAAGTAATATACCATGGATAAGACAATGGACATATAAATAATCAAAGATGCGTAGCACGACTACCTATTTAGTTCCAAGTATACAACGGATCACTAGCATCATACTTATCATTATTTAGTCAATAAAAATATAACAAGTGAATGCAGACACCATAATGCTTTTTAACTAAAAAATATCTGAAAAAAATCACATTATACACACAGTTAACATTTCTGTAAGGCCACATTCAGACATGATGTTGAGACACTCATCCTGATCTAAGTTTTGCACATCATCAGCATCATCTATCTACAATACATATACAACAGAAATCACAACATTGCAATGATAGAGTTGTTAGATCAATTACTAAAATAATTCTAAGTTAATACAATTGAAATTATTTGTCAAACTTAGATGCATTAGTGCTCAATGGTTTGATATATTAAGTGGCAGTGTGCGGTGCGCCCTGTCATTTTACTTTACCTTGCTAACACAATGCGCCTTAACTTGTTAAAGAGGACTTATGCAGCTTGACAGGTTAACAGAAGTAATGTATCAGCTATTTTAAATAATGAGAACCAATTAAGCACTGCATCCTGATATTTACTCAACCCTATGTAATCCCTCACAATTGCTTTGTATACCATGAATGACCTGCTATACTATTATCAGTTCAAGCCGAGGTTTTATAATTTTTGCTTAAACAATGCAAAACAATGTGTATTAGGTATATCACCTGATCAATGAAATTCTTTATGTATGCAGTACATTCTCCAATGTTTGCAGTTCTCATAGCCAGTTCAAAATTACCAGTGGAAAAATATCTGTACACCGAAGGACTGAATATCGGAAAACCAGGCCAACCTTGCAAAATACTATGGACAATAATTGTTCCGATACATTTCATAATTCCTCCGCATAACAACATCAGCATTATATACTGGACTTTGGTTGGTCTCACCTTCAAAACATTTCACTCACTTTATTGAGCAAATTTGTAAAAACTGCCTGGCAACCCTCCAGTATCAACTGCTGGTTGTCCTTTGTAAATAACTCTCAATGGTTTCCTTTCATCAAAATTGGGATCTTTATAATAGGACATTGCATCACTAAAAAGGTCCTCCTCTTCAACTTTTAATTTTTCTTTTTCTTTACATGGTTTTTTTGAAAGATCTTTAAGCATAGAATCTAATGTAGCCACTTCAGACAAAGAAGAGACATCTTGAATAAGAACTTCATCATCAGTATCGTCATTAATTGATAATAATTGCTCGTTGCTGTTTGCAGAAAGTGCCAAAGCTGCTCTATCTATAGTCCCACTTACTTCTAAAGCATGACGTAACACATCATCATCCTTGTTTGGAAACATTTCTCGTAATGTAGCTTCACTCCCATCATTACTTGTTACAGATGAAGAGCATGGCTCATTGTTATTGAAAACTTGCTCTTCACTGGAATCTAAAGAGCTTGGCATATCCAAAGATGTTTCAGAAAATGTTTCTGTTCCTGGACTAAATGTACCTTCATCATCATCGGGAAGATCCTCTTTTGGTCTTATATAAATACTTCCTTGTCCGGAAAGGCTTAAAACTCGAGCAGAAGTGAATTGAACACCTCCTGCCAGTTTTGGAGTGACAATTTGACCATAACAAGATTTGACAAAGTCAATATCAATATTATTTTCTTCTAAGATAGGAAACCATCCATATATTTTGTTTTTGAGTTCAAACTCTTCCCAAGACTTGTCAATTGGGCATCCATGTACTACAAATCCTCTATTTTCAAGCTGACATCTTGTTTGATGAGTTGGTACTGATTGAGATGTGGAAGATGGAAGTAGGACAAGATCTTTGTGAACAATACAATGTTTCTTTATCTATTTTGATGGTGGTCTTTTGATTTTCTTTGACGAAGTAGTTGATGAAAGTGTTGGAAATGACCGTCGAAGAGCAGCGGGTACATCTGCACTGTTTCTTTGCCCACGTGTTATTGCAATATTATTTGTGTTTGAAATTGGGCAATTTGAAACGGATTGACTCAGTCTGTTGGACGGAAGACTTGGTCGATTTAGGGGTAGAAAGTTACGGACAAAGAATTTCCTCCAATATTTCCCCATCTTCCTGAGTCAAAGTTGCCTGAGAATTTGATTCTATCAGACGACGTTCAATTGTCAAAGTATTTCTATCATCGAAAATATCCAGAAGATTACGCCTCCTGAGCAAGATTTGATAAAGCAGCCCGAAAGTTTCCAGTATTTTCAGCCATGCAGTGAGAGTTTATTTTGATTGAATTATTAAGTTTAAAGTCGAGATAGCACGATGTCGAATGCAAACATGTTGTCAATATGGCGGCGTCAAAATCAAAACAAAACACTTCTCTAAAAACCTGGGACCTGGGCACTAATATATTTAAATTCACATGAAATCCAGAGTGGGATCGCAAAGCATTATGCAACACGATGTAAAAAGTTTGCCCATACCGTATATGAAAATTGGAGCACGATGTAAAAAGTTCGCCATACCGTATATGAAAATTGGAACACGATGTAAAAAGTTCGCCATACCGTATATGAAAATTGGAACACGATGTAAAAAGTTCGCCATACGGTATATGAAAATTGGAACGCTGTAAATTTTGACGATACGATACAAGAAGTTTCGAACGTATATGAAAAGTTTAGAATGTCCTACAGCAAGTTTCGCATATATTTTTTAGATTTGTCTCGAAGTATATAAAGTTTGCTATGTTGGTAGTATGTTGTGTAGTATTGTAAGTTTAGAATAAAGTCCAATTTGGCGCCCCATATTTTTCTTCGTCAGGAAAACTATTTGAAATAGACTAGTAAATTTAGTGTTTTATGCGTTGATTCAACAACTAAATAAAAAAATTTGTTGAATTTTTTAAAAAAACACACAGGAAAACATCAGTGTATGCAGTATTTAAGACAATAGGGAGTTTTAGCAGAGCCTACGAGTGCGATTTACGTCATTTTGGCGCGAAAACATTGTTGCGACAACAAAAACACGTAGCCAAATCATCAATCTGAGTACGATGTTTTGTAAAAATTCGTAGTCGCGACTACGATGTCTTTTAAGCAATGAAAGTAGGTATATTTCTTCATTCTGTAAGAATTAGTTTACAGTACTATTTTCGAGCATCAGGCTTTCATTTAGAACCCTTTTTGAGCGCAGATGTACATTAAAAAGGAAAATATGACCTGCAAAACTTTCATGTATTTCGTACGCAAAGTGAAAGGTAAACAAACAATAAAATAGTACAAATTTATCGTACATAAAACTTAAAATAGTGAAGATTTTTCAGTCTAAAGAGTCCTATATTCTCGCAAAACCAGTATTGTCGATTCTTTGATATCATGATTGACAAATAGAGCCGTAGCTGCTTCGCAAACGTCGGTGTTTTACACAATAAAAAGTCTCGTTCTGTTGTTTACAACTAAAGCAAAATTTTGACGAAGCGACAACGACAACAAACTTCCTCGTGCCATTCCCTTACACGGTCAAATTTCGTACTCGTTCTCGTAGTCGTACTCTTGCTAAAACTCCCTAATAGCGGGAGCTCGACTATAAAAACAGCAGATTTGAGCATGCGTCAAGTCCCTTAGCCAACCAGAATTCAAAACTTCTTATAGAGAATTATATTGTATGTTCTGCCCTCTGAAGATGGGCGGAATACGTGGAGAATCGCGCGAGTATGCAATGTGCGAGAAAAGGCGGTTGCTAGGTTACATAACAAATCTTGAGATTTTGCTGTATTACGATTACGAACCACCTAATAAAAGCGTAAATATGAACGAATAAAACATAATATTACAAATTGTTCGTGAAATAATGTATATCTTATGTCCAAATAGAATATTTATTATTTTTTTGGGAAATTTCTACTCCCGCCGGGCGGGAGTAGCGGGACCGCTAGCTACGCCACTGATTATGCATGCATAAACGAAAACAGATTAATCCTACAGTACAAAATCTTCTGTCTTTATAACAATGATTATTTTTGCACCTGACTGGTTTTTCATTTATTGCTATTGTTGTTGTGAAAGTTTGATTGTTGAAAGTGTCAAGCTCCACGACATGCATAATTAACCTAATATTCACATCATCATAACGTTCGACGTAACGTATAGACAATGAAAAAACACGGCTTCAGTGTTATAACTGTTCACAGCGAAGATGTTATACATCGGCCTCATAATAAAAAATTTTTCAAATTATGTAAGTTCTTACAAACGTCTTGCAGTGAGGATTATCTTAACGACTGCGCTAGTGTCTCTTGCATAAGAGCACGTCAAAAACGAGAGAAAAAGTTATATGGACAGAGACTCAAAAACTGCTCAAACGTGGCACTTTGCCGGCCATGCATACTCAGTGACTGCAATTTAAAAAATTCTTCGACTCGTTTCTTTTATCAAGAGTTGGTAAAAATTGTTACTATCTTTACAACTGTGAGAGCGAAATGAGACAGTTTTGTCGATGCCTTTTTGAATCAAACGTTTTGTTTTTTCGCATCACACGTTTCGTGGTTTCCAAAAGCACGAAGAGCTATGTGAGCTATTGGCAAATTGTAGCTTTGGCGCGATTTTAGTCTTGTCGAGGTAAAGGCTAAGATTTCCACTTAGGTTTCAATTTTGGACGGTAGAAACCCTCATAAATACGGAAATTTATTAACATAAAGGAAGTTTTGCTAAGTATTTCTGTAAATTAATTGAATGATTTCTGTTTTAGTTCATTTTTTTCGATGCTAGAATCATTTGCATATTCAGAATATTACTTACTTCAGTAATCAAATGAACTTCCACTTTGTCCGCTAACTGTGATTTTTCGACCGCTGGCTAGCATTGATCGACTGCACTCGTAATCACCAAGTTGACGCTCAATCACTTCTTCACCGCCCTTTTCTATAACGCTACAATCTTTGACGTTTACATAATAATGCAAGAAAATACAACAAGAATTTTTTCTCTTTGTATTTATTACTAATTTACTACTATATATCCAATTATTTCTTAATATCATATAACAAAACACGATTTCCGTCAAGCATAATGCAAGATTTTTGCTGATAACTAGATGGTTATATTAACAATTACAATAAGTTTTCATTCGTTGAATCATTAAACAACCAGCAATGGTACGGACATCTTTGCTACTGAACCAGAACTTCTTCCTGTCACAGACACTACGACTGTAACAGTCATACCTGGAGTGGCTTTCAATTTTCCTCGGAACGTGACGGCAAACGATGTCTTCCGACCTTTACGTATGCGTCCGAACTTTCTAGACTGTCTTTCGACTGTTCCCAAGTTTCCAAGCGATTTGAAATCGACGACCTCATTGTTCCCAAAGTTCTGGACAGTGAATATTATATAACACGTGTTTCCTTGTTTCAATGTGAAATCGTTTCTTGCGAACAATATTTTCACTATCAATGTCTCTGTTTTTATAGGTGAATGAGAAATGCGCTCAAACGAATTGCCTTTCTTTGTGAGACCTTTCAATTTGATTTTGAAAATTTGATTTGGTGGATGGAATTTGAACGAATGCCTAATCCCTTTGCTATCTTTAGCGGACAATGACGTTGGTCTTGTTGTCGTGATGACGTCACCACGCAGCGTCACAAGTTCTGCTCTCAAACTGTTCTTGTTGACGTGAGAGATTCCTCCAACTGTTAAGATTGCTTCAGCTTGAACACCTGACAATATGGAGGATTATGAATTCAAAACTTGATAAGCATAAATCAAGGAGAACTGACACAACACCGCGACAGTTCACAATAAAAATTTTCACTCTTACCTAATATAGGAGATGATATCGGGAATGTGGTTCGTACTCCACGACGAGAGGTC